AATTGATCTGCGAGACACTGACAAATCACGATATTTTGCGATAACCGAGTTCAATAATTGTTTTATCATTCGATCACCGAGTTTGTTTTTTTAATGAACATCCTCGGGAAGCGAAGCGATCTGCCATTTTCACGCAAGAGCGATCGCAAGAAGGAGAAAAGCACGGTTTCCTTTACGCATGTGCAGAATATTATTTGAGGCCAAATACAGTTGGACGGCATTGCGCATGAGTAGACCATTATTTGTAGGCAGTTATTTGCAGGTCACGCGGCGGGCTCTCGGCCAATGGAAAGAAAGAAAAATTTGCTTCGAATGATAAGGTGCGTTACTGGAAATGTTGAAGTAGCGAATAGCCGACGGGTAGCGAATTTGTTTTTGTTTGTGGTGGGGGGAGGATCACTTTCTTGGAGAGCTTGGCCACTAAGCTTAGAATAGTAACCGAGCCTTCCCATTCAGTTTCCAACTCCGTTTGTATGCAATGTTCCGTTGGCCGCAGAGGTTGTTTAAGGTTAATCCCTGAGTATAGTGACTAGGGTCAAGCACTGATCTGTACTGATTAGGTTTAAGCACTGACTCGATAAACGGTTAGCTTCTATTTGGGGTTAGGGTTGTTGCTATATATCTTCAAATCAAACCATCAATCGTCAGCAAATTCTCAGTGGCGTAATGGTATGGGAGATGGACTGCAGATGCTACGCTTCGGGTTCGAGTTCTACTCAAGCCCTTCCCAATTTTTTTCCTTAAAAATTCAAGATACTTAGACTCTGTACTTAGAAATTTCATGTAGGAAAAGGGAAATGTCTCAGAATGTCTTGTGAGAGTGAAATGTCAGTTTGGAGTATGGAGATGAGTGCTCCCCAAGAAAGTGATCCCAAAAAAAGTTTTCGCTGACAGATAAGTTCCTCATAACGATCCCAGAAACAACTGCGGGTCGCACATCTCGGCTCCATTTCTCTTCTCATGCCTAAAGTGCCGAATGCGCACCACAGGGTATTTCGTTTTATTTGACTTCATCCAAACAGAGGTGACATGTCATAAGCATCGAATAATTTCTGCACTCGTTCCCTAGACGTTGTGTCGCGGGGATTCATTTGCTGCGCAGCTTAACGCTACGCCTTAAAGTCGGTTGTTTTTTCAGGTTTGGATCAGCATGTTAGAAGTTTTTACTTTTAGGCCAATTTTAGAGGTAAAGGGAGTGTTTAGGTTACTGCTCCTTCTTTACTGTTGTTGCATTGTAATTTTCTCCCCAAGAGCATGCGCTGTCATAAGGTACTACAAACACGTCTTTTTAGCGTTGTGTACCATGTACCAAGTGGCAATATGCAGTCCTGGGTTACGTCACAAAGAACAGGCCCTGGCGCTCTAACAATAACACAACAGCCTGTACACAGTCAATGACAACGACACAATAGTGCATATATTGACTTATATGGAAATTGAACATCCCCTTTGTTGAGTTAGTCCTTTGAATTGTCGTAAGTTAGTTTCTCCTAAGTAACCATGACAAAGTCATTAAGTCAAGATACTCTTCTTGTTTCAGCCCGGCCATTTGGTTAAAATGACCAGGACAGCCAGGAGTATTTGTGCCGCAGCAAGAGCCCTGGATTGCTCAAAACGGAATGTAGACGTCTAAGACATGAAAAACTGATTATGTAACTTGGGAAACAGTGAACGGTGTAGAAAACAATAAAGAAAAATTGCATTCTATCAGTGGTGTGGTGTTTCTGATAAAGTGGGAGAAGAAGTACCGTATTTCAGCGCCTCCCTAGACATTTAAAAAATATTACTAATATTTAACTACTGGCTGGATGTGCAAAGAGTTTTAAACGGCTGTCATCGACCATTTTCTCCTGAACCTTTTTAAAATGAAAACTACGTGAGCAAGCATTTTACTTCTGTTCTCTGCATACCTATTTACACCCCAGTGTAAATAGGTATGCAAATGTGGCCTTGCATCTTTTCACAGATTTATCCCTCAGTTTGCATAAATTTGAACATCAGCAAATATGGTGCAAATCCAGTATTTCGTCCATTATTTGTGCTTCTTCGATTAATGGAGCTTTCTAAGCTGTAGAGGCTTAAAAGGTTTAGGCTTGTATACAAACGTTAATATTAAATATATCATGATCAGTAACTGTCCTTATTCATAATGTTCTGATGATCTCTGATCGAAAGCTGAAAAATGGTTTCAGAGTGCGCGGCACGGTTTCTAACTAATGTGCGCCAAAAAAAAAAAACAATTCTAGGAATGAGTGAAACTGTTTCATGTACGCAGTTAATCCTCCATCTTGATTTGAGGTTGGGGATTATTAGGTACCTTTTTTTATTTCGCGCATCAGGCTGACTGTGGAATAAAACGGATGGGTAGGGAGGGTGGGTGGCTTATTAGAGGCTGGAGGCTAGTAAGGGAAAATACATCGCTTAATTCTTAGCAATTTGGATGCTAATGATGTCCGCAAATCGATTCCCCGGCATAACATAATTGAAAGTCTTAAAATTCGCAGTTGGATTAAAACATATTTTTCCCCAAAAAGTATCTGGAACTTTGCCTTATACTACCAGTGTATAAAGGACATGTACACAGGCCATATTTTTTTCCTTTTTATTCTACATGTTACGACCTCAAAGTAAAATGAAACAAGATTCAGCCGTCAGCACTTTTCTCTACACTGCATCTGTTTAAATGCCCTAAAATGAAGGATACAAGTAAATTTTCAGTAAAAAAAATCATGTCATACTTTAGCATCTTTCTTGTCAAAATAGAACATCATTTTTATTTTTAGCTGTAAAAATTCTCAAAACAACTTTTCTTCAAGTTATTGACATCGTTAAAGCCTGAAATTATATACTGACAGAAAACGTCATTCCTCCCTTCTTTGTGTTAGTTTCTTACCAAGCATAAGTCACTACTTATTACTTTTGTGTATTTTGCTTTCCCAAAAAAGGTCAGCGGGTTTGTTTATTATTCTTTCGTAAATTGGGGGTAATTTGACGTGAATAAGACGAAATATGCATGGCATTGTTCTTTAAGTCCAGTGTCCTGTTGAATGTTAAATATTGTTTTTTTAAGTCGGATTTGTGTGGACGGGGCCTCAAACCACTCTGGAGAGCAGTTTTAAAAAGACGTGGTTCCGTTGAGCGGATTCACTCACTTAGCGGTTTTAATTGTGTGGACGGAAAAAAAGTAAAACATCGCGCAGAATGGCTATTGTTCTCGGGACATTTACTTCCAGTTCAACAAAGTTTGTAGATCTGTCATATCATGCGCCGACGATATGAAAGCGCCTCAACGATTGCCTGCCTTGAACGCACTCGGATGCTCATTAATATGATGTAGGTGGCAAACTAAACAAAGGGGACAGTTCGCTATTATTTCTCCTTTTATTCGCAAATCGCAAATATGCTGCACACTTCGCAGCGACATTTTGAAAACTCGCTTTTGCTTTATTGTATTGGCAGTTCATTTGGTAAAAAAAGTTAAACCACAGAACGAATGATGAAATGTCGAATTATCTTTGTGGGAGCGAGATCTTGATAGTGTCGTAAATAAACACACTGCATTGAGTGTTTAGGGCACAGAAGCCGACGCTCAGTGTAATGGTCTGTAATGTTTTTCTTCTGTATTTAAAAGGTTTTTAGCTCTTATACAAACCAAAACGGCGGGTAAGTAAGTTTACATTCCTTAACAGAGCTCAAACTGACTAAAGCCCTGAAAAACAAAGAATAGCGATGCAAGTAGCTATCATAAGAAAATTTGACACAGGCGATTCAGTGTTCTCATGGCGAATTTTAGTTTGTAGAGTGGTTTGTTACAGTCACTGCTCGTGCAGCAATAGACAGAAACCTTTCTTATTGTGAGTTTTTCTTAGCCAGCCAGCATTCAAATTTGCCGCTTCGCTGATTATGAATAATTAATGATGTCCCTGCATTCTGCGCGATGAAGAATTACTGTATGCGGTTTCAAAAATATCCCGATGCGAGTGGAAGGTAGTCTGCTACATAGCCGTTTTTAGTGTCGTCACGCAACGCTCCTCCCCACTAAGGAGCGTTGCGTGACGACATCCGTCAGGAAAAATGAAAAAGTCATTTGGTGACTAAAAACGCTCTTCCTGTTAGCCTCCGCAGCATCAAATGTATTTCTACTTTTACATCTAATCTTAAAACTTATCTTTTTAAATTAGCTTTTAATATCTCTTAGATATTAAATATAGAGTTTTTAATTTATTGGAAGGGTCCTGAGCACTATAAATGTAATATCACGACCAGCTGTACTGGAAAAAAAAGATTTACACTGGTTGAAAAGGTCTATAACCGCTGGACTCTCACCCTAATAGGACATCCATACAGCTCAGCACGCAGACAAACAAACCCATACCAGCTCAAAGGATGGATTCGAACAAAGCGGGCATGGAATGGCGGGAAAAAATCATGGACAACAATCGAGTCACGATCATAGTTTCCCCGAAGGACCTATAAAATCGACACATCAAATAATTACAGAGGAATTATAGAAAATAAAGGTGTTAGTATATTTAATAACAACCAGCACTTTGTTTTTTTTTTGTTACAGTGAGAAACAAACCATTTTTTTGCTAATGTTTTTTATCTCTCTATTTTTTTTTTTTCACCATTTGAAGAAAACGAATCGAAAACGAAGATGGTTGTCGAAAAACATGTTACTCGCCAATCTCTTACCCAGAGCCCTGCTGACCAAAAAGCCAGAGGATTCTGGTCACGAGATTGGGTACTCTGCGCTGGTAACCAATGGGAACAAGCTTTTTTTTTTCAAGTGCACACGACAGAATGTGAGCTAGGTGCCTTAGCTTGATATCCTCAATAAAGACTTGTTACATCATTCTGATTCAACACTTAAGTCACCTGTGCTCTGAGTGAGGAATGTCTTTTTATATTTATACTTGATCCCAAAGACGAGGATGTTTTCAGTTGCCAACATTCATTATTTCAATTTTTCGACTTTGAAGATGCTTTAGGTGACTAAGTTATTTCTGGGGCCGGTGCAATGAGTATAGTGTTGTTACCTTTATTTTACCGCGTACTGTGTACTGGACCCAATAAGAACCTGTGAGGCTGTAAGATATTGAGTAGCTGGTCGGCCATTGATCGGCATTTTGCCTTCCTTGCGTGGCTACCTTAGTGACGGTAGTAGGATTTCCAAGATCGATCTGCAACCATTCTTTGTTGTTATTTGTCTTTGCACACCAGGCTCCTGCCTTACCAGACCTGGCTACCAGGTTCAAACGGCCGAGCTGGGCTACGTAGGCACTGTTGTGAATGGTGGATGCAGTCATGGCGCTGTCTTGAATTCGGCCATCTTCGATTCCAAGCGACATGGAGCAACGGTGTCCTTATAAAACAGAAATTTATTCTCAATTAACGAAAAAAGGAAGAGAACACAGGGCAGTCATTAGCCAAATAATTATCAAGATTGGACTGGTTCTGTGTAATTTTTTACATATATGTCAATGGTAATCGATGCTTAAGAGTTTGCTTTTTTTAAATTTCGCTATTAATGAAAGGTCATGTTGTTTTTCACAGCATATACATCATAAAGTTAATTTTCCAGGTGGCCACTATCTCAGTGCATTACGGATGGTTGACAAACAGTACGTACAAAAGCAAGTGTCGTATTACTATCATGCTCCGCACTATTTTTATACTGATTTTGAAATGTATTTTCGTAACATCGTTGCGGATACCTGTTAACTTTTATAAGCTTCTTTTTAGTTTTAGTTCCTCGTTTGTTTGTATGTTTTTTCTTTACTTGTTTGCAAGAGGATGGAGGGGCGAGGAGGGGCCTCTTCGATATTGAAAAACTGCTAGTTACTGAAATCCAGGAAATCCTCCTGTGTAAATTACCTTCCTGGCAGCCATAAACTTCAGCCCTCATGCAAATGTGATTTTGCCAAGTTTTGGGATGAAATCGAAGATAGCGGGCTTGGATTGACGAATACAGAGAATGCTGAACTGGAGTGTGGCGGTCAACGTTGCCTCCAAATACCTGACCAAAATATTTGTAAAATACATGACCACAACCCTTTCTCGAGACTTTTAAAAGTCAAAATGCCACCGTGTTAAGAGTATAAAAAAATATGATAACATGTTAATGAGAAGTATAAAATCCCGCAGTCTGCAATAACAACTATCACTTGATCCAAGTGGTAACACGGCATCATGCTTATTAAAAGAAGCTCCTGTGTTTCCGTGTAAGCTTATGTTGAACCCCCTATAGATCTGTAGAAATGACATGCACTCCAAATAATAAAAATAATACTTGGCCGGATGTTTTGAGAACGTACCTGCCAACATTCAGTGAACTTTTGCCGCTATTTATTAATAAGTGAAAAACTGAAGGCTAAAAGGCAAGTCTTTTTTGGGCCCGATTAAGCCAGAAAATTACACTAGCGAAGAAAAAGGAAAGGAACAATAGAGAGAGCAAGGAGAAAGAGAAGAGGAGACAAGAAGAGAAAAAGTTATGGCTGCACAATTAGTTTTTGACTTATAATGGCTACTTTTGGAGAGCTTGACGGAACTGGAGACATATTTTAGCGATAACGTTTTCTAAAATCCTGCTAGACTAAAAAAAAAATGTATGAGTATATCAAAATGAAACACATCCTGTGGTTTCCTACAGAATAAGAATTGCCTGAAATGCCACTGCATGTTAGTCATACCTTAATGTGTCCATCAGAAAGCCTGTACAAGACCCAGTGAGCACCATCCACGCTGTAAGATAAACTGTAGCTAGTCACCCTAGAGTCAGAGTCATACCTCCCCTGAGTCGCCACTTTGGTCACTGTAGTTTGTCGTCCAAAGGAAATCTGCAGCCACTGGTTGCCATCGTTACTCTTCGCGCACCAGGCGCCTGATTTTCCACTAGCTGGGATTTTATTTAGGCGGCCAAACTGAGGAATGTGATTGGAGCTGGCTGATGTTGAGGCTGACAATGAGCTATCAGGCAGATGTCCACTCTCCATACCCAGAGGTAAAAAACAACTGCGAGCTGTTTGATATAAAATAGGTGACAGAAAACAAATGTAATGCTTGGAAACACTCGGTTTATCTTTAGCAGCTACTGAACAGGACAACTTTTTTATTGGAGGGTTATAAAAAAAAAACAGTTTTAATTTAGATTGCTTCTCAAATACATGTAGACTTATGTGACATTTACTAACTATAGTCAAACATTGGCAGAAAGACGCAAATGGAGATAGCGACTAATTGCTGGAGTTTTCCATTACCTAAACTTTAATCTCCTTCATCTTCTTGAACCAGTAATCAGCTCATAAAGTTTTTGTGTTGCGTTGTAACTAAGAGAGACTAATGTGTACATTCCTCTTATTTTCGCTTTGTTATAGTTGTTTCATTCTTAAAGGCCAGGAAGAAGTCTAATTGAGAACGGTTAAAGACAAATCTCTCATTGCATAATTGGAACGCAGGTGGACCGCAAGCGGTTGTCCTTTTTTTCTCCAGAACGGTTTCAGAGCCACGCGCGCCCGGATCGAACAAGTAGAATTATGCAAATTAATAGTAAAAAGGAGGAGAGATTGGAGCGCAGAGGGCAATTTTCTTGGCTCGGGCTTCCGCCCTCGCAGCTTCGCCACTCTCTTCTCACGCGTACTCTCGATCTACTATGACTCAAAAGAAAATAACGGACTATTTGTAGTCTTTCGGACCGGTAGCTGAAAAAAAAAAACTGGAAAGAGGCATGCTGGTATGTGATAAAGACCTTGTTTCAGTTAAAACGATTATTTGAGTCTCTGAGGAGCAAAGTGGCATTTGGTCCTTGGTCCTTATTCCACATCCTTTTCGATCTGTTTGGTCTGCCTTGCTTTTAGGAGACCTTCAGGAACTCACAACCTCTTCGCAAGGCGTCAGTGGGGAGGGCGTGACTAGTTTATTTTTTATAATAGTGCCGGACAGTGACTAAACGTCACAAGCCTGAGTTTGGCAAAGTTCCCTGCATGGTGTTCCCTGGTAAAGCCTCATGGAAAGAGGATGATAAATCAGTTATGAAACATTTGCACACCTTCTTCACAGCCATATATCTCCACCCTCATTGAAACATGGCCATGCCAAGCTTTAGGGTGGAAACGAATACTTCGAGCAAAGATTCCTGTGCCGGGATGAAAGAAATGTTTGACCACTGTAGTTCTATCACTGTTGCCAAAGAACACCTGCAGAAGAATCAATCGAATTCAGATAAATGAAATAAATAAATGAACTAATGAAACAGTCAGTCGTTAGTTAGCATGCTAATAAGAGGGACAATATAGGTCAGATAGGTCATTTGTGCTGGACAAAACCTTTTTGTATTCTGACAGGCTTGCAATGTTCTGCCACCTTGGTTCTTAACAGACTGCTTGCAGTCCGACTTTTCCCTTAAAATTTGTCCTGTTCGTATCCCCAGCAAGCGAGATTAGAAACAAAGAAAATCCGTCCGGTCCTTACCGACTCTTACTAACTTCTGGCAATTGCTACTCGCCCCTAGCGTGCCTGGATTCTGACCCGTGGATGAACTTTGAAATAATGATGTAAACCACTCGAGACCCACGTAGTCGGAAAGAGGAAACTGACATTTACAAAACCCTCAAGTTAAGCGTTCATCAGGCCTATATTGAACGAGATACAACTATTCACAGGGGGGCTCATTTTTCGAACAGCGGCTGGTAATCGAGATTAATAACGTCTAGGCTGAGCGGACATTTCGGGACACCACCACTGGTTTCTCCGCGAAATGACGTCTCGTCTGAGAAACAAGCGCAGAAAATCCATACTGATGACGCGTCACTATCCAGACCTGGGTAGTGCTTCTGATTGGTCATGCCGCGTGGGAAATTTGATTCAACCAATCAGAAACACGACCCAGATCCGGGTGGTGACGCGTCATTGCCCCTGCAGGGATTTCTCCCAGAAGGCGAAATCCTGAGGAGGCACCCTAGTAACTCGCGCGTATATCAAGGAAAGTACTTACAGTTGAAATATACAGTCATACAGTCAATATAGAAAAAATTTCGATTTGCTTGAACAGGGGCCGCGAGGAATTGGTAGGTAACGATGACGTTTCTATTGTTTGCGCCGGCAAGTACGAAATGGTTAGAATGACGTAAAGACAGAACATCCCCAAGGGACCGCTAAGGGAGATTTTGTGAATTTATTTTGCAGTCATACTTCAACACTCTTTTGCGTTACGTGTTATCAGTGACATTCTGTGGAGCAGTTGTTTCAGTGAAAGTTATGGACCAAAATTTTAACGACGCGCAGAAGAAGTTATAAGGTGCGTATAACTGTGTATATATAAACACTTGGAGAGTTTGCCAGACACGAGTTCACAAATCTTTCATTGGAAACCTCGCCAGACACTCTTTCTCTCTCTTTGACCGGAATAAGACTTAGCGCCAAACAAGCAAGACGATTGAACAACGGCTAGCTTCTCACTAGCAGAACGACGGACGATTACAGAAATTCGCCGACCATCAAATTCTGTGCTGACTTATTCCCTGCTTACAGATGTCCTTCCGGTATAAAGTTTAAAATAAGACGAGAATGCGCGAGTGTGAATTGATCAAACGTCCTTTTAATTTCTAAGGCTTCATTTCCGGCAAATAAAATGAACTGAATGTAAAAAGCGAAAGAGAAATAGGGAAAAATTCAACTCTTCTAATTAAATCTTTTCTTATGGTTTAGAATAAACTATTCTCGATACTGTGAATGTTTTGATCAAAGCTGTGTAATGAAATCGACCTGAAACTGTGCATGGAACCTTACGTTTCCTGTATTTATCTCACCTATTGTATGGAATATGTGTGAAAATCTTCCTTATGAATCGGTACATTTCAAAAAGCTACACAACGAGCAAGAATGCTATTGACCGGCAATATACAGAGCGGGGGCAGCTGTAGTGTCAACTATTAATAGTCAGTACAGGAGTTTGTAGGGAATTTATGCGTTCGTTTCTCAGGCCTCATTTGGCGGGAAAACCAGTGGTAGCGTCTCAGGCTAAATAACGTCCGGGCAGAGGGTGTCGGGTGACTCGGCCGGGTAATCCTTACATCTCTTAGTAAATTTGCAAGTTTTTAAACAGTGATATCTTGTTGAATATTGGACCGATCAACACCAAACTTGAGACTTTTGCAAAGCTCGTTAAGTACTTTTTGACTATTAGGGCTACCTGTTGTTTGTCCCCTAATACACGGACTCGTACCCCGCCCCGCTTGGTTTGAAATTGGGCAATAGCAGGCAATAGGTAAAAGTGCGGACGATTAGCATAACAGAAAATGCGGACGATTCAGCCTTTCAGTTAATCAGAATCGGATAATCTTAAAGTCAAAACCAAGGTGTATTTCATTCAAAGGACACAGACAATTGAACCAGTTAAAATCATTTGCTTATGACGCAAAGCGCGGGAAAATGCATGCGAGCGTGACACAATCGGTTTTGGTTTTCCTTCTGATTGGATAAAAAAGTGGCGCGAATCTTTTAAGCCAATCACGTAGCGTAGTAAACGCAAAACCAATTACCTTTCGACACTCAAATGAAAACCGCTCTATATAATTCATTTATTGATTCAATCATCATTAGTTCATTCATTCAACTATTCGTTTAATGTCTTTAATCATTATAGTTAATCATTCAGCTAATCAGCCTGTCATTTAGCAAGCTAACGCTGCCGTGACGGTATTGCACGCCAAAAACAACAGTCAGTAATCTTTTTTCTCTCAGTTTTTATTACCTTAATTTGACTGTCTTCTCGGATGTAAACCCAGTTGAGGTCGTCTGCAGTATAAGACACTGAGAACTTTGTCACCCACTGGTCGCGTCATGGCGACCCTGAGTGGCCACGCCTCTTATTTTGAACAGGCGACCCAGTTTAACCTGGAATTAGAAGATACACAGAGCTGAGTCCATTGTTCTTAGCCGAAGAAGCAGTTTCTTTGACAGCTAAGTTCACTTTAGTTTCACATACCAGTTTTAAAGGATCTTAACCATGGGAATCAAATGTAATTTAATATTTAATGAACATTCAGCTTTCAAACTAGATCTTCACGAGAATAGTGCTGGGAAAACGTCTGATGTTAAATAGGATCTAGACTGAGACATCTTAATTTTAAAAGTACAAAATAAGACGCTTTTTACAAAAACTCACCAAGGGGTTTGCTTTTGTTAGTCATGTGCAATATTTTTATTCTTCACCGAGAAATTTGAAATATACACTTTTTAGTAAACTCTAGCTACACAGCTCATGGAAGGAAGACTCCCTATAATGCAAAGCTTTAATTGCTACTGGCCCTTATTGCAAGTTCACTGAGCACTTTACAGTGGTAAAAACAAAGTTAGCTAGCAACGCGTCAATGGATGAGAGATAATGTCATAAATGGCCTGTAGACACAATTGCGCACCTGAAGCCACTGATTGGCATTATTTTGTTTAGCAGACCAACAATATTTCCCGCCATTTGGTAACAAATTAAGCCTGCCTCGGTCTGGAAGGTAGCTAGCACTGTGATATGATGACGCAGAGAATGCTTCTTCAGGAATTCTACCGTCTTCCACCCCCACTGGCATTAGGCAGCTCTTCACTAGATAAAATATCAAATTTAAACGATATCAAAATATGGACATGCAGCTTGCGTTGTTCGTCCGCTGGTAACTCAATGCTCAAAATTCCAGTAAAACTATCCACAAAAAAAGTATTTAAATCAGAAATGAGGAAAAGACGGTTAAGAGATTTGTAGCTTTTTTCACGCGTGATGTTACAACAAGTAATGCAGTTGATGCTAATAAGGAATCAATAAAATAAGAGAAAAGAAAGATGGAAACATACTAAGATATGAAGTAACACAAGATACCTACCACTTCGACAGCCATACAGTTCAGTTCTCAGGCAAGGAACATTAAAATTGTGGGTCAGTGGATGAAAGCGGATAAAGCGAGCTTCGATGTGGGGATTTAAGGTGTGTATAATTACTGTGTTCCTGTCAGTGTTCCCAGCAAACACCTGAGGAAAGTTACAGTGTAGTTAACAGTTGTGAAGACTCTACCCCAGTGGATGAGTAGTTAGCAGTTACATTTGTATAGTTTACTTTCGACTGGATGCCATTATATTCGTTTAAAAACTTCAAATACCAACCCTGTAAGTTTCTACACAGTCCTAAGATCTTATTTTTGGTGCTTTCTCAAAACCAAAACTGATGGTTTAGGGTAACGGCTCATGTTTCGATTTTCGTGAAGATGTTTGAAGTTTGGTTTCAATGTTTAAATTACCATGTAATTTTCAATGTTGTTTTTAATGTTATCAAGGTTCTATATAATTTATGCTTTGTTACAAAAATCGGCATTAGTAAGCTTGTATAAATTGATGTTTAATTACGTATAAATTTACGTCCAAATACAGAAAATCACTTCAAAATCCGAAATAAGAGTAGTTTTGTTGGCCAGTTCTATTGATAGGTGATACATCAACACAAACCGATGCACCCCCTCTCAATCATCAGTCAGTCAGCTACCAGCCGGTTTATTACTCACAGTGCATAAGTCAAATTACGCACAGATCACAAGTACTCTACAAATATGATGTTACACTCTTATTTTTAATAAGAATGTTGTTTTTCCGGCCCAGGCTGAATATTCTTTTTCTTCTGCCAATTTTAGGCTGAAAATATTCTTGTATTATTCTTAGTTTATAGCTCATGACATTTCCATTTTAGACCATATTGGGGGTATCAGTTACAGTTAGTGCATGTTTTCTCGTTTTGTTACCTAGTTTTCCCCTTTAGAGAATGGAATAAGTGGAAAACATATAATTGTATTGTATTTACAGCATTTGAACACAAAAATATATCCTTTTCAATATCTCAGTCTGGGGTTTATTCTTAAAATATTCTTAAAATTTTGCGCATTTCAGCCTTGATATTCTTATAATATATATTCTTATAGAAAAAAAAGAGTGTACTCCAGCAGTCTCAGTCTGTATTGTAGTCCGTTTGACTGACTGACTGATAAACTTGAGCCCTCTCCCAGCTCCAGTCTACAACCGAGAACTTATTCGTAGGTTATTCGTTTACTACTGGAATAGACTTTGGCTTCCTGAGTCCCATAACATTTGGAATCTCTCTTGTTACCTTATCTACGGCTCGTTGCTTGTACCAAGTCCAGTGAATCCCGTCCACACTGTACGAGAGTTTGTATGTTTTAACTCTGTCCTCGCTGTTGTACCGCCCCTGTGTTGCCACCTTAGTAACAGCAGTTATTTCCCCTAGGTTGATCTGCAGCCACTGATTAGAACTGTTGAGTTTCGGGCACCAAGCAGCGATATGTTTACCGTCACTTAAAAGGTTTAGTCTCGCAAGTGCAGGCTCGTGCCGGTTGTCGTAGCTGCCTGAAGCTGTGAATGCACTGTCAGGAATGCGCATGTCCTCCACACCAAGTGGCATTGAACAACTGTGAACTACAAAAATAGACACCAAGTGATCAAATACTTGTAATCGTATTTGTTGGGACCAATTGAGGCGGCTGATTGATTTTGAAAATAATTCCACTATTTATTATGACTAGTAATAGTTGACACTACAGCTGCCCCCGCTCTGTATATTGTCGGGCAATAGTATTTCTTGCTCGTTGTGTAGCTCTTTGAAAAATACCGATTTCATTATGAAGATGTTCACACATATTCCATACAATAGGTGAGGTAAATTCAGGAAACGCAAGGTTCCATGCACAGTTTCGGTTCGATTTACACAGCTTTGATCAAAACATTCTCAGTTTCGAGAATACCGGTAGTTTATTCTAAACCATAAGAAAAGATTTAATAAGAAGTTTAATTTTTCGCTATTTCTATTTCACTTTTTACATTTAGTTCATTTTATTTGCCGGAAAGTAAGCCTTAGAAAATAAAAGGACGTTTGATGAAATCACGCTCGCGCATTCTAGTCTTATTTTAAACTTTATCGCGGAAGGACATCTGTGAGCAAGGAATAAGTCAGCACAGAATTTGATGATCGGCGAATTTCTGTGATCGCCATCGTTCTGCTAGTGATAGCCTAGCCGTTGAATCATTCACTCGTCTTGCTTGTTTGGGGCCAAGTCTTATTCCGGTCAAAGAAAGAGAAAGAGTGTCTGGCAAGGTTTCCAATCAAAGATTTGTGAACTCGTGTCTGGCAAAACTCACTTGGTTTTAAAATATACACTGTTATACGCACCTTATAACTTCATCTGTGCTTAACGAGTGTCTTTTGGTTTATAACTTTCATAACAACTGCTCCACAGAATGTCACTGATAACACGTAACGCAGAAGAGTATCGAAGTATGACTGCACAAAATCTACCTATTGTAAGCGGTCCCTACGGGATTTTTTGTGTTTTACGTCATCCTAACCATTTCGTGCTTGCGGGCGCAAACAATAGAAATGTCATCATTACCTACCGATTTCTCGCGGCCCCTGTTCAAGCAAATCGAGAGTTTTTCTATATTGACTGTACGACTGTATATTTCAACTGTAAGTACTTTCCTTAATATACGCGCGAGTAACTAGAGTGCATCCTCGGGATTTCGCCTTCTGGGCGAAATCCCTGCGGGGGCAACAATTTCAATACATTACATTCATAAAGAGATGAATTACATGTTACTAATTACAAGTGATTTCGTTTACTTATCTCTTACTTAATAACCAAATTGGTAAAAGAAAACGGTATTTACGAAGTGTACTACCGTCCTTCGATGTCCTGTACGTTTTCCGATTAAATATGACGAGATTCACGTCATGGCGCGTCGTCTGATTAATTTTTTCTTCTACAGTCATTACAGATATGAGGCGTGATCCTACCTCAAAGATGCTGCCCTTTGTTTCTAATCAAATCGCCTCTATTTAACCAAGTTTCGTTCATACAGTTTGCCTGCTCTATCTTTTCCGATTCCATACTATTGCTCCCTACAGTTAATCACGTTCAATATTTATTGTTTAGACATCATGTACACAAAATGAACTCTTCCCGCTGAAAGTAATTTCAACTTAAATCATACCAAACTGATTAACGTACCATTTCGGCAACCATACACCTCAGCTCTTAGACAAGTATATCCGTAGTATGTTTTGGGGTGAAAGCGAATGAATCGAGCATTGAATGCTGTCACCAGTAAGTGTTCCACTAATGTATTTCTGTCCTTGTTACCTGAAAAGGCCTGAAAAAAGAAATAAAAAAGTTTAAAATATAAAATAAAGTTAAGAGGGATAGAACAAAGAAAACAAAGGCAGGATAAGAATTAAATTGCCCGGAATTATTAAGCAATAAACGTGACATACAAGTCATGGCAAAATGAGAACATTCATTATAACATAAGAAAGTTCGTATCACAGATACAGATTTAGGGGCTTTTTGACTATGATAATGACATCAAAAAGGTAATACCTACAACTTTGGACAAAACGTATTGGACAAACTTCAAAACAATACCTATTCAGTTTTCCTGTCATTCTGGCAAATAGGGAAACCGTCGCCAAACCGAATGACTATTTCCCCCTTCCTCTTATCCAGTTTTGTTTAGGGTAACACCAGAATTATACACGTCAGTTTTTAAACCAAAGCAATATTGAATAGGGGAGTGGGGAGGGGGCTTACTCTTTTCTGTTTTGAGGGGATGCTCCTGTGGGGCAAAAGTTAAAAAAAATTAGATAGAACTGTCTCATCAGTTTTGTCCATGAATGAAGCAGTTGATGATTATCACTGACCCACGTGACACTGTTTTCCTTGTACTCGGCCCAGTGTATTCCGTCCATGCTGTAAGAGAGAGTGAACTTTGTTACCCAGTGGTTACCGTCCTGTTGTCCTTGGGTTGCAACTTTAGTCACTAGCACCAGCTCTCCAAAGTCAATTTGCAGCCATTGTTTGCCGTCGTTAGTTTTTGCACACCAGGCTCCATATCCTTTACTACTACCCTGTAAGTTCAATCTCGCTCTTGCTGGGGCATACTTGGCTTGAAGGCTGGAAGACGCAGAAAACGCTGCATCTGATACATGGCCATTCTCCAAACCAAGAGGAAGGGAGCAGCGGTATACTAAATTGAAAGAAAGCCACACTGTCAATTTTATATTTTAAGAAGAAATTGCTCAAAGATCAGAGATAGCCTTTGTTGCGTCACCAGCCACTCGGAGATTCAGCGCCGTGTCGCACGAAGGGTTCGCTGGAAAACTACTGTACCCTATGAAACCGCAATGAGCGCGAATATAATATACAACTGTACCCTTAAGGTGAGGTGAATAGTAGTGGTATACCGAGCCGCAAAGCGCACAGGTATATAACTCATGTATCACTATTCACAGACCCTGACCCAGTCAGTTGAATAAAGAAAGAAAAAGGACTAATTTTTGAAAATAAAAGATTTCATTTATTGAGTATTTTGTTTACGTTTTAATTGACAGTGTTTTCGGGGATTTTTACCATTTACCAAGTGCATTTTTAAGATTTTGTTGCAACTAATAACAACATAATTTTCTACCAGCCAGTAGACACCGACCAGCCTAATTTCATAGTTTTCTTGGTGATTTGTTAGAACAGTCGCCCAATTTATTGCTAAAATCTCGCCTTCCAAAACCCTCGCGAAACAAGACTCCATTTTGACCCACGTCACCAAAGAGTGAAGAAGCAGACAACACGACGTCAGTGAAAATGCTAAAGCGCGCAAAAAAGGCTGAACACTACTTCCGGTACTCAATTTGCCACTCTGCTATTTGTCGAGTCAGTTTTCAGATCTGCGCTCGCCGTCGTCGATAGAGACTATCGTCACCTCTTCTTTGCTAAATCTGCCAATGATTTTCCGAGTTACGAGACCCAATCAAAACGCGCCAAATTTCCATCCACTAATTTCATACCGGTACTAAAGCTCTGTATACATGCACTGACAGGCTTTCAAATGTTGGCATAATCCACACACTGGGTACGTACTATAAAGAGTTTTTCTAATCGCCTCCAACCGCTAAAAATAGTCAAGATAACTCTGATGGCAGCGGAAAGCGCACTAAACTGTTCGCCTAGAACCGCACTGAATACGGAATTAGCTGTAATTAGCATAGACTGCAAACAGTCGGTTTTTTCTCAAAACCAGTAAAGAAATAGGTAAAGCGTAACGTAATCGGTAAAGTGTGGCGTAAGAGTCTTACGCGCACGAAGCGTGCGACTCTCACACGCCCATGAGGCGAGAGAAAAGCCTACCTTTTGTTTGACTGCTCGCGTGTATTTGAATACGCGTTTTGCAGTCTACAATTAGCAATTTTAACCAATTTTTTAAAATGATCTTAACTTGGAAAAACAAGCTATTAGTATAATAGCCCGTTTTAAAGAGTTATTTATCCAATAAAAAAACTGTTATTTAAACATTACTTGTAATCACCTAACAAAGGATTCGTGTAGATACTTCTTTTGTGGAGTAAAATTTGATTGCCTTGTTCATGATTTCCACGATTCAGTAACTGAAAGAAAATGAACAAAAGTATCCTAATTCAAGAACTGATATGCTCAACATATTATAAATAAATATAAACAAACAATTATGCCTTCAACTTGCATGATATCTTGTTACTTTTAAAATATTTAGAAGCTGTTTTAATTTTTTTTTTGTACCACGTACTGATATTATATTAAAAACGTACCATACTCTGTGGCTAAGCGTAATTTTGTCTGCTAAGATTTCCTAATAAGTATCATATGAATTAAACCAAAATTAATGTTATACTCTTGCTAATTGCCGATTTGTGACCATATAATGAAACCAGGCTTCTTAAACGGGGCCGTGGACTGAAACATCACCGAAGCGAAAAGATTAAAGCGAAGCTGATGATCAACAATTGAGCCATTCTTTTCTTTAAAAATCTGATATTGAAGTTATTTCTTCAACTGAAACTGAGAAAACGGCAAATATCTCGCGAAAGAAACACTATTCAAAGTTGACTACTTGCGTGAAAAAACTTAAATTTCTTGTAAGATAGGTGTTGACTCGAAGGCTATTTGCTGTTTTTGAGAACTTGAAAATTTTCAATCAATTGCAACATGTATACCTAATCATGACACTCTCACTATAGATGGTTTTCTCAGTGACGTCATCAAATAGTAAAGTCAAAATAGCGAGGTTTTACGAATTCTTATTTACACTAGGTTGAAGATACGCAAAAAACAAGTTTCCATTCCCGTATAACGTAACATGTTTCATTTCGAAAATAGAGCAATTTGAACTTCCGAGTTTTCACAGTGCGTGACACCAAAATAGGAATGCTGTCTCCTTGAAAAAAAGTCTCGCCTCTTCATTATCAGCAGTATAACCATTTCAAGTATTAGAAAATATGTTTATGCGCACGTATTCTAGTTCTCGAGTGAAAAAAAAAACTTTTGTAGAAAAAGTGAACTCCAGATGTTTTTGTTGATTTGCGGAGGCCATATTGGTGCACCAAAACGGTGCCCAATATGACGTCTCCATACAAAGCTCTACGAAGGTGCGTGAAACGTTTTGGCAAATAACTCAGAAACTGTGTGGGCCATAAAGACCTGAGATTTGGACAAATTGTTTATAAATTAGTCTTTTATAACATTTCATTTTCTTGGCTTCTTCCACTCGACGGTTTCCAATTTATTTTTTTGCTGCGTGATAGTGAAAACGATCTATACTGCCAGCTCTTGAATGACAAGTTCTTGAAAACCTCTTTTTTTCATCCCAAGGGAGATGAAACTGAAAAGCTAGCTAATTTTTCCAACTTGTGATATAAAATTCTTTTACCTTCCTTATAATTAGCATTTCAGACATAGGTGACTTTTATTTTCCACCTTATATGAAGATAGCCTTTTTTCGTTGGTCGTGAGTATGCTTTGTTCAAGCAGTGTTTGTAAGACGGCATTTTAACAAGACTGACCGAGGACCGAGTTCGTCAGTTATGACTTGATAAAATAACTAATCAACTCACAATTCTAGATATTATTTAATTATAACATGGTTAAAGTTATTTGCCGAAACAGCTGTCATTGAAAGCGGCCATGGCATAGATGCATGGTTCATGGGAGATATTAAGAAATGGAGGGCAAGACTCCTTTACAAGTTTTTTTTACTCGGCTTACAAGCGAAAGAACGGAAGTATGTCAAACTCATTTTTTAAAATGTATTTTGCCATATTCAGTTCAATAGCCACTGCTTGATAATTTTAGTAGTTATAATAATACGCTTTCTGGCTCAGTCCCAAAGTACTTATTTTCATCATTTTTCTGCTTTTTTCCGTCATCCAATTTTTCCCCTACTACCAAATCACCCTGATTATTTCTGTCACCAATTTCCATCATTAATCCAATTTCTCATTTGAGAAAAAAATTTCCTATACTTATCTCGGACAATTATAGTACTTTTTCATAACCCAAACTTAAATGTTTAATCAAAACAGGAAATAACGTGAAAACCTAATATTTCTGATAAATTCTAGTCATTAAACAACTTATGAGCTCGCTTCGCTCGCGGAAAAATCAGAAAAATGATGGAAATAAGTACTTTGGGATCCAGCCAGAAAGCACATTATTATAACTACTCATATTTACTCAAACAAAAGGTTTTGATATTAGCGACCCGAACGAAGCCGAAGGCTGATTGAGGGAGCGTGAGTGAGTGAGCAGAGAGAACCACCAACCACAACAACAAAACAAACAACAAAACGTCCTAATATTATCTCATTGAATATAATAATCCAAAAATCATATTATTATAACTACTAAAGACACACACTGATTTGGATCACTAGGGAAATCCCTTTTAGCAAACACCTGCCAGTTTTGACCATGTTGAATATTTAATGATTTACGTTTCAGTTGCAGACAATGAAATGATTTGTCAAGATTTTGTGACAAATTTTATTTCCACCAAAATATTAATTTTATATGACATTCTCGGAAAACGGGAGGACTATGATGTAATCTCTTGGGGACTTCCCCAAGGAACATCTAAGTCTTTACGATTATCAAGTGATTTTTCAGTATATATATCACGAGTTGGTTTTAAAAGTAAAGTTTGTCAGTAAAGTTTGTAAATATATCAACCCCAAGCGCAATGATTTGCATTTTAATTGAAAAACTTTTAAGTTAATTAACAATGTTATAACCTGCTATTATCAGTCACATTTGTTAAATTCTGATTCGTTGAGTAATGTAAATTAAAAGCAGGTGTTAAAAGCAGCGTTTTTAGTTTAGATAAGAAGATTTTTAGTTGATATAGAAAAAAGAAAATTGAAATTTTCAAAAAATAATTTAAGCATATGATAAAAGCATGAGTTCTGTTGATTTAAATAACTTATCAGTTGAAGATTTGAAGAAAATAAAAAAAGGTAAAAAAAACTACATTGAAAAAAAGAGTTTAATGAGTATAAACAGCAACAAGAAAAACAAAAACTGGTTCATGAAATTATGGGAATAGAAAAGCAAAGAAAAAAGATTATAAAAGCAAAATCTACTCCCAAATCAAAATCGAAATTAAAAACATTTGATGATTATTTTCAGGAATATATCAAAAACAAGAAGATTCCAAAAGACACACCAGCTTACCTCAAAAAAGCTCTTGAAAGAGCAATGAGGGAATATCAAGTTTGAATCAAGCATGAAAAATCGGCTCTTGATAATTTTGCTGAAAAGTATGTTATTGAAGGAAAACCAAAAATTATTCCAATCGATTACTTCGAGGAAAAAACTCCTCGCATAAAAGATTTTCTCACAAATCAAAAAAATATTAAAATTAGAAAGTTAATGGCTTGTTTAATGGAACATCAATCTTAAGAGGGAAAAATTACAATTACAACACAATATAAAGCTTATTTTCAATCTCACACTTATATTAATCTTGAAAAGACGGATATTGAAAAAATTCTATTTGGAATGATTTATAAGATTCTTGATGGAATTTTAAATTTTCAAAGAATGGTTCAGGTTGGTATTTTATAGAAGTATTATCATTGGAAATTCACACTGTAGATTACAAACCTTTGAAAGGATCATCATACATCCCTCTTCCAGATTTTATAAGCGATTCTTAATATAGAAAACAAAAATAATAATAAGCGTTTTTTGCGGTCGATACTAAGATTTCTTCATCCAGTTAACATTGACAACCAAAGGATAAATGACCTCAAACAACACGAGAATGACCTCAATTTTAAAGAAATAAATTTTCCGTAAAAGTCAAAGGTATAACAAAGTTTGAACAAAATAATCCTAATAACACAAATCACGGTTATTTATTTGAAGTTGATTTGGAATATCCAAGAGATTTATGGAAATCTTATAATGATTATCCTCTTGCTCCAGAGAAAATAAAGATTGATAATGTTGAAAAACTTGCTGGTAATTTTTATCCAAAATTTCACTGTGTATTATAAATTATAGAAATCTCAAACAATATCTCAGTCTTGGAATGAGACTTAAAAAGTTCACAGAGGAATCTCATTTTATCAATCAAGATGGATGGAACCATCTATAAAAGAACACAGAGCTCAGAAAGCAAGCAGCAAATACTTTTGAGAAAGATTTTTTAAACTGATGAATAATTTAGCGGTTTAGAAAAGCAATTGAAAACATCAGAAAGAGACAAATGTAACACTAATTGATAATCGAGATCAAGCAATCAAACTCTCATCGAAACCTAATTTTGAACAAGCAACAATATTTGATGAAAAACTGATTGCAGTTCATGTGAAAAAGACAAGTTTTTTGTAACAAACCAATCTATGTGGGTCAAGCAATTGTGGATCTTTCGAAAACATTAAACGTTTTATTTTCACTATAATTATATTCGAGAGAAATATGGAGACAAAGCTGAGTTATTTTTTACAGATACAGACTCATTGATGTATGAAATTCAAACAAAAGATCTTTATCAGGAAATATCAAAAGATATCCAAAAAAAGTTTGATACAAATGATTATCCAGAGAATCATCCATCTGAGATTAAAACAGGAATAAGTAAAAAAAGTTATTGGAAAATTCAAGGATGAAGCTAAAGGTTATCAAACACCACATTTACACTTATATACTAGATTATTATGAACATAAAGATATTAAAAAAATTATAGAGAATTATGAAGAAAAAACGCCAAGGAGGAAAGAAAAATGTTGTAAAGAAACAAATAACATCTTAAAATTACAAAGAAACATTGTGTGATTAAGAAAAAAATCAAATGAGAACAATGAACATTATTAGAAGTAAAGAAAATGAGATTTATTCAATGAAAATTAATACTGATGATAAAATAATAACAGCAAAAGACGAAGTTCATACTTTTGCATTAAGAATTTAAATATTATTTTTATTTTCAAGTAAAAATGAATTATACACATGAAGAAATATTAAAATTTCTCTTAATTATAGATAATTATAAAAACAATGAAGAAGGTTTTTTTTTTCAAACAAGGTGAGATGTAAATCATCCAAAAAGAGTGATTTTTTTCATTGAAATGGGACAATTTTGGTGTGAGAATCGTGGTTAAGGTCAAGACAATATTCTTGGTTATGATGATAAAACTGACTTTGAGAGATATCATTTTAGACAGAAATCTATTTATAGGAGAAAACACCACTCTGAAGACAAGATTGAAGAATTAAAGATAAAGTTCGAACTGGATGTATCATCATCAGAAGAATATGAATTGTATTATGTTTTGATGGAAATAAATAATGATGAGCTTGTAAAATTAAATAAAGAATTCAAGAGAAAAAGAAAGATTAATATATATTTTATAATTAGAAAGATATAAAGTTGATAAATCTTATTAAAAAATAAGACAATTTATGTAAAGATACTCTAATGTTTATAAAAAATGGTGGAAATATTATATAACATTAATATAAAATGATTGATGGAAAACTAAAACGAGAAAATATTGATGATGAAGAATTTGACGGATTAAATAACAGTAATGAAAGACTCAAAAGAATTATTGAATTAAAAAATAAACTTTATAATAAAATGGAAGAGGTTAGAAAGTGAAGATAGCTTTTGAAAAAGTAGCAGGTGAATTAATAGAGGAGCAAAAAAATAAATTCATTAGAAAAATTAAAGGATAAAGACTACAGAGGAGAAGTTCTTGAAAAAATTAAGAAAAAAAGAGAAGCATTAACCGATGAAGAAAAAAAGGAAAAAATTCGTGAAATTTACAAAAGTTCTAACAAATTTAGAGCGTTTATGGAACATATTTTGCATCTTGTAGAAAAAGAAGATCTATTGAATGCGCCTTATAACGATCTGCATAAATTATTTGCTCGTTTTTCAGAGTTTACCAAGGATGTAGATTATATTACTGATCTATTGAATTTCTGTTAAACTAATTTCATACAAAAATTGTGCTAAATTATTTTTTAAATTATTTTTAACAAATTCCTTTATGAAACAATCAGTATAATACACCGGTTAAATGACCTAAACAAATTTGATTGTTTCATTAATTTATTTTGTCAGTCGAATAAGTATAAACAACCTCTTTCTAATTTATAAGTTTAAAAGAATTCTTCAAATGCGTTAAAAAAAATAAAATGATTTTTTAAAACCTTTGATCTTGTCTCAAAAACAATATCACTGAAAAATAAATTTAAATTAAAATTATAAATAATATTTAATAAATCTATCCCTTTTTTAAAATATTTTTGTTAAAGGTTTTGATAAACCAAAGCCGATTTGATTAAACAAGGGTTTAGTTCCAAATGTTCATACCTTGGGTAATGCTGATTTATATATATTAGTATTTCTCTCAACATTTTTTATATAATTATTGTATTTTTTGCTATAAATCTTCGAATATCTATCAGCAAGAGGAGCATTATCAATTATCATTTCATCCATTATTTACATTTGTCAATAAACTAGTTCTTATCAAAATCATATCCTTTCAAAGCAGATCTCAGTTCAACCAAAACTTTTTCGTAAGCTGTAAAAGCGATTCGATTCATGTCTATTTTCTTTTTGTAATTTTTCATTTTTCCAAAGTTTGTAAAACGATTATCCAGATCCATTAACAACACCAAGAATAATTGGATTCAGAGTTATTCCACCAACTATTGTTCCAATAATCATCAAATAAAAAACAGTGATTGTAATTGATTCATCAAGAAGCTTAAATCGTTTATATGAACACCAAAACCTTTTTTGATAATGTTTGTACAAGTCGTTGAATGTTTTAACGTTTTCCTCTGATAAATTTTTGTCAGTGTGGTTAAATTCAAAGATGTCTTTCATTTATTATATTATTTTATTATAAGGCTATCAACTCGATGTTTCACTCTAAAAACACAGCCTTTCACTCAAAAGTCACATGAATGTGCCCTTAAGTTAACTGAAGTTCAAGTTAAGACTTGAGGCTGAGTTTAATCGCTTTCTTCTGCATCTGAAATGTGTAAGTCTTGAATTTCTTCATTATGACTTTCTTCGACTTGGTGTCATCACTATCTTTGATTGATAAAATTTACTGTCGTGGTTTTAGCGGTTTTACGTATACCTCGTGAACTTTAATCTGGAGAGAAACTATTGTTTTGCTTAAGAAAATACTCTCAATTATCAAAGCAATTTTAACCTTGCAGTATTGATTAAGATAGTCAAATGGATCAACTTTTTGTTTTCCCGTAGTTGAAAACAGGGAAAGTATTTTATTTGATTTTTCCGAATAGATTAACTGCATAAAGAACTGGTGTGGATGATTCATCTCTCTTTGTTTTCTCTTTGCCTTTTGTGTCAGTGTATTATATCTGTTTTTAATAAAAAGGACAACTTGTCGTATGCAGACCGTATTCTTCTTCAAGATAAAATTGACAAATTTTGTGTAATGTTATTTATTGAATCAAAAAATGGTTTTTCATCTTGATTTGTTGACTATCTTTCTCCCATAAACAGACCGGTATTGAATATCCAAGAGACTCATTGACACCAAAACTGAAAAGAAAATTAGCGGACCTTCTTTCCCATTTTGGTATTTAATTCTTTGATATTTAAATTTACTCTCTTTGACTTTAAAATCGCGTGCTTCATCAAATATGATGTTTTCTTGGGAAATACTTTCGAGTTTTGTGATTTGCATTGTCTTTATTTATAAAGAAATTATTTTTTAAATTTTATTTTTTCAAGAAAAATTAATTCTATCAAATAATTCTTCTTTTAATTTTTTAAATTTAACGGAATATTCTTCAAACGATTTTATATAGTGATCCAAATACAACAAAATTGACAATCAAAATTATCCGAATTTTCAACCTCAATAGAATGATTTATTTTATTAATTAATTCATTTGCAACTAAAAATTGTTTATCATTAATTTCAGGTTTGAATAAAAATTTTTCTTCCTCATATTACTTTAGATAATATCTATTTCTCCATTTATCTTGTCAAGTATTTGATAACTCTCTACACTATCATAATAAACCCCATTTTTAACATACTTACTTTTTAATAATTCTATAAAATCCTCTTTACACTCACTCACTCACTTGGTCGCCCGAAGGCGGGCAACCACTAGATCTTTCCAAAGCCTCTTATCAGCCATCAGTACAGCAAAATCCTCTTCACTATCAAAAATAATACCATCTTAAAGAAACGTATCTTTTTGTTAACTTGAATTTTCTTTTATTTCATAAAAAAATATTTTTAAAATTAATTTTAATCTTTATCTCATCCCATAATAAATAATAAGACCGATAATTTGCTGACTCAGGATTATTATATGTTAATTCTCTTTTTATCAACAATATTTTTTGCTCTATTGAGATATTTTTCTCTACTTTCTTCATCTTTGGGAATAAGATAATCTTCATATTTACTATTTCTAAAATGAATTTCATTTCATTTTCTAATGTTAAAAAATATTTATTATTTTTACGTTTTGAATAATCAAGAGACTTTGCACCAAGATCTGGAGCTTCTTTTTTAAGTTTTTCAAATTGTTTCCTTCAAGAAGATTTTTTGTAGGTTTATCCATTTATTTAATCTATACATAATAAATTATTCTTCCATTTTCTCTTCAACAATTGTTGTAGTTGCTGTGACTGTAGCTTTTTTGCCATCATCAATGGTAACTGCTGTTTTAGTAACAGTTTTATTTTTCCCTTCCATATTATTAGATAACTTATTTTTAATTAACTTAATTAAATGGTTATTATTAAAGATTGTTCCTCGAATATCCATATTATTTTATAAAGAAAAAAAGTTTTAAATCACAATAAATGATTTAAAACTAAATTGAATTTCGATGCATATCAGTTACAATTCAAATATCAAAACTTTTTGTATTATTATCAAATGAAACATAAAACATAAAATTAATATCCGTATATGCATACCCCATTTCGTCATCATATTGAAATTCATTATCAAAATCAGCAAGACTAAGTGAAAAATAATATTTTATCTGTTCGTCTTTATAATATCTTGTTTCTTTATTTTTTGCTATAAAAATTAAAAACAATATTCTCACATTTATACATTTTGTCATATAATAATTGACAATTCTTTTTCTTTATATTATTCTTATCTTTTTATATTCTCTTTTTATAAATTCATTTTTTTCTAAAAATCCTATTATATGTATTTTTCTTTTACAATATATGACTAAATCTTTTATATCTTTATCACTGACATATATATATATATAATATATATATCATATTTTTTATCATTTACTTTACATTCAATTTCATTTAAAATCTCATCATAATCCTTTAAACTTGTAATATATCTGTATTCATTTTTGATTTTTTTTTTAAGATTTGTGAATGCATTTTCTTTTATTTATAAAAAATATTTTTTAAAATTTCAATTTTATTTTTCTAACTCAACTAAAATCTTCTTATCTAAACTAAAAAGGCTGCTTTTAACACCTGCTTTTAATTTACATTACTCAACGAATCAGAACTTAACAAATGTGACTGATAATAGCAGGTTATAACATTGTTTATTAAGTTAAAAGTTTTTCAATTAAAATGCAAATCATTGTGCTTGAGGTTGATTAATTTACTAACTTTACTGACAAACTTTACTTTTAAAACCAGTTTGATACATATACTGAAAAAATCAGCTGATAATCGTAAGACTTAGCTATTCCTTGGGGAAGTCCCCGAGAGATTACAGCATAGTCTTCCTGGTTTTAGAGAATTTCACATAAAATTTTGGTGGAAATAAAATTTTTAATAAAATTTTGACAAAATCATTTCATTGTCTACAACTGAAACGTAAATCATTAAAAATACAACATAGTCAAAACTGGCAGGTGTTTGCAAGTAGGCGATTTCCCTTGTGATCCAAATGATTGTGTGTCTTTAGTAGTTATAATATACTTTAATTTTGGATTATTATATTCAAGGAGATAATGTTAGGAAGTTTTTTTGATGTTTTGGGTGGTTCATTCGCGTTCGCTTCGGCTGTCTCTCTTCTCACTCACTCACCCTTCGGCTTCGCTCGGGTCGCTAATATCAAAAACTTTTGTTTGAGTTAATATGAGTAGTTATAATAATATGCTTTCTGGCTGGATCCCAAAGTACTTATTTCCATCTTTTTTCTGCTTTCTTCCTCGAGCGAAGCGAGCTCATAAGTTTTTTAATGACTAGAATTTATCAGAAGTATTAGGTTTTCACGTTATTTCCTGTTTTAATTAAACATTTAAGTTTGGGTTATGAAAAAGTACTATAATTGTCGGAGATAAGTATAGGGAATTTTTTTTCTAAAATGAGAATCTGGATTAATGACAGAAATTGGCTGATAGAAATAATCAGGGTGATTTGGTAGTAGGGGAAAAAATTGGATGACGGAAAAAGCAGAAATTAAACTGATGGAAATAAGTACTTTGGGATTGAGCCAGAAAGCATATTATTATAAGTACTTGTTTTATGATTTCCAAACGCTTTCTTTTTACATGTAATTACCAAGAAGACTGAAGAGCACACTGAAACATTAACCAAGAACATTTCTGCTTTCCCCTTATTGCTTCAGCATTCGTCGATCCGGCAAAGCTGAGTAGTTTTTATCAGGAATTGATTACACCATTAATTAAATGTCCAGTAAAAGTGTTGGATCTAATGCAACCCCCACGAAAACACATAGTTAAATAATATAAGAGAGTCAGAAGTAAATCGGCTATAGGAGCCGCTATTTGTTTAACATAACTTGCAGTTTTTCGAGCGACATGTTTACACTGATAGTGCTCAGGTGAGTGCTGTTTGGAACAATCCCAAGTAGATGACCAATCCACACATCACACCCCCAATGAAAAGAAGTTCATTTACATTGTAAAAAGAACTTGAGAGATCGAAATGAAACTTGTCATGTTACTCTGCTGTTTTTAGTACCATTTTTATAATCTCTGCGGAGACCTTGCTCCCCATCTTCTCTTACAGTTTCGGATCTTGTTCATACTTAAGCATTAAGTATCATTGTAAAATATCCGTTTCTTTACTGATTTTCTTCGATATATCTATCGAAAACATCAGTTTTTCCAGACTATAATCGACGATAATCATACGTTCCTAATTGCTGTACTTGATTCTTAGTTATGAATGTGATTTATTAAAAAATGCTTTTTACCGACGATTTTGTGAATACATCACGAAGCCTTAGCATGCAGTCGCAATTTTTAGAGCTGGAAATAAAGCATCACCATCAACTTGGGTGTTTATATTGAATGTCCATTACAAAAAAATTAAGTTGTGTGGCAATATATACTGCATGGTACATAATCATTTCGTTAAAAATCATTTTCTAGTTTAAAGAAGTGTTGTTCAGTTTTTCGAATTAAAATAAATGACTGGGAAGAAAACTAAAAACAATTTCGTGTCGATGGGCCTTTTGCCTGATACATGTCGTCTAAAGTCGACATCAGTTCCTTCCTCCGAGTGGGAACCTGCTAAAATTTTAGGATAGTGACATTAAATTTCGATTTAATAGCGAATTCTTCAGAGACCCGAGAATTTGATAAGTAAAAATTTTAATCAAATACAGTCAAACCAATTTATTTAGTGCCAAATTAATAAAGGTCTCCAAAGAGAAAGAAAAAAATTTGTTCTAGATCAGCCAAGAAAAAAGTTTAAAAAGTTAAAAGTTATTTGATCAATGCTTTACTCTTTTACAAGCAATATGAAAAAGGTTGGTAATACATTGCAAAATTAAAAGCTTCTCACCTTCGAAGAAATTTCCTGAGTACATAAGATCAGCAACGATACAACGATAAAAAGCACGACGAAAAACCGAGTCATTCTTTCAGACGTTTTCTTCAGTTTGAGGAGGCTCCGAGGAACAAGAGAGGTTTTCGAGGAGGATCAGCGCTATGAGTTGACCGACCATCTGCTGGGAACACGAAAAAACCGGTTGGAATTTATTTACAAAACATTATGTTATCAAATGGAGAGAGAGGACTTAGTACACCTGGAGGGGTAGGGAAGGGGACAATACGAAAAGGTCAGCATGCAATGATTGCGAAGAGAAAACCAATTATCAAAACATTTCAATCTATAGGTATCAGAGATCTGAATTTAAGTTTTCTCTTAAACAATTATTGTCTAGATGGGCTTTTCTACTGACGTTTTATCTTATGCTAACTGTGTGTAATAGACAATTTCATTATAGGGGATAATATTGACATTAATCGAAGTTATACTTTTTAATGCGTCGATAGGCGTCGGCTTTCCTTATAGTAGCGTTTGTTTTTAGTCGCTTGTAACAACTGTGCCTCGGGAATGAAATTATCTAGCGAAAAGTTTTGCTTTAATATATCCACGACATTCAGTCTTACTGAAAAACATAGAAATGCCAAGTTGAATTATAAGTCAGTGCTTCATGTATTTGTAAATCACTTCCGCGGGGTTCTTAGTTTAGTTCTGATTGAGTGTGAAGTTATAGTTATTTTAGTGAGTAACTGATCCTCCCTATAGTCAAAAGCAAAGGGCTGACTTATTTCTTGATGTAATTAGTCAGTAGTGTTTGTCTGTTTCATTAAATTCGGTACAAATTGGAAACAGAGGATGTCTACAAAAGTACTCGTTGCTGATTCAAACAAATCCGTTCAGCTTTTGCTTGAGTGGTCCCAAATTTTGTACTTCTATTATCTGAATGAATTTCCTTAATGGGTGCTCGAATCACTCTTATCTAACATTTAGTTTTCTGACGATCTCTAATCAGCAATCAGGAAAAATGATAATAATTAAAATAAAAAAATAAATACCAAGCTGACTGCTACTGAATTTCAGTTTGGCCAGTTCCTGGCTATGAATCGAATAAAACCCCATTCAGAGCCTTTTCACTGTTGTATTCTGCTGTGCACTGCATTTATCTGGTGCTTGAACTTCACCGATACCACGATATTTATTTTTTTGCCGATACCACGTATTTGGATAATCCGCGTTTTGTTACAATTCATAGTATTCAACTTTCAGAAAAAGATATAATAGTTTTCAATCTAACCAAAGAAAAACATTGCCTCTGTGCGGAGGAGAAAATCAAGTTAAAAACCTGATCATGTTGAAGAAGGAGACCTTTGCGTAGGGCAAGGTCTTTTACCTAAACGCGCTCGTCGAAGAATACCCTGTAATATTTTAAATCATTATTCATTAAAAAAATAGATTTTCTCGATTATTCCTTCATTAATTCCTGAGGCGGTTTTTATATTTAGGGGATTCCAGCATACGTCTCTCCCTGGTTTTTGCATGCTGGCACTTTTTAAAAAAAGAAAACAATAACAGTTTTTGCGAGTAGATAAATTATCATGATATTTTCTAATTGCACGCTGATGCCATCGAAGGACTTGAAAAATTTCCATACCTTGTTTGTGTGATGCTCAATCTCACGTCAGACAACGTCGATGTCAATACTTTTAACCCAAAGCCAAATAGTTAACCGGAAATTTAATATTATTTGTTGAATTCTTTTGCAGGAAACATGGAAAGTTGTAGATTAGCAACACACAAACGCAGATGCAGATTACAATGTACAGAGAACGTGAAAGATTTCGCTCATTATATTTTAAAATTATTCATGGCTTATTGCTATAATTCAGTTTAGTTATTGATGGCCTTCAGTAGGGTAATCCGCTGTGTAAAAAGATGTGAAGTTTATCTTTGCTTTCTAGTTGTTACTTTCCTTGGCTCTATTGTGTCGACTTCTCATTGGCTTCTTTGTTTTAACTGTTTTACGCCACTTGTGAGGTTCACAGGTTTTTACACCGAGTATGAGCCCTTCAGTCAAAGTCAAAATTAATTAGACAGTTTTGAACTGAACTGAATAGTCACGGTAAATTTCTCGAATATACTTTCGTAGAATTTCAGTATAAGCGTATCATTCTAACAATGACCCTCATACTGAGTTATTCGCGAGAAAATAATAATAATAACCGAGAGCGGAAGAACATTGACCTAACTTGATCAAATTGTTGAGGACGATTGCGACTAGGAAAGAAATAGCCTGTATTCTAATATAGTGTCACGATTGTAGCAGGACGATTGTAATGTAAACATTTAAACTGATGGGCAAATGTATTTTTAATTTACTTTCTCGTCCCTGTACGTTGGCGAAATCAAAACCTATCGCATTTTTATGTGGACTTTTCCCACGAGTTTCGTTGCGCCTCCTAACAGGGGCACCCGACGAGAATATAGTTCATAGCATTGTTGAACGTATTTTATTATTTAAACGGTAGATATAGGCATATTTTTGTCCCCTAAAATTTTTCATCTGTCCGGATTTCCTAGCTGAAAGTCCTGTGATGCGAAAATTGTAGGGATCAAAACTTACCTTTTCGAAAATTTCAGCCAGAAAAAAGGCTCCCGAAAATTCTAGGTGACGTTTTTAGGGTAAAAATCCGTTAAAAATGGGCAGTTCTACCATTCTGTAGATGTTCGAAAATCCTAGGAGAGGCAGGCAAGCAAGAACTTTTACAACAAATGTTACGAAAATTCTAGATCTCAAATCGTCTTCCGAAGAGACATTTTCCAAAAATTGTCGTTGCATGCCCCTGCTCCTAAAGCTGGGAGACCATCACCAATGCAAGGCACAACAAACAACAAATCGACGAGGACTCTGCGACATGTATACGTGTTCTACAGACTACTCCGTCAACGACTCAATTCAGAAAGCTGCTTTACTAACTTAGAACAAACGCCACTGAATCGCAGTCAACAGTTACCGGCACCGTACAAACGACTTGACTGAATCAAGCAAACCTAACTACGAGAGAACAACTGGACAACTGTGAGTGACTGACTGATGGGAAAGGGGAAGGTGACAAATTTCCCGTCAACGTACACAACAAAATAAACCCATCATTTAATTCGAAAGGCGAAAGTGTTGCATTTACCCTCAGCCTAGTTTACGATATCTCATCCTACAAACAGATGGAGTGGTTTTTCTTTGTTACTGCAGTCCTGCGAGAAAGAGATCGATATCGAGCTTTTCGCAGGTGTTCCATTAACCACTTAAGAAGCGAGAAGGGAATGGGGCTAAGTAAACTTTCGAAAAGACTTCTGGGACCGTTACTGGCTGACGGGTAAGTTCCTAGCAATGATCCCAGAAACAACTGCGGACCGCACACCTCGGCTCCAGTTCCTTTCTCACGTCTTAAGTGGCGAATGCATACCACAGGGTATTTCGTTTTATTTGACTTTGTCCAATCAGAGGCTGTGGTAACATGTCATAAGCATGGAATTTCTACACTCGTTCCCTAGACGTTGTGTCGCGGGGATTCATTTGCTGCACAGCTTAACGCTACGCCTTAAAGTCGGTTGTTTTTTCAGGTTTGGATCAGCATGTTAAACGTTTTTACTTTTAGGCCAATTTTAGAGGTAAAGGGAGTGTTTAGGCTACTGCTCCTTCTTTGCTGTTGTTGTATTGTAATTTTCTCCCCAAGAACATGCGCTGTCATAAGTTACTACAAACACGTCTTTTTTAGCGTTGTGTACCGTGTACCAAGTGGTAATATGAAGTTCTGGGTTATGTCACAAAGAACAGGCCCTGGCGCTCTAACAATAACATAACAGCCTGTACACAGTCAATGACAACGACACAATAGTGCATATATTGACTTATATGGAAATCGAACATCCCCTTTGTTGAGTTAATCCTTTGAATTGTCGTAAGTTAGTTTCTCCTAAACTAACCTGTAGAAAACAATAAAGAAAAATTGCATTCTATAATGGTGTCGTGTTTCTCATGAAGTGGGAGAAGAAGAACCGTATTTCAGCGCCTCCCTCGACATTTAAAAACTATTACTAATATTTAATTACTGGCCGGATGTGCAAAGAGATTTAAACGACTCTCATCGACCATTTTCTCCTGAACCTTTTTAAAATGAAAACTAAGTGAGCTAGCATTTTACTCCTGTTCTCTGCATACCTATTTACATCCCAGTGTAAACAGGCATGCAAATGTGGCATTTACATCTTTTCACAGATTTATCCCTCAGTTTGCATAAATTTGAACATGAGGAAATTTGGTGCAAATCCAGTATTTCGTCCATTATTTGTGCTTCTTCGATTAATGGAGCTTTCTAAGCTGTAGAGGCTTAAAAAGTTAAGGCTTGTATACAAACGTTAATTTTAAATATAACAGTAACTGTCCTTATTCAAAATGTTCTGATCGAAAGCTGAAAAATGGTTACAGAGTGCGCGGCACGGTTTCCAACTAATGTGCGCCAAAAAAGGAATGAGTGAAACTGTTTCATGTACGCAGTTAATCCTGCGTCTTGATTTGAGGTTGGGGATTATTAGGTACCTTTTTATTTCGCGCATCAGGCTGACTGTGGAATAAAACGGATGGGTAGGGAGGGTGGGTGGCTTATGAGGCTGGAGGCTAATAGGGGAAAATACATCGCTTAGTTCTCAGCAATTTGGATGCTAAAGCTAGATGTCCGCAAATCGATTCCCCGGCATAACATAATTGAGATTCTTAAAATTTGCATTTGGATTAAAACATATTTTTCCCAAAAAAGTATCTGGCACTTTCCCTTACACTACCAATGCAAAGGACATGTACACAGGGCATCTTTTTTTTTTCCTTTTTATTCTGCATGTTACGACCTCAAAGTAAAATGAAACAAGGTTTCATTAAAACTCCAAGTACGTTACTAAGCCGTCAGCATGGTGTCTGCTTCGTCTCAGCGTTTTTCTCTACACTGCATCTGTTTAAATGCCCTAAAATGAAGGATACAAGTAAATTTTCAGTAAAAAAAATCATAGTCATACTTTAGTATCCTGCTTGTCAAAATGAAATATCATTTTTATTTTTAGCTGTAAAAATTCTGAAAATAACTTTTCTTCAAGTTATTGACATCGTTAAAGCCTGAAATTATATACTGACAGAAAACGCCATTCCTCTCTTCTTTGTTTCAGTTTCTTACCAAGCATAAGTCACTACTTATTACTTTTGTGTATTTTGCTTTCCCAAAAAAGGTCAGCGGATTTGTTTATTATTCTTTCGTAAATTGGGCGTAATTTCACGTGAATAAGACGAAATATGCATGAAACTGTTCTTTAAGTCCAGTGTCCTGTTGAATGTTAAATGTTGTTTTTTTAAAGTCCGATTCGTGTGGACGGGGCCTCAAACCACTCTGGATAGCAGTTTTAAAAAGACGTGGTTCCCTTGAGCGGATTCACTCACTTCGCGATTTTAATTGTGTGGACGGGAAAAAGAAAATAAAATACTGTATGCGGTGTCAAAAATATCCCAATGGGAGTGGAAGGGTCCTGAGAGTAATATCACATGACCAGCTGTACTGGGGAAAAAAAGATTTACACTGGCTAAAAAGGTGTATAATCGCTGGACTCTTACCCTAATAGGACATCCATACAGCTCAGCACGCATACAAACAAAGCCTGACCAGCTCAAAGGATGGATTCGAACAAAGCGGGCATGGATTGGCGGGAAAAAATGATGGACAACAATAGAATCACGATCAAAGTTTCCCCGAAGGACCTATAAAATCGAAACATCATAAAACAATTTCAGAGGAATTATAGAAAATAAAGGTGTTGGAATATTTAATAACAACCAGCACTTTGGTTTTTTTGTTACAGTAAGAAACAAACCATTTTTTTGCAATTGTTTTTTTATCTCTAGTTTGTTTTACACCATTTGAAGAAAACGAAGATGGTTGTCGAAAGCCACGTTACTCGCCAATCTCTTACCCAGAGCCCTGCTGACCAAAAAGCCAGAGGATTCTGTTTACCAGATTGGGTGCTCTGCGCTGGGTACAAATGTCAGTGAACAGGCTTTTTTTTTTCAAGTACACACGACACAATGTGGGCTTGGTGCCGGTGCCTTTGCTTGATATCCTTAATAAAAACATCATTTTGATTCAACACTTAAATCACCAATGCTCTGACTGAGGAAAGTTTTTTTATATTTATATTCGAGCCAAAAGACGAGGATGTTTTCAGTTGTCAACAGTTTAACATTCATTATTTCAGTTTTTCAACTTTAGAGATGCTTTAGGTGGCTAAGTTTTTTCTGAGGCCGTTGTAATGAGTATAGTGTTATTTACCTTTATTTTACCGCGTACTGTGTACTGGACCCAATAGGAACCTGTGAGGCTGTAAGATATTGAGTAGCTGGTCGGCCATTGGTTGGAATCTTGCCTTCCTTGCGTGGCTACTTTAGTGACGGTGGTGGGATTTCCGAGATCGATCTGCAACCATTCTTTGTTGTTACTTGTCTTTGCACACCAGGCTCCAGCCTTACCAGACCTGGCTACCAGGTTCAAACGGCCGAGATGGGCTGCGTGGGCACTGTTGTGAATGGTCGACGCAGTTATGGCGCTGTCTTGAATTCGGCCATCTTCGATTCCAAGCGACATGGAACAACGGTGTCCTTATAAAACAGAAGTTTATTCTCAATTAACGAAAAAAGGAAGAGAACACAGGGCAGTCATTAGCTAAATAATTATCAAGATTGGACTGGTTCTGTCCAATTTTTTGTATATTTGTCAATGGTAATCTATGCTTAAGAGTTTGCTTGAATGTTTTAAGTTTCGTTATTAATGAAAGGTAACGTTGTTTTTTACAGAATATACATCATAAAGTTAATTTTCCAGTTGGCCACTATCTCAGTGCATTGCGGGTGGTGTGTGTCATCGCCAACTAGCTCTTCCACACTCCTCTTTACTCCCCTTTTTACAGCCACCTCTTCGACAATTTCATTGACAATGGCCCTCGCTTCTGGGTCGCCAAATGCGCACATATTTGAAAGTACCATCGCCAAACTTTCCCTGTTTCTGTCGCACACGTCATGCACGTCCTTGATGACGCGACTGCTTCGCTGCTTCATCAACAGCACCTTTTCTGGAGTATCCAAATCTTCCTTTTCGCTGATTTCTTTTAGATTTGTGGAAACATTCTTGTTTTCAGCTCTTTGCGAGTTTCCACTGTTTGGCGGTGTCATGGCCACAGATGACGTAGACTACGAGTAGTCCCCCATTTTTCCTCAGAGATAGCAGAGCGTGCGAAACGCGAGCGCGCGTGAAAATCCCGCACGCGAGAAAAAGCGACACGCGGCGGGGAGAGAGAAAAATGAGGGACTACAGACAAAGCCCAAGCTTTTGACCCTTCACGGCCGACTGATTTTGGAGTGTGTAGTTCGTATCGTCTTCCAAATCAATTAAGCACATCCAATGGGATTCCTTCCCTTATTGAGCTGTCATTGCTTTTGTCATCGGTAAACTGCGGGGATATTTATTGCAAGCAAAAGAAAACCCAGATACTAATTTTCTTCACGGCTGTTTCGCGAGAAGAACTTGATAGTGTAGGCAACACACGACTTCTACTCATGCCAAAATGCTGCTTGTTCCAATCAAGTCCTTTTCTCTGACGGGTAGATTATGCTCTGGAGGAAAATGTTTTCACTGAGCAAATGTGATTTTTGCCGCTTATTTCATACTGAGAGGTCGTGACACGCATATTAATTTTCTGCGGTTATTGTTTATAGTTGGCATGATTTGCCCTCTGATGCAAAAGCATTTTCTCTGACCTCTTTTGAAAAGTAAAGCTCTGCAATGCGGCTAAATAAGGGTTTTGGGTTGTTTAATTTCTCCGGCGATTGCCTCCTGAATCTGAATAATTTTAAGCGATTTTCTTTTTGGCCGTGAATGTGATAGCCTGCCACGCAGGCGTTAAGGGAGCCCCTTTTTTTATCCCTCCCCACAAACGCCTGCTCAACCGCAGACAACATTCCTTTCCCAAGCTTAGCCAATCACATTGTACTTTCCAAAGGTAATCTGATAATTAGTCGATCTGCATTAAACACTGGGAAAGCTTTCTGACCTCTAATAAATGTTAGATTCAGAGCGGCAAAAATAAGATTTAGTCAAAATTTAGAATACTCCATGCACTGCATAACCTTAGCGAAGGAAAGGAAAGAAAAGAAGGAAAACGGTAACTCTAGGGTCACGTTCAGGCGTGTTTAGCCTGTCAACACTTTATTGCACAATTGTTGATTGGTCACTTACCACGCAAATAAAACAATGGGAAAGGAATGTTGTTTCCGGTTGAGCAGGCGTTTGTGGGGAGGGATGAAAAACGAGCTCCCCTAAAAACGCCTGCGTGGGAGGCTATGAATGTGACGGTTTCCTGCAATGTTTTGTCACGCTGGGCCCAGCTCGTTAGCGTTTTTAGCAGAACGGATAGTGATATCCAAATCTCGAAGAATGGATTGCACCTTAAACTAAAACTACATTAACTATGGCGAATTGCGATGTGACTCAGTCATGAATTTTAACTGTCCCTTGTTTTTTCTGGAAAAAACTGGAGCACGTAGTTCCTCCCTTGGTGATAACTTTTGAATTAGCTTAACAGCCTTGCGACTGTTCTGTTATTCCCACTTCGTGATCAGCCAAGACCATGGTTTCGGTTCCCCACGCGAACCTCATCAGTTGCCGGGTTGGCTTTCTTCTTATTAGTTGCTTCTACAAGAGCAACTCTAGTTAATTGTCCTGTTCTGTTATTTGTTCTGCTCTAGTTATTTGTTCTGTAAATTGTGATTATGTCGAGTGTCGATAGCGGCTGGCGCGTTTTTGACAGATGTTGACAGATTTCCATGGACGAGCCAATCAGAGTTTTGCGTTGTGAGAGCAACGCATTAGTTCAAAACCTTGGGCTTTGTCTGTAGTCCCTCATTTTTCTCTCTCCCCGCCGCGTGTCACCTTTTCTCGCGTGGGGCGATTTTCACGCGCGCTCGCGTTTCGCACGCTTTACTATCCCTGAGGAAAACGGGGGACTACTCCTAGTCTACAGGTGACGACGTCTTGTTCGTTGGTGTCGTTGGCATTTCCAAGCGCCGTGAAGCACGTGGTCGTTTGTTTACTTCCTTTTCGTTTTCTTCGTCAACAGAAATGTTACTGAGATCTATTATGTTCAGCAAATCTCTCAGCCGTGAAATGAACTCAGAGCTTTCCGAAGAAGAACGGCGAAGCAAAGTGGTTATCAACCCAAACGAGGAACAGACAATTTCCGTTGCATTTGAAGACTTCTTGTTAGAGTAATGGCGGCCATCTTGCAGCCGAATGTGGGCACTGTCGATTGTTTGAAAATCGCCTGGAAAACTGGCGACAACAGGCGACCGCTTATAATATTGTGTCGGCGTTGATCCACAAACTCTCGAACAAAGAATGTACCAATTCAATTGTGGATTTAATTCGGGGCTGATGACCCGAGTGAAGGGCGAGAAATCCTGCCTCGGTGCCATTCTACAGCTACTAAAACACGCGCGTTTGAAATACGAAACTGCAAAGAAAAGAACATGACATTCGAAAATTGACATAGTAATATTATCCTGATGCTAAATCGAGAGTGTTGATAACTTGAGCCAGTCGGCCTATGACATATTAAATGAGATTTACTACCGGATTATCACACCCGAAAGAGACTAGCCCAGCGGGCTTGATACTTACAGTACAAACCACTTGTGTCTTCTCATGAACGAAAAAAGGAAGAGAACACAGGGCAGTCATTAGCCAAATAATTATCAAGATTGGACTGATTCTGTGTAATTTTTTATATATTTGTCAATGGTAATCGATGCTTGAGAGTTTGCTTGTTTCAAGTTCGTTATTAATGAAACGTCATGTGTTTTTCTTAGCATATACACATAAAGTTAATTTTCCAGTTGGCCACTATCTCAATGCATTACGGATGGTCAACAAACACTACGTGCAAAAGCACGTGTCGTATTACTCATGCTCACTATTTTTATATTTTGAAATATATTTTCGTAACATCGTTGCGGATACGTGTTACCTTTTATAAGCCTCTTTTTAGTTTTATTCTGTTTATTTCCCAGTTTTTTTGTATGTATTTTCTTTGATTGTTTGCAAGAGGATAGAGGGGCGAGGAGAGGCCTCCTCGAAATTAAAAACACTGCTAGCTACTGAAATCCAGGAAATCGTTCTGAATAAATTACCTTCCTGGCAGCCATAAACTTCAGCCCTCATGCAAATGTGACTTTGCCAAGTTCTGGGATGAAATCGAAGATAGCGGGCTTGGATTGACGAATACAGAGAATGCTGAACTGGAGTGTGGCGGTCAACGTTGCCTCCAAATACCTGACCAAAATATTTATAAAATACATGCTCACAACACTTGCTTGAGGCTTTTAAAAGTCAAAGTGCCACCGTGTTAAGAGTATAAAAAAAATATAAGAACATGTTAATGAAAAGTACAATAAAGTCCCGCAGTCTGCAATAACAACTATCACTTGATCCAAGTGTTCACATGGTATCATGGTGAAGAAGTTCCTGTGTTTCCGAGTAAGCTTATGCTGAAGTCCCCATAGATCTATAGAAATGACTTGCACTCCAAATAATAAAAATAATACTTGGCCGGATGTTTTGAGAACTTACCTACCAACATTTGCAGCTATTTATTAATAAGTGAAAAACTGAAGACCAAAAGGCAAGTCTTTTTGTGCCCGATTAAGCCAGAAAATTACACTAGCGAAGAAAAAGGAAAGGAACAATAGAAAGAGCAAGGAGAAAGAGAAGGGGAGAACAGAAGAGAAAAAGTTATGGCTGCAGAATTAGTTTTTGACTTATAATGGCTACTTTTTGAGAGCTTGACTGAACTGGAGGCACATTTTAGCGATACCGTTTTCAAAAATCCAGCTAGATATATATGAGTATATCAAAATGAAACACATCTTGTGCTTTCCCGCACAATAAAAATTGCCTGAAATGCCACTGCATATTAGTCATACCTTAATGTGTCCATTAGAAAGCCTGTACCAGACCCAATGAGCACCATCCACGCTGTAGGATAAACTGTAGCTAGTCACCCATTGGTCACCGTCATATCTTCCCTGGGTCGCCACTTTGGTCACTGTAGTTTGTCGTCCAAAGGAAACCTGCAGCCACTGGTTGCCATCGTTACTCTTCGCGCACCAAGCTCCTGCTTTTCCACTTGCCGAGATTTTGTTTAGGCGGCCAAACTGATGAGCATGATTGGCGCTGTAGGATGTTGATGCTGAAATTGAGCTATCAGGCAGATGTCCACTCTCCATACCCAGAGGAAGGAAACAGCTGCGAGCTGTTGGATGGAAAATAGGTGACAGAAAACAACTGTAATGCTCGGCAACACTCGGCATTTATAAAAAATAAATAAATAAAATAAAATGTCTTTATTGCTCATTAGATAAAAATACATATCTAATGTTACAGGATAAAAAGATTAAAAGTTCAGCAAGATTACAATAGAATAAGAAGATTAAAAAATTAATGTGAAAAAACTAGATACATATATCTGACATAAAATATCATAAAAGTTTGGATTTAAAAAAGTAATCTATTTCCAAATGTGTTCTTATAACGTTCGGTGTTTATCTTGGGCCTTTGCCAGCTTTTACGTCTAAGGTTGTAGGTTAAGTTGTTATTTTCTTGCGGTAATCAAACCTCCAGAGGGTGGTTATCACGCTGTTTAACTTTTTTAAAAATCACTTTGTCTCGTTTTTGTAGTAATGATCTAATATTTAACTAAGTAGATATAAAGCACAACTTATAGCATCTGTCTAAAAATTGCTGAAGGACAACAGAGGCACCATAAACAGATGGTCCATAGGTTATGTTAGGAAGAACAATACTATAGAAGAGATAACCAATTTCTGTCTGGCTGTAGCGCTCTTCTCTACATACTCTCAGCACGCGTAGACATTTATTGGCCTTGCACAGTTTAGCTTTTATGTGTGTAAAAAAATTTACAGTCATTCTGAAAGGTCAAACCTAATAAATCAAGAGTGGCATGTTGTGGTATATCACGTACAACAGGATAGAATGTGGAGTTCATTTTCTTCTTTATGACAATTTCTTTACACTTGTTAGGGTTACAGCTCATGGAACTAACATACAGTTCGCCCAGGTCAAAAACTTCTCCACTAAGAAGACTTATCACTGCTCCCTTTCCATTCTCAGTGGTGCGACAATGCTTGAGTCATCTGCATACTTAAAAAGGGCGAGAGTGGAACCTACCTTGATCTCCAGGTCATTCAGAAACACGTTAAATAAGTAGGGGCCCCTCACACTACCCTGCTTTGTCTCCTTATTTACTTCTTTTCACTCGTGAAGGTGGTTGTTGTGGACTATACGTTGTTGTCTGTTATAAAGAAAACTGTGATACCAGTTGAGGATATAGGCATTCAGGGGCAACAACTTTAGCTTATTAGATAGTAGCTCGTGCCTGACTGAGTCGAACGCTTTGCTGAAGTCCATTATGAATACCCGTACTGCCTCACAGTCTGGATTATCTCAGTGTTTGTTGTTAAGAGCTGGATCGCTAATAATGCACTAGTGCAATTTCCACTTCGGCGCGATAAGCAAATTGAGTGGTGCTTAGATTTTCCTCTACAGCCTCCTTCACAAAGGTGTTATAAACAGCTTTCTCAAACGCCCTGGCTATAAGCGGAGTTATAATTATGCCACGGTAGTCAGACTTTTCTTTGGGATTTCTTTGGGTATGTCAACCTTGGGTATCGGATTGATATTCGACCTTTTTCATGACGAAGGCCAGGTGTGCGTGCGCAGAAACAAATTCCAAATATGACTGAGAATTGGTGTTAAAATCTCAGCATGTTCCTTCCAAACCCAAAATGGGATGCCATCAGGACCCGTAGCCGTTCGTTTGATGTTGCTAAGACTTTTCCAAACAACCCCCCTCAGGAATCTCAGGTACTTCGATTTCGCTCCCGACAGCCACATGTACGGGTGCAATGTAATTCAGGTCCGTACAAAGTTCATGAAAATAATCATTCAACTGGTTGGCAAAGGTGTTATCTAATACAACAGAGTTGGAGTGGGTGCGACGTTGTGTGATGTCGTCTACGGTTTCCCACCAACCACCACTTCCCACAGGAGCGGCGAGATGTGTCCTATTTTCACAAATCAGCTCAGAGATGCGTCTGTTAATTGTCTCCAACTGTTCTTTATTGTTACAACTAAGCCTAGATTTTATATTTAGCACTTTGTTTAGCCCCTACTGAACTGGGCAGCTTTTTTATCGGAGGGTTATAATTTAAACAATTTTATCTGTAAACTGGTTCTCAAATACATAAAATTTATCTCACATAAGATATAGTCACACAATTGACTCACACAAATGGAGATAGCGATAAATTCGCTGGAGTTTTCTTCTATCTAAACTTCAATCTCCTTCGTCTTCTTCAACCAGTAATGTAGGTAATAAAGTTTTTGTGCTGCGTTGTAACTAAGAGAGACTAATGTACACATTCGTCTTATTTTCGCTTTGTTATAGTTGTTTAATTCTTAAAGAACGGAGAGAAGTGTAATTGAGAACAGTTAATGAAAAAATCTCTCAAAGCATAATTGGAACGCCGGTGGACCACAAGCGGTCGTCCTTCTTTCCTCAGAACTGTCTCAGAGCCACGCGCACCCGGAGCGAACAAGTAGAATTATGCAAAGTAATGGTAAAAAGGAGGAGAGAGGGCAGAGGGCAATTTTCTTGGCTCAGGCTTCCGCTCTCGCGGCTTCGCCGCTCTCTTCTCTCGCGTACTCTCGATCTACTGTGACTCAAAAGAGAAATAAGAGACTACCTGTAGTCTTTCAGGCCGGTAGCTGAAAAAAAAAACTGGAAAGAGGCATGCTGGTATGTGATGAAGACCTTGGGTACTTACCATTTGACGGAAAATTTGTGAAATTCCGGATGGAAGGTAAATGGTAAGGTCACTTTTCAGGAATTCCACCGAAAATCGAGGAGTACGTCTTGAGGTAGTCCGTTCATTCCGGTTTGTACGAACCAAACGGAATGTTGCTTACCATTCACAAATTTCTCGGTTCCTTCTCGCAGTTCCAGACTTACACTACACAATTTTGCTCCTTTTTTGGATTCAAAGCATAACGTGAACGGATGTGGCAATTCTGCGGTAAACTGGTAAATCGCTTACCATTATGCTTTCCACACCCCAACCGGATTTTTCTGTCAAATGGTAAGCACCACTTGTTTCAGTTAAAACGATTATTTGAGTCTCTGAGGGGCCAAGTGGCATTTGGTCCTAGGCCCTTATTCCACATCCGTTTCGATCTGTTTGGTCTGCCTTGCGTTTAGGAGACGTTCAGGAACTCACAGCCTCTTCGCAAGGCGTCAGTGACGGGTAGGGCGTGGCTAGGTTATTTTTTAGCATAGTGCCGGACAGTGACTAAAAGTCACAAGCCTGAGTTTGGCAAAGTTCCCTGCGCGTTGTTCCCCGGTAAAGCCTCATGGAAAGAGGATGATAAATTATGAAACATTTACACACCTTCTTCACAGCCATATATCTCCACCCTCATTGAAATATGGCCATGCCAAGCTTTAGGGTGGAAACGAATACTTCGAGCAAAGATTCCTGTGCCAGGGTGAAAGAAATGTTTGACCACTGTAGTTCTATCACTGTTGCCAAAGAACACCTACATAAGAATCAATCGAATTCAAACAAACGAAATGAATAAATGAACAAATGTAACAGTCAGTCGTCCTTAGTTAGCATGCTAATAAGAGGATCAAAAAAGGTCAGTGAAGTCATTGTGCTCGACAAAACCTTTTTCTATTCTGACATGCTTGCAATGTTTTGCCACGGTTGTTCTTAAAAGACTGCTTGCAGTCTGACTTTTGTCTTAAAATCTGCTTAGTTCGTATGCCAGCAAACGAGATTAAAAGGAAAGAAAATCCGTGCAGTTCTTACTGCGCTTTCGGCTTTTCTGCTCACCCCTTGCGTGCATGGATTCTGAGGCGTGGAGAAACTTTGAAAGAAATGTATTATGATATAAACCACTCGAGACGCATGTAGTCAGAAAGAGGAAACCGACATTTACAAAACCCTCAAGTTAAGCGTTCATCAGGCCTATATTGAACGAGATACAGCCATTCACAAACTCCAGAATTCATTAACAATTTTGTAGACATCCATACCGACTCGATCTCCTCCGCTCTCTCGAGGAGGGGAAAGTGCGGGCTCATTTCCCAAACAGCGGCTGGTAATCGAGCCTGACGTCCCTACAGTGTGTAGGGTGACTCGGGAAATCCATACATCTCTTAGTAAATTTTCAAGTTTTCTAAACGGTTATATCTTGTTCAATAGTGCCTCGATCAATACCAAACGTGAGACCTTTGCAAAGCTCGTTGAGCGATTTTTGACTATTGGGGTTACCTGTTGTTTATTCCCTAATACAGGGGCTCGTACCCAACCCTCCTTGGTTTGAAATTAGCCAATAGGTAAAAGCGCGGATGACCAGCATAACAGAATCGATAACTTAGTCAGCTGTCATTTAGCAAGCTACTGCTGCTTCAGTCCAGTATTACGCGTCAAAAACAGCAGCCAGTCATCTTGTTTCTGTTTTTATTACCTTAATTTGACTGTCTTCTCGGATGTAAACCCAGTTGAGGTCGTCTGCGGTATAAGACACTGAGAATCTGGTCACCCATTGGTTGCTGTCATGGCGACCCTGAGTGGCCACGCCTCTTATTTTGAACAGGCGACCCAGTTTAACCTGAAATTAGAAGATATACAGAGCTGAGTCCATTGTTCTAAGCCGAACATGCAGTTTCTTTGACAGGTTAGTTCAATTTAGTTTCACATACCAATTTTAAAGGATCTTAACCATGGGAATCAATTGTAATTTAATGAAAATTCAGCTTTCAAATTATATCTTCACGAGAAGAGTGCTGGAAAACCTCTGAAGTTAAATAGGATTTAGAGGTATATTTTAATTTCAAAAGGACAAAATGTTATGCTTTTTTCGAAAACTCACGAAAGGGTTGGCTTTTGCCAATCATGTGCAATATTTTTATTCTTCAAAGAAATTTGAAATATACACTTTTTAGCAAACTCTAGGTTATCTGCTAACAACTCGTGGAAGGGAGACTCTCTAAAATGCAGAGCTCTTATTGCAACTTTTCTGAGCGCTTTAAAGTAGTAAAAACTAATTTAGCGAGTAACTCATTAATAGATCGTAAGAGATAATGTTATAAATGGCTTGTATACCCAATTGCGTACCTGAAGCCATTGATTAGCATTATTCTGTTTAGCAGCCCAACAATATTTCCCGCCATTTGGTAGTAAATTAAGCCTGCCTCGGTTTGGAAGGTAGTTGGCACTTGCAGAGGAAGAAGCAGAGTATGCCTCTTCTGGAATTCTACCGTCTTCCACCCCCACCGGCATTAAGCAGTTCTTCACTGAATAAAATATCAAATTAAAACGATGTCAAAATACAGACAGCTTGCGTTGTTCGTCCTCCGACAGCTAAAATGCTCAAAACCACGTAAAACCATCCACATAAAGAGTATTTAGATCGGGAATGAAGAAAAGACGGTTTAACCTGAGATCAGGCGCTATTTTCGTTTCGCTTCATGAATGAAGTTCTGGCGGGAAAGGCAAAATGAAAAGAAAACCTGATACAAATCTTCTTTGAAACGTTGCCGCCCACTTTCTTGATTGATTGACATTTACCGGAACAGCCAATCAAAATATTTCTGTTCTGTGATAGTCGCGAGCTCTTACGTGTCCTACGGCTCTGAAGGAGCAATATCGAGCCACCTTAAGTACGCTTTTTTCTGCAGACAACTTCTACTCGAAACCCTTCAACTCTATCCGCAATCCATTCACATAAATTCACAACTTTCGATCAAATGCAAAAAAGCAGTCGTTTGGAATGTCCATGACAAATAAATAAACCAAGTTAGGTTTCATTTCCTGAAACCGCAAACCCGTCCAAAAGATAAAGAAAAATTCTCCTCTCTGCTCATGGCGGATCATTTAGAAAGAGCGCGAGCATTTTAGTGCTATCAACTTCCGCTGATTCCAACAGGCAATCAGATCCTCTGGCATCGTTCTAACGACCAATCAACGTTGCAGCCAAGTTCTGGCTACATCAGCAAAGGCATGAGACAGTTGGATTAGGCCTAAGTTTAGCGCGACCACTTAAGAGAGAATGTATGGAAGCTGCTAAAGTTGGGTCTGATTCTCAGGTTAAGACGGTTAAGAGATTTGCAGCATTCGTACGCGTGATATTGATACTAACAACAAGCAATGCAGTTTATTTTGATAAAGGGTTAATTATTTAAATCAGTGTTTAGGAAGACATGAAGTAAAATAAATAAATGAATAAAAGAAAGATGGCTGCACACTAAGATATGAAGTAACACGAGATACCTACCACTTCGACAGCCATACAGTTCAGTTCTCAGGCAATGGGCATTATGATTGTGAGTCAATGGATGAAAGCGGATAAAGCGAGCTTCGATGTGGGGCTTTAAGGTGTGTATAATTACTGTGTTTCTGTCAGTGTTCCCAGCAAACACCTGAGAAAGGTTACAGTGCATTAATAGTTGTGAAAACCTCCTCCCTTAGGTATGAGTAGCCGGCCAGTATACTTAACAAATCGACAACAATTTCCATGGTCTGTACTCTATCGACCATAGAAATGACGTTGGCAAAAATGTTCAAAACTCAAGTGGAACCAAGCGCAGCATGTTTGATGTCATTTTATGGTCGATAAGAGTACAGACCATAGCAAGTTGTTGCCGATTTGTTTTTTTTGTTTTTTAACATTGACAGATTTAACGTCCATTTCCGTTGAAGTTTCTCGGAAAATCGCGTATGCGAACTAAGAGAAAAAAAAAAGTCTTGGTATTTTTCTTTGGTCTAGAGTCTTTTGAAGGTCGTTTATAAAATAAAACTTTGATTTATTATGTTGACCACGACAATGTTTGCCATTTCTTTATGAATGGCACGGTTTTCTTAAAACTACAAGTAAAATTTTCTTAACACTTTTATTCATTATTATTGACCTCGCTCCCAATGTGTGCCTTCATAGCTAAGTTGGTAGGGCAACGCACCGGTAACGCGGAGGTCACGGGTTCGAATCCCGTTGAAGCCCTGATTTATTCAGGCTTCTTCTTTCCAATTGCTTAAATTGGAAAATTTACTGCGATGATCATTCTTCACGTTCACTTTTATTCATGACGACGAAATTGAGGGAACTTGATCTAGCATAACCAGAGAAGAAACGTTCCGTAAGTTCTATCAAAATATCCCTTATCCAAACCCTCTTTCAATATAATCCAATACAATTCGCTTGGAAACGTCGCTGTAAATTTCGGCGCTCTGTACGTGACAGAAATTCATACGTAAAAACAATAAAAATTTGACAGATCAAAGTAATTGGTACCTTCAGCAAACATAGCCTCTGTTTTATAATTTTTGCTGTGACGCCAAAAAAGGCAAGGGGTCAAATCCACAAAACCAGGGCCGTAGATAGGTTTTTTGTAACGAGGGAGGGGGGGGGAGGGGAGGGGGCATTATCGCGAGTGCCGAAGGCAGGAGACTTCTAAGGGGGGTCTGGGGGTATCCTCCCAGGGAAATTTTCAAATTTGGAGGCTACGAGACGCTATTTTTAGAACTCTTCATGAGATGTGTCTCCGAAAAATCGACCTTAAATAATCGTGAAAAAGCAGGTGGGTGTTTTCAGTGCTTACAAGTGCAAGTGCGTATTTCCGAGGTCCTGTTAAGGGACTGTGCAATAATTATCAGGAGGGGGCCCTAAAACCAGAGGGGGGGCCTTAAGTTAAAATAATGGAAAGGAGGGGGGGCTCTACATTAGATTTCTCAAGTAAGTTGAGGGGGTCTTAATAAAATTTCACAAATTCGATAATGAATAAATAAACATTTTCCAAATAGACAGATGCCACTCCTTTGACTATCCATAATGTCTAAGTATTGCATCAACATAAACACATGCTTTAACTTATTTAGAATGTCAACATATGATAGATTGAAACAATCGTCCATGCACAGAAGTCACAAACCACGTTCTGAGCTTTGCCAATAAAACATTTGGCATTTAAGAGGTCCCGCAGACATGCCAGGTCTGTTCTTGATTTAAACAGCGAGAGGGTTTCTAGGTCTACAGTTTCTAGCTGAGGAATGCCACATGCTTCTGTTTCATAGTTGTCATCACTTCATAGAGCACCAAAAATTCCTTGCAATGAAAGCAAAAAAACGGGCAACGGAAAGGAACAAACTTCCAGACATTAATTGGTCCGACGAGGTTGAAGTCAACTCGCTGTCTGCAAGTAAACTGAAACTCTACCTAAAGGAACACGGTTTACTAGTCAGCGGAGGGAAAGCAGTACTCGTAGCTCGTGTTCTAGGTGCTGGGGAAGCTCAAGGTAAAGAAAACCCGGATGAGCAGCAATCTAGCAGTTCCGAAGACCAAGAAGATAATGAACAGTCAGACGATTCGGAAATTGACGATTATGAAGAACAAAGTTTCGAGGTGCTCTTCATCCCTGACGACGCCGTGGAATGCGTTGTAGTACAGTGAATAAAGGTACGGGTTAGAGAGGGCGGGGGGTGGGGGGCACATCATAATTTTGAGAAAACGTGAGGGGGGTCAGAGCTAATCTTGACGCTGCTGGAGGGGGGGACCTATCTAATTTTTCCTTTGGTGAATCTCATTTTAGGACCCCCCCTTCCTGATAATTATTGCACAGTCGCTAATTTGAAACACACCGGAAATATCCAAGCACTAGTACACTAAACATCTTTTCACAATACTGCCTGGTGTTTGGCTAACTAGCCTTTTGGTTACTACCGTATTTATTCGAATAAGCGCCCAACCTCGAATTAGCGCCCATCTCGAATAAGCGCCCATCCTAAAGGTAGAAAAAGTTAATAAGCGCCCAGCCTCGAATAAGCGCCCACCCCACCCACTCCCCCTCCCAATCAAACTCAATTAGCGCCCACTCCCACCCCACCTACTTGAGCGATAATGAGATTGAAATTGAAATTGAATAAGTACTAATAAGAGACTTCCCAGAAGACGGAGTGTTCTTCCGAGTATTTTACCGAAACCTTGCTTTGTTACTTCCTCGCGTTTTGTTGCAAAAATAAAAATACTACACTAATTGCTGAAAATGGTGAAAATTTAATAACCGCCCAGCCTCGAATAAGCGCCCACCTCGAATAAGCGCCCACTGTCAAGGTCCAAAAATTGAATAAGCGCCCAGGGCGGTTAATCGAATAAATACGGTATTTGCACACACCGTGGACCAACCAATTTCTCGGCCATGAAAATGGCAAACAATTGCAAGGCACAACAAACAACAATCAAAATAACTGAGTCTAAAGAAACTCAATATCCATCCACAGACTTGATTTGTCTGGCTCAACAGGTCCAGTGGGGCAGTTCCCTCCCCTCCCCCCCCCCCCCCCCCCCCCACAAGCTAGGGTCTGAAAACCATGTCAAAATCTGAAATAGGAGTAGTTTTTGGCCAATCCAATAATAGGAAATACTTATCCACCGCATTTTCATTCATCAATCAGTCAGCTACTAGCCGGTTCATTCAGTACTCACAGTGCATAAGCCAAATTGTTACACGCAGATCAAAAAGTACTTGTATGATGTTACTCAATCTCAGTCTATACCGTTGTACTCACACAATTCAGTCAATGGTGGTTAATTTTTTTGATTAATTGATTGATTGATTTAACTTGAGCCCTCCTCCCAGCCCGGGTCCACAACCGATAACTTATTGTTGCCTATTGGAATCGCTTTAAATTACCTTATCTACGGCGCGTTGCTTGTACCAAGTCCAATGAATCCCGTCCACACTGTACGAGAGTTTGTATGTTTTAACTCTGTCCTCGCTGTTGTACCGCCCTTGTGTTGCCACCTTAGTAACAGCAGTTATTTCCCCTAGGTTGATCTGCAGCCATTGATTAGAACTTTTGATTTTCGGGCACCAAGCAGCCATGTGCTTGCCGTCAGTTAAAAGGTTGAGTCTCGCAAGTGCAGGCGCGTGCCGGCTGTCGGTGCTGCTCGAAGCTGTGAATGCACTGTCAGGAATGCGCATGTCCTCTACACCAAGTGGCATTGAACAACTGTGGACTACAAACAAAGATACCAAGTGATCAAGTAATCGTATTTATTGTGACCTACACACTGAGGCAGCTGATTTTGAAAACAATTTCACCATATGATTATAATAATTATGATACATTTACAGTCGTATTATATAAGAAGGTGAATTACATGTTACCAATTACAAATTTACGTTTACTTATCCCTTTCATATCTGCAATATTAAGTAAATTGGTAAAATAAATAACTGTATTTCCGAAGGGATAACCTCAATTATCCTAATGAGACTACTCCACAATTGACCACTCCAGAAAATACCATAACATACCATAATGCTCTTTGTTTTTCACCCCAAAAATTTGAATAAGCATTGTTATCAGCAGTTTCTCTTGGGGCCATTTTAACTCACCAAGAGAAAGTAAAGACAATGCTTATGCAAGATTTTTGGGTTACAAACAAAGAGCATTATGGTATGTTATGATATTTTCTGGAGTGGTCAATTGCCTTCATGTTTACGACCCTGTTTTCAGTTTAGCAGGAGCCGGAATACTGACTCTGCCCCACAAATTTCGGATCCAGTTATTTTGTCTCCCTGAAAAGTCATTACATTTTAGTTTCTTAACCAATATGAGACATGTTCGTGATTAAATGACACGATCCAATTGTTTCTAATCAGATCTCTATATAAACAAAAGTTTCCTTACAGTTTGCCTACACTTTCTTGACTTTCTTTCCTGATATTGCTCCCGACAGTTAAACGCATTCATCAATATTCATTGGCGGTTTAGACATGTACGTAATAAATGATCCCTTCACTCTGAAAGTAATTTCACCATAAATCATACCAAACAGATAAACATACCATTTCTACAGCCATACACCTCAGCTCTCATGCAAGTGTACCCACTGTATGTTTTTGGGTGAAAGCGAATGAACCGAGCATTGAATGCTGTCACCAGTAAGTGCTCTACTATTGTATTTCTGTCCTTGTTACCTGCAAAAACCTGAAATAAAGAAAGGAAAGATGGATTTCAAGCAGAAGGTTCATCCTATAGCTGAGCGGGATAGATAGAGTAAAGGAAACTAAAAGGCAGCATAAGAATTTAAATTGTAACTATTAATTGTTAAGGAATTAATAACAAACAGAAGAAATCAGTAAACACGCACGTCATGGCAAAATGAGAACATTTCGGTATAAGTAACGTTGGCATCACAGATATGCAATATATTAAACATGGCTTTTTGACTTTGATGATGACATCGAAAAGTGTCTGTTTTGGTTGAAAGACGAAGCTGAATAACCTGAATTGAGAAAAATACTTATTTCTTTCCTGTCATCCTTTCAAAAAAGGAAACACCGCCGTCGGTTCGCCAAATGAATGACCGTTTCCCTTGGTTTTCCTTATGCAATTTTATTTAGGGGTAACACCAGAATCATACACTAGGTTTTTAAACCAAAGTAATATTGAATAGGGGGGCCGGAGGGAGCTTCTGATTTTCTTTTTTAGAAGGGTTAGTAGCATTGCAGTTTGTCCAAATGTAGCAGACCTAGCGTAGGTAATAGTAACAACAGATCCTTCCTTAAATATTTAGAGTTGGTCAGATTAACACTAACCCATGTGACGCTGTTTTCCTTGTACTGGGCCCAGTGTATCCCGTCCACGCTGTAAGAGAGAGTGAACTTTGTTACCCAGTGGTTATTGTCCTGTTGTCCTTGGGTTGCAACCTTAGTCACTCGCACCAGGTCTCCAAAGTCAATTTGCAGCCATTGTTTGCCGTCGTTGGTTTTTGCACACCAGGCTCCATATCCTTTACTATTACCCGGTAAGTTCAATCTCGCTCTTGCTGGGGCATATTTTGCCTGATGACTGGAGGATGCAGAAAATGCTGCATCTGGAACATGGCCATTCTCCAAACCAAGAGGAAGGGAGCAGCGGTACACTAAATTGAAAGAAAGCCACACTGTCACCTTTAAATTTTAAGAAGAAATTGCGCAAAGGTCAGAGACATGTCCTTTATTGCGTCACCAGCCGCTCTTCTTTCAGCGCCGTGTTCGCACAGAGGGTTCGCCGGACAACTACTGTACCCTTTAGGGCCCTCTATATGAAACCGCAATAAGCGCAGATATAATATGCAACTGTCCCCCTAAGGTGAGGTGAATAGTGGTGCTATATGTACCGGACCGCAAAGCGTCGAGGTCTATATCTAATACTATTCACACCCTGGCCCAGTCAGTAGAATGAAAATAGAAAAAGCACTAATTTTGTAAATAAACGACGTCATTTATTGAGTACTTGGTTTAAGATTTAATTGATAGTGTTTACAGATATTTCGGGGATTTTTTCCATTTGCTAAGTGCATTTTTATGATTTTGTTGCAATTAAAAAGAAAATAATTTTCAACCAACCAGTAGACAAAGACAAGCCTAATTTCTTAGCTTTCTTGGTGATTTGTTAATACAGTCGCCTCATTTATTGCTAAAGCGGGAGACTTACCAAAGACAACGCGGCGTCAGTGAAAACCTAAAAACGCAAAAGCGCGCGAAAAAGACCGAACGCGGCTTTCGGTGCACAATTTGCCACTCTGCCATTTGTCGAGTCAACTTTCAGATTTGCGCTCGCTGTCGTCGATAGTGACTATCGTCACCTCTTCTTTGCTAAATCTGCCAATGATTTTCCGAGTTACTCGAACCAATCAAAACGCGCCAAATTTCCATCCACTGCATGATTTCATACCGGTACTAGAGCTTCATATACATCCACTGACAGGTTTAAATTGTTGGCATAATCCATACATTGCTGATTAGGTAAAAACTATGAAGACTTTTTGTAATTGCCGCAAATCGCTAAAGATATAGTCAAGATAACTCTGACGGCAGCAGATCTTAACTTAGAAAAACAAGCTATAATAGCCCGTTTTAAAGAGTTAATTATCCAATAAAAAACTGTTATTTAAACATTACTTGTACTCACCTAACAAAGGATTCGTGTAGATACTTCGTTTGTAGAGTAAAATTTGATTGCCTTGTTCATGATTTCCACGATTCAGTAGCTGAAAGAAAATGAACAAAAGTACCCTAATTCAAGAAATGATATCATCAATAAATATATAATTATGCCTTGAAATTTCACGATATAATATTATTGTTACTTTTAAAATATATATTAGAAGTTGTTTTTTTAAAATTCGTTTGTTTTTGTCTTTTGCACCACGTACTGATATTATATTGAAAACTCGGAGTACTCTGTGGCTAACCGTATTTTTTTCTGCTAATATTTTCTAATAAGTATGATGTTAAACCAAAATTAATGTTATACTCTTGCTTGTCATCGATTTGTGACCATATAATTAATTAACCAGCATTCTTCAAGAATCAAACGTACCATAAAACAAGAGATCGGAAGGCAAAATTAATGAAATAAGTATTAATTACAAACATAAAGTTTCCACTTTTTTACCTTTCCGACTGTTTCTTTTGCTTGAGAGAGAAACATCACCGAAACGAAGATTAAAGCGAAACTGGTGATCAACAAACTAGCCATTCTTTTCTTAAAAATCTGATTGAAGTTACTTCTTCAACTGAAACTGAGAAAATGGCAAATGCCTCGAGAAAGAAACACTATTTAAAGTTTACTACTTGCGTGGAAAAACTGAAAAGTTCTTGTAAGATCGGTGTTGACTTGAATGCTATTTGCTTTTTTTGATAACTTGAAAATTTTCGTACAATTGCAACATATACGTAATATTATACTGTCAGCTCTTGAATGACAATTTTTTGAAATCCTCTTTTTTATTCCATGGCAGACGAAACTGAAAAGCTGACTAATTTTTCAAACTTCTTTTATGATAAAGTCTACTCTTTTACCTTCCTTGGCATAAATTAAAGACAATGGTGACTTTTATTTCCTGACACCGTTTATGAAGATAGCGTTTTTCTTGGGTCGTGGGTATGCTTTGTAAAAGCAGTGTTTGTATGACGACATTTTACCACTGACCGAAGGCCGAGTTCGTTTATGACTTGATAAAATAACTAATAACCTCACAAATCTAAATGTTATTTAATTATAACGTGGTTCAACTATTATGCCGAAACAACTATCATTGTAGTTACGGGGTATTGAGCGGCAATTGCACGGATGGCGCATGAATGATATTTATTTAGATGTTAATAAAATAGACACAAGAAATGGAAGGCAAGACTTCTTTACAAGTTTTCTTTTTACTCGGCTTACAAGTAAAGGAACCGAAGTATGTCAAATTCAATATTTTTATGAATTTTTTGCCACATTTAGTTTAATTTGCACAGTTTGATACTTCAATGATTTCCAAACGCTTTCGTTTTACCTGTACTAAGTACCAAGAAGAACAGCACACTGAAATATTAACCAAGAACATGCATTTCTGCTTTCCCTTATTTTTTCAGTATTCGTCGATCAAAGCTGAGTAGTTTTTATCAGGAATTCATTAAGCCATTAAAAATGCCTAGCAAAAGTGTTGAATCTGAAGCAACATGGATCCCGCAAAATCAGATTGTTGATTTAGAGAGTCAGGAAATAAATCGACTATAGGAGCCGCTATTTGCTTAACATAACTTGAAATTTTTCGAGCGACATGTTTACACTGATAGTGCTCAGCTGAGTGCTGTTTGAAGCAATCCCAAGTAGATGAACAGTCCACACATCACGCCGCCAAACTAAAGAAGCTCATCAGTTTCATAATAAAAAAAAAAACTCGAGAGATCGAAATGAATCTTGTCATGTTACTCTGCAATTTTTATTACCATTTTTATAATCTGTGCGGAGACCTTACTCTCCATCTTCTCTTATATATACGGTTTCGGATCCCGCGCAACCTTAACAGTATCATTGTAAAATAACCGGTTTTTTTCCTGATTTTCTTCGATATTGCCGATCAATCGAAAACATCAATTTTTTCCATGATCGAGACTATACTACATACGCTCCTATATTGAAAGTCAGTAAAAAAATAAGTTGTGTCCGAATTTATACTTCATAGTGCTACAAGAATCATTTTGTTAAAAATCATTACTAGTTTAAAGAAGTGTTGTTCGGTTTTTCGAATTAAAATAAATGATTGGCAAAGAAACCAGGAAAGAGTGGAAAAATTTCGTTTTAATGGGCCTTTTCCCTGACGATACATGTTGGCTAAGTCGCCATTAATTCTTTCTTCTGAGTTGGAACCTGCTAACACTTTAGGATAGTGACATTAAATTTCGCTTTAACTGCGAATTCCTTAGACAGAAACCTGAGAATTTCATAAGTAAAAATTTTATTTACAGACAGTCAAACCAATTTATTTAGCGCCAAATTAAAAAAGGCTCAAAAGAGAAAGAAAAAATCTGTTTTAGATCAGCCAAGAGAAAATTTTAAAAAGTTAAAAGTTATTTGATCAATGCTTGACTCTTTTACAAGCAATACGAAAAAGGTTGGAAATATATGGCAAAATTAATAGCTTCTTACCTTCGAAGAAATTTCCTGAGTACATAAGATCAGCAACGATATCGATACAACGATAAAAAGGGTAACGAAAAACCGAGCCATTCTTTTAGACGTCTTCTATGAGTAAGGTCCGAGGAACGTGACGGGTTTTCCAAAAGGAACAGCGCTGTGAGGTGACCCTATCATCTGCTGGGAACACGAAAAATCTGGTACGAATTTATTTACAAAGCATGGTGTTGTTGAAGTTCCCTCGTCAAAGGGAGAGAGAGGACTTAGTACACTTGGAGGGGTAGGGAAGAGGGAAATACGAAACGATGTACCATACCATGCAATGATTGCGAAGAGAAAAGCAATGATCAAAACATTAATCTATTGGTTTCAGAGATCTGAATTTAAGTTTTCTCGTAGACAATTATTCTCAGTTTTCACTCACGTGAGAAATCAGAAATAAAAATGGAAACATGTTAATACAGAAAGTTTAGAATCTGGGAAATGAAAGAAGGGTTGCAAAGAATCGAGATAGGTTTATCCAAAAGGGAAAATATGAAAGGGTGTACCATGCTATGCGATGATAAGACAAGGAAAGAGCAAAATCTCAAAAAAACCAGTGATCAAAACTTTAACCCTATTTGTTATCACAAAACAAAGAACCCTTTTGAATCGAAAGAGATCGATGCTCTAATATCACATAAAAGTAGAAACTCAGAAGAAGCGATAGTTTCTTAGTTTGAATTTTGGTGACGTCATGTGAAAACCAAGAATTGTCTACATAGATTTTTCTAAGTAACTGAAGTTTTTTTCTCGTGCTATTTGTGTGTAATAGGCATTTTTATAATAGGGGATGCAATCGAAGTCACGCTACTTTTTAGTACGTCAATGGACGTCGGCTTCTCTACAGTCGCGTTTGTTTTTAGTCGCTAGTAACCACTGTGCCTCGGAAATAAAATTCTCTTGGGCAAAATTTTACTCAAACATATCCACCAATTTCAATCAAAACAAATGCCACGTTGAATTATTTGTCAGTGCTTTGTGTATTTGTGACTGAATAACTCGAGCGGGGTTCTTAGATTAGCCAGTTTCTGATTGAGTGTGAATTTGTAGCTTATATTTTAGTGAGTAATTGATCTTCCCAACAGACAAAAGCGAAGGGCTGACTTATTTGTTGAGTTAATTAGTCAGTAGTCTTTGTTAGATTTGTTACTGAACAAATCCGCTCACCTTTTGCTTGAGTGGTCCCAAAAATTTGTACTTAACTTCTTTTATCTCTGAACTGACGAATTTCCTTAATGGGTGCTCGAATCACTCTCATCTAATATAACATTTAGTTTTCTGGTGATTTCTAATCAGTTAATTTTCGGATCTAAGATCTCAGCAATCAGAACTTAAAAAAAATTAAAATTAAAATAAATTCTAAGCTGACTGTTAGTGAGTTTTGGCCAGTTCGTGGCTATGAATAAAACCCCATTCAGAGCTTCTTTGGCGTATTCTGCTGTGTACTGTATTTATCTGATGCTTGAACTTCGCGAAAATTGCCTATGCCACGTATTTGGATAATCCGTTTTGCTTAAATTTCTTTATATTCCATTTTCAGAAAAAAAAGTGTAATAGTTTTCAATCTAACCAACGAAAAACACTGCCTCTGATCAAGTTTAAAACTTGACGAAGATTACGGCTCTTTGAGTAGCGCAAGGTACTTTATATAAACGCGCGTGTCAAAATAATAATACCTTCTTAACGTCTGTAATATTTTGAATAAAAATAGATGTTTCTCGATTATCCCTCCATTAATTCCGGGATGAGTTAGGGTTTGATATTTAGGAGATTGCAGCATACGTCTCTCCTTCGGTTTTGCCTGCTGGCACTTTTTAAAAAAGAAAATAATAACAGCTTTTTGCGAGTAGATAAATTATCGATATTTTCTAATTACACGCCGATGCCATTGTAGGACTAATTTCCATACCTGGTGTGATGTCCATTCTCATGTCAGACAACGAAGATATAAATTCTTTTAACCCAAAGGCAAATAATTAGCCGGAAATTCAACATCATTTGTTGAATTCTTTTGCAGGAAACGGAGAAAATTATATCGTAGCCGCACACGAGCGCAGATCACAGAGAACGTGAAAGATCTCGCTCAATACATTTTAAAATTATTCATGGCTTATTGCTCCAAGTCAGTTTTGTTATTGATGGTTTTCAGTCAAAGTCAAAATTAATTAGACAGTTTCGAATTGAAATAGCCACGGTAATTTTTCGGATATACTTTCGTAGACTTTCAGTACAAGCGTATCTAATAATGACCTTAATACTGAGTTGTCCGCGAGAAAAAAGTAAAAAATAACCGAGAGCGGAAGAACATTGACATAATCTGATCAAATTGTTGAGGACGATTGCGACTAGGAAAGTTGCGACTGACGCGAGGTAAAGTAAACATTTAAAATAGGCCTTATTCTAATCTAGTGCTTTTTTTCCTTGCGCCTCCTAAAGCTGGGAGACCATCACCAATGCAAGGCACAACAAAATGTATTTACATTCGGCGGAGCTAAGCGCAGTGGCAGTGACAGAGAATGTAAAACATTTGAAAACCGATAGGTTAAAATGTATTGTCATTACAGGTTATAAGGTTTTGAAGTTTACTTATTCATCCACTCGAACTATCAACTTTGATTTTTATAAACTTTATTCAAAACCTGTCGAATACATTCCCAATTTTTCCCATTGGGTTTTTGGGTTTTCGTATCAGGCCGTCCGTGAAAAGCCTGGGAGAACCATACCACCATGATGTTGAAGGTTATTTGGACGGCAAACAACAAATTCGACTTAGGGAATACCGAATAGAAACAACAAATCGACTGGGACTCTGCGACATCGACCTACTGTACAGACTACTCAGTCAACGACTCAATTTCTTTACTAACTTAGGACAAACGCCACTGAATCGTAGTCAATAGTTACCGGCACGGTACAAATGACTTATTGACTGAATCAAGCAAACCTAACTACGAGAGAACAACTGGACAACTGTGAGTGACTGGCTGATGGGAAAGGGGAAGGTGACAAATTCCCCGTAAATTAAGTCCAACGGACACAACCTTATGCTGCAAATAAATCCATCATTTAATTCGAAAGGCGAAAGAGTTGCATTTACCCTCAGCCCGGTTTACGATATCTCACCCTACAAACAGAGTGGCTTCTCATTGTTACTGCAGTCCTGCGAGAAAGAGATCGATATGGAGCTTTTCGCAGGTGATCCATTAACCACTTAAGAAGCGAGAAGGGAATGGGGCCGAGTAAACTTTCGAAAAGACCGTCTGGGACCGTCACTGGGGACTGGGTAAAAATGGCTAATAGCCTGACGGGTGAGATCCTAGTAACGATCCCAGAAACAACTGCGTGGCACATCTCGGCTCCAGTTCCTTTCTCATGTCTTAAGTGGCGCATGCGTACAACAGGCTACTTCGTTTTATTTGACTTCATCCAATCAGAGGCTGTGGTAACATGTCATAAGCATGGAATTTCTACACTCGTTCCCTAAACGTTGTGTCGCAGGGATTCATTTGCTAAACAGCTTAACGTTACGTGTTAACGTCGGTTGTTTTGTGAGGTTTTGATCAGCATGTGAGAAGTTTTTACTTTTAGGCCAATTTTAGAAGTAAAGGAAGTGTTTAGACTAATTTTCTGCCCAAGAGCATGCGCTGTCCTCATAAGGTACTACAAACACGTCTTTTTAGCGTTGTGTACCATGTACCAAGTGGCAATATGTAGTCCTGGGTTACGTCACAAAGGACAGGCCCTGGCGCTCTAACAATAACACAAGAGCCTGTACACAGTCAATGACATCGACAGAATAGTACATACATTGACTTAAATGGAAATCGAACAATCCCTTTGTTGAGTTAATCCTTTGAATTGTCGCAGGACAGCCGCACGTGTATTTGTGCCCCAGCAACAGAGCTTTGGATTGCTCAAACGTAAATGTAGACGTCTAATCATGACATGTAAAACTGATTATGTAACTTGGGAAACAGTGAACGGTGTAGAAAACAACAAGAAATATTGCGTTCTATAATGGTGTGGTGTTTCTCATAAAGTGGATGAAGAAGATCGAAGTACCGTATTTCAGTGCCCTCCCTTGTGCCTCCCTCGACATTTGAAAAATATTACTGCTATTTGACTACTGTCCGGATTTGCAAAGAGATTTGAACGGCTCTCTCGACCATTTTCTCCTGAGCCTTTTTAAAATAAAAACTAAGTGAGCAAGCATTTTACGTCTGTTCTCTGCATAGTATTTACACCCCAGTGTAAATAGGTATGCAAATGTGGCAGTTACCATCTATCCACAGCTTATCCTTTAGTTTGCACCCTAGACCAAATTTGGTGCAAACCCAGTTTTTCGTCTTATTTGTGCTTTTTCGATTAATGGAGCTTTCTAAGCTGTAGACGCTTAAAAAGTTAAGGCTTGTAACAATCGTTCATTTTAATTATATCAGTTAACTGTCCTTATTCATAATGTTCTGATCGAAAGCTGTAAAATGGTTACAGAGTGAGTGGCAGTTTCTAACTAATGTGCGCCACATAAAAAAGGACAATTCTAGGAATGAGTGAAACTGTTTGACGGTACGTAGTCAATCCTCCATCTTGATTTGAGGTTGGGGATTATTAGGTATCTTTTCTATTTCGCGCATAAGGCTGACTGTGGAAATAAAACGTATGGGTAGGGAGGATGGGTGGCTTATTTGAGGCTGGAAGTCTAATAAGAGAAAATACGTCGAGCAATTTGGATGCTAAAGATGTCCGCAAATCGATTCCCTGACAAAACATAATTGAGATTCTCAAATTAAAATTAGCAGTTCAGATTAAAACATATTTTTCCCAAAAAAGTATCTGGAACGTTCCCTACTACTACTAGTGTAAAGGACATGTACAGGCCATATAGCTCTTTTTTCCTTTTTTATTCTGCATGTTACAACCTTGAAAGTAAAATGAAACAAGGTTTGATTCAAACTCCAAGTACGTCACTGAGCCGTAAGCATGGTGTCTGCACCGTCTCAGCGCTTCTCTACACTGCATCTTTTTAAATGCCCTAAAAGTAAATTTTCAGTAAAAAAATCTTAGTCATACTTTAGTATCTTGCTTGTCCATGAAAATAAAAGATCATTTTTATTTTCAGCTCTAAAAATTCTCAAAATGACTTTTCCCCAAGTTTTTGACATCGTTAAAGTCTGAAATTATATACTGACAGAAAACGTCATTCTTCTTCTTCTTTTCTTACCAAGCATAAGTCACTAAGTTCTAAATGTAAATACATGCATGATATGGATCTTTTTATTACTATTGAGTATTTTGCTCTCCCAAAAAAAGGTCATCGGGTTTGTTTATTGTTCTTTCATAAATTGTGTGTAAGTTCACGTGAATAAGACGAAATATGCATGAACATGATGAAACTGTTCTTTAGGTACTGTCCTGTTGAATGTTGAAACTCAATATTTTTTTACTCGGATTCGTGTGGACGGTGCCTCAAACCACTCTGGAGAGCAGTTTAAAAAAGATCTGGTTTCGTTGAGCGGACTCACTAAGTCGGTGGTCTTAATTGCATGTACGGGGAAAAAGTGAAAAAAAAATAAAATACTCAGACTGTATGCGGCCTTAAAAATATCTCGATTCGTGTGGACAGGGCGACCTGTACTGGCAAAAAAAAGATTTACACTGGCTTGAAAGATCTATAACCGCTGGACTCTTACCCTAATAGGACATCCATACAGCTCAGCACGCATACAAACAAAGCCATACCAGCTCAAAGGATGAATTCGAACAAAGCGGGCGTGAAATGGCGGGAAAAAATGATGGACGACAATCGAGTCACGATCAAAGTTTCCCCGAAGGACCTATAAAAACGAAAAATCAAATAATTATAGGGAATTGTAGAAAATAAAGTTGTTGAAACATTTAATAACAACCTGCACTTTAATTTGCTTTTTATAAGTTACAGTAAGAAACAAACCATTCATTTCCAATGAAAAACACAGAGGTGTGTTTTTTTTTTTTAAATCTGACTAGCCATTTGAAGAAAACGAAGATGGTTGTCAAAAGCCACGTTACTCGCCAATCTCTTACCCAACGCCCTGCTGACCAAAAACCCAGAGGATTCTGGTTAGGAGATTGGGTACTCTGCGCTAGGCACCAATGAGAACAAGTTTATTTTTTTCAACTACACGTACACACGACAGAGTTTGGGCGAGGTGCCGATGCCTGAGCTTGATATCCTCAATAAAGACTTGTTACATCATACTGATTCAATACTTAAATCACCTGTCCTCTGACTGTGCAAAGTCTTTTTTATTTATGCTTGACCCGAAAGACGAGGATGTTTCAGTTGCCAACAGTTAAACATTCATTCAGTTTCCATTTTTCGACTTTAAAGATGCACGGTGACCAAGTTATTTCTGGGGCAGGTGCAATGAGTATAGTGTTATTACCTTTATTTTACCGCGTACTGTGTACTGGACCCAATAAGAACCTGTGAGGCTGTAAGATATTGAGTAGCTGGTCGGCCATTGATTGGCATCTTGCCTTCCTTGCGTGGCTACTTTAGTGACAGTGGTGGGATTTCCAAGATCGATCTGCAGCCATTCTTTGTTGTTACTTGTCTTTGCACACCAGGCTCCTGACTTACCCGACCTAGCCACCAAGTTCAAACGGCCGACGTGGGCTGCGAGGGGACTGTTGTGAATGGTGGACGCAGTCATAGCACTGTCTTGAATTCGGCCATCTTCGATTCCAAGCGACATGGAGCAACGGTGTCCTTATAAAACAGAAGTTTATTCTCAATTAACGAAAAAAAAGAAGAGAACACAGACAGGGCAGTCATTAGCCAAATATTAATCAAGATTGGACTGGTTCTGTCCAATTTTCTTTATATTTGTCAATGGTAATCGATGCTTAAGAGGTTAAGTTCATAATTTTTCGTTTTTCGTTATAAATGAAGCAATCATGTTATTTTTCATAGTGTGGCCACTATTTCAGTGCATTACGGATGTTTAACAAACACTACGTGCAAAAGCACGTGTCGTATTACTATCATGCTCACTATTTTTATATTTTGAATACATTTTCCTACTATCGTTGCGGACACGCGTTACCTTTTATAAGCCTCTTTTTACTTCGGCGGAGCGCGAAGTAAAGGATTCGCGACGCTCAGGAATGTATCAAAGTTACCATTTTTTGACAAGATTGGGCATGCAAAGTCTGTAGGTTTTCGGTTTTATTCGGCTATTTGACGAAGTGAGAGCCGAATTAGTTCGAGATATCTCGAGATCACTTCGATTTCTTTGATTTATTCTTTAAATTTTTCGAGGAAGAAAGAATTATTATTTTGGCTTCCCTGGGGTTTGAACCGCCTCACCTGTGTGACCCGTCAGGTAAGAGGAGACTCTAAGTTGAGGGATTAGCCTATTGCGCTACTGCGACCCAAGGTAGTTCGAGATATGAAAAATAGTTATGAAATTATGCACTAGTTTCGGGACGAGATTGGGCGTGCAAGTTCGCGACTTTTCGGCTTGTTTCGGCTATTTCACGAAATGAAACCGGACTACTTTGTGATATCTTGAGATCAATTCGAGTTTAGCCTTTAATTTACTCGAGGAATAAATAGAGGATATTACGTGGCCGCGCAGAGACACGAAATGTCTCTTCAAGTGTTGAAAAACATTTCGCGAGTGAGCCCTCCTTTCGAACTGCTTTATGATGAATTTAAAGTTACAAAATGCTACACAAAGACATTTTGTCTTTGTTGAGTGTTACGTAGTAAAATTGCTTCCATGCGTTGCGTGACTTTCTCAAACGTTCTGTACTTTATTGGATTATTCATGAATAATAACTAGGGCATGTTTACATTTCAGCATGAGTCAGCAGATTTGCATCAGTTACTGAAATCATAAAATATGTCGAAAGGCTACTACTATTCGCCCGTTTAGTATTTTCTAGAACCTTATGTCAAACGGTATACAAGTTCCAAGCGAGGTCTTTTGACGACCTAAGTTTTCTTCCCACGAGCTGGGCTGCTGTGTTTAGTCAAGTGTGACGAAGGTCGATTTTCAAGTTCTGTGTTTACAAGTTGGCGGAAGCCGTAAGATATCTGAAGTTCAAGTGAGAGTTTGTTATTATTGGTCTTCGCTGTTTAGTTGTACCTGTGTTTTAAAGCTCTGAAAAGGCTATGTTCCTTTGGTATTAAACTTCCTTGTATTAATCCGACATTCTTGCGTGCTGATAGTCAGTGAATAATTATCGTCAAAACATTCGAACTCGTAACAGCCAATTCCATGCTCAACGTAATTGACTCCTTACCCATACCTTACATATCTTTTAATCAGTACATGAGACTGCTATGCTGTTTTTGAAGCCTGATGTGACTAAGAAAAATAGAGAATTCTTTTTTCACTGTTTGTTTTGTTAGACTTGTTATTCACCGCCAGTAACCTCATATTTGACTTAGGTCTAAACGTTTAGACCCAAGTCAAATTTAGAAGGATTTGTATGGAGTCATCAGAGCATAACTGGGCTAATATCTCAGAGACAATTTGTCCCGAAATGCTAGTTTTTGGCAAGTAGGCCTCTTGGATGTTGGTCTTTTCAGAATATCCTGACAAATCCCATAACTTCACAAAATAACACCTTACTCTTACCATATTTCATTTCTTACTATTCCTCCGCATTTACAATTAATCAGTTCCACAACCACGACGCCGAAGTGTACGCTCCGTAGCGTCTTTTTAACTTTAGTTCCCCGTTTGTTTGTACGTGCTTTCTTTGCTTGTTTGCAAAAGGTATATCAGAGGTGCGAGGAGAGGCCTCCTGGAAAAAGAAAAACTGCTAGCTACCGAAATCCTCCTATGTGCCTATATAAATTACCTTCCTGGCAGCCATAAACTTCAGCCCTCATTGAAATGTGACCTTGCCAAGTCTTGGGATGAAATCGTAGATAGCGTGCTTGGATTGACAAGTGCAGGGAATGCTGAACTGGAGTGTTGCGGTCGATGTTGCCTCCAAATACCTGACCAATATATTTATAAAATAGATTATCACAACACTTGGGTTAACCGTGTTAAGAGTATAAAAAAATATAGGAACATGTTAAGGAAACAGTACAAAGTCCAGCAGTCTGCAAAACAACTATATCACTTGATCCAGCTAGTCTCAGGGTATCATGCTTAAGAAGCTCCTTTATAACATAGCTAGAATATTCGCGAGCGTGCTTCACTGATATTCCCATTCAGCGCGCTGTTGACGTCAATAAACTATACCTCGAGTTCTTTTGAGCTTAGAAATCGTCCCAAGACGTCTCCATAGTGCAAGCCGTAACTCAACAGTACACGATGAAGCTAACCAAGTGTTTTATAAAGAGAACACTTTTGAATTTGTCAACCGATAGTAGGGAAAAGAGGTGAGTGTTGTTGTTGTTGTTGTCATCTTCCTGAGTGAGCTGCGCGGGCTGTGGCGTGTGCAAATCATTCTTGGCAAAGTTATTTCTTTCAAAAAGAATTTTTCGGTGAATTAATAGTTTTGCGGAACCTTATCATGAATTTTACAAACTTTTTTAATGTTATCTTAAGCGACTTGAGTAAACTTTCTCTCAGTTCCTTTCAGTTTTTTCATAACTGTGAGGCAAAAAATATAGTTGCGTATAGACATTGACGCGTACTGCTTTGAGTGCGAGCTACAATAATAAAATTTCAGTTAGCTGCTGCATTGATCGCTTTGATAATGTTATAAAACAATTGGTTCATGCTTCAGCTGTGCGTATGTCGAGGAGATAATGAGCACTTGGGAAGTTCGGAGAGCACTCAAGGGGCTAGAGTTTCTCTCGGCTGCGAAGAGGAGGTATATTTTAGCGATAACGTTTTCAAAAATCCAGCTAGATATATATGAGTACTGATCAAAATGAAATGCGTTTTCTGTTTCTTATAGAACAAGAATTCCCTGAAATGCCATTGCATGTCAGTCATACCTTAATGTGTCCATTAGAAAGTCTGTACCAGACCCAATGAGCACCATCCACGCTATATGACAAAGTGTAGCTTGTCACCCATTGGTTAGATTTGTACCTCCCTTGGGTCGCCACTTTGGTCACCGTAGTTTGTCGTCCAAAGGAAACCTGCAGCCACTGTTTCACATCGTTACTCTTAGCGCACCAGGCTCCTGCTTTTCCACTAGCTGGGATTTTGTTTAGGCGACCAAACTGAGGAATGTGATTGCCATCATAGGATGTTGATGCCGAAATTGCGCTGTCAGGCAGATGCCCACTCTCCATACCCAGTGGGAGGAAACAACTGCGTGCTGTTAGATGGAAAATAGGGGACAGAAAATATTGTTACCGTTAACACTCTGCAGGACTCAGTTTAGGTTTAGCATTTAATTTGTTTGGTACCGGCTGCTGACAGGATACTTTCAAGTTTTATTGAAGGTTTATAATTTAAACAACTTACATGTAAATTAGTTCACAAAAAACAAACTTTGTCGCAAAACACAGAAAGATCAAGCGAATCGTGGTGACGATTAATTAAATTAATTCATTAACACAACGATCTACTGATATACACTCGTTCAATTTTCTCTTTTGTAAGGCAGTTTTTCATGAAATCTCGTACCCAGATAAGAGTCTTCTCTCTTTTTAGTTAGCTTTCAAAAAACCCAGAAGACTCTGGGAGCAAGATTACTTATGATCAATGTAAAGATCGAGAACTCAGACTTCGAATTCTCATTGTGCAACTAGCACACCGCTTAGCACTGTTAGTACCAGGCAAAACGCATGTAAACTTGTGATATCTTATCATGCTGGTTATGATAAAAGCTTTCATTTTCCAGATTTTCAGTTCAGATTATTGGCTGAGCACTCAAAAGACCTTAGGCCCTTGATCTTGACTGCACATTTGTTTCGTGATGGGGACCTCAGAGAAACCTTCTGATTGGTTGAAGCAAATTTCACAAGCAGTGCGACCAATCAGAAGCAGTGCCCAGATCTAGGTAGCGACGCGTCTTCAGTATGGAATTTCTGCGCTCGTTTTTCAGACGTCATTTTGCGGGGAAACCGCTGATGGCGTCGCAAAAGGTCGTCTGCTTTCTCAGGCTACATGCAAGAGAATGATATAAAAATAGGAAAAATGTATATACCATCTTCACAGCCATAAATTTCCACTCTCATTGACACATGGCCATGCCAAGCCTTAGGGTGGAAACGAATAATTCGAGCAAAGATTCCTGTGCCAGGATGAAAGAAATGTTTGACCACTGTAGTTCTATCACTGTTGCCAAGGAACACCTACAGAAGAGTCAATCCAGTTCAAATGAATGAACGAATGTAACATTTAGTCAGTCGCTTATAATTTAGACAAAACATTTTTTTTTTTTCAAGACGCTTGCAATTTCTAACGTTAGTTCTTTAAATGCTAAAATAAAGGGGCTTTGTTCCAGTTCAGTGAAATCGCTTGGTAATTGGCTGAGACAAAACAAATATTTCTCCTTTATTTTTTTTCAAGACAGGGATCAACTTTGAAAAACTGTTACAATGAACCGTTTTCACCACCGTTCTTCAGTTTTAAATCTGTTGTTTCTGTCATGTTAATTTAATCCTTTAAAGCGCAGATGACCAGCATTAACGGGCATTTTGTAATTTTAATTTTTGAAGTCATCTGCATCGCATAAATGAGCCGTTTCAGTTAGTTCCTTTCTCATAACTTCTTTCGCTCATTCATTAGTTCATTCATCATCTATTGTTAGTCTAACTATAATTTAGTCATTAAGCGTGTAATTCAGCTAGTCAAACCAGTCAGCTGGCGTCAAGTATTAAGCGCCAAAAACAGCAGCCAATCATCCTTTTTAAGTTTTTATTATACCTTAATTTGACTGTCTTCCCGGATGTAAACCCAGTTGAGGTCGTCTGCAGTATAAGACACCGAGAACTTTGTCACCCACTGGTCGCCGTCATGGCGACCCTGAGTGGCCACGCCTCTTATCTTGAATAGGCGACCCAGTTTAACCTGGAATTAGCAGAATCAGGAGCCCATCAGAATATGCAGAGCAGAGCCCATTGTTCTTAGTCGAACATGCCGTTTCTTCGATAGCTAAGTTCAATTTAGTTTCATATATCAATTTTAAAGGATCTTATCTTAACCTTGGGAATCAAAAGTAATTTAGTGAACAATCATCTTTCAGACTAGATCATCACGAGAATATAGTTCTGAGAAACCTTCTGATGTTAAATAGGATTTCGAGGTATTTTAATTTCAAAAATAAAAAAAGGCACTTTGCAAAAACAGTCTCTTGAAAGGGTCGATTTACACTATTGAAGCTAATTTAATTAGTATTACGTTTAGATTAAACATAACGTCATGAACGGCCTGGTTGTCATTTGAGTACCTGAAGCCATTGATTAGCATTGTTCTGTTTAGCAGCCCAACAATATTTCCCCCCATTTGGTAACAAATTAAGTCTGCCTCGGTTTGGAAGATAGCTGGCACTGTAATATGATGATGCAGAGTATGCTTCTTCAGGAATTCTACCGTCTTCCACCCCCACGGGCATTAAGCAGTTCTTCACTAGATAAAATATCAAATTATAACCATGTCAAACTAAAGACAGCCAACTTTGTAAAATCATCCACAAAAAAGAGTATTTATATAGATCGGGAATGAATGAAGAAAAGACGGTTAATAGATTTGCAACGTTTCCAGGCGTGATATTAATACAAGAGGTAAAACAGTTTATTCCAAGGAGTAATTAATTAAATTTTTAGGAAGATATGCAGTAAAAAAGGAAAGCAAAAGAAAAGAAAGATGGAAACATAGTAAAGATATGAAGTAACACGAGATACCTACCACTTCGACAACCATACAGTTCAGTTCTCAGGCAAGGAATATTAAGATTGTGAGTCAATGGATGAAACCGGATAAAGCGAGCTTCGATGTGGGGCTTTAAGGTGTGTGTAATCACTGTGTTTCTGCCAGTGTTTCCAGCAAACACCTGAGGAAAGTTACAGTGTAGTTATTAACAGTTGCGAAGACTCTACCCCAGAAGATGAGTAGTCAACAGTTACATTTGTATAGTTTACTTTCGACTGGATGCCATTATATTCGTTTAGAAACTTCAAATACCTACCCTGTAAATTTCTACACAGTGCAAAGATATTATTTTTGGTGCTTTGTAAAATCAAAACTGGTGTTTTGAGGGTAACGGCTAATGTTTCCACGAAACACCATTTTCGTGAAGATGTTTGAAGTTTGTTTTCAATGTTTAAATTACCATGTAATTTTCAATGTCCGCTTTTAATGTTATCAAGGTTCTATATAATTTTTGCTTTGTTACAAAAAACGGCATTAGTAAGCTTGTATAAATAGCGATGTTTAATTACGCATAAATTTGCGTCCAAATACAGAAAATCACTTCAAAATCCGAAATAAGAGTAGTTTTGTAGGCCAATTCCATTGATAGATGATAGATCTAGACAAACCGATGCACTCCCTCTCAATCATCAGTCAGTCTGCTACTATCTGGTTTATTACTCACAGTGCATATTAAGTCAAATTACGCGCAGATCACAAGTACTCTACAAATGTGATGTTACTCCAACAGTCTCAGGCTGTATTGTAGTCCGTTTCAGTCAATGGTGATTGATTGATTGATTGATTGATTGACTGATAGACTTGAGCCCTCTTCCAGCTCCAGTCCACTACCGAGAACTTATTCGTAGGTTATTCGTTTACTGCTGGAATAGACTTTGGCTTCATGAACCCCATAACATTTGGAATCTCTCTTGTTACCTTATCTACGGCGCGTTGCTTGTACCAAGTCCAATGAATCCCGTCCACACTGTACGAGAGTTTGTATGTTTTAACTCTGTCCTCGCTGTTGTATCGCCCTTGTGTTGCCACCTTAGTAACAGCAGTTATTTCCCCTAGGTTGATCTGCAGCCATTGATTAGTACTTTTAACTTTCGGGCACCAAGCAGCCATGTGCTTGCCGTCAGTTAAAAGGTTGAGTCTCGCAAGTGAAGGCCCGTGCCGGTTGTCGTAGCTGCCTGAAGCTGTGAATGCACTGTCAGAAATGCGCATGTCCTCCACACCAAGTGGCATTGAACAACTGTGAACTACAAAAATAGACACCAAGTGATGAAGTACTTGTAATCGTATTTGTTGGGACCAATTGAGGCGGCTGATTGATTTTGAAAATAATTCCACTATTTATTATGATAATTCATAATAGATTACATTCCTAAAGAGGTGAATTACATGTTACTAATTACAAATTTCGTTTACTTATCTCTTACTTAATAACCAAATTGGTAAAATAAAACGGTATTTACGGAGTGTACTGCCGTCCTTCGATGTCCTGTTTTCCGATTAAATCTGACGAGATTCACATCATGGTGATTATTTTTTTCTTCTATAGTCATTACGGATATGAGACGTGATTCTGACTCAAAGATGCTGCCCTTTGTTTCTAATCAAATCGGCTCTATTTAACCAAGTTTCGTTCATACAGTTTGCCTGCTCTATCTTTTCCGATTCCATACTATTGCTCCCTACAGTTAATCACGTTCAATATTTATCATTTAGACATTATGTAAACAGAATGAACTCTTCCCGCTGAAAGTAATTTCAACTTAAATCATACCAAAATGATTAACGTACCATTTCGACAACCGTACACCTCAGCTCTTAGACAAGTATGTCCACTGTATGTTTTTGGGTGAAAGCGAATGAATCGAGCATTGAATGCTGTCACCAGTAAGTGTTCCACTAATGTATTTCTGTCCTTGTTACCTGAAAAGGCCTGAAACAAAGACATAAAAAAGTTTAAAATATATTCTATAGTTAAGAGGGATAGAGCAAAGAAAACAAAGGCAGGATAAGAATTAAATTGCCAGGAATTATTAAGCAATAAACGTAACATGCAAGTCATGGCAAAATGAGAACATTCATTATACCATAAGAAAGTTACGTATCACAGATGCGATACATATTTAGGTGCTTTTTGACTATAATAATGACATCGAAAAGGGAATGCCTACAACTTTGGACAAAACGTGTTGGACAAACTTCAAAACAATACCTACTCAGTTTTGCTGTCATCCTGGCAAATAGGGAAACCGTCTCCAAACTGAATGACTATTTCCCCCTTCCTCTTACCCAGTTTTGTTTAGGGCAACACCAGAATTATACACGTCGGTTTTTAAACCAAAGCAATATTGAATAGGGGGGTGGGGAGGGGGCTTACTCTTTTTTGTTTTGAGGAGATGCTCCCGTGGGGTAAAAGTTAAAAAAATTAGATGGAACTGTCTCATCAGTTTTGTCCATGAATGAAGCAGTTGATGATTATCACTGACCCACGTGACACTGTTTTCCTTGTACTCGGCCCAGTGTATCCCGTCCATGCTGTAAGAGAGAGTGAACTTTGTTACCCAGTTGTTATTGTCTTGCCGTCCTTGGGTTGCAACTTTAGTCACTCGCACCAGCTCTCCAAAGTCAATTTGCAACCATTGTTTGCCGTCGTTAGCTTTTGCACACCAGGCTCCATATCCTTGGCTATTACGCTGTAAGTTCAATCTCGCTCTCGCTGGGGCATGCCTGGCGTCAGCGCTGGAGGATGCAGAAAACGCTGCATCTGGAACATGGCCATTCTCCAAACCAAGAGGAAGGGAGCAGCGGTACACTAAATTGAAAGAAAGCCACACTGTCAACTTTAAATTTTTAGAAGAAATTGCACAAAGATCAGAGACATATCCTTTATTGCGTCACCAGCGGTTCTTCTTTCAGCGCCGTGTCGCAGAGAGGGTTCGCCGCGAACGTACTGTACCCTTAAGGGCCCTCTATATGAAACCGCAATGAGCGCAAATATAATATAAAACTATCCTCCTAAGGTGGGGTGTAGCTGAATAGTGGTAAGCCGATATCGAGCCGCAAAGCGTCGAGGTCTATATCTAGCACTATTCACAGAACCTGAGCCAGTCAGTAGAATTAAAAAGGAAAATGCAATAATTTTTGTAAATAAAAGACGTCATTTATTGAGTACTTTGTTTACGTTATAATTGGCAGTGTTCACAGATTTTTCGGTTTTTTTTTTCTATTTGCCAAGTGAATTTTTATGGTGCAACTAATAAGAAAATAATTTTCTACCAAACAGTGGACACTGACAAGCCTAATTTCGTAGCTTTCTTGGTGATTTGTTAGTACAATCGCCTCATTTATTGCTAAAATTTCGTCTCCTGAAACTCTCGCGAAACGAGACTCCATTTCAAACAGTGGAGAAGCAGGATACTTAGCGAAGACAACGCGACGTCAGTGAAATGCTGAAAACGCAAAAGCGCGCGAAGAAGATTGAACGCGACTTCCGGTGCACAATTTGCCACTCTGACATTTGTCGAGTCAGCTTTCAGTTCTCCGCCCGCCGTCGTCGATGGTGACTATCGTCACCTCTTCTTTGCTAAATCTGCCATTAATTTTCCGAGTTACTTGAACTAATCAAAACGCGCCAAATTTCCATCACTGCATGATTTCATACCGGCACTAATTAAAGCTTCATATACATCCACTGACAGGTTTCAAATGCTGGCATAATCCATACATTACTGATTAGGTACAAACCATAAAGTGTTTTTGTAATTGCCGAAAATCGCTAAAGATAGTCAAGATAACTCTGACGGAAGCAGATCTTAACTTGGAAAAACAAGTTATTAGTATAAGGGCCCGTTTTAAAGAGTTAGTTATCCAATAAAAAGAACTGTTATTTAAACATTACTTGTAATCACCTAACAGAGGATTAGTGTAGATACTTCTTTTGTGGAGTAAAATTTGATTGCCTTGTTCATGATTTCCACGATTCAGTAGCTGAAAGAAAATGAGCAAAAGTATTCTAATTCAAGAACTGATATGCTCAATAAATAATTATGCCTTCAGCACGATATATTGTTACTTTTAAAATATTTAGAAGCTCTTTTGTTTTTGTTTTTGTTTTTGTTTTTGCACCACGTACTGATATTATATTAAAAACTCTAAGTACCCTGTGGCTAACCATAATTTTTTCTGCTAAGATTTCCTAATAAGTATATTAAACGAAAATTAATGTTATACTCTCGCTAACTGTCGATTTGTGACCAGATAAACCGGCCTTCTTAAACGGGGCCGTAGGCTGAATTTTATCAAAGCCTTAAGAATCTAACGTACCATAAAACAAGAGATGAAAGCAAAATTAATGAAATAAGTATTAATTACGAACAAAACGTTTCCATTATTTTACCTTTCCGACTGTTTCTTTTGCTTGAGAGAGAAAAATCACCGAAACGAAGATTAAAGCGAAACTGGTGATCAACAAACTAGCCATTCTTTTCTTTAAAAATCTGATTGAAGTTACTTCTTCAACTGATCGGAAACGAAGCTGGAAATGGCAAATACCTCGAGAAAGAAACACTATTTAAAGTTGACTACTTAAGTGGAAAAACCGAAAATTCTTGTAAGATCGGTGTTGACTTGAAGGCTATTTGCCGTGTTTGATAACTTGAAATTTTTCGTCCAATTGCAACATACGTAATACTACAAGCTACTATACTGCCAGCTCTTGAATGACAAGTTCTTGAAAACCTATTTTTTTATTCCATGGCAGATGAAACTGAAAAGCTAGCTAATTATTCAAACTTGTGATGAAAAAATTCCTTTATAATAGTTTCTTAGCATTCCTTAGCATTTTAGACATAGTTGACTTTTATTTCCTACGGGGTATTGAGCGGCCATGGCATGGATGCATGGTTCATAATAAAATAGACATATAAAGAAATGGAAGACAAGACCCCTTTACAAGTTCTTTTTACTTGGCTTACAATTGTAAAGGAACGGAAGTATGCGAAAGTATGTCAAATTCAATTTTTTTATGTTTTGCCATATTCAATTTTCAGTGGTTACTGTTTGATAGTTTTATGATTTGCAAATTAAAAAACGCTTTCTTTTTACATGTAAGTACCAAGAAGAAGAGCACACTGAAATATTAAACCACGAACATGTATTTCTGCTTTCCCTTATTTCTTCAGCGTTCGTCGATGCAAAACTGAGTAGTTTTTATCTGGAATTCTTTAAACCATTAAGAAATGCCCAGTAAAAGTGTTGGATCTGAAGCAACCCCCGCGAAATCACATTAGAGAGTCAAGAAGTAAATCGACTACAGGAGCCGCTTTTTGCTTAGCGTAACTTGCAATTTTTCGAGCGACATGTTCACACTCGGATAGTGCACAGCTAAGTGTTTGAAGCAGTCCCAAGTAGATGAATCATCAACACATCATCGCTAAACTAAAGAAGCTTAATTTCGTAGAAAAAAAACTTGAGGGATCGAAATGAATCTTGTCATGTTACTCTGCAGTTCTTAGTACCATTTTTATATTATGTGCGGAGACCTTGCTCCGTATCTTCTGTTATAATCTCGGATCTCGTTCACCTGTTTAAGCATTAGTATCATCGTAAAATAATTCGCTTTCTTTACAGATTTTCTTCGATATATCTATCGAAAACATCAATTTTTCCATTACTGATCTAGACGATAATCATTCGTTCCTAATTGTTGTACTTGATTCTTAGTTACGAATGTGCGAGATTTTTTAGCATGCAGTCGCTAGGGGCACCCAACGAGGATATAGTTCAAAATCACTTAACATAGCATTGTTGAACGTATTTTAGTATTTAAACGGTAGATATAGGCATATTTTTATCCCCTAAAAACTTTTCATCTGTTCGGATTTCCTAGCTGAAAGTCTAGTGATCCGAAAATTATAGGGATCAAAACTTACCTTTTCGAAAATTTCAGCCTGGAAAAGGCTCCCGAAAATTCTAGGTGGCCATTTTTAGGATAAATATCCGTTTAAAATGGGTAATTATACCATTTTGTAGATGTTCGAAAATCTTAGGAGAGGCAGGCAAGCAAGAAATTTTACAACAAATGTTCCGAAAATTCTAGTTCTCAAATCGTCTTCCGAACAGATATTTTCCCGAAAATTGCCGTTGGGTGCCCCTGAGTCGCAATATTAAGAACTGGAAATAAAGCATCACCATCAACTTAGGTGTTTAATATTGAAATTCATTAAAAATCATTTTGTTTATTTAAGACCATTTACTAGTTTAAAGAAGTGTTGTTCAGTTTTTGGAATTAAAATAAATGATTGGGAAAGAAGACAGAAGAGTGGAAAAATTTTGTTTCGATAAGCCTTTTGCCTGCCAGACGTTGGCTAAGCCGGTATCAGTTGCTTCCTCCGAGTGGGAACCTGCTAAAATTTTAGGATAGTGACATTACTAATTTTTAATTTAATTGCAAATTCTTCAGAGAGCTGAGAATTTCATAAGTAAAATTTTAACTAAACACAGTCAAACCAGGTTATTTAGAGTCAAATTAAAAACGTTTCACACATGAGAAGCGAAAGAAAAAACCTGTTTTAGATCAGCCAAGTGAAAAGTTTCAAAAAGTTAATAGTTGTTTGATCAAAAAAGGTTGGAAATGCATTGCAAAATTAACAGCTTCTCACCTTCGAAGAAATTTCCTGAGTACATAAGATCAGCAGCGATACCACGATACAAAACGGGAAGAAAAACCGAACCATTCTTTTAGACGTTTTCTTTCAGCAATCTCCGAGCAACGAGGAAGGTGAGTTTTCGAAAAGGAACAGCGCTATGAGGTGACCGACCTCTGCTGGGAACACGAAAAATCTGGTAGGAATTTATTTACAAAGCATTGTGTTATTGACGTTCCCTCGTCAAAGGGAGAGAAAGAGAGCACTTATTACACTTGGAGGGGTAGGGAAGGGGACAATACGAAAGGGTGTACCATGTACCAAGCAATGATTGGGAAGAGCAAAACCAATGAACAACACCGGATCAAAACATTATAATCTATAGGTAACAGAGATCTGAATTTAAGTTTTCCTTAAACAATTATTGTCTAGATGGGTTTTTCTACTGAAATTTTTTCTCGTGCTATCTGTGTGTAATAGACAATTTCATGATAGGGGATGATTTTCACATTAATCAACGTCATCACGATACAGCTTTTAATGTATCGATCGCCGTCGGCTTTCCTTTAATCGCGTTTGTTTTTAGTCGATAGTACCCAATGTGTCTCGGAAATAAAATTCTGTAGGGCTAAATTTTAGTTTAATACATATCCACGAAATTCAGTCGGAACAAATGCCTTGTTGAATTATTAGTCGGTGCTTGGTGTATCAGCGCTGACTGTTCTATCAATCAATCAATCAATCGTTTATTTAACCACGTAACGTCCAGTGAGCTGAAAAGCTCGTTGAAAATACGTACGTGCTAATTTGTTGAGTCAATTAGTCAGCAGCCCTTGTTTGTTTCATTAAACTCGGTAAAAATTGGAAACAGAAGATTTGGGAGATTTCTAATCAGTTAATTTTCGGATCTAAGACCTCAGCAATCAGAAAAAATAAAGTTAAAAACTTGAGGAAGATTAAAGGAGACCCTTGAGTAGCGCAAGGTACTTTATATAAACGCGCGGCATCAAATAATACCCTGTTAAATTTAAAATCATTATTCATTAAAAAATAGATGTTTCTCGATTATCTCTCCATTAATTCATGAGGCGGTTTTGATATTTAGTGGATTCCAGCATATGCGTCTCTCCTTCGCTTTTGCCCGCTGACACTTTTTTAAAAAAGGAAACGATAACAACTGTTTTGCGCGTGGATAAATTATCGATATTTTTTAACTACACGCCGATCCCGATGGCATCGCAGGACTTGAAAAAATTTCCATACCTTGTGTGATGTCCAATCTCACGTCAGACAACGGAGATTACGTTTAACCCAAAGGCAAATAGTTAGCCGGAAATTCAACATAATTTGTTGAATTCTTCTGCAGGAAACGGGGAAAATTGTGGACGAGCCACACACAAACGCCAATTACAGATAACGTGAAAGATCTCGTTTATTACATTTTAAAATTATTCATGGTTATTTCTATAATTAAGTATTGTTATTGATAGTCTTCATTCAAAGTCAAAATTAATTAGACAGTTTAGTGCTGAAATAGTCACGGTAAATTTCTCAGATATGTTTTCGTAGACTTTCAGTATAAGCTTATCTACCAATGAACCTAATACTGGGTTGTACACGAGAAAAAAGTAATAACCGAGAGTGGAAGAACTTTGACATAAACTGATCAAATTGTTGACGACGATTGCAACTAGGAAAAAATAGCCTTTATTCTAATCTACTGACGCGAGTGTAGCAAGGTGATTGTTATGTAAACTTTTAAACTGATGGGTAAATTTATTTTCAATTTACTCCCTATTCCCTATACGTTGAACCACACCAAAGCAGATCACATCGCCAGCTTTTTTGTGGACTTTTCCCACGAATTTCCTTGCGCCCTCCTATGTAAAATGTTCTTTGAACTGGCTGACTTGGGGGAAATTTGGCACCCTGTTCCCTAAAATTGCGTTCTAGGAGCACTTCAGTTAGCCTGCGTAGCAAGCGTTTTGCAACAAGAGTACAACGGTTTGCTTGTTAACGCATTGAACTGTATTTTTAAAAGCAATCTGTCCTTGAACAATTTGAAATGGCTGACTTCGTCGAGAAAGTTGGGACTAGTGCACCTTTTTTTTGCTCCGCTCTAACTTTCGCGCAATAATTCGATTGGAAACGCTTGCTACGCAGGCTGCACTTCAGTTGAAGAATTTAATTGTTTTTTCTTACCCCAGATTATTAAATCATAGATGCAAGATCTCGAACAGATCACCGCAAGGTGAAAGCCGCGCCAGATTTGCGTGTCAATGTCACGATTTCTGTTCCACTTCCGCCAACGTTTTCCCTCCTTGTTTGCTTTGTGGTTGCATTGTATTAGTAAGAAACACCATTATACATTTTACAACGAGGTATCAATAGTACGTAAATCTCTCGGTCGGTTGTTAAAGAAGGTCTCACTGCTAAAGCGCTTTTTAAAAAAAAAATCAGTGGACCTACATGTGTATACTTTAGTAAGTCCGGGAATAGGGAAAGTGGACAAACATTTTTCTTATCTGCCGATCTGCACCGTATGCGTCAATAATAAGGTTAACCGCGAACAATAATTACACATTAGGAATGGCAAAATTATAGAAGGTTTCAGAACGTAGCTTAACACTGGATAAATTCAAGTCATTACTTCAACTAGGTCTAAATCTAACAATAGTTTTAAGTCAATCACCCTCCGTCCTCAGTGGGTTTAGGTAGATAAATTAATTAATTTAATTAATTTATTGTTTTTGATAGCCGTTACAAAAATACCGGTACTTCATCAACGTTGTTCACAACAAACCATGATTAGAGTTAACTAGGCCAAACTTAAAACGGTTACACTGGCGTGGTTAGCCTGACAGTGAGCCCTCGGGAGGGTGGGGACTTTTTCCTCTCTCCCCCACCCCCTGGCTAAACTGGGATAAGTAAATAACCGGACCAACGAGCTTTTATAGGATGACAATGTAGTTTTGTAGTTTTGTAGGTTTAGGATTTTGTTGTTATTTTTATTATGTAAAGCGCTTTTGGACCATTGGGAATTAGCGCTCTATAAATATTATTATTATTATTATTATTATTATTATTATTATTATTATTATTATTATTAAAGGAAGCAATCTCACACATCAGGAACAAAAAAGAAATGAAAAAAGTACATCCTGCTTCTTTATGAGTAATTTTTATTGGCGCTTTCACTACAGGCTACTTGAATTTTAGAGAACTAAACCAGTCAATTTTCTCAAACTTCACAGATCCTAGTTTTGCCTCGGCAGTAATTGTTCTTGAGTTTCTTTCCCCTTCAGATTCAGGGTTGAGTTTTCCTGTCATTACTGAAAAGTTCTCTCCTTTATCTTCCTCGTTAACAATCAAATTCACACTGGAATTTATACCTATTTCTTTGAACTTCACATTGATATCTGAAGAAGCAGATTCCTCTAGCAACTTGATGCAAATATTTCCTATGAGATAAAAATGTATTTTAAATGCCACATCAAACATCAAAGATATGTTACGTTTTCTTTATTTCCTTATTTCTTTATTTATAACAACTTTTTTGCACAAAGATAGACAGTAAGAAAAAAGGATGGCTGGGAAAAGGGTGCCAACAGAGAGGAACTGAATCCTCATGCAAAGCAGACCCTCTCCCTAAGTTTTCATTAGATGAAAAGCATAAAGTTAAATGTTGGAAACTAAAAAAAATATACCTTTTGCTAAAAAGAATCACTTTTTTTGAGTGTGTTAAGCATAGTGAAAACTGGATCAGGTTATGTAGGAAATGGAGTTCACTAAACTGTACTGCTGTGTTGTTTTCACACATGTTGTTTTTAGGACAGAAACTACTGACAGTACAAGTTTAGTTTTCTGCAGTACCAGTGTAAGTATATTATCTTGGCCACTCCATCAGCAATTTGCCTTACCATGTACTAAATAATATATGAGCAAACATTAACTTAAATCTTAAATGAGTCAGAGAAAAATGAGTGAGACATCAATAATCATAGATCATGACCCTTCTAAGAGAACCCAATTTGCGCCCTGGCAAGCTTTCAACAATACATCTGCTCAACTAGATATAATCGATCTTGGATCTGAGCTTCACATGTTCTTTAGACACTTGCATTAACCCTTTAAGTCTCAATAGTGACCAACAGCAATTTTCTCCTAACAATATCCATACATTGTCATGAGATGAGGTTATGAGAATTAATTAAATGATCACCTATGAGAAAATACTTTGATTTTTTATCAAATTCTCTCAACTCATTCTTTATGGAAATGTATAGAGATCAGTTTGGAGAATTTGTATGTGGATATTGGGGCTTAAAGGGTTAAATCACTTATGTAAATAGTAATATACCTTCTTTTGACTTCAGTGTTACAATGTCATGATGTGCCAAGTTGACATTGATGTTACCTTGTTTTGTGACTGCCTTTAGCTTCCCAGATGCTGAACCAACTGAAATGTCTCCTTGTTCAACATCTACTTCAGTTAAACCTGAAAAAAGAAAGACATGCAATGTACAACAACAATAATAATAACAATAATATTATTATTAATAATGATAATAATAATAATAATAATAATAATAATAATAAACACCAGATGCTTGTAGGTCATTATACACCGTTGCATGCTGTACATAAAAGCAAATAAGTTACTTTATCTCCCTTAATCGTAGACTACTAGCAGCTGCAAGTTATTATAAATGTTGATCAAAAGTGGAACTGAATAGAACCAGGGATAGCATTCTGGTGAGATCTCTCACATAGCTGGTCAGATTAAAATCCCTGGGCTGGCATTTTACTTCTGTTAACAAATATTTTATTTTTTACAGTACTTATTGTTTTTTGTTCCTTGTATTTTATCATTCAACCCAGAAAACCTTGAACACTTTTCAGGATCGTTTATTGTCCTTAGTCCAAAAGCAATAAAGATCAGGGCATGCCAGAAAACCATAAAATAAGTATCGTTGTTGCTTGCAGCTTAGTTTTGTCAAACCTGATTGGCTTTTTCTGGTGTTCAAGGTTTTCTGAGTTTCACAGTAACAACATAGATTAATTCCAGATAACTTATTTTGTTTATTTTGGGGATACATGTATGATCTAGAGAAGCTAATAGCTTATTTGTTGTGAGTATTCAAGCATTTTAAAATATACCCAATCAATTACTTACCATGAACATCGCCTAACCTGACATCCCCTCCTTTAGATGTCAACTCTGCCCTCAGAAGGTACGTAGCTTTCACATCGATATCACCATCCTCTGTATCAACACAAAATTTCTTTCCTTGCAGCTTTTTCACAGAGATGCTCCCTTGCTTTTTAGTATCAAGAATTCCAAACTCAAACAATAACTGTGGGTCACATGTAATGTTCCCACCATTTGTTTCTACACTCAAACGAGATCCTTTCAGGTTTTTCAAATGACAAGATCCTTGCTCTGTGATAACTTCATAAAGATGTCCTTCTAAATTCTGAACATCAACATCTGCATCACCTGTGACTTCAATCTCAACACCATAATCGACAGGGACATGAAAATGCATGCTGATGTTCTTAGGAGGATAGTTGAATTTCCTTTGCTCCAAGCAAGTTACCTGGAGGAACATAAAAAAACACAGAAATTTCTTAAAGATTATGGAGGTAAATTGTTTACATAATGTAATCATATTTTCTGTTTTTTTCTTTTAGTGGTTCAAGATTTTGACCTTGCTTAACATCCTTTAATTTCCAGTCAGAGAATACAGGAAGGTTTTTAATATGGGGCACATTATAATCAGACAACTCCTGTGCAAAATGTGTCTAGCAAAGACGAGCGAGGAGAGACGGCTATATTCACAGGCTATGATCAGCCTGGACTTCAACACTGTTTTTTTTTGGAGGGAGGAGGAAAGTATTTGTGATTGCTGTAATGTCACATGATGTTTGTCATCCAATAGGATGCTATATTCTACATCTGCTTGCGATCTTGTACTCAGTAGCTCTCACTCAAGTGAATCTAATGGATTAAACATTGATTTTTTACGTCTACAAAGACTGATTTGCTACAATACAAAACACGGAACATTATAATTGCCAGTGCTTTGAAGATTGTTATCTTGAAACTTGACAGTTTTTTTTGTCCAAAATTGTGGCTGAAACAGGGCTTCAGTGCTTGAATAATTTGCATATTTCCAACCACTTCACTGTGACCAACTTCATCAACACAGTTCACAAAAGCAAAGTTATACTTTTGCAATGCACCAAATTTCCTACTCCCTTTTTCTGTTCTCACCTCCATATAATCTCTGGAAGGTGACATGACTGCCCTGACATTATACTGTATGTCTTGCTGAAATGCTGTCTTCACTTTAGGGGACAGCTCTTCTGTTGTTTCTGTCTCCAGGTAAAGGAATCCCACTACAGCCTTGATATGTCCAAACTGGACGGGATCGATGGCTTCCACTTTCACTGAATAAGGACTCTTGATTATGATAGTTTGAGGTCCCATCAAGGGCGCTGGTATTGTAGCATGGTCCATGCACTGAGTTTTCTGGCGAAGCTGTACACGATTTAGCAAAATAGCAGCTCGCTTTATATTCTGAAACAATCTTCTACTTTTAAACATCCTGGAAACTTTTTAAAACAAACTTAACCATAAAAAATATTGAAAACGTCCGTTGCACCGTCCGCCATGTTGGATTCTGAGCCCATAATTACCAGCGGTGGCACGTAGAGCGCACAAGCAATGAAGAACTTGAACTTAGTCTCCAGATCTCCACGTTCACTTTGTTTCAAGATGGCGACGACATTTGATCAGGAGCTGCGAAAGGTACGTTGGTTTTTTTTGGATCCTTTAGCTATGGAGGCAGGAATATTTTTTATCAAAGTCTTTTTGGCTATGAAAATTAATAATTCTAAGGCCATGCGATGTTTTCTCGATGACTGGCATTGCAACACTTAAGTTTGAGGGCTGTAAATTTAACAGTGCAGAGCAAAAATATAAGCTTACCTCGGTCACCCAAGTTGAAGTACATTCACAGTCCCTCTCTTAAATGTATTTAGAGAATTAAAATGAAACGTGAAAAAATAACGGATTTTTCTGTTTGAAAGGCAGTTGCAAACATACAGGCTATCGTCAAAATAATATTTGTGAACATTGCCTCCTAAAGTCCTAGGGCAATCAAGATATGTTGCAGTTATTTTTTTATTTCAGTCAGTTTTTGTTTTTCCTTGTTTCTGGGTGTGGTAATGTAAGCTAATAAATTTGAAACAAAGGTAAAACAGAAATTAACTGAAATGAAAAAATTACCTGCAACATCAATCACCTGTAATCAACTGCAAATGGAAATTGAATAAGAGATAAAATCTTACCTGTTGAATTTGAATTTGCTGTGGTGCGAAGTGGAACTGAAGTTGTTTTACAATGCAAAAACTATGTTCAAGTCAACCTTTTAACCGTTGTTGATTTCACAATGCTTTATGTGGTAACGCCCTGGTTGTTATTATCGTCTTGTGTTTCATTGTTGGTTATTAATTTATTAACAATTTGAATTAACGGTAATAATTAGTGACAAGGGTCAAAACTCGATAGCTGCTCTTGTACAATCAGTGCCTCCGGTGCGATGCAATGCACCGCGAGGTAACATTCCACGATGACCATTCAGTTAAAACGAAAACAACAAGGCAATATCTGCATGTATATGCAATCAAACTTGAAACAATCTCAGAACCAAGCAGAAAAGCTCAAGAAACTTTCAGATGTCAAATGCAAAGTTAACTTCCGCTCCAGTCAAGTGGAGGCATTCATAAATCGAGAAGTCAGTAGTCAATTTCTGATCATTTTGAATACGAAGACTTTTATTTTAAATGGAAAAGAGTGGCCCATCGTACATTTTATCCCTTAAACTGTTGTTGGAATGAATTTTGTGAAAAAAATGCGTGTAATACTTGAGTACGGCTTGAAAATAAATCGGCCCTCAAATTAATTTCATCCCTTGTCTCTTTTTTCTTACTCTCTCTCGAATTGTTAATAAATTAATAACCAACAATGAAATGCGAGATAATAATAACAACCAGCAGATGACCACCTAAAGCATTGTGAAATCAACAACAGTTAAAGCATCGACTTGAACATAGTTTTCTCATTGTAAAACAACTTCACTTTCACTTCATACCACAGCAAATTCAAGAATAAAACAAAACAGTTAAGATTTTATCTCTTTTTTAATTTCCATTTGCAGTTTACAAATAAGAGCGTGGGTTCCCTATGATCACCTCTTTAAATTATCAAGAAATAACAGATCTTAATTATCAAGGTGATATAAACCCCTCTGTGGACCCACTGTAATTGGCTAGACTATAGTGGTCTCCCTGCTTCATAATTTTGTGTGAGTAAGTATTGTTTTCTAGTTAGGCCAAGCTAAATAAATAAACAAACGTATGGCTACTGTATTAAAGAAACAATGACGAGTTATCTACTTTAAATTGTTGATTCTAAATGCAAGAGTCAAACATGTCAGGTAAATGCTTTTTAATACAGGCATTTCAAGAACTTCAAGGGAAGATGATTGAAACTACACAGCGAGTTAAGTTAGCAGAAGGTCAAATAATGCAGCTGAGAAGGAATATAGCTCACGCCAAACTTACAGACCAAGAACTTGCTTCCTTGCCTCAAGATACAAAAACATATGAGTCTATAGGAAGAATGTAAGTGGCTAAGCTTTTGCATTAAAATTATATTGCAGGTGCCCAGCTCTGTTTGGTTGAAGCTTAAAATGTAAGAGGATGAACTGGTAATTTTGAAGGAAATTCTGTCTTAACAAGCCTGAGGACCCCATCCTCAATTTGTTTAAAAACTCTAGATCTATTTTCAGACCAAGACTGGTAAAGAAGACTTTGGCACCATACAATCTAGCCTACATTGCCTCTGACTCAAGCATAGTCTACATGCTTATGTACCTAAATTTAGACATAGGCACAGACATAGACAATGTTTTAGTTTGGGTCTTCTATCTACAGCTTAGAACAAGACATGATGATATCTTGCCAAAAATGCTCTTGTTTTCTGGTCCTTGTCTTAAAGCACAAGGTGTTTAATAAAGTCCATTGGGACTCAGCCAGACAAAACTGTTAGCATTCAACAAGTAAAACATACGATAAATCTATCATGTTTCAAGGATGGATTTAAATGTTAGTACAAGGATTGGTTAATGCATGAACAATAATGTGCTGCTTTTTTTCCAAATTAGGTTTGTCCTTCAACCTGTTTCTCACATTAGAAAGGAACTTAGTGAAAAACTCCAGAGTAATGAAGAAAAAATAAAGAGCATTGAGGTAGCTATCTGTAACTGTGGATGTGCTCATAGTCATCTTTTTCAAACTTATTTCCATAATCCATTCTCATTCTTAAAGCTCATGGGGAAAGAATCAGGAAAAAAAGATCTGCACAAGATGCTGTCCCACTCCAGGTTTTAGGAATTATCTTAATTGGATATTAGTCAGCTTGATAAATCTGAAATAGAAAAGGCAAAACTTAGGGCTTAAAATAAAACTTTGATTATTTCTTTAAGTTTGTTTTCTTGTTATCTCCGAGACTAGTTTGGGGAGTGTGTGAGTTATTAATATTGAAACTGGTAAAGATGAAATGTCTGCTATAGCATTCAAAAGTGTACAGTAAAGCTGTGATAATGAACCATTAGGAAAGACCCGAGTATAGTGTAGTAAAATATTATTTTTTCCTATCTTGAACAGTTAAAGTGAATTAATAATCAGTTTATTGAGTACAATGTGTTTTATTGTCTTGTATGTTATGGTTGTGATGCAGTACATTTATACAGTCATTTCCTTGTATTATTTCTTGCAGGCGAACAAGGAATATCTTCAGAAAAGTGTTAAAGAGCATGAAGATAACATAAGAGAGATGCTAGCCAGTAGACCGAAATAACTAATGTACTGTGATAATAAATGTTATTGTGTGTTCCACAATTGGCCCTATCTTATATCATCGTGATACAAACTGGACTACCTCTCCCAGTCTATTGTTAAGTCTCCTTTCAATTTACTAAACAAAAACTGTAGTAGAATTTAAAGTTTTTGGTGATATTGAAAACGACAGCAGCTTCTGTCCTATCCAACTGACAGGTAACTGACTAGAGAATGGCTACACTGTAAATCCTTGTTCATACAACCATCTGTAAGTTTGTTGAACTGGCACAGATGCTTAATCAATTCAGTAGAATTCAGAGTTATGTGTTTACACAATAAAAAAGTCTTCACTATGCAGGCTCTGTGTTCCATAAATACTATTAATTTTTCTCAGATATTAGGTTTGACTACTAAACTATTTTATCATTGGAGATTAAGAAAGATCAGAGCTCATAATAAGTTTTGCGGAATTAATGTTTCTTTGTTTTTGTTTAGAAACATGTTTTCTTTGGTTTTAGAAGGAAACCATTTTGATCTTTATTATATTCAGCAAGAAATCTCATGATAAATGGTGATTTATGATAAAATTTTGGTTGGAATTTAACTGGAAATCCTAAATGATAATTTCAGAAATACATGGGATTTTTAGAAGTGAAACATCATCCATTTGCAACAGTTAATGATAATTAAAGTTGGCCAGTTCCTTGATATAACTGACCTTTGAAAATCATCATGGCAAGACTTGTTAGTGAATTGGATTACTGACATCCCACCAAAAATTTCCAGTGAAGGTTTAGATGTTTCCCTATAGAGGTGCCTCCTCCCACCCCTTATATTTTACATTACGGTGTTGTTTCTTTTACTACACCCCAACATCAACCACCCCCCTCCCCCCCACCCCTTATAACCTCAAATCATCTCAGTCCCCAAATTGAAAACGGGTGTGTCAAGGTGTGGCTCGGGATATAAGAAGTCTTAGATGTATACATGAAGTACAGACTGTCAGAAATGTTTTTTTCTTGATAAAATAGTCTAGTTTGTCGGTGATGAAATTCGTGCAAAAATGCTTCACAAAACGTTCTATGTTTGAAAAATTTTTTTGAATTTTGAGGGGGAACAAACTAAATCACAGGAAAGTCCTGTATTGAAGACCAGGGCCGAGTTGTTCAAAGCTGGGTTAAGATAACCCAGGGTTAGTGCAAGATTTGCATTCAGATTTGAAAGCTTAAAAAGGATTTCAGTTTTAATTCTTTTTGTCTACAAGTTGATGGTTGGAAGCTCTAAAAATAACAGAGAAAATTATTCAAGAAAATGCTTTTGAACACAAGAAAAAGAAACTTCGGTTAAATTTAACCCTGGGTTAAGAGCTAATCGGCCTTCGAACAACTGGGCCCAGAGGATAAGTCACCTCCCCTTCCAGGAGTTTGATGTGTATAGATTTTCTTTTCCTTATGCCTTTACCTTATTACTGAGATGAACACCACGCGCCTCTTTTGCTTGTTATCTAAACTATTTGCATAATTTCATTACCCGGGGGGCCACTTGGGTATTTTTTGGGTGGGTATGTGCCGCCCGGGACTCCAAATTGGCACCCCGTTCTAAAAAAATAATTCCCCTAAAATTAATACCCCGTTCTGAAAATAGGCCAATTTTTTATACCCCGTTCTAGAATTCGCCCTAAAACTGATACCCCGTTCTAGAAATGGGCCAATTTTTTGTACTCCGTTCCAGAAAGTTTGTAAATTGAAATAGCCCTGTTTTCTAAAAAGATATTTCTTTATTTGTTCGACTTATACATCAAATAAATGCTTCTTCATAATCAGCAACAATTTTAAGCAGAAGATAAAGCCGTGATCCACAAGTTTTTATACCCCTTTCTAGAAAACGCCTCTGAAATGGATACCCCTTTCTAAATCAGGATTTTCAAAATCACGACCCCGTTGTAGTACAGCTGTTATCGACCAAAAATATAGCGAATTGTTCACTTTTATGATAAAAGCATGAAACTTTGCCAGATTACAACCAACCCTAAGACTAACATTTCTGGATATGGAGCCAAGCCAAATTCACCACTAGACACGAGGACTGCGCAGGCCCTAAAATGGCCTACATGAAAACGAGGCTAACAGTGGAAATGCTTCTAAAACACCGGTTTTTAAGAGTTTTGGTAAATAAAACTTGTAGATATCGTGGAAGAAGACATTTGTTTTGCTGTCATGTTATCTCTGGTGTCACGTGACCCTTTCTTCCAAATATGGCAAAGCCGTTGTTGGGTGTCCTGTGCTAGAGCTGTCTTCTGTCCATTTGTGTGTTTTAAGGGGTGAGAATGGGCACCGATTCACACAATTTTAAATCAAAACACTCTTGCAACTATTTTCCAATTATCAAGGGTTGGATTTGTTTTCATACAAATTTCAATTACGACATGAAAACAAGGCAAGAATCTTTTAAACTGTTTGAAAAGCCTCCAGTTAGCACTGTGTTCGGTCATTTGGGGGGTGGATTCAGATAACATTGCATAAAAGCTTGGAGTGATCAAAAGTTGTGATTGTATGGCACTCTGGCTGTTGTTTTCCATCTAAATGTAGAGCGCCGCTCAAAGACAAGGCAAAAATCCTTTTGACGATCTTAAAAGCTAGCCTCCAGTTTCTTGCCTCCACGTTCAGATACTGCATTAAGCTATTAATCTTCAGATGAACGAATGAATCATTCAGGGAATTCTCCTTTCAATTATTAACAAAGTCAGTTACAAGGTTCAGTGCTGAATCCAGGAGGTGGCCCGGCCCAAATAGCTCTCCCCCCCTTAATTGTGAAGAAATGCAATTCGATCCTTTCAAGTTGAAATTAATATTACCAGTTGTTGCTTACATTAAATGCATGAGACAGAACAGTCTTTGAGGTAAAAATAAACAGGTCATGCAGTAGCAAGCGATCGTGCCTCCCCATAGTTCTGTTATGTCTAAAAAAAATAGATGACAGGATAGTCTTGTGGAGGCCATTTTTGAGATACGCAATTTAAAGCTACAAAATTTATATTCCTCTAAATTTTATGTTAACACATGAAAATATAAAAAAGATGATCAATCTGAACGTAATGAAAATAGCCATGTTTGTCCCCGTTAAGGACAAGAAATCAAGCCTTTCAAATTCAACTCCCTAACAGAACGTCGAGCGCTTTCATTAAAAAAGCAAAGTTGTTGCTACGTATGTCCTCAAGGCAGAGTATATTTAAACTGCTTGCTTATCCTTTATAATTGAACAACAACTGAGCTACTTGAAATAGATGAAGGAATTAGCTTAACGTTACTCATATTTCTAACGGTAATCTTTAATAATAATAATAATAATAATAATAATAATAAATACTTATATAGCGCCGATATCAATAAAGACTGCATAAAGTATACATGCATAAAGTGCATGAACCTACCAAAAAGAGGTAAAACAATTTTGTCAACACTAAAACCATAAAAATTACCTAGACTACTTAAATCGTAAAAAAATGCATAAAACCTACTAAAAACGAGATTAAAAAGCACATAAAATCTCAGCTTTTTTACATAAAAATGTCTTGCGTGTCTTTTTAAAAGATGCTACTGAGGGGCTACTCCTAATCGCGTAGGGCAATGAATTCCATAGTTGAATTACTATGAATTGAGCATTTCAAGTCATTGTACTAGCCGTGATGCAGCACTAAGGCGCTACACTTTGGGCCCAAAGAGTGCTCGTTACCTTATAATTATGGAAAGTTAAAAATTCAATTGCATGCAATCGCATGGCAATCGAAAAGGTTCAGACCGCATATATCGCGTGCGAATTTCCACATTATCCTCGGAGTAAACACAGACTGTCGAAGAATACTTTAATTTTCCAGACTTTCGGTGCGGCTCAAAACTTACACTACCCATACTTCTAACTGTATCGTGTTTGATCTGAATTATTTTTGTAATTCGTACCAAGTTTGTTCTTTTTGCAAGTCGGGTTACAAAAATTTTCAAAAAAGTGCCCAGCGTTGAATATTTGTGCCTAAACCGTGCCAAAACTGTGCCAAAACTGGGCCCAAACTGTGCCTAAAATGTGCCTTAGCAATATTTAAAACGTGCCTTAACTGTGCCTAAAGTGTGCTTAATCTGTGCCTTTGCATGTTTTTTTCCCGTGCTTTGGCACAAAAACCGTGCCTTTTCTTGAGCGCGAATCGTGCATAAGGCACGGTGTTACGCTCGTGTACACCAGTAGCGTGCGCCAAGCCGAACGCGTAAGGAGGGGGAGATTGCTTAACAAATATGAATTTTGATAAGGTTATATTTATTATGAATTATTATTATTATTATTGAGTTATTATGAATTTTGATAAGGTAATAATGAAAATTATTATTAACAATACAGAGATCAGAGAGCTGGAACTGAACGAAAAGCAGTTCAATAAAGGGTGAAATAATTAAACTTTGTTTTCAACAAATTGAAACCAAGTGACGATTGCATAAAATTCACCTGCTCATTCAGTAATTCTCTAAAGTTGGGCTAATTTATTACGAAATAAATGCAAAAAGTTGAACTCTGACAACAAACCAGTGTATCAAAAGAAAGGAACATGGATATAATCGGTAAGTTAGTGCAACAGGGGCACCCAACGAGAATTAGTTCAAAACCACTTAAACATAGAATCGTTAAACGTATTTTAGTATTTAAACGGTAGATATAGGCATATTTTTGTCCCCTTAAAATTTTTCATCTGCTCGGATTTCCTAGCTGAAAGTCAAGTGATACGAAAATTATAGGGATCAAAACTTACCTTTCGAAAATTTTAGCCAGAAAAAAGGCTCCCGAAAATTCTAGGTGACCTTTTTAGGGTAAAAATCCGTTAACAATAGGCAATTATACCATTTTTTAGATGTCCGAAAATCCTAGGAGAGGCAGACAAGCAAGAAATTTTATGACAAATGTTCCGAAAATTCTAGATCTCAAATCGTCTTCCGAACAGATATTTTTCCGAAAATGCTCGTTGGGTGCCCCTAAAGGGAAAGAAGTTATATCACTACCTTAATTCTTTACTTGTTTTTTTTTTTGTTCTACGATAGTAAGAGATATAATCATGTGGAGCAAAGTTTTTGTGGGATATGATTTTTAGCGGATTTCGATCATGAGGATTTTCTAAACTGAGATCCATGACATGAATGAGGAAAAAATGAAATAAATAATAAGCTGCGAAACCACGCGCGACCCTGTTTAAGGAATCTTTGCGGTACCTCTGCTATCTTAGAAGCGTTATGCCTATCAGATATTATAATAGTGATCCTTTTTCTTTTTAACCACGAGTACGAATTTTAAATTTTATCTTGTTATATTCCCAGAACTAACTCGGTTTCCTGTCAATGATTAACACAAAAAGTGCAGAAGCCAAAAAGGATAGGCGGAATGATACATCAGGTGTACTACCTGAAAACTGATTATCAAAGGCACGCGAGCTGCGTTTAAAAAGTCATGCCCGTACTTGTAGTATCGTGAGCGTAGTCTTATTTAAGGTTCTTATTAAGTAACTTATAATTAGAGGCATGCAAGCCTTGAAACGTTTCTAGCATGAAATAAATGCTTCATTACGTTTTTGGTTGAACGGATGAACGAATGACCAAGGGGATAGCGCCGCCGTAGCTTTGAACTCCATTTCGACGATTTATGACCAAAGGGAAAATATGAAATAAAATAACACCCCCTTCGAATTGCCATATCTCTTACTAGTCGTACCTAAAATATGGTCACTGGTACGGGTCTTATCTCCAAAAGTTATTCTCAGCATCGGAAAATCCACGATTTTGCAAAAATTCGTACCCGTGAAACGCAGACAGGGAATGTGAAAATAAACTCCTGCCTAAATTTCACGCCACGACGCACTCCTCAGTTGCTTTTACAGTAAAACTGAGTGACCCATAACTCGCACAAGTTAACCTTCTCACAGGTGCCAAAAAGCTAGAATTCTCTATCAGTAGTCGAAAGAAGTGATCAACTATCGATCGTCTATATTTACTACGACAAATAGAAAAGAATAGCTTAGTTTTGTTATGCTTTTGCTCGAAATTTTGGAACAACGTTTTTCTATTTGACTGGATGTATTACTTTGCATAGATACGGGTAAATGCAGGCGCGTAGGAGGGGGGGTTCGAGGGGTTCGAACGAACCCCCTTTGCTGGTCAATTTGTCAATTTATTTGAAGGTCTCAACCTGGAGATGATGAAATTGCAAAAGTTTGCTTTACGAAACGGAATAGTCCTGTTGTGAGTTGATAAGCTTTATAAGTAAGTAGCAATGTTGTGGCCCCAGTATATCCTAGTGACCTAGTATTATATGTAGTCAAAACAATCCCACCATTGAAGATGTTTCCTTAGCTGTTTATGAGAATTCGGATTGACGGCCGATCAAGAACAGAAATAATGCGGGCAATTTACTTTCTCTTCGCAGTTAAAAATTTTCAATGCTTGTTCGAAATGATTAGTGTGTCTTTCTACTTGTGTAACCTTTGTTTATAAGAGTTTTTATATCGCATTTGCTGAATGAAAATGATATAAATCTTTGAGATGATCGAAACTCGGCATTTAGACACTTCAAACTACACTACAGTAATCGGAGAAGTTCATCTTCTTAATCTAATAAATGAAGTAATCCGCTCCTGACTATTACTATTTCTGTCGATTTCTTTCATATTTCACATAGGTATTCATGGGCGAAAAAATAAAAACTGTGTAACCAAAACTTTGCTCACCAATTTTACTCGACGTAATTGCTTCCCCCAGTATGGAAGAATTTGTTCATTATTCTTAATAAGATCACATGCAAAATACTTGCATTTTTGTGAACTGAACATGAAAACAAGAAAATGTTTGCGTGTTGTTTCCCTCTCCACCTTCTTCTCTGGTAGTCGTCGTAGTCTTGTGTCTGTACTGCAATCTTAACGTTCTATATTTGCTGACATAGGCGTACGGGCCGGGGGGGCGAGGGGGGCTGCAGCCCCCCCAAAGTTTGGGCAACTCAGATTTTTTGGGCAGCAAGAGAAAACTTGGGCAAAGCCAGTTTTTAAAGACGTTTCCATGTTTTTTATTATTATTATTTTTTGAAGACACAAATATTTTCTATTTTAACCAGAAGTCGGCGTAATAATTCAGTTACGTTCACACGAGAGAGTGGTTGCCTAGCACGTGATGAGTTTCTGGTTATAAGGGAAGGGTATCATATGCTGATTTTTTGTTGTTGATGTTGGGCACTGTACTTCACTGTACTAGCTGGAGTGGGCTATTTCCAGTCATGAATTGATTAGAATAAACTTCCGCATAACTTTCTAGAATCACCTCCGCTCCTAGAACAGTGTGTGGCAGAACACGCATCAGCAGTGGGTCTGAAAGTGAAGTGGCTGACTAATTCTCAGTTTGAATTACGAGAAGAATCATAATTTTCTTGAAAAAATCTATCGAGGGTTTAAAAATTATTCACTAATTTGTTTAAGTAGACCGAAATGTTTACGAAACTCCTAACAAGATCGAGCGCTAATCAAATCCTTCCTTATTAGCAATTGGCAGGAGCTATCTCTATGATCTTTCATACACGTTTTTAATAAGATTGAAACTCCGTTTTCTAAACATCAAGATTTTCCTTTTTTACCTTATTTCTAACAATAAAAACTTCATCCCAAAATATCTCGATAACGCTCTTACAGTTCCGTTTTAACTTCACGAACATCGAGGCGACTATTAGAGGAAAGAGCTTCCCTGAACGATTTTATAAGAACAGTTCCCAGTGAGAAATATTGCTGCAAGTATAATAGGTAATGGCGTCATTTCGTTGCTATGACAGCTCCGATGTCAGTGCAATCCTGGTCATCACTAGCCTCCCCGCAGACGTCCTTTGGGGTTCGTTTGTCACGCATTCATGCGTGACAAACGAACCCCAAAGGACGTCTGCGGGGAGGCTAGGTCATCACAAATTTCCCTCTTTATCTAATACAACTGTGGTGGCAATTTTTTCCAAATGCTTGTTTGTGGCGACGTAGTTTATGCTCAAACTTGGCAGGTATTGACTCTGAAAAACTGTATCGAGCCACTTTCATATGCCAGTACGGCCTATTTTGTTGCATGGCCCTAGTTTCCTTTCGACTGTTTTGTAAAAATTTGGGCAACTTGCAAGAATTTTTTGGGCAAATGGATTACCGCCCCCCCTGGCAAAAAATTGCCCATACGCCTATGTATTTGCACAACTCAACAAACACAGCAACGCTCGTCCAACCGTAGTTCGTAGTCCGTTGTCGTTGTATCTTAACTCCCTATTCGTATCAGTACGAACACCCCTTCTCAAACCCCAGCTACGCGCCTGAAATGCCTCATTTCCATTTAGCGATACATCAATGCAAGATTTTTAACTTTTTTTTAATTCTGAATATATTGCTTTCGATGAAAATATACTCTAAATAGCAGCTTTTTGCTTTGCTTTGAGTGCTCGGTAGAACACCTGTTAACACCGTTTATGGGCCAATTGAGAAGTCATCCATTTTTTTTATCTTTTTATTTAATTTTTTCTCCTTTTTTTCTCTCTGCGTGACTGCTTCTCGCATTAACATGCTGTTTTGTTTGCAAATTTCCTGTAGAAAAGGGGGATACCACTGGTCACCATAACACTTATTGAGAATGAAAGATTGCTGGAACGTTTCGAATGAGACTGGTAGAATTATTTCTGAAAAGGAAAGAAGAACTTGGTTTGCAGCTTTTGTCATCGAGTGTATCGTCATCTTCTTACTGAATGCTTTCACTCTCGCCACCTACATAAGAAACCGCCACTTACGCAAGCGCAGTACGTACCTGATAATAAATCTGACTGTGGCCGATTTACTGGTGGCAACAGTGGCCGGACCTTCTATAATATTTGAAGAAGACAACCTGGAGACGGTGGAGGGTCTTGAACAAGATTTAAGTTGGCAATCATTTCTGTATTTCACATCACAGGAGCTTTTTTTCGTTGCTTCATTAGCTAATATTTCATTGATCTCGTTAGAGAGGTTACACGCAACCCTTTTCCCCTATAGGCATTGTCTTGTTGGAACAGGAGTTTACCTCGCCACTATTTTTTGTAGCTGGTTGTTCTCCTTGACTTTGTCATCTGTCTTTTCTCTTCTTTCTTTCCGTGCATCGCCGGCTTCTTTTCTGTATGTCACTGCAGCTTACGTTTTTCTCTGCCTTCTCATTCTCACAGTTTCATATTCTATAATCATCTCAACTGTCAAAAACAACCCTCACACACCTAAAGCTGGAACAGCACTTTCAAAAGAAAGGAAACTAACGGTGACCTTATTTACAGTTACTGTGGTCTCTTTTCTGACCATTCTTCCTTGGGCTATTTGGAATGTTGTCCTCCAACGCATATGGAGTAAATTATGCCCTGCAGTATTTTTTCGTATCGATGACTCGTTTGCCTTACTCTATCTTTTCAATTCTATAGTCAATCCCCTAATATATGCAGTAAGAATGCAAGAATTTAGGAAAGCAGCCAGAAAACTTTTTTGTACTAAGACATCAGAACTAGCGCGAGTCCAACCCATGGAACCTCTTACATTGCATGTACGTACTCAAGCAATACCTGTTGAAGAACGAACATAACAAGTGGAAGATTTCCTTAGAAAAGCTCTAACAAGATTGCGGAGGTCTTCTTGCTTAGATGTCTTTTGTAATCTTTATTAATCAGTGTAACAAAGATATGAGTAGTGAAATAATCAAAAATGAAATAAAATAAAGTAATAATTAAGAAATAGCACGCAAACTGTGGTGGTAAACATTGTTAGAGTAACATACTACTTCAGGAGGAATTATATTGGCTGCAACGCTTGCATTTCCGTACGCATGTGCATCTAAATATATGATTCCTTGCCATTCCAATCATCTCTGTCTCTTTGATGTACAGTGTAACCCCGCTCTACGGACACCCGTCTACAAAGGACAGTTTAGTTTGTCCCGAGCGAAAAAAAGCTCAACAACATATATTTTCTATAAAATTACCCTGATTTTTAAAATACGGACATCCGCTTAATTTGGACACTAAAACATGTCCCGTGGGTGTCCGTATTGACCGGCCGGTTCCATTGTAATTATTTCAAATGTCAAAAATAATCTTTATTTCAGTGCGATGGTTTACCCTTTTTCAGCCGATGATCTCGTCATTTAAGAGGGAATTTGAATGAAAACGATGCGATGGTGAATGACAAGTTATTTTAAAGGCGCAAAATTGTGTAAAAGAATTAAAGTAATGTCGCATGCCAAAGTCTCACTAGGTTTTAGTTTGATAGGAATCATGTACCCTGCTCCGAGGTCGTTCAATTCCACATTCTTAACTTCCGCTTGATTGGGCTGTAGCGCCAACATGGCCAATACGTGGGGAGAATTATACAATGTGTACTCAATTTAGTACATTAAGATAAAATAAAAGGCTGAACTTAAAAGAAAAAATCGTATAATTAAACAGGAACCTATGCACCCTTATGTTGATATTCTTAAAACAGCCTTGCTAGGTTTGGTGCCCTAACATCCAGTTCTCACTCCTAAAAAACAACAAATTATAACCAAATGACGGTTGCATAAAATTCATCTGTTTATGTTAGTTCTCTAGAGACGGGCTTATTTATTGCGAAATAAATGCACAAAAAGTTCAACTCTGACAACAAAGCAGTGTATTTAAAGAAAAGAACATGGATACTATCGGTAAGTTATGCCGAGGAAAAACTTATATATTAACTACCTTTAGTGCCTCTTGCGATGAGTTCTTTTACTTGTTTCCTTTTTGTTCTAAGATAGACCAACATATTTGTCATGTGGAGCAAACTTTTCGTGGGACATGATTTTTGGCGGATTTCTATGATTTCGTAGAGATCTATGACATGAATGCGTAAAAAAAAAAAAAAAAAAAAAAAAAGCTGCGAAAGCTTATACTCCCCCAACCTCCAAGTGACGACCCTGTTTAAGGAATCTTTGCGGTAACTCTGCTATCTTAGAAGCGTTATGCCTACATGATATTATAATAGCGATCCTTTTTGGCTTTAAATGTCATACCACGAAGTAGGAACCTAAGCACCCTATGTTGATGTTCTTAAAAATAGACTTGCCTGGTACATAAGCCTCATTATTCAAAGCGGCTGATACGTTTTGGGCCACGTGGTCTGTGCTACATACGCCACTATCGATATATCAAAATTCATTATGATAGTGAGTCCAGGGGGACACAAACAAAAATAAATATTTACAAATAAATAAATGAATAAATAAATAAAGGAATAAACATATTAGTCCTTTTTTTGAAGCCTCTAAAACTCTCCGTGGATCATGTTGAATTTTATGTATTTGAAAGAGGATATTCTTTTAGTTTTTAATAAGCTCGACGTATAGCTGACATTTTCATCAGCGCAAAGGCATGGCATAAAGTCACTTAAAAATGATGTATAACAATCAGATAAAAGCAACCAGAAAGTGGTTCTAAGGAATAAATGAACAACAACTCAAAATAAGATCTAAAGATAGTTGGTTTCTAAAAAATCTGAATGTTTTGCGTCTTACTGAACTTTTCCATAATTTCAGCTTAACTAGTTAATATAAATCGTTATATGCTTTGAAAGCTATTTTTTACTTAAGTTTAGGAATAACTTTATGTAGGTTCCAAAACTCATATGTTTGATGACCTCTGTCAAATAAGCAAGTGTCACATTGATTAGGCTATGATCGACACTATCAAGATGCTTCTAATATGTACTTGAAGTCTTGAATTAAAATTCATGCTTACTGAAAAAAGGAAAACTACCTGGGCAAATAACAGTTTCACTTGTTTATCTTGACCATAGTTATTAGAGGAGACTGGTTGTGAAAAGCGGCAAACATCAATGATAAAAACAACAGTGTTGCAGTTTATGTTCAAAGCACCGTGAAAGTGCACAATCCTTTGTTTTCTGTTGGCAAATTGTTACGGAATAAATTAATGCAACGTTTTTATTGGTCAATACAATCAAAATGATAGGAATTCTTTTGAACGTTGTGCACTTTCAGGTCCACAAAAACATGTAACAAAGGAGTCTGACGGGTTTCATAACCATTCCACTCAATTAACTATGTCTTGACTTCCCTTAAAAGCCAGAAAAAAAGTTATTCTAAATCCTGCCCATAATTCAGGGGCACCCAATGGATCTGTTCCTCAAAATATCTGTTCTTCATGCAAATTTTTGCTGGCTGGGAGATGTGGAAGAAATAATAGTCCTTGGAAGGAAAGTGTTGCTGGGAAAAAGATAATTCAGGGTGTCAGAGGGGATTTGAAGTCTAGAATAGCTGCTACGGGTTACTTGTATGGGTTGCTTACCACTCAAGATCTGAATTGTGCCCTATGAAACTTCCTAGTAAGTCAGGTTGCAGGTTGTAAGGTTGCTGGCTGGGAACTCTTCCATCAGTCTTGCTGGGAGTGAGGAACAGATAATTTTTTTCCAGCAATCTCCCAAACTGCTTAAAATAGTCTCAGAAAACTTTATTCACGCTTTGTTGTTGTTTTTAGGTCTTTTTCTCAAAATTTCTCGTTGGGTGCCCCTGATAATTTGCAAAAGAAGCGAAACGAAAGCAGCAAAATTACTATAAAGAGTCAAAGAGTACACTTTTCGACTGTAAGTCTTAATTCCGGTTGTTATGTTAAAAATTACTCGCCAGATAAGATATTGTCCATTGATTCTTATTGCATGGGACAAACAACCGAAACGTAAATCACTTGAAATTTTGTCTATTTTTTATCATTAACGATTGAGAAGAATAATTTGCGTCAGTTGCGCTTAAAAAAAAAAGAAGAAGAAGAAGAAGAAAAAGAAAGCATTGTAAGTTCATCGTCTACATTTTATCATTTATACAAGATGGGGGAGGGTCATGATTTTTTAGGCCAAGGTCAGGGGGAGGGTTAGCAAATTTCACTCCCATTGCAGGGATGGGTCACCTCATTTCCGAACCCAAATTTAAAATTCCCACCCCCCTCCCCTGCTAATTTCTGACAAGTCCCTTATCAATAGTACTTATTGGGCGGCACATACCTGTATAGGTAATGTACGGGAGTCCCCCCCCCCCCCCCGCAGGGTTTCATTACCTATTCTGAAACGACTCTCATCTCCACCCCTCCCCCGAGTGTAAGAAATTGCCATTTTCACAGGCCGTAATGAATTGTGGGTTACTTGGTCGAGCGGATCAAGATGTTGAGTTGTTATTGATGTTGAAGTTTTTCTGTCTGTGAAATATCGGATCGCCGGTAAAATTTTAACTTTTAGGTAGTATCACAGAAGCAATTGGATCGGACATGATTTCAAGAAAATGAATGGTTGTAGGTAATGGAGAGGTTCTGTCGTGTAAACGGAGTTTGAATTCGTGGGACAAACGCACATTCTTCGAAGCTGTGTACATTAAGTTTTATCATCAGGCAAGTTTCAAGAAGCTGTAGGTTTACGATATTGTTTTTTCCCTGAAGGCGTCGTTGGATTGTAGAAGACGTCATCTTCGGTGAGCAAAAGTTCTTCTGATATATTCTCTAGCCCTTAGTACGTGTAAACAATTAGCCTAATGCTCAACACTACAGCAAGTTTTAGTTGTCGATGATGAAAATATGTTCTTACATAGTTGAACAATGCTAACGTTTAGATTGGAACTGGAAGGAAGGCTTTCAAAAAGTTGTTTTATTCCCCAACAACACAAATATTTTGCTGTCTTATGTAAGCTTTTTAATACAACATGTAGTCAATCACATCCTACATGTACTTTGATTATTCAAACAGTCACGATGAAAGCACGAGCACTTACAATTATATCTTCTTACATGTACATGAAAAAGGAAAAGTTTGGATTCCACATTGCTTCTGAAGATTTAAATATTTTGTGGAGTAGTAAATTTCAGGAATACTTTTGTAACAAAAAGCAATTTGTTAATTAATAGATACAAAAGATGCAGTGTAACAGGGGATGGGGATGGTGGATAGCCTTTCCTCTTTATCTTTCTATTCTAACACTAAAAACTCTCTGACCCTGTTATATTACAGTTGAGGAAGAAACTCCTGTATGATATAGATAGGGTGATTTTTCTCCCACCTAGGGTCATAAATTGTATAGCGTAGCCTCAAGTAGAGGGTTCATAGTCAAGTCACTTAAAGTCATCTTACCCAAAGTTATATCCTCTGACACCAGAGTTATTGTCCAAAATTTATAGTTAAGTTGCCCGAAATGCTGAATTATGTTGCCTCAAAATAGGCAAGTTTCGTATTCCCCGTTGGCCCTTGGACAAGGGACTTCTTAGCATCATTGCGAGACTAATGCATGTCAACTTCTTGACAAAAACAAAAACAAACATACCATAGGTAAATTGCAGCTGAGTTGCTAGGAAATGATAGAAGTCATGAAAAGAGTAAGATGTCAAGCTTGAACTTCACCAGTGAGCTAAAGGGATATCCATTTCAAACAACAGAACTGAAGGAAGAGCTGGTTGCACTAACACGGAAATGGGATGAAACGATGGAGCCAAAAGAAGAAGTAAACTCTTTAAGCTTGAAAATGGTTAAATTAATTGTTAAAATGATAATATTCCATTCCCTCTTTTTTCAAACCTCTTATTATTCTACTTTACTCTTGTGTACGTCTCTAAAATGGAGTTTAAACTACTCAGGATATCCTCTGTATATAATTCTGTGTTCTTATTGAGTGAAATTTGCATACTTCATTTTTCTACATGTCATTGTGACTGAATATTTTGATACTTGTAATGTAGCTAAATGTTTTAAATTAGACTGTCTTGTACCTTGGAAGTCATCTTTGTTCAAATGAAAGTTATCCTAAGAGAAGTTAATGATCACTGAAAATGATATTAAAATGGCTCCAGGGTATTACCTTGTTTAAGAATTTTGAGACCATCTTCACATTTTATTGAACTCACTCACTAACACTCTTTCGGTCAATTTCTGGTTAGGCTTTTTGTTTTTCTTAGTGATGACAAGCTGATTTTCCTTTTGTTGTTTGATTAAAAACAATGATTTCTCAAGCCTATAAGTATTAGTTTTGAGGCCCCTGAAACCTTTCAACATTTAAGATTTTCCTTTTTTGCTGGGAATGCAGCCACAGTTAACTACTCGTGTTTGTTTGTCTTCTTGGTAATAAGTGACCAGCATTAGCCTTGCTTTCACTCGAAACAAGCACTCATCCTAAGCCAAAATGTTTCTATTTATCATGCTCAACAACATCCTAACACCTTTATCAAGCATATGTTGTCTCATCAAATCTTAATGAACAAGGTATATTACTCACTGACTGCGCTTTTTTTGTTTCATCAAGACTTAAAGAACGAGGTACATTACACATTCTGGTTTGTTTTGTCTGATCATTGTTGCAAAAAAGAAATATGTTACAAAATTATGCTGCTTGTTTTGTCTCATTATCACTGAAACAGGGAGATACATTACACATTAATCTTTCTTGTTTTCAACATAACTTTACATTTTGGGCAACTTAACAAAAAATTTTGGGTAACATAACTCTGGTTTTGGACGAAATAACTTTGGACGAGATGATCTTTGGGTGACTTGGTTACCATTCAGAGAGGGATTACTGTTTCATAGGTTAGAACTATTTTATGGTGGACAATAAAATTTTGGTACAGCTACCGAAGGACTTTAGGACACATTTTTTGTAGAAGCATGAAAACATCGAAACATGTGCTCTGGCTAAATCTTTAAAAAGAGTAATCATTTTTAACATAGGCGAAAGCTGTCATTAAGGGCTGAACCAGTATAACACTTGTTACGGCTGAGCTCACTTGATGTTATGGGTGATAGTGGAAAGCTAAAGGTGGCACTTTAAATTTTTGTCAGATGTTACAGGTCAATCTTCATTTGCTATGGCTGCTTCAAAAAAACAAAAATTCGTTTTATTTGAGTGTCAATTTATTTAGCATGAAAGTGCTAATTGGTGACACTATTTTTGCATCTCCTACTGGAGACGGGACCGCCATTTTACGTGATCATCCAAGCTTCGCAAAGGTCTAGCCATTTGCAGGGCATGAGCAAAGGCAATACCTTCATTTCTCAGTTATTTTAAGACCCTGAGTATTGTTCTGGTCCCAGGAATCAAACCCGTGACCTCCCGCCCCGCAGTCAAGCCCTCTACCGACTGGGCTTATTCTGCGCTTCAAAACTTAATGAGAGCCCTGATAGGGTTTCATTAGCCTGTGCCACAGACAGAACTAAACTTTCTGGTTAGGTCTGTCTGCAAAACAGAGTTTAAATTAAGGACACAGGCTAGGGTTTCATCTTAAACATTAATGTCCACCAGATTTCTGAAATAACTGATTGTTAGCATATATATATAATTCCAAAGTATTGCTATCTCAATCTGTCTATTTTTCGGGATACAGTGTAGGACTAGCTTTACACTCTGTAAAAAAAAAGAGTCCTCTTCATCCTGCGGCATAATGTATGCCTTTTTTTCTTTAGGTATCTTGTTAATATTTTGTTGCATCTGCAATATCTTTTTTTACCTTACCAGTAACCAATCACAGTATGGAAACAAGCCCTCAGCCACAAGGTGAAGAAAAGATAGTGATCCCACCATACAGGAGCCCGGAATGTCATAACAAGTCGTTCCAAGTTATGAACACTTTACGTGAACAGAATCAACTTTGTGATGTGTTGTTGAAGGCTGCAGATAATGAGATTCCTGCACATAGAGTTGTTCTGGCATCTTCTAGTCCTTATTTTTTTGCAATGTTCACTGGAGAACTTTCAGAGAGTAGACAGACAGTTGTAACTATGCGTGAGATTGACAGCCACGCTCTTGAGCTATTGGTACAGTATGTGTATACTGCAGAGATAGAGGTTACAGAAGACAATGTTCAGGTGACATATTTTTAATTGCATTCTTTTTAGGAGTTAAATTTTTTTAACTTCATATCATGGGTGACAATAGCCTGCACCAGAGATGAAGCTAAACTCTGTTAAATCTATCTGCAAAACAGTGCTGAAATCCTTGTTCTGGGCCCTCACCTGTGTATCAGGATTTGAGTTGACACAATGAATGGCCTACTAAAAAAGCCATGGCATCATTGATTTACCAGTCAGGATGAAATGAAATTTGAAACCCAATTTTGGTAATTTGTTGAGTTCATTGGGGTGCTGAACAAAGACCTCTGTGCTACTTCGCAGACATTACTAACTGAGGTCTGCAATGTAGGCAAGGGTGACAAATGTTGAAACCCATGATGCATCAATTTATAATTCAATATGTGAAATTACAATCTTGCTAGAAACAGAAGCATATATGTTTCTAGCTCTTAGATAATGTTACCAATCCACTTTTTATATATTTACTGTACTCCTTTTTGTTTGTAATCATATTTTTTGTAATTATCTTTGAAAAGCCTTGTTTAAGGAAAGATAATAAAAGATATATATGTAAGTATGCTTTTGCAGCTTTTCCTACAGTATGTATTTTCTTATGATAGCTATTGTCTTACTCATTTCTTTATTTCTCTCTAGGTCCTACTTCCTGCTGCCAATCTTCTTCAGCTAACAGATGTGCGAGATGCTTGCTGTGATTTCCTTAAAGCTCAGCTTCATTCTACAAACTGTTTAGGAATCAGGGCATTTGCCGATATGCATTCTTGTGGTGACTTAATGGCTGCAGCTCATTCCTTTGCAGAGAAACACTTCAGTGAAGTTATTGTGGCGGATGAATTCCTGGGCTTACCAGGATTGCAAGTACAGGAGCTTATTTCCAGTGATCAGCTTACAGTTCCTTCAGAAGAGAAGGTATAACATGGTTTATCGCCATCTAAACAATATTGTCAGTAATAACCATTTTTATATTCGCGGATACATCAACTGCAGGCAAATTGAAGCGAATCCTTAGCCTACAAAGCAGGAGTACATGTATTTTGCAGTGCGCACGATGTTTTCCCAGTATGCTGCCACGTGGATGTTTAAACTGACAGAGAGTTGGGGCGAGTCAAAAATGATTCCAAGGGAGAGTCTGACGGGTTAAAATAGAGGAGGGGAGGGGGGAAGGAGAGGGAAAAAATCCCCTTCTCTCCCCGTCCTCCCCCTTGTTCGCCCCCCTCGGTTTTTTAATTTCTTTCAAGATGGCGGCCGCAATCAATGTATCCCTGAGCTTTCAGTTAAAAAAAGCGAGCTCTGCAGGCTAGCGAATCCTGTGCTCTGATTGGGCCCATCTTGCCTCGCTCGGGATTTCCCGCGTTAGTCCGGCAAGAAAAAGTTCTCTTTTTGGCCATATGGTAAATCCTTTCTTACCATGTTCGGTGTTTATTTTTACGATTTAACCACAGCAGTGAAGTAAGTGTTTTAGTAAAATATTTTTATCAAAGCCTGTGCCGCTGTTTCTCTTGAAGAGTGGGATTCCCCTGGCTTGTAACTGCCAGAGCTATAAGTGATGTTAATCAATTAATTTTCTTTTTAAAAATTTCCAGGTATTTGAGGCAGTAGTTGCTTGGGTCAATCATGACCCTGAACACAGACAAGACTGTCTGGCACAGTTGATGGAGCATGTGCGGCTTCCTCTCCTGTCACGTGAATACCTTGTGAGCCGCGTGGAAACAGAAGCGCTCGTCAAAAATAACAACATGTGCAAAGATTTCTTGATCGAGGCTATGAAGTATCACTTGCTCACAAATGACCAGCGGTCTTCGGTGCAGTCACCCAGAACGCGCCCCAGGACTCCGATTGGCTTACCCAAAGTTATGTACGTTGTGGGAGGCCAGGCACCTAAAGCAATTCGAAGGTAATTTGTACAGTTTCCGACCCTGTTCTGCGTGAACCGACCTAGCCTGACAAAACAGCTGACATTTCGCAACGCCAATTCTGGTTTCCCCGCAAAAAAGACGTCTGAAAAAGGAGCGCAGAATCTCGATCCTGATTGGTCGTGCCTTGTGGGAAATTTGCTTCAGCTAATCTAAAGCAGTACCCAGATCTGGGTAGTGACAGGTCAGCAGTATGGAAATTTTGCGTTCGTTTCGCGGGTTGCCTGCGTGCAGACCTCTCCTATTTCCTTTGTTGCACGCGGAAAAGGGACGTCTGCGTAACGCCGTCGCTAATCGTGTTCCAGCGTCCCGCTGGCAGGGTATTCTATTTCGCATAAATTGTGAAATAATATCCGATTAGAAAGAAGAGTTGACAGGCCAAACAAAACATCAACTCGTGATACGGGCGAAACGTGACCTTGAGAGTCTGCTTGAAGAGAGGTTTTTCTTCTTTTCTCTCTCGCGCGAAGATTACTAGCACTACACAGTGCATGTAGCATTCTAACCTTTGACTGAGTAAATCTCATTTTTGCCGCGCTAAGTCTTCCATTTAGAGGTCATGAAGCAGGTTTGTTACATGCATACTGAGTAATCATTTCCTGTGGTTGCTTCTGTGGGTGTTCCCGATAGGATTTGATTTCAGATGCAGTTGTAAAGTGTTTAAATTTTCTTGACCTCTGTTTCTTACAGCTAAATAAAGATTTTAGTTTCTTTGGCTGGCTTTCTCCGCAATGCCTGCCTGGTGCGAAGTCCACGCCGCTTTTTTAGTTTTCTCAGACATTGTTTACAAATATGATGTGATGTGTCATGCACAGTAAATTGTAAAGAAATAATTTCCTCGAACACGTTAAATTTTCCGGGTCCCCGCACAAGATTTCGATCGCTCTGCTTTTCGATCGACGAAAAACACAGCACACAATCGCACATGTTTTGATTTGTTTTGGTTAGAAAACCCCGCTTACATAGATTATTTAAATCACCGCATACATTATCAGACCACATTCGATAACAACCAATCAGCGTTAAGTCAAACAATGCGCACTGTGTGTCAGCCTATCACAGCGTGTTCCCAAGATCTTGGGAACCCAGCGGGACGCTGGAACACGATTAGCGACGGCGTTACGCAGACGTCCCTTTTCCGCGTGCAACAAAGGAAATAGGAGACGTCTGCACGCAGGCAATTTCGCGGGGAAATTATTGGTGGCGCGAAATGTCGACTGTTTAAACCTTTTTCTTACCGTTACGTGTAATTCAAGCTTTTTAGAATCAAAGCAGGGAGAATGTTTCGTTTGAATTCAGAGTAGTGCAAGAAATTGCTCGCAACAAAATTCAGTCGTATTTAGTATTTCCTTCCCGCTAGGGCTAGAATTCATCGGAAAAAAATTACAGTCACAGTCGAAATTTGGCACAGGTATAAGACTGGCTTTGCCATACAAAACAAAAGGTATATTTGATGATAGCGTTTGTTTCGCACCAGCGAGTGTCTGCTGAAAAAAGAAAAAGAATAAAAATGATCGTAAATGTGCGTCGTTTTCTGGTCTGCCAGTAAAGTAGAATTAATTTAGTATGCGAAATTGGCAATTTTCTGCGGAGAAGGTAGACTAAATTATTTTAACTGTGAAACGTCTCAAGAAGCTTTGTCTTAGGGTGGACCTATTTTATTTTTTATATATTAAATTAAAAGAAATTTTAGGCCTTTCATACGGAAGAAATTTTAGTCCGTTCGACGTTAGTGGGTTTCACTGTAAATTTATCGTAGAATTTTATAATTTACTTTTACTGTGTTATGAACTTACTTCTGTATCTTTTTATTTTTCTAGTGTGGAATGTTACGATTTCAAAGGCGAGCATTGGTACGCTGTTGCTGAAATGAACTCTCGCCGTTGCCGCGCCGGTGTGGCCGTTTTAGACGGTCTGGTGTACGCCGTAGGCGGCTTCAACGGTTCACTTCGTGTTCGGACCGTAGACTGTTACGACCCCGTCAAAGATCAATGGCGTCCTGTGGCATCTATGGAAGCGCGTCGTAGCACGTTAGGCGCCGCTGTGATGAACGGATTATTGTACGCCATAGGCGGGTTTGATGGCACGACAGGACTCAACACGTGTGAGGTATATGATCCGAAGCTTAACGAGTGGCGCTCGATCTGCTCGATGAGTACCCGACGAAGCAGCGTCGGAGTCGGCGTCCTGAATAACATGCTTTTCGCTGTCGGCGGTTACGATGGCGCTTCAAGACATTGTCTTAGTTCGGTCGAGTGTTACAATCCGAATACAAACGAGTGGAGTTTAATGGCAGAAATGAGCACGCGCCGAAGCGGCGCTGGTGTAGGTGTGGCAGATGGACTCTTGTACGCTATTGGTGGACACGACGGGCCGCACGTGCGAAAAAGCGTGGAATGTTTTAACCCGGATGTGAACCAATGGCGCCCTGTAGCGGACATGAGCATGTGTCGAAGGAACGCAGGGGTAGCTTCAGTGAATGGCTTGTTGTTTGTTGTAGGGGGAGACGATGGATCTAGTAACCTGTTTTCAGTTGAAGTTTATAATCCTCGGACAGACCAGTGGGGATTACTTCCAACGTTTATGACAATAGGACGAAGCTATGCTGGCGTGGCCGTCATAGACAGGCCCAACACTTGACCCGCGGTTTCTGTCTAGATTTTTGACTAGTAATATATGGCTTTCATTGTGGTTAAATTATTAACAGCATCTCAAGAAAGGTTTGCTAAGACCTTTCAGTTGACTCTGACAATTTAAAGTCTGATCCACAATAGGAAACTGAGTTACGACTACGCATATTGAAGAGTTACAACGGAATGGAAAGGTTGTGTTATGCATTTGACGTTTTGGGCGTCCTCTGAGTATCCACAGTTCAGTGGTTTCGGTATTCGATTACTCGCACTACGGAGCTTAGCCGTGACAGAAAAAACAACGAAGAGAAGCAATAGGTTTACTAAGGGTAAAGAATTCTCTCGTGTATTTTATACGTTTCTGCATTTTGATTCAGTTCATTTCTGTTCGCTGCAAGCGTGCAACGTCAAATCGGATCAAAAATTAGGAGGTTTATTATTTGCACAACGTGAACATTTCTCTGTTGCACCCGAAAAAGGCATTTGGTTGGATCACTTGCTTTGTACCCAAACTTCGTAGAGTCCTGCCCCCAATTTAATTTCGTAATCAGTTTATACACTTTAGGCTGTTGTCTTAAAAGCCAGTTCTGGTAAATTAGCTCAATGGTAAACCTTTTTGTTTGAGTGAAAAGGTGACACTTACAGAAATTTTAGCAAGGAATAAAAATGAAAATAATCTCATTTGTCATTATTCAACTCTTAGAAAAAGGTTGCACTTATAGAGAATTCATTTCTCCTAAGACCATTGTGTGTTTATGATAATTATTTTTTTAAATGTAAACTTCTGACAAAACGAACGAGTCGGCTACACGTATCCGGATATTTTTTAAAACGGAAATTTTTTGCTCCGTTATCGAAAAAAAAAAATACGCTCCCACACGTAGCGCATTCGAATCGTGATAGCATTCCTTACATGCATGGTATGCGCTGTATGAAGTATGATCAGGTGATGGACTCTTAGTATGATATCTTCGTATTCGAAAACCTCCGTTTTCGTCCGTCCACAAGAAAACGGTAAGCCGGTGTTTTCGAAAACCTGTGTTTTCAATGCCTAAAACACCGTTTACGTGTTGATGGAAGGTTAAAGCGTCCTTTGCAGTCCATGCCTGACCCATGCCTCTGTAACACGGAAAACTCTGTAACAGTAATACGGACTTTCTCCATCAAAACAAAAACACTTGTGTCCTGAGTTTTCGTTTCTTGAAGCCACGTTTGAAAAATCCAAATCTGGTAACGCGAACTGCCCTCCTTTTCATGTGAATACAGTTAGATAATGTATATTCTAACCAAACACATGCAGTCGACTCCTGATAATTCGAACCTTCAAGGGAAATAGAAAAAAGTTCGAGTTATCGATTGTAAAATAGACCGCGAGCAGTCTCTTATTTTTCTTTGCAAAGTTACTGCACGCGAAACCTAAGCACGCCCCATCCTCACTGTAATAATCGCGTCGCGGTTTGCAGTCGCGCTGGATGACATAAGAACTAGACGGATGTTAAGAGAAAAGGCGGACTGCAAGAAGTCTAATTGTAAAATTATATGGGAAATGATCTGAAGGGAATTGAAAATTACTTCAAGTTAACGGGGGCTTCGAGTTACTGGGAGTCGACCGTAGAAGCGAAGAAAGGTGACTCCAGATCCTAAACTTGTCTCGCTCGATCATCAGCCACTGTTCGAGAGCCCAGGCTCCCATCCGCCCGTCGACCTCGAGAAAGGACCGAGATAGCGGGAGGAGCCGGGTCGAGCCTAAACTTGGGACCGCGGTCACGTGAATGAGACTCATGCGCAACTTTCTAGAAATACCAGGCTGCAAAACAGTCCACTTTTTCTCCAAAACGGTTTAGCGTAGCTAAAAAGCCTTACACGCCTTACGGGCGTGTATTGCGTCTCTCCCTGGCGCTCTCCGTTTTCAGCCTCGCTCCAGACATTTTGTTTACTTAAATACGCAAAAATACGGACTGGTTTGCAGTCTATACAAATACGGACAGCTCTTTAATAAGGGATAAAGGGCTTCGAGAGAAAGAAACGCGAGGGAGATAGGAAGGAGGAAGGGTTACCTTCAATCGCTACTTCGTGTGCATATCGAGTTCTCCTACAACCGAATTCTACGAAACTTGGCTTTCCTAATAATATACGGACGGTGTTTGTTCCCTTGGTCTGTACATTAGAGCCGGACAAGGCGTAATCTGAGACGGATACTGTAAACTTCCGGTTATATTATGCTCCCCCCAACCCCCACCCGCCCTGATAAAGGCCCATCCGAGACAAAAAATACATCCGGTTATGAACCGCCTCCCCCGATATTACCTCCCACTAGCGTGTATTGAAATGAATTAGATTTTTTACAACGTTTTGACGCCTAAAAAAGAAAGTAAATTCAATTAGTATCTAGCACTACTATGCAGCTTGTTTTGAAACGCTTTTTAGTACTGTTACAAGCCCCCTGGGATATAAGCCCCTGCCCCCGTTTGTAAGCCCTCCTAGAAACCCCTTACGAAGTTTTAAAACCCAGGGTTTATAAGTGAAAGTTAACAGTAATCCGTCATCAAAATTCGGCAAAATTGACGGATAAGCAGACGGATTAAGTCACACTGATTATTCTTCAAAACGTCAATTATCTATAAACGGCAAGGTTCTCTTGCTATCGGATACAGTAAACCGTCTTTCTCTGGTGTGAAAACGGCCAATGCTCTAGACTTGCTACAAGTGGACCCCTCATAAGTAACTTATTCTCACTTTAAAATTTCGCGAAAAATCAGGAGTCATATACCCTGGGTACCAGAAGTTTTTCTCGCGTGCGGTGGGAATTTTCGTTGTTGGCCGAAGGCTGTAGGAGTCATATTTCGCAAGTACCAAGTACAAAATTTTTCCCAAACCGCGAAAATCGCGACCATAAGTACTTGCGGGCTGTGTTAATAACCTCGCAATGTTGACCGGGAAGGGAGGACAGACATTCAAAACAGAAACATCCCAGAGGGACAGACCTTAAGCTAAATTCCCTTAAGATTTTGAGCGTAAAAGATGCCTCCCAGGGGATATTTTACCACAGGAAGCCTCTCAGCGTTTATTTTTCTTGGTATCATCAGAGGATCTTTTTCGGTTGCCTTATACTTTGCAGTACATTCTTACAAATCGCCAAGTCTCGTATTTCTTCTTCGGACTCCAGGCGCTATCGGTCTGTACGCAGTTGTTATGGTTTTCCTGTCTCGGCGAGACAGCGAGATCAAGGAGATATTCTACGACAACTGCAGAGCTGTAAGAAGTTACTGGAAGTTTGCTGTGATGGGATTTGTTCAGTTAGCTGCCCCGTACATTCTTTTTACGTATGCTTTGCGAGTTTTGAACCCCACAACTGCGGGCGTTTATATGGCTGCCGCTCCGTGGTTTTCGATTTTGTTGGAAAGATTGCCATTCGTTCGAGTAAGTTATATTTTATTGTCTTTATTCTCTCAGCGTTCAGGAGTCGTAAAATCTTTAATTACAGATTCTGTTAATTGTTATTTCTAACTGTTGCTTTTAATTAAAACCGGAAGTGAATTGAACGTAACGTAATTTTGATTGAAAATAAGCTTATTAGAGCATTGTTGCCATGCTCTTAGTGATGTAATGAATTTAATCTTAATTGGCCCTTTGCTAAAGAAGGAAGAAGAAATATCAGTATACCTCAAATGTTTGTTGAAGCCACATTTATGTTAGGTGACTGCTAGACATGGCCTGATTAAGGGCTCAGGTACAAAATCATAGTTATACCTGGGCAAGGGGGATACACCCATAATTGCCCTAATGGTTATGTGTTGCAAGTCAAGATATGGTTACAGTTATTATTAGTTTTCATATCCAGATTTCTTAACGGAAATGGACAGTTGTCAAAAGAGGCTAAAATTCACATTTCAGTTTATTCAGTTTATTTTGCCAAAAGTAATGCACTTATAAGTGGCCATCAGGGGGGGGGGGGTTGATCCCAGGGAACCCCCGGTCATTTGCACATCAACGTTTACAAATCCCTCCTACCCAAAACCAAGATTTTTTGACAAAAAGCTGCTAACACCTCTCCCTTGGGGGCAAAGAAGTGTGCTCTGCCAAGTCGAAGAGTTCTAGAGAAGGAATCATAGTTTTCTTTTGAAAAATATAGTCACTTTGTAAGCGAAGGATGGCCAGCTAAAAGGAACAGAATACAAGAGAAACATCTTTTCTGTCTCCATTTTGCCAGAATGTGTTCACCAACTGAACATTCCCAGTCCTTTCGCAGACAGAAATGGCACTCGTTTCCCGCTTCATCTACAAAATGGCAATGGCGCTACAAATCCCGCGCATCTTCCCCCGGAGATCCTGCTTCGAAAGTACAAAAGCAATCCAATCCCCCATCCAGGGCTTAATATTAACAAACAAAGTTGACAAATCCTGCACCATGCCCTGGTATTTCCCCAGGGTTACTCCTCCAGGATGGCCACTGATAAGTGCATAACCTTTTTTTGGCAGGGAAAACAATACCACAAGGCCATTTCCAAGTGGCTCCAAGCCTCTGTTTCAAAGTGAGGCTCAATATGAAAGTGGCAGTGTTTAGAACTTGAAAATGGCCTGTTGATCTGGTTCTCAATAGGACACTGAACTTGTAAAAATGTGAAGACAAACTTTACTTTACTGACAAACCTCAATGGTCTTTTGCCTTTCAGGTAAGTTCTCCAGTTTCAGCAGGAAAAGTTGGGGCCATTGTAGTGGGGTTGATTGGCATCATTCTTGTTTCAGTATCTGGCATTGCATCAGCATCAAATAGTGATGGGTTTTGTCATAATTGTGAACTAAAGAATGAAAGCATGAGTATGGATAACACTGAATTATACAACAAATGCTGTACACCATTTACAATGGCAGAAAAAACATTTTCTTTACTTGCTCTGATAAGTGGTTCCTTTATGTGGTCAATCAGCTCAGGTAAAGTGTATGACCTATTGTTTTACTTTTTTTTCCCATCGTGACGGGTGACTGAAAGAGGACAGATAACTGAACACTTAAGCCATTGCCCAGGGCTCTCATTATCTAACAATTATTATATTGCTGGTTTTCAGTGTCACGCCATTCAAAAAAGATCAAAATAAAATCAAAACCATTTGACAGGTAAAGTCCAGAATCTGGGAAATGAAAGGAGGTAAATATACAAAGACCCTCGCCAAGATTTGGGTCGAAGGAATATTTCGTATACGAGATATCCGAGGAAATGTTTTACCCAAATTTATAGAGCCTTGTATGGAGACGCCACGCTGGAGCTCATCCGGATGAGCTCCAACATGGCGGACGGAAACCAACAGAAACATCTGTCACCGAGTTTTGCTACAAAAGCGTGAATTTACTCCTACAGAACTCATAAACATTAAAGTAATGCTTTTTCTAATACTTGAACTGTTTCGATAGCAAAATTCCTCGAAAAAAGTCACTTTTTTAACCTAAATGACATCTCTTTCGGACGTCATGTAAGTGCTGCATCACGCAAAAGCTTAGAAATTCAAGCGTACTCTATTACAAAACCAAGAACTCTGTTGAAGCGAAAATTTGTTCGGAAATTAGTTTTCGGCTGCTCTAATACACCATGAAAGTAAAATCTCAGTAGGATCGATAGTTTTGTAGTTTGACTTTTAGTGACGTCATGTGAAAACCAACAATAGAGCAGGTGTAGCATAACCATTTTCACTTTTATCACTTCAAAACATGTTTACACTCTGCCACATATGTTAATTGGGTCAAAGCCAAATGACAGCCCAATGACAGCCCTAAATGTCAGGCTGTAGCTCTTCCATTGTTTCACTTGACCATGCTGAATTTGCTGTGCATGGAACCCCTTCACTTCCCCAGAGGAGGTTCTGTATGGATAGCATAACCTGTGATCACATTCTTTTTTTTTTTCTTTTTCGCAACTGCTATTTACTTGTATCCTGGTAATTTTTTATCAGTTTTTTGGCGATCCAACAGAGGAAGTATCCATTACGTCAGTGGAGGCATAGGTAATAATTTGTTTGGTGGACTTTTTGCTCTTATGTTATGGACTATACTGCAGCAAAATGAAGACCTTGAAGAGGTTTGTGTTTCTTTGAGATAATGTAATATTTTTCTTAAATATTATCTTAGTAAAACCTCCCAAGTCTAGATAATAGGAATGATCTCCAGCATAACTTGACATATTTACAGCTGCTGCTTCCTTAAGGAGCTATACAGCCATATATACTGTCAATCACCTTTCAGTAAGGTACACCCGTGTCGTCCTAACCCGCTTCCCTGCCACTTTTTTTTATTTTATTAATTGCCTTATGTTCAGCCAATGAGCTACCTCAGGGAGCTGTAAGTTAGTATATTTCCACATCGAAATGTTATGTTGTATTCATGACATTATACGTTTATCTGTTTTTGTCTACTTTTGCTTCTTAGATACAGTGGAGCAATGCGTCAGCTGTTTTTTCCATAATTTTTCTGACCGTTGTTTCTGGCTGGCTGGCAGCTATTATTGTAGATTATATGTACAGAGAAGTAGGTGAGTAAGTCACTTTGTTCTTTAGTTATCTCAAAGTTGCATATAAACAGTCAGTTATCCAGGGCTTCTGATATTTTGCACGGTCGCGGAACCGCGAAATTCAGGTAAATCCGTGAAATCCTGCGAATTTCACAAAAACTTGCAAAATACCGCGAAATTCAGTAGAAATCTTTTCAAATACATGTCTGTACAGCAATTTTGAAACTTGTCTCAGCTACTGGGGGTAATTTTACTTGCTGTAAACTCGCAAATTTATGTCAAAACTTCGTCACTGAAAGTCGTGCAAACAACGTTCTGAAACTACCAGGGGTAGATTATGTTGCAAAAAACTGGGCACTAGCCATGATGTTAAAGGCTTTGCCATTGGTTCATTTCTGGAGCAATATGTTGTTGTTGAAAGAGAAAAAATTAATGATGGCCTCTGTTAGAAAAACATTAAAAACACTGGTCTGAAAAGTGCAAAACCGATCGATTTCTAGCGAAATTTGCCCTGAAAATAATCACAAAATCCGCCATTCCTTTACCGATTGCTTTCCGGCCAAGTTTGCTCCAAAAGTTCCCACGAAATCGGCAGATTTTTCTGCGATTTTGTCCCTAAAAATCCCGCAAAATTTGACTTTTTTCCCGCGACCTATCAGAAGCCCTGGTTATCAGACTGTGTGCGTTAAAATCTCGTTATGTTTGGGGAAAGTTAATAGCTGAGACTATCATTTTGAGAGTAAGAGACTCTTTGTCAGGCACATGTGAGTTGTAGTAACCAAAAACATATTTACAGTGAATATATATATGGCAGTCAAAAGTCTTCCTGCAAATCCTCTATCTGCCATGTACAATTTTTGTATGTAAGACACAAAAATGTGTGCATCCTTGAGCGAGTTCAGCTGCATTTTTGTTTTTATTAGCTACAGTGGTGACTTTGGCAAAAATGCCTTTTCAAGGAAGAAAAATTATTTGCAGCTCTGCTTTGTGTTTGCATTAATATTCTTCCCTCCTTCAGCCAGTTAAAAACAAAATAAAATAAATGAAGTGAAATGAAATATTGGCATGATCTTACTCAGTGCATTTTGCACATTGTGTTTACAGGGGCCCTGGTAACCAACCGAGTCCTCTGCCTTGTTCCGCTGGTAGCTTGGTTTGAAGACTGGATGTTTGTTAGAGAATTTAAAGTGATGCCCAATTATTGGTATATACCAGTTGAGGTTGTAGGTGAGTGTAGGCAATTTCAATAGTAAATTCAAACCTTTCTTCCGAATGACCATGTCACCTTGGGGACAGTTCACAGGTGCAGAGAAGCCAACCTCTGGAGACCTAAAATCGGGAGACTGTCTTTTTTTCACCCCCCCCCCCCCGAATTTCAATGACCCCCCCCCCCACCCCCCTGAAAAATTGACCCAGCCCCCAATGGGAATGACTTAGGACATTATCTGACATCTTTTTAATACATGGTGAACATACTATCAAAATTCGAAATCATCGTTTTGATATAAATCTTTGTCAATGACCAAATACGTGCAAAAATACCCCAGAAACTGTACTGCAAATAAGAAAAATTCAAGTTTTGAGCTAAAAATGGGCTAAATCTCAAACTAAGTCTGCTTTATTTTTTACTAAGTATTCAATATTTATAGTGGACGTAAAAAGCGGGAGATTTATGTACCAAAGCGGGAGAGCGGGAGACGAGGCAAAAAAGCGTAAGTCTCCCGCCAAAAACGGGAGAGTTGGCATTACTGCAGGTGACTGGCAGTCATGAAGAGGTGGCCATCGTCATATATGCCATTAACTCTCCCGGATTATCTGGGAGTCTTCCAGATACAGCACTGATCTCCCTCTCTCCCATACAGGTCATCAAATTTCCTAGATAAAATGGGCTTTTGAGCTTTTCTGTCCTTTAGTTTGAAATTTGGTCAGTGTAAAATGCAGGCTGCGGACTATTGTTTTACCCATTCATTTACCCAAATGAATACGTATAGTATAGTCCCAGTTAGTCTGCAGTCTGCATTTTACACTGCCCTGTTTGAAATTTAGCCCATTTTTTTCTTAAAGTTCGGACTCTTTTATTCATTTTTGCACATATTTAGTCACTGACAAAGATTATTTTGTCATTGCGATGTTAAAAGCAATTTTTAATAGCATGTACCTCATGTAAGACATCATATAATGTCCAAAACCATGGGGGCTGGGTGGGGGGGCTGTTGACATTCGGGGTGAGGGAAAGGGGTAGTGAAAAATAGAGAGACTCCAGAATTAAGATCTCCAGAGGTTGGCATCTCTGCATTACAAGCAAGAATCAAGGGGTAGCCTGCATGGTACGTACAATAGGCGTCTAAATGGATAAGACAAGGAAGGGAAATGGGAGGCAGATTGGGTATAGGAACCCTTCCTCCCTCCCTTCCATCTACCATTTTTGAGCCTGCCACACATGCCAGATGGTGGTCTAATATGACAGCAATTTTGTGGCATGGGAAGCGGAAGAACATTTTTATCTTTAAAATGCCAATTGCTATGTGTTATATGAACACTATGAATATAAATCAACAAAATAATACCAAATGTTCAAAATTAAAATATGTATAAAAAAAAAATGAGGAAGGTACAATAAGCATGTTAATTTGTAATTTTTTTTTCAAACGGGAGTAATGTAGAGGTTAGTTGGCAATTGATTGTAACTTACTTGGTTGTTGCCATTTTGGAGGGAAGGCTGTTTCAGAAAAAGGGGAATCTGCTGGACTGTTGCCACCTTTTTTGATATAAACATCTGGTGATTTTGCCCATCATTTGTGTGAAAGCATATCAAAGTTAAGAAGATTCATCTTTGCCTTATTTTGCCTGTCTGTCTAGGTGTGGTTTTCATGTTTATCGGTCTGACAATTTCAAACTTGGAACCTGAGAACCTTTCAAGTGCTCTTCGCAGACCATTATTACCTTCTGATGAGCGCGAGGTAATTAACCAATTTGTAGAGGCTTAGAAAATGTCCTTTGCTTTCAGCGGCGGTTCCTGTCTGTGTACCTTAATCTTGACCACGCCCCTTCATATCTTTACGTTCATTGATTAATTGATCGATTGATTGATTGATTGATTGATCATGTAGATCATCCTCTGGCAGTTTGGATCAGTTATCAAATTCCTTTAGAACTTTTTTCTATCTATCTACAGTGACTCTAAAAGTCTAGAAATGCATTTCATGGGAAATTATTATTATTTTGTCTATCTGGTTATCCTAGGGTAAGGGAAGCCTTTTCGGTTGTATTTTTCGTGTTTTCTTATATTATTATCCCTAAAATCTTAACTGCCATTTCTGATACCTCTTTTCGTGACTATTTTTGAAAGCCCATCTTATTGGCTTTAAATTTAAAACATTTGATGTATAACTGATCACATTTGTATTAATTATTAAGCAGGATAACAATCAGGGGTATTTTAAATGTAGCTCTCTTTGACCTAACCCCTTGTAGTTTTAAACTGTACGTTATAAAGGTGGCATTTTCGTTTTTCTTTTTTCTCATACGACAGACCCCAGATTCAACGCAGTTTTACAACAACATCCGGGACATTGAAGATGGCATGTTTTCTGATGAAGAGATGAAAAACACAAGTTACATTCGATCATGTTCCACGAACTCGAGTGAAAATCCCTTCCCTCCCCTAGTGGAGGTACCAAGACAGGATCATCTTACTTGACTGACCCCATCCTGGTTCGGTGTGCTGTAGCTGCCCGGCCGGCGACCACTAGCCACGATACATCGAGTCCTCGCATGGAAAGATGGATTTAAATGCCTCCGCGTGACGCTAATTTATTGCCTACGCCGTCAAACGTAGCCTAGTGTGAATAGGAACGTCAGTTGACGACGGGAAAGCGCGCGGAAGGGGCTAAACGCTACTTTCGGTGCCCAATTTGCCGCTCTGTCATTGGTCAAGCCAGTTGTTTGATTTGCGCGCGCCGTCGTCAACTGACGTCCCCGTTCTGTTGCTTACTCATCCTTATGTGCATAGCTGTAACCAAACTCTTCTGTGTTTCATTCTATGGATCAAATCCTTTAATCCCCGACGTGTCTCAAGTTTGGTGCTCCCTTTTACAAAATGACTTTTTCAGTCGTAAACTTACATTCTATCAAAGAGAAGAAGTAAAGAAAGTACACAAGACTAAGCAGGAATAAAGAAAATCAGCATCAGCACTTATTACACAAATTGGCCAATGACAGAGTTGCAGGCAACTTCCACCAACAGATCTTTGTTTGGAAGGGAGAATACTTTTGTACGAAATACAAGTTAAAACGTCATTATTTTAATTCCCGCAAAAACCTAGTCTTGTGTAAATGGAATGTGGCAGCTATAACTAAATTCTGAGGCGAATTAGAGTAGAGTTCACAAGTTCCCGTACAACCTCCTCGACGTTTTGATGATGTAAACCAGTTTTTATAGTTTGTCTATTTTGGCGAATTTTTTTTATTTTTTTTCTTAAGCTGTCTTTTTCTTTCATTTGTTTGTTTGTGCGGCTTTTTAGAAAGTAACTTGAGTTTTAATCTTCGAGTGTAACTTTTTTTAAATAAAAAGAAAGGAGGAAAACGAAGAAACAAAACAAAATCGCCAGCTATGGAGGTTAATGCCGAGAACTTGCGACGTCAGCTGCCGCGATTGCTTCTACACTGGCTACGGGCTTGGCTCAAACACGCAAAGATCATTTGAAGACATAATTCAGCTGACTGTGATTCCGCTTTACGTGTAATAACGACATCGGCAAAATTTAAGAGTTTTGCTATGTGGAAATTCAATTAACCTTCTTAAATTACCCACAATAACGGTAAATTCATAATAAAAATGAATTGTCTGTTTCTTTGCTGTAGTAAAGAAACTCGTATTTATTTCCATTCCTTGATAATGGCGTCATAATGACGCCGAAACCTCGGAACTTTATTTCGCTAGTTTTGAGTTTTAAGGAAGTTTAAGGATAAGGTAGCTAGCGAATAACACATGGATGCCCTATTCATCTTTTATCCCTCCAGTTAGTAAAAAAAAACCGACAAATCTTTCAGTGAGCTTCGACAGAATAGATATCGTCATTTTTCTATTTCATGTTTTTTTTTTTCAGTTTTGACATCATTTTGCCGAAAAATGACGTCACAAATTTGGCACCGAATTTCGCAACCTCGTTCTTCAGGGTGGGTGGGAGGAAGAGAGAGAACGCTGGGAGCGAGGTTGCAAATTTTGCTTTACTCTGGAATATTTTAAGGCGGCGGTATTCGAAACAACTCTTTACAAGTGACTTCTACACACTCTAGGTTTTACTACACGCACGAAAACCCCACTCCTCCACTCATGTCCAATCCAAGTGGACGAAACCTGGCAGGAGTCTTGTCCGGTCCAGTTCTCGAGAAGCAAAAATGACGAATTTGCGTCTGAAAAGTGCAAAACCGATCGATTTCTAGCGAAATTTGCCCTGAAAATAACCACAAAATCCGCCATTCCTTTACCGATTGCTTTCCGGCCAAGTTTGCTCCAAAAGTTCCCACGAAATCGGCAGATTTTTCTGCGATTTTGTCCCTAAAAATCCCGCAAAATTTGACTTTTTTCCCGCGACCTATCAGAAGCCCTGGTTATCAGACTGTGTGCGTTAAAATCTCGTTATGTTTGGGGAAAGTTAATAGCTGAGACTATCATTTTGAGAGTAAGAGACTCTTTGTCAGGCACATGTGAGTTGTAGTAACCAAAAACATATTTACAGTGAATATATATATGGCAGTCAAAAGTCTTCCTGCAAATCCTCTATCTGCCATGTACAATTTTTGTTTACATGTAAGACACAAAAATGTGTGCATCCTTGAGCGGGTTCAGCTGCATTTTTGTTTTTATTAGCTACAGTGGTGACTTTGGCAAAAATGCCTTTTCAAGGAAGAAAAATTATTTGCAGCTCTGCTTTGTGTTTGCATTAATATTCTTCCCTCCTTCAGCTAGTTAAAAACAAAATAAAATAAATGAAGTGAAATGAAATATTGGCATGATCTTACTCAGTGCATTTTGCACATTGTGTTTACAGGGGCCCTGGTAACCAACCGAGTCCTCTGCCTTGTTCCGCTGGTAGCTTGGTTTGAAGACTGGATGTTTGTTAGAGAATTTAAAGTGATGCCCAATTATTGGTATATACCAGTTGAGGTTGTAGGTGAGTGTAGGCAATTTCAATAGTAAATTCAAACCTTTCTTCCGAATGACCATGTCACCTTGGGGACAGTTCACAGGTGCAGAGAAGCCAACCTCTGGAGACCTAAAATCGGGAGACTGTCTTTTTTTCACTACCCCCGAATTTCAATGACCCCCCCTACCCCCCTGAAAAATTGACCCAGCCCCCAATGGGAATGACTTAGGACATTATGGGCGCTTTCCATTTACGAAAAAAAAACCGGAAATTTCGGTGGTAGCAAAAGTGGAATTTCCGATTGGTAAAAAGTTGTTCCATTTGGTCGTAAACCCCGGTACGTGGCCGGGTGCCCGACCGTGGACCTGGAACTGGTACAAACTACAAGAAACGTCAATGGAACACGACATTCCGTTCGGAAATTCCAACCGGGAAAACGGGACCACCTTTTTAGATTTTACACTTTTTCTGGGAATTTTCCAGTGGGACGAACCGACGAAACGTGTTCCATTTACCGCCGAACCGGAAATTCCGAAAATTTTGACTAAATGGAAAGCGCCGTATCTGGCATTTTACATGGTGAACATACTATCAAAATTCGAAATCATCGTTTTGATATAAATCTTTGTCAATGACCAAATACGTGCAAAAATACCCCAGAAATTGTACTGCAAATAAGAAAAATTCAAGTTTTGAGCTAAAAATGGGCTAAATCTCAAACTAAGTCTGCTTTATTTTTTACTAAGTATTCAATATTTATAGTGGACGTTAAAAGCAGGAGATTTATGTACCAAAGCGGGAGAGCGGGAGACGAGGCAAAAAAGCGTAAGTCTCCCGCCAAAAGCGGGAGAGTTGGCATCACTGCAGGTGACTGGCAGTCATGAAGAGGTGGCCATTGTCATATATGCCATTAACTCTCCCGGATTATCTGGGAGTCTTCCAGATACAGCACTGATCTCCCTCTCTCCCATACTGGTCATCAAATTTCCTAGATAAAATGGACTTTTGAGCTTTTCTGTCCTTTAGTTTGAAATTGGGTCAGTGTAAAATGCAGGCTGGGGACTATTGTTTTACCCATTCATTTACCCAAATGAATACGTATAGTATAGTCCGTATACGTATACGTATAGTATAGTCCCAGTTAGTCTGCGGTCTGCATTTTACACTGCCCTGTTTGAAATTTAGCCCATTTTTTTCTTAAAGTTCGGACTCTTTTATTCATTTTTGCACATATTTAGTCACTGACAAAGATTATTTTGTCATTACGATGTTAAAAGCAATTTTTAATAGCATGTACCTCATGTAAGACATCATATAATGTCCAAAACCATGGGGGCTGGGTGGGGCTGGGTGGGGGGGCTGTTGACATTCGGGGTGAGGGAAAGGGGTAGTGAAAAATAGAGAGACTCCAGAATTAAGATCTCCAGAGGTTGGCATCTCTGCATTACAAGCAAGAATCAAGGGGTAGCCTGCATGGTACGTACAATAGGCATCTAAATGGATAAGACAAGGAAGGGAAATGGGAGGCAGATTGGGTATAGGAACCCTTCCTCCCTCCCTTCCATCTACCATTTTTGAGCCTGCCACACATGCCAGATGGTGGTCTAATATGACAGCAATTTTGTGGCATGGGAAGCGGAAGAACATTTTTATCTTTAAAATGCCAATTGCTATGTGTTATATGAACACTATGAATATAAATCAACAAAATAATACCAAATGTTCAAAATTAAAATATGTATAAAAAAAATGAGGAAGGTACAATAAGCATGTTAATTTGTAATTTTTTTTTTAAACGGGAGTAATGTAGAGGTTAGTTGGCAATTGATTGTAACTTACTTGGTTGTTGCCATTTTGGAGGGAAGGCTGTTTCAGAAAGGGTAAAAAAGGGGAATCTGCTGGACTGTTGCCACCTTTTTTGATATAAACATCTGGTGATTTTGCCCATCATTTGTGTGAAAGCATATCAAAGTTAAGAAGATTCATCTTTGCCTTATTTTGCCTGTCTGTCTAGGTGTGGTTTTCGTGTTTATCGGTCTGACAATTTCAAACTTGGAACCTGAGAACCTTTCAAGTGCTCTTCGCAGACCATTATTACCTTCTGATGAGCGCGAGGTAATTAACCAATTAGTAGAGGCTTAGAAAATGTCCTTTGCTTTGAGCGGCGGTTCCTGTCTGTGTACCTCAATCTTGACCACGCCCCTTCATATCTTTACGTTCATTGATTAATTGATCGATTGATTGATTGATTGATCATGTAGATCATCCTCTGGCAGTTTGGATCAGTTATCAAATTCCTTTAGAACTTTTTTCTATCTATCTACAGTGACTCTAAAAGTCTAGAAATGCATTTCATGGGAAATTATTATTATTTTGTCTATCTGGTTATCCTAGGGTAAGGGAAGCCTTTTCGGTTGTATTTTTCGTGTTTTCTTATATTATTATCCCTAAAATCTTAACTGCCATTTCTGATACCTCTTTTCGTGACTATTTTTGAAAGCCCATCTTATTGGCTTTAAATTTAAAATATTTGATGTATAACTGATCACATTTGTATTAATTATTAAGCAGGATAACAATCAGGGTATTTTAAATGTAGCTCTCTTTGACCTAACCCCTTGTAGTTTTAAACTTAAAGTTATAAAGGTGGCATTTTCCTTTTTCTTTTTTCTCATACGACAGACCCCAGATTCAACGCAGTTTTACAACAACATCCGGGACATTGAAGATGGCATGTTTTCTGATGAAGAGGTGAAAAACACAAGTTACATTCGATCATGTTCTACAAACTCGAGTGAAAATTCCTTCCCTCCTCTAGTGGAGGTACCAAGACAGGATCATCTCACTTGACTGACCCCATCCTGGTTCAGTGTGCTGTAGCTGCCCGGCCGGCGACCATTAGCCACGATTCTTCGAGTCCTCGCATAAAAAGAAGGATTTAAATTCCTCCGCGTGACGCTTATTTATTGCCCGCGCCGTCAAACGTAGCCTAATGTGAATAGGAACGTCATTTGACGACGGGAAAGCGCGCGGAAGGGGCCTAAACGCGACTTCCGGTGCCCAATTTGCCGCTCTGTCATTGGTCAAGCCAGTTGTTTGATTTGCGCGCGCCGTCGTCGACTGACGTCCCCGTTCTGTTGCTTACTCAGCCTTATGTGCATAGCTGTAACCAAACTCTTCTGTGTTTCGTTCTATGCATCAAATCCTTTAATCCCCGAGGTGTCTCAAGTTTGGTGCTCTCTTTTACAAAATGACTTTTTCAGTCGTAAACTTACATTCTATCAAAGAGAAGAAGTAGAGAAAGTGCACAAGACTAAGCAGGAATAAAGGAAATTTGCATCAGCACTTATTACACAAATTTCATTTCCACCAACAGATCTTTGTTTGGAAAGGAGAATACTTTTGTACGAAATACAAGTTAAAACGTCATTATTTTAATTCCCGCAAAAACCTAGTCTTGTGTAAATGGAATGTGGCAGCTATAACTATATTCTAAGGCGAATTAGAGTAGAGTTGACAAGTTCCCTTACAAACCTCCTCCAAGTTTTGATTATGTAAGCCAATTTTTATACTTTGTCTATTTTGGCGAATTTTTTTTAATTTTTTTTTTTTCTTAACCTGTCTTTTTCTTTCATTTGTTTGTTTGTGCGGCTTTATAGAAAGTGACCTCAGTTTTAATCTTTGACTGTAACTTTTTTTAATGAAAAGAAAGGAGGTGAACGAAGGAACAAAACAAAATCGCCAGCTACGTAGGCTAAAGCCGAAAACTTGCGACGGCAGCTGCCGCGATTGCTTCTGTACTTGCTACGGGCTTGGCTCAAACACGCAAAGACCATTTGAAGACATAATTCAGTTGACTCTGATTCCGCGTTACCTGTAATAACGACATCGACGATTAACCTTCTTAAATTACCCACAATAACGGCAAATTCATAATAAAAATGAATTGTCTGTTTCTTTGCTGTATTAAAGAAACTCGCATTTATTTCCATTCCCTGATAATGGCGTCATAATGACGCCGAAACCTCGGAACTTTATTTCCGATCCCTAGTTTTGACATGTTTAAGGATAAGGTAGCTAGCGATTAACCCATGGATGCCCAATTCATCTTTTTATCCCTCCAGTTAGTCGGGTTTTCCCGTTCTGAATTCTGTTTTGTCAGAAAAAAACCGACAAATCTTTCAGTGAGCTTCGACAGAATAGATATCGTCAGGGTTTTTTCTATTTCATGTTTTTTTTTTCAGTTTTGACATCATTTTTGCCGAAAAATGACGTCACAAATTTAGCACCGAATTTCGCACCCTCGTTCTCAGGGTGGGTGGGAGGAAGAGATAGAACGCTGAGAGCGAGGTTGCACGTTTTGCTTTACTTTTGAATATTTTAAGGCGGCGGTATCTGGAAAAACTCTTTACAAGTGACTTCTACACACTCTAGGTTTTACTACACCCACGAAATCCCCACCCCACCACTCATGTCCAATCCAAGTGGACGAAGCCTGGCAGGAGTCTTGTCGAAAATAAAACCGGAAGTACAGTCGAGTCCCCTTGAGTTACCGACCGTGCGTGTAGTCATAAGATGAAACCGGAGGAGTAAACAATACTTCGAGGAGGGTTGGAAAGTCTTCCGGTGGAGTCCATCGGATCCATTGCAAACACATTGATTCCGATGGAATCTCCGGAAGTCTAGTTGTGCCATGAGTCAAAACAAGCACACTGCATGTGTAATATAACTCATGCTTTAAGCCATAAATTGAGACCAGCACGCTTAACATGTAACATAACTCGTTCTTAAAGCCATGAGTCGAAACAAGCACAGCAAGCACACTACACGTATGACATAACTCGTTCTTAAAGCCACGAGCCGAAACAAGCAAGCTACATGTGTAAACTTAAGTGGAAACACGATCCGCAGGCGAGTAGTTTCAGTGCAGAGTTTTGAACATTTTGACGTCATTTCTATGGTCTGATAAGAGTACAGACCGAAAATTGTTGTCGATTTGTCTTTTACAATAACATTTAGACGTATATTTCCGTTGAAGTTTCTCGGAAAATCGTGCGCGGGAGAAAACCAAATTGCGCCACTATCACACCGGCGTGGTCTGCACTCCATACCTGCGGGGGGGGTACTCCCTTACAAGAGGCTAATGGGAATGTGCCGCTGGATGGGGTCGCATTTTCACGACCGGAGTGCCTATAATGGGGTAATGGGGTCGCATTTTCAATAGATTTACTTGAATGGGGTCGCAAATTTTCGGTTTTTTGGGGTAAGAAGGGATTCAAAATGGGAAGATTCTCGGTTAAAAAATCAGAAAGTTGTTGTTTATTAAATTTAACAATAAGGGTCAATAAGCTCGCATTGACCGCATCACATTCCGCCGCTTGAAACCACATTGGTAAAGTAGAAGCATAAATAGAAAGTGACTAAGTTGGGATCGCGAAAATTACATCTTCTAAAAAGTGACTAAAATGGGGTCCATAACTGACCAAAAAATAGACTTTAATGGGGTAGGGGCTCTGGGAGGCCAGCGGCACATACCCAGCAAACATTAACTCAAGTACCCCCCGGGACTCCATAGCTATCAGCCGAGAGGAGGGAAAAGTTGTAGGAAAAATAAAGAAAGAAAAAAAACACACAAATAAATGAGTAAGTGATGAGCCTTTGGGCGTGGTGAGCACTCTCGCATGTCGGGTTAGAGTCAGTTGCATAACCTGCATAACGTCAGTCGTTACTGTTGTTAGTTTTCCGCAGAGCCCTCTTTGTGTCCTGTGTCCGAGTCGCAGGTAGGTTACCCCGAGATGAAGCATGAGGTCCATCAATGATGACCTCGACAAGCTTTTTGGCTTTTTAGTGATGACTTGAGACCCTGTAAGGGTATTTTCGATGAAATCGAAGTCGCGTTTCCACCCAGGACAATTCTTAATATGTGATAGTTTCTTTGAAAAAGCGACGATTTGATGAAAAACGGGCGACAAAAATGACGTCCTTAGTAGGCAGGTACCAATAGCTAAAGAGGATCGTGACTTGGGTTTGCTTACTTGACGTCATCAGGCGGAAAGCGCTGGATTGCTTGGACGTGGGACACCTCCAAATCTGATAACTCTTTTAAATTGAAAGGAATTCGTTTGACCTGTTTATAATAATAATAATAATAATTATTATTATTATTATTATAATAATGTATTTTAACAGAATGAACATTTCAGTTATAAAAAATTCTATCAACATGGGTTCTGTATGAAAATATCAGCTTAATACGAAACTGGGATAAAACTCTAGTCAATCATAAAAATATCTTAAAAGGGGTAGTCTCAAACGTCGTGCTACTGCCTTGCTAAGCTGGCTCGACTGCAGCACGACACTAGCACGACTTGGTCTCAGACGTCGAATAGAAAGGCTGTTGCCGAAACCAAAACACGAAAATAAAGAAACGATTTTGCAAACTTTTAAATGTATTCTAATCTATTCATAATTTACGAATTGAGTTCGGCATGGCAGTAGCGGCCTGGGGTAAACGTCGAATTTAAGTCGCATCGAATAAATTAAAAATAGGTTCGACAAAGAGTCGAATTATTAAGGGTCTGGTCAAAAAGTATGGGGAGGTGGGCCGGATCAGGGAGGGGGTGGGTCATGAGGTTTTGAGCCTTGTGCAAGGGGTTGGTCGTGCAATTTTCAGCTACCCTTAGTGGGTGGGTCACCCTACTTTATTACATAGATGGGCACTAACTACTAACGAGACAGTTGACTACACTTGTTATATAAAACACAGCCAGCTGGAATTATTGCTAAAATATTCACAAAACTCGTGTGCGAGAAAATACAAAGGTTGACAGGCCGCAAATCTATATGGGTGTGTAATCCTTTGTTAACCTTTTTTTTTCCGGCTCTAACGAGCATGTCCTTTAGTGATTCTCCTTTTTTGTAAGGAAATGATTGGTGGTTCTTTAAAAATTTATTTAAGTTATAGTTGGTTTTGTATAAGATTCCATTTTTTCATTCAAGCTTTCTTTATAGTAGACACTGAGGGCTGGTATTGTGTCACGAATGGCAATATTTCTTTTTCCTCCTTGTTGTTTTGTTTTAGGAGTTTAGACTCCCTTTTGTGAATTTTATTTCTGATAGTAGGTTTTCTATAAAAGATTGTGGGTAGCCTCCGTCCATCAAGCGTTTTTTTTGTAAATTTGAATTATTTCAGCTCAAAGGTTGTTTCTGAGGAGTTTCTTTCGTAGGATTCTCAAGGCTGCTCCTTTGACAAATCCTTTTTTAACATTTGGAGGGTGACACGAGGTGAAATGTGTGTGCAAGAAGGTTCCCGTTTGTTTAAAATGTGTCTTTGCACCAAGGATAGATTTTTCCTTGAATCTTGTGCCTTTGTAGACAACCGTGTCTAAAAACGCAGTCTCAGATTCAAATGTTTCGGCCGTGAATTCAATAGTTGGGTGATGTACGTTTGCTTGTTCAATGAAGGCTTCGATGTCTGGTTTACTCATGTCCCATAGAGAAAAGATATCGTGTATATAGCATTTCCAAATTGTTGTTCTAAAGACAGTTTTGCTTCGGTTGTTGTTTCAATATATGTCATGAAAATATTGGCAAAGGAATCAAAACATCCGTCTTTGTGCCCATTGCAGTTCCACGGTTTTGTAGATAGTGCTTTCAATTCAGGAAGTGGAAGAAATTTTCTCTGAGGATTAATCTAAGCATTTCCGGCAAGTAATGTGTAGGAATGGGCTGCCTTTGTAGAAATTGTCATTTGCTTTGTGACAGACAATTTCAATATACCTTCGTTTTGCTGTATATTTGTGTCAAGACAGGTAACGTCCATCGAAACAAGAAATGTTCGGTTTTCAGTGGAAGGTATGATTTCTGTGATTTTGATATTGGTTGTAGCAGTGTATCAACAAATTTTGTCAAGCACAGAACTAGGTTTTGTTGGATTATTAAGATGAAACCAAACATCAATGTTTTAACTAGGGGGTGGGTCATACAATTTCCAACCTTGCTTTAGGTATGGGTCAGTCATTTTTGTGCCGAAGGGAGGGGGTGGACCATGTGTTTTTTGTTAACCACATTTCCAAATGCTCCGGTCCACCGCCCAGCCCCCTCCCCCAATACTTTTTGACCAGTCCTTAATTCCAGCGTGATAACAAACGTCGAACCTGCGTCGTCGATCCTATTTCAGAAGTTGCACTTCATTAAAACATGGGAATAAGCACGTGTCCCCGTGCTATTCACCCGACGCGCGGCTAGTAGTTACTCCTGCTGCCAAAACTTCATAGCGAAATGCCGAAATACTGTGCTCGTCGGGCCTTTCTTTGGCAATTACTAGTGAAATGCGAAAAATAGAAAGAGGAGACTTGCATCACATACATCTTTGAGAACAGTGTTTCATTTTCTTGAAACACTGAGCATTTATTGCAATTAGGCAATTCACATCTTAAGCATGAAACACGAAGAACACATTTCCATCACGCTGTGCGATGTCATCAATGACTTTTGATAACTTGCCATTGGCCTGGAAGCGAAATTGTCTTTATACAGCGCATGCTCGTCAGGCGGGGGAAATAGCGTTTGGCAGATGGGGGAGTCGGTACTTTTGTGACTTTTGCGCAGTTCATCACATTTGAATCAATAATTTTGTAATTTGCATGATTTACGAATTGAGTTCAGCGCGTGTTTAGAGCGGCGTTTGCTGGAAAAACGGCCGAACCGCTGTCGCATTATCCGACTTGCCAAGGCGATTTTATGAGTCGAAATTAATTGCGGCAAACGGCGCACCATTCAAATTTTAATGTTAAGTTCAGCTAAGATGCGACGTTTGCCCCAGGCCTTACTCGTCTCTAGATTGACTTTATCCATAAATAAATTATCCTTAGACCTAGCGCAATAGGCATGAATATCATAAGTTTGCTGTTGAAAATAATCTTAGAAATAACTTGGGGCTTTTCAATCAAGACAATTCTTGACAAGCTTGACGATATGTCTCTTCGGCTCTCCTATTCTTAAGAAGGTCCCAACCAAGACCGGAAGCCATATGTTTAGTGGACAAATGCACCGTCTTTAACGCTATCCTAGTAGCACGTTTCCGCAGGCGTTCCAGATTAGAACGTAGCCTGCGAAAACATCCGTTTCTCCTCGCTCCTCACTGCTGGGGTCGTGTTTCGTGAGGTGGAACGTCTGCGACTCAACGACAGAAATTCCATGCTGATGACGTAAATCAATGTTTAAAAAATAAATCCGGTTATCATGGGGTTCCTGTACCTTTCTAGCCACAAAAGTCCACACAAAAGAGAACAACTAAAGTTGCTCTTGTGAAAGCAACTAAGCACAAAGCCAATCAGGCAACTGATGAGGTTCGCTTGGGGAACCGAAACCATGGTCTTGCATGATCACAAAGTGGCAACTGACCCCGGGCAACTGACACAGTGATAACAAAACAGTCCAAACACTGTTAAGCTTATTAAAAACCTATAACAAAGGAAGGAAATACGCCCACCAGTCAAAAGACTAACATTTTCTGTACTAAACACTAAGCTGGAATCTACTGAGTCACAATGCATTCTCTATAGTTGATGTAGCCTCATTTTAAGCTGCACTTCATTCTGATCACTTTGGATCTGTAAATCACTATCCGTGATAATTTAACACTAACGAGCTGGGCCCAGCGTGATATAGTCTGCTACACAGCCGTTTTTAGTGTCGTCACGCAACGCTCCTCCCCATAGTGGGGAGGAGCGTTGCGTGACGACACTAAAAACGGCTGTGCAGCAGACTAAGCATGATACAGCATTGCATATTCACGGACTAAAAACAGTCACATAGTTATTCAGGTCCAGAAGGCACTTTGGAGGAAGTTAGAGCCCTTACTCGGCCGTAATAAAAAGCTTTAACTGCTTTAAAGAATATGCTCGTGCATCAGAGGGCAAATCCTGCCGACCAGAAACAAAAAACCACAGTAAATCGATATGTGTGGCATGACCTCTCAAATGTGAAATAGGCGTCTTAACCAGAACCTTCTAGGGCTTAATCTACCCTGCAGAAGGGAAAAAAACGTTTTTGGAACAAGCAGCATTTTAGCATAAGGTAAAAGTCGTTTAGGCCTATCACCGCCTTTCATTGTTATGGAGGTTGGAAGTCGAAAATCAGAAGTCGTACGTTGGAAGCCGGAAGTCGGAAGATGGAAGTTGGAAGTTGAAAGTCGGAAGTTGGAAGTAGGAAGTTAGGAGTCGGAAGTCGGAAGTCGGAAGACCCTCCTCGGCTTTCGTAGAATCACGTACCAACGATTGAGAGGGTATTTAAGCCACCGAACCTTGACTAAGATGTTTATTTCCAGAAAGCATTTAGAACAGACACAAGATAGAGAGATAAATCCACTCCTTAGTAAGGTAAGTGATACATTTAATCCCATGTTTCTAATTGTTTGGGGGTTGAGCAATGTTACATCCTTGCATTTCACATGACCAACTTCAACTTACTAGCCTCACGGAAATTTTGCTAACGCCTACCTACTGTTAACTACAGTTAATTATAGGGGCACCCGAAGCAACGCGACTGTTTTTCCGTAAGCCATATCTCCTTGAATTACAGCTAATATAGCCTGCGAGAGAATCCGGTTTTGTTGGCTCTAGACCGGAAATACGTCTGCGGTTCGAGGCTACAGCTAATATTGCTCAGAAATTCCGATAGCATGGCTCACGAAAAGCTAAAAAAAATCACCAGGTTACTGTTCCATTCATTTGTTTTTCACATTTCACTCCCGCCCGACCGACATGACTATCAGGATCTCTGAACCTGATTTCCCATTTTCGAAAATTAGTGATAAGATCTGGAAGACTCCTTTTGGGAAAATAATAAGAAAGTTCTGATAAATTCTCATGACAGAACAGATAAATAATGGTAATTGAACTAAGTGGAGTGCAATTTGATCTGAAATCATACGCGTGATTTCAAAATCGAACGAGCGCGCAGCGCGAGTTTGATTTGAAATCACAAGTATGATTTCAGACCAAAATTGCACGACACGAAGTTCAATTACCACTTTATTACATCCACTTTGAAATCGCAGAATTTAGTCAGTACTAATATTTTATTGATCGAGTAGCCGGTTTGTTAAAAAGCCGAAACAAAAAGGCTTTTACATCTCATTTTGTATTCGAAACAGAAATGATGCAATATATAGAACAAAAATGGTGCGATTTAAAACAGAAATGATGCGATTTAGAACATGAATGACGCGATTTGGAACAGATGCGATTTAGCGCAAAAAATGGTGCGATTTAGGAATAAATCACACTGCTGAGAGCCAATCAGATTGCACGGATAGCCAGTGATTTCAAAGTGGATGTAATAAAGAATGTAACTTATAAGCGCCCCTTCTAATACATTATCTGACTTCAAATCAAATTAACAGCAAAGACTTCACTTTTTTGACGCAGATGAGTTACTCATTTTTCTACCTTTTCTTGTGGACCTGTATGTACTGGAGCACTACGGATGCGTGTTGTAACTGTAACAGCTGTGATGTAGTAAGTATCTATCTTTTCGTTTACTACTCCGCCACCAAGAAAGTAACCCTTGCACAGCAATCCCGCCAGCTACTTAGGACGTATACAAAATATGGATCCCCGGTGCATGGTCACCCCAGTGGACCTGGTCCATGGACTACCCCTGTGGACCACCCCTAATTTTTTGAAGATGAATTTTACTCTAGGTCTAAACGAGTTTTAAGAACCTTGTATGGACGAATCTGTGTCAATAAATTATTACCAGGATTATGGGCTCCTCGTACTGGGGAAGGGGGGGTACAGAGTAGGGAGGAGGGAGAAATGGCCTGAAAATGTAGGGAGGAGGGAGAAAATGAAATGCTGTGGGTGCAGGAAGATATCGATGAGAAGGTACTATTATGGCTTTTTTTAACTTGCGTGATGGCAAGGGATGCGGCGATGGGAATTTGACGTACACTGCGATCCCTTTGGGTCTTCTGGGACTCCCTCGATCTAGCCTGCGTGGCAGGCGTTTGAAAAGGAAAGGAAAGGGGGTTTGGGGTGCGAGGAAAACGCGAGACGCTGCCACGCAGGTTAGGGTCAGACATCTGACTAGGCCTTATAAAAGTCATGTCACCGTTTTTTCCTGGTTAGTTATGCCATCGAGACTTCAAGATCGGCTTGTAGTAAATCATTAGTATGTTCAAATCTGTAATCCAGCAAAACCTGCATATTTTAATAGTTTTACAGGAACTGCCGAGAAATTCAGAATTTCAAGCCTAGAGCAGTGAGTGGGGTGTATAAAATCCAGCCCCTGCCAAATGAAGATCCTATCGAGGTGTACTGCGAGATGGCGATACAAGGCGGAGGATTTACTTTCCTTCCTCGCAGTCTCACTAGACGAACAGATGCTCAAAATATTGTCAACGCCCTTTTCCAAGACAAGAAAAATGTTCTGCTGAAGCTGCAGAGAAAAGTGGACCGCAGTGAGTGGTATACCCTGATCCAGCCCCACCCTTTGTTCTCGAGCACTGACTTTGGGGTTTTGGTTAATGGTTTCTCGGGTTACACACAACCATTCAATGCCTTTATGAAAGATTACATCTTTCTCGGCCTTATTCCAAAATCAGCTGCAAACAATAATGGTCTCCAAGGCTTCAAATCAAACAATAAAATAATCCAATTTAAAAATTGCGACAAAAATCCCAACAGCTACTTCGCGCTCCTGCCAAACAACGGCCTTCAAACGCCAAGCTCTTTTCATAATAACAACCTGATCTATGAGAGCAGCGGTGTTGCGGTAGAATGGCGGAAAAGCTCAGTTGCTATCACTAACCCCGATCGAATGATGCCCAACAAGTTCTTCTTTCTAACTGAAGTTCTTCATGGCGGCTGTGGATGCTACACGTCCAGTGATCGCTGGAAGGACGGCTTTCACGCCACAGCCATTGGTCTTCGTTAAAGCTAGCCTTTGTAGCCGTGCTGATATTACTCAATAAAGTACAGTGTGGACAATAGTTTTCAGACTTTCAGCATGATTTTAAAACATATTTTCCTTTCTTTATTAACTTAAGTTTTTGTTACAGATGTAACTTAAGAAAGCCTCGAACAATCAAACTCTTTCAAAATCAGTTGTCACTGCTTTATTGTTTTAAAAAGTGAGCTTGTACTAGATTGACTCTTTGACGACTAGACTGTTATAAATACCCTAGCCTGTTCCAGCCTCTCAGATAGTGGGGAAGACGCGAAAAGTTGGCGGGCGGGAAAAAGGAAAAAGGAAGGGAGAGAGAGCCTGTAATCATTTCCGCCGCCCCTTCTCTCCCCAGTTTCCTCCCGTTTTATTTTCGTGTTCGCGCTTTCTCAATTCAGCGGACCCGACTATCTCGGAGCCTGGAACAGGCTATAAATACCCATATAATGTGATTTTGTTGTAGTGAGTAGTGTTTTATATATGAAACGTGGAACAGAGTGAACATTTTCGCCAATAAAACAAGCCTTCTATTTCACAAACTTTCTTGACTCTGATTCTAGTGTTGTCTACTCGCCTAACCACCAGCCCTACCACTATCCCAAACCTCACGCAGCCCCCCTACTAAAAAACGAAACAGACTGCGCGCAAAAAAGACTAACTAATGATATAACTTGAAAAAAAATGTAAAATTTATGCGCAAGCCGAGCTTGCTTGCTTTTAATTTTCCTGTGCCATAAGAAAGCATAAATGGAAATTGTCCCACACAGTGCGCGCTCTCTTTTGTTACTTCGACGTGACATGACAACTTAGAAAAAGACTGTTTCCCGCCAGCTAGCCTTGCAAAAAATCAAAATAATGACTTTTTTTCGTTACAGTCGTAAAAACTCTTCGCAGCCAGGCAAAATTGTGTTGACAAATGGCGCCGAAAACTCTGCAATTTTAGTTTTCAAATACTCACAATTTCTTTAGTAGACGCTCAAAACGTTTAGTAAATTGAGTCTTGTATTTTACAACTGAATTGCATTGCTTGGCATTTGCAATTTTTTCTCGTTACTTTGACCGCGTTTAGTTGACTGATGGTCCAGTTCTCGAGAAGCAAAAATGACGAATAAACGTCTCTGGGACGGAATGAAGTTTAAATCGTACGGAAAATCACGTGACGGAGCAAACAGCTGTACTCGCTGCCACTTCGCTCAACCTTTCAACTGGCCTGAATAATTGAGACGTGAATCATTCATTGTGATGGATGAATAAGCAAAAACACTAAACGTTCACGGCTTGGGGAAGAAACGAGAAGCTAATGCACGTGTCATAGGCTTTCCCCAAGGGTACGACAGCCACGGCTAACCAGGGGGATTGTACTTGGGTGGAGTAAAGCCCAGTTGACCTGATCTTCCCCAGGGGTGGGGGAATTTAACAAGACAAAGTCTCCTAGAGTAGTTCAAGTACAAAATCCCCCTGATATCTTCCTCTCATATATAATTGGGATTCACTTGATTGAGAGGACTTGAATTTTTATGTTAGTCTACGTGGCTAGCACAATTTGTCGCGCACGACTGTTAAACTAAAGCCTTTTTTAAAGTTAAAACAATGTCGTCAACTCCTCACCCCCCCCCCTCAGGGACAGAGAAAGTAGTCCATTCCCTTGTTTTCCCCAACATATTTCCCCAGTTGGCCCGGTGACGTCAGGGGAAAGAGATGACATGTGCATAAGAATGTCGTGGTCAACATGTGACATGACACGAGTGCTACAGGATAAGTATGTTGGACGATTTGGACAAAACGCGCGTGAAATTATTCCTGTAATTTCATGATTATACCATTTGATTACCTATAAATATGATAGGTGACGAATTACGTTCGCAATCGTGGATTTTTGACGTGTCTATCCGTGTCTGCGATCGAAAACTCCACTCTCTGAAAAATTGAGAGCTTAAAGTTTCAGATTTTTTCGACAAAAGAGCTGTTAGAATCCTTTTTGATGCTATTTCGTGTGTTTAGGTTGTCTAAGGGCCGGTTTACATGGGGGTGGGGGACCCCAGGTAGGTGAGGTAAACCGCTTTGGTCGGGTAAACCGCCTGTCCATAAAATCTCTCATCTTAATTTGATTACGTTTACACGATAGGTGGGGTAACCCGCCACATGTTACCACACCTATCTGGGGTCCCCCACCTCCATGTAAACAGGCCTTAAAGCGTCCTTTAATGCCGCCCTGACATCTTCATTCATAAAATTTTAAAATTTCGTCGCCTACTTGGAAGTGACGTACGCAACGTTGCTATGGCAAATTTGTAATTTCACATGTGAAATTATAAATAAACGCTGAAATTCCGCGCCAAAATTAAGGAGTAATTCGTCACCCATGATATCACGTAGGGGCCATTTATACGAGGAAAGATAAGACGCGTCTTACATAGGACACATCTTAAATAAGACGCGAACTTTCCGTATAAACGGCATATTTCGTCTAAAATAAGACGCGGCTTAGTTAAGAGGAGTCTTATTTTAGAACAGCCCTTAGCACCTGTTTTTAAATAAGACGCGTCTTAGCTAAGACGAGAAAAACTTGGTATAAATGACCTTCGATAAGATAAGACGCGTCTTACATAGGACACATCTTAAATAAGACGCGAACTTTCCGTATAAACGGCATATTTCGTCTAAAATAAGACGCGGCTTAGTTAAGAGGAGTCTTATTTTAGAACAGCCCTTAGCACCTGTTTTTAAATAAGACGCGTCTTAGCTAAGACGAGAAAAACTTGGTATAAATGACCTTCGCGTCTTACATAAGACGCGAACGCATAGTACGCATGCGTTAATTTTTGGCGCGCCACGTTGGATTGCCGTTGTTACGGGCAACATTCACATGAAAACAAGTCAAGAACAGTCTTAGATAAGACATACTCGTATAAATGGTTCTGTTGCGTCTTATGTAAGACGCAACTTATTTTTCTTCGTATAAATGGCCCTAATGTTTATATTTTTATCGTTTCTCATCAAGTCATGACACACTCTTTCAATATCAAAGCTTCTTTCTGGAAAGTTTATTTCATACTTAAGTTACTGTGCACGTCGAGTAAATCTAAACTTATTTATAGTCATTTGCCCTTGGCTGACTTTTCGTAGCTCATCTTTCATAAACATTTACATAAAATCTCTTATATTTTCAGCCTTTTCCAAGCTTTTAAATACCTGAGTTTCTCGCCTAAAAAAGTTTGAAGATATTTTGAATAATCGCCGGCATTAGTCAAGAGTGTCGGGATATTCTTCAGCTTCAATTACGCATTCTTTTCAAAGTACTGATTACCAATTAATATGCTGAAAGCGGTGTAACTCTTTTCACCCTGCGAGTGAAGTTCTCAGATGTAAAAATCTGAAGTATATATATTATGTTCAACCAAAAAATTTGAAAGATGAATTTTTTGACTTGCTAAGCTCGGTTAACATCCATTTCGTGAACTCGCGCTCCTTCACGCACACGATTATTGTGGAACCGAAAGGATGCAAACCGGACTCCAAACCGAGGGAAATCGAGCCTAGTGACAAATCAAGTTAAAACAATTAAGCAGCAATTTTTATTGACCATTAATGTAATATTACTGATCCTCGTTCGCGGTTTTTCTGTTTGTTTTTGGAAATTAAAAAAACTGGACATTTTGCCTTCCACTCTTCATACGAAAAGTCAAAAGAGCGATGCACCACTTAATAAAACGAAAACACGAGTTATTTAGAAAAAAAAACATCAAAAATAAAATAAATAATGTAGAAAAATAACAATAATCAGATAACATACAAAATTAAAAATGATGCTTTAAAAAAATTAAACAGGGAACCTCGCTCATCAGAGTCAATTTCAGAAACGACGATACCAAACAGTCCCTTTTGTCTTCGCTAGATTAATCACGAGACTAACGTGGCATAGGCAGCTAATTAGTAGCGAATACAGTCGGACCTCCACAAAGAAACATCAAAATCTTCGACCCCAGTCAAAGGCCTATAATGGCGCCTCTCTTAAAAGCTGGTTTTCACTAGCGACGGATTCGTAGTCGGAATCGTAAGCTGAGTCGTAAGAGCACTTATGACCTGGTGAAAATCATAAATCAGAGTCGTAAGCAGAGTCATAAGTCCGACGGAATCGGAGCAGGAAGAATTAGCACGTTTCCATTTTCTTCCGACTCCGCTTGAGACTCCGTTGTTTACGATCTAGTGAAAACCAGATTGTGGGAGTCGGAAGCAGAAGCGTAGGAATAAACCAATCACAATGCTTATTCCCACTCTTTGTGATTGGTTTAGTTCTTCTGCTTCTGTTTGCATCTTCGAAAACCCAGTTTTTACAAGATCGTAAACCAAGGAGTCGTAGCCGGAGTCACATTTATCACAACGTTGTTTTCACTAGATCGTAAATTTTAAGTTCTCCGCTCTCATTACTAATCCGACTCCGTCGCTAGTGAAAACTAGCCTTAAACGACCACCTCTGATAAGCGACCCAGACCACTTTTTACCCTGACGGTTAATAGTGTTCCATTAACCCTTTAGAGTTACCAACATCAATTTTCTCCTAACATCATCAGCAGATCATCAAGAGTAAAGGTTATGAGAATTACTAAATTGATCACCAAAGGGAGAATACTTTGATCTTAAACCAAATTCTCTCAACTATTCTTACAAGAAATGTATGGAGATCAGTCTGAAGAATTTGTATGTGGATCTTGGGGTTTAAAGGGTTAAGCGACCACCAGACTCTTTGTTCGTGTATGTATTACGCCAATCATTGTAAACGAATTTTCAGTGACAACATGGAACTACAGGTATACGTAACTTAGAAATTGCATAATATATATTCTCTGCCAAAAAGTCGATGAGTCGGGACGTCTTCACGGCTGAGATCCCTGTGGTTCTTTTCTCGTAAGCGACCACGTCCCGGAGGAGACCACTAAATCTTCGCCCATTGGGTGGTCGCTCGCGGAAGGTTTGACTCTCTATATCTTTTTTTTTAACGATCTAAAATCAACTATCTCAACTATGGCCTATGGAAGCAGGGGGCAACTAACCGACACACCTTAAAGCTTTTACTTGTCTTGACAGAGAGGCAAGGCGGGCTATCTATTTGATCAGGAGTGGTTGCCATTAAACCAAAAATCTCGCCAATTTCGGGTGGAAAAAGAAACAAAAAACTGAGGTCTTCCTTTTAAGACAGTCAGGCGTGGTTTCAAAAGTTAATTTTAGTTTAGAGCAAGACTTACACCCGGTCGGGAGAACTCTCGCATGAAAATGACGGGGATGCTTGTTAGAAAATTGGAATTACATCCCTGAAGGAGACTAATCTCGGCATGGCTCTGCCTTCATCTGTCCCTAAAGCAGACCATACTCCAAAAAACCTAAGACGGAATTTCTTTACGCACAATTCAAAGCGATACCTTTATTGTCTTTATTGGCAACAATATAAGCCTTCCATTAAGAACACCCTAAGTGAGAACAAAATCTGCAATTTCTACCCCTAAAGGAGACAAGCATCCCTGTCATTTCCATGGGGGGTAACCCCCCCGCCCCGCCGTGGACTTACATAACTCGAACCCACCAAAAATAAACCCACCTTCTTTATACGAATAACGGTGCTGTGAAAACATACATTACAACGACTCATTCGATATTTGCTTGTTTGCAAGAATAATAAATAAATTCTCAAAATTTCACTTTAGCGCGCTAACTATGGCGTCATCACGCCAAACCACAGACGTCAAATCGTAAGCATGCGTGGTGAGGAGCAAAAGAAACCCACCGACAAAGGGAGTTGAAATTCTGAAGAAGTTTGTGGCCTCCAATGAGAGGCACGAGCTCTCTTTTTAAACATACCCGTGGAAGTTGCTTGTTTCGATCGTTATTTTATCATCCAAACGTTTATCGTTCCACGATTAACAGCATCTTTAGATGATAGACGAACATCCTCTTCGTGTCAGCTTCATTCGGTGTTAGGTGACTCTCTTCAGCTTGTTTTAGGTAGCTTCCGGCAAATATATCATCAACAGCGGATAAACCAACAAAAGTGAAGATCAAAACCAAAGAAACGTAAAAAAGCACATCTCTCTTTGATCAGTGCCGGCCGGCTACACCTCAGTCTCTCTCAACATGAGTTGAGCGTCTACCAGGCTGGCCGCGTCGTCTCGACCTATATCGCGCAGTTTCTCCGCCAGTTTATAGAGAGGATATTTCTTGCTCTCTAACGCTGTTAAAAGAATGTCCGTCGGAGACGCAGAGGAATTGCAGTTTGCCAGCCACCTAATATGTTTCATTTCAAATCCAACCCCGTCGGCTAAAGATCTCCAATCGCCCTTGGGATGCGGCGGATCAAGAATCAAAATCAGTTCATTACGTATCCTGTATGTAAGTGAGTCCGTAGATGGCGAGGGTTCGAAACCAAACGAAAAATAACCAGATGAGGTATTTTTCAGTTGAATTGGTGACCCAGTTGGGCTGCCGGGACCTGCTCCGCCAAGCAGAATATTCGCTTGTGACGTAGAATGCAAATGACTACATAACGAGCCTGCATGCAGTACGGCAGCGGTGTTATCTTCTAGAACAGGTTCGCTTGCTGCCTTAGATAAGCTGGTCGATCCTCCGCAATAACAGGTTTGCTCCGATGCTTTGTTACTCGACTCAGACATGCTGCCCTGGTCCTGAAATTAAGGTTGACAATAATTTATCACGGTTGAATAGATATAACGCGAACGTTTAAAAACTAACGTGCAACTGCAGTCTGGACTCGTCTGGTTGGTCAGTCCCGACAAATTTAAGGTGCCCTTAGTATAAGGACCGGTGAGGCAGAAAGGAGCCTAAATATTGAAGAACTCCAGCCGACATTTTCGTTATTTGAGAAAAATCGCTCAGCGACTGATTGCCAGTTACCATTTTAAAGAATGCGTCGATGGCCTTCTCACTTAATTCAAGCGCATTGCAGACGAAAAACATGATAAAATCTACACTTCACGTAATGCTTCTTTATACTTCGTTATTTTGTAGACGACAAGCAGGAAACAAATGAACGCTGAAATATTGCTTAAGCTCTTACTACCGCTTACCATCGTTATGGACGATTGTTCGATCGCCGTGGACACGCTAACTTCTTGTTCGTCGCCATCTTGGCAGTCCTGAGTGACTTCAAACGAGGCACGGAACTGGGGCACGCTTTTGTCGACCAAAGAGAACGTAAAACTGCGACTTGGCATGCTCTCAATACCTTCCCAGATATGTTGAAAACGGATTTTCTAAGAAAAAGAAAAAGCAAACAAACAAATAGAGCGCTTTTCGATTGAGTGTCGTAAAACCAAAACCAAAGTAATCACAACGGCCAATTAGAACAAACGAAAATATCAGAGGGAGCCAATGAGAAATCGAAGTAAACGCATGTAACCAGCCTTAAGCGCGGGAAAACGCGAGTAACCAGGTCGCGATTGGTTTTAGTTTTGTATCTGATTGGCTTAGAAGGTGGCGCGAGTTTTCTAGACCACTCACAGAGCACAGTAAAGCAAAACCAATGCAATCCCGGATTTCTTTCGACACTCAATTGAAAATTACTCTAAACAAGCAAATCACTTCAACAGGCTTTCCCAAAATGTCATAAACTGATTAGACTGTTCACAGTTCCCTCGTTGAAAACGAGCGCTACAGGCGACCATCTTGACCAAGTCCATGACTATCCTATCTACTCAGGGCGGTTTAGGAGGTGGCAAAAAATAATATATCTTATCAAAGGCCATAATGGGTTAGGGTTAGGGTGATTTTATTTTTCTCGCCTCCCTTCCCCAACCGATTTAACCCTTTAAGCCCTAAGAGTGATCAGCAAGAAATTTCTCCTTGTAATATCAATGCTCTGTAAAACAGAGTGGTCATGAGAATTACCCACATGATCATACACGATGAATTTGCTTGATATTTTATCGACTTCTCTCCACTACTTCTGTAGGAAATGAATAGGTGCAACAAATGAGAATTCAAATTTTGATCTTAGGGTTTATAAAGGGTTAAACCACACGACACCCGTCCCCTCGGTACATTTGAAATCAATAACAAACTGGCTGGTGAGCGGTGAGCACCGGAGAGCGCCCGATCAAGACGATCTTATCAAATAATAGGGGACTTTGAGGAATCCATCTGACATTCTCTTAAAAATAATGTGCAACTGGACAAGCAAGTCGTCACTCACCTTTTGATCTACACTGGTGTTTTTCCAGCCCGGGTGATTATCTGTGAGATTGACTAAGAGATCACCTCCACCGCCAATAAAGTAAAAAGGCTGAGGTGCCTCCCTTGTTATTCCTTTCAACCTCTCTGTTTCTTGACTGTGTAAATTCTGGAAGAGCACCCAAAAAATAATTATAATTATTATGAATAGCCACAATGAACAATTTTGGACGAGGTTGAGCAAAATATCGTGATTTGTACGAGAGGAGGAAGGCCTTGAGTAATGCTCTATTTGACCAAATTGTAAGGGACCAAAGCCACAAGCTCCATGATCTGCTGCCGCCACGCAACGGGTCCACTTATTGCACCCGTAACCAGAGATACTTCAAACTACCGATTTGTAAGACAAATAGGTTTGAAAACACTTTTATTATGGCGAACAGTTTTAATTATTAGTGTAGGTTATATTTTAAGGTTTTTATAGTAGTTATCATATATTTATAGATAATTTTTAGTTCCATCGTAAAGTAAGTCACATTTCAGCCGGCCCGGGGGCTGCAATGATTTTACTTCTTAATAAAGCTATCTACTCAGCTAAAGCTATCTATCTATCTATCTATCTATCTATCTGATTCGTCAGTGGCGAGCAGATCAATTATCTGGCGAAGCCAAAGGCTTAGATCTGCGAGACTGAGAAATCACCATATTTTGCGACAACCTAGTTCAATAGTTTTTTCATCATTCGATCACCGAGTTTGTTTGTTTCTCTTTTTTTTTTAATGAATATTTGCCATTTTGCCATTTTCACGCAAGAGCGATCGCAAGGAGGAGAAAGCGTAGTTTCATTTACGCATGAATAGAATATCATTTGCAGCCAAACACAGTTGGACGACATTGCGCATGAACAAACTATTATTTGTAGGCAGTTATTGCAGGTCAGGTGGTGAGCTCTCGGCCAATGAAAAGAAAGAAAGATTTGCATCGAATGATGAATCATCATCATCATCATCATGACCAGGGGCGTAGCCTGGATTTTTCAAAGGGGGGGTCACAGAGGCTACTCAACAGATTGTCATGTCGACCTCCACGCCGTGCATGTTTTACTTAATGTTAATGAAGGCCCATATTAACTAAAGACAAGAGCCGTTGACGAAAATACTTCACAAAAAAACAAATTTTAAAAAAGTGGGCTTTTCAACAATGGCTTTTACGGACAAGATATTGTCATGGCGTTTTCGCCACCTGAATATTGTAGGTTGTTTGCTCAAAAGAAGGCCTACCAAGGGGGGGGGGGGGGGTCACGGGCACCCCAGGACCCCCCCTACCTACGCCCCTGCATCATCATCGCATTTTAGCAACTCTTATTTCGGTAACATTCAACTATAAAGCCCAAGCAATCCTCAGACGGCGTTCAATGAGGAGGCTATTCGCCGTGAAAATGCCATTGTGCAAAGCAAAGAAGAAGAACACAAGACAATCATCAACGAAGGAAAACGTTACAAAGAAGAAAACAACAAAACAAACCTCTAAATGAACAGGAAGATCCCCTACACAGTACACTCTCACCACACAGTCGCCATTTGCCTGGGCTGGAGGTGATACATATGCTACAATCTTGACAATTTTTTTGGCTGGTTCACTGGCAGCTGAATTTCCAGTTACAGCAAATGACGTGAAATGATCCACCATTAAATAAACCATGTTTGGTTCCAATAAAGCTAAGCAAGGATCTGAGCCATCCTGCTTATTGATGTCAATCAATTGCTTCCAGTCTGCTGGTGCACCCGACTCTGTCTCGTTGTACTGGACTATGGTTAGAAAAAAGAAAACGTGTCAACATAAAACCTTTTCTAGGAGCAACATTGGGACTGAACGGAAGTGTCCGTCTAAAGATAGATTTCCACCGCCGCGTAATCTTTACTTGCGTCCGCACGTAGTTTTACGCGCGTCAGTAAATTAGAGGCAATGTATGAAGTGTCGCGCGTAAGCACAAACGTAAAAGTTGAACGTCGCTGAACTTTTACGTTTGCACCCGGCCTTTTACATTGCCTCTGTTATATTTAAGAGCATAAAATTTCCGTGCGTCAGGCGACAGTGGAAATCCACCTTAGAAATGTGTCTGCCTTATAGAAAATCAAAGAAAATAACTAATCTGCAACGACAAGGACCAACTCTGGGTATCCTCTTTATCCATATCTTATCCATATCTCTCCTTCATGCGGTTGTTCTTATTCGCTATGCAACTTTCGAACTATCACGGACGGGTGTGAAAAGAAGTAACAGTCACCTACTCACCTTTTAAATTCCAGGCACCGTCCTCAAGGAGAGCACAGTGTGGCAGGCTTAAAACCACAGGACGCTTGAATTTGAGGCCATTTGGGCCACACTTCACAACTGGACTCAATAAGGACTCTTTGGCGGTGATATGAGGATGGTCCTTTTCTTGGTCCATGATAGCTATATATATGCCTTCAGTGTGACCCTCTGGGATAGCCTGGGGTGGTACAATGAGGCTCACTCCTGTGTCCCCTATGGTGAACCTCCCTCCATTATGGTCCACTAGTCCCCAGGCCATCATCTTGGGATTCACATTTTCTGGGAGGTTTGAAATATTCCACATCACGCGAGAGATATCTGAAACAGTCGACTTGTTACTGATAGAAGAATTTGTCCTCTCGTATCTTTGTTCCCTATTCTTCGTCCTTTCATTCACTATTTCAACTTCAGTGGTTTCAGCAGCGGGTCTTTTAAATTCTGCTTGTTCGACACGCCTGCTCTTAGGGGATTCTTGGAGGGGAAGCCCAACAAAATCAAACTCCTCGTCAAAAGTCGGAGAAACTGCCCGGAGCTTTTCACCACCTACTACGGGGAAAGACTCTACGTAGGATGATGAACGAGTGATAAGAGGTGAGGTGCTGTCCAAAGTAGCTTTTTTAAATGACCCTACAAATAAACAACATGCATGTATGTATAGGTAATCATAAGACTTACAGATTTTCTATTTGGAATTTATTTGCACAAGTGCGGTTTTCAAAAAGTTATCGAAATTGCACGAGTCCTTAGGGCGGATGCAATTATAATACTTTTTAAAAAATACAGGGGTGCAAAGAAATACCAAATTGAAGGAGAAAAGTCGTACGATTACCCTTAATACCCTAAAATTTACTTGACTGGTTCTTATATATTTCTATTGTCTATTGGCCAATCACAATGCTTCCTTCCTTTAAGATAATTGCATTTTATTTCCTCGTTTTTGGACTGTGTTTAGTAAAAAACTGCATTACTCTCAGCCAATAAGAAATGTTTGATGTATATTATCAATACTGTAACATGACATAAAGATATTCAAAAACTAAAGTGGGGTTTTAAGAGGGCATAAAAACAGAGGGACTTACATCCGAGGGGGGCTTCTAAAACCGGAAAAGGCGCCTCCAAAAAAGCTATAGCAGTGCTGATCAAGATACGTTTTGCGTTTACTGGTTTTTAATCAAGCTTCAAAACGTTTTGATGAATCAAATTCAATTCAATACAAGCTAAATCGGCGACAAAGTTGTTGAGACATTGTACCTCAGAGAACAAAACAATCCACACCCCTCCCTGCTTCCCTCCATTCACAGTTGGGGTGTTTGTTGTTTTCTAAAAGTAAATGAACAACGCACATTGCATGGAGGGGATGGGGGAAGGAAAACTTTTTTTCCCCTTTTGAAGTCGGTAAGAACGTCAGAAAGGCCTTTAGGGCAAAGTGTCTCGACTAATTTCGTCGCCGATTGTAGAGGGGGCTTATTTCCGGGAGGCTAATAATTAAGACAGAATCCATCAGGAAACTGAGTAATTTTAATTTTCAGTGGACAAAAACCTTGTACCAGAATAATTTAAACAATACTGCATTCTTTTCTACATTTTTCAAGGGCTATAAATATAATAAAAGTTACCTGCAAGAGAGAATGATCTATTTTTACCTGTAATAACACTAAAGACTATTTCTCATGGGAGCCCGAGAAAATAAATGTCAAATTTCACAAGAATTGTGAAAACACAGGTAAAATTCTTCAAACTTTCTTGTGTAAGGTGTCATTTCAGGGTTCTCAATAGATTTTTAAGTAGGAGGTGATCACTGATAAAGTAGGAGGCTCTTCAGCAAAGCCAGAGGTGTCAAAACAAAGCAAAGAAAAGCGACTTAAACACAGGCTATAAAAATTCTTCAAACTTTCTCTATTGAGAACCCTGGTCATTTGGTGAAATTTGACTTTTACTTTCTTGGGCTCTCATTAGAAATTTTCTTCGGAGTTATTGCAGATAACAAATTACATCTATAGCCCTTGAAAAATGTAAAAATGCCACATTATCTAAATTTTTCTGGTACAAGGTTTTTGTCGACTGAAAACTAAAATTACTCAATTTCCTGCTGGATTCTGTCTTGAGTCTTTTCATATCACCCAGCTCCCCTGTATCAGGCTTACTGTTTAAAAGCAGAGTGAACCTGCTTTAAAAGTGTCATAAACATTTTCTTTAAACTATTAATTCACTTCTGATATCCACTGTGATATCCACTATGTGGATCTGATATCCACTATGGTCGCTTGGTTGATTATCATTCATTACTTTCATGACCATAAAATAATTTGACAAATACAGTCAACTCTCTCTAAGAAGGACACCTTTGGGACCGGCACTAGCTGTCCATTCCAGAGAGATGTCCGTCTCATAGAAAGTCAAATAGAAGTAGCAAAGACGGGCAGGGACCAACTCTAGCTGTCCGTTTTACAGAGGTGTCCGTCTTATAGAGGTGTCCGTTAAGAGAGAGTCGACTGTAAACAAATAAATAAGTGAATAAATAATGATTTATCGGTGGCACATCCACAAACACAGAGTCCAGATGAGATGTGTTTGTTGTTAGAACATCAAAACCTGTCGAAAACCTCTGAAAAAATGGGTTATTTTGATCGCGTTACAGTTTCATTACACATTCTATAGACCGCAAACCAAGAGACTGAGGGCTCGCAAGATCGGCTTACAGTATAAAATACGGAAAGGGAGGAAACAAATTTGGGGTCGATTTTTGAATCCCTGAAACTCAAATGGAATTGAATGAAATTGCCTGATTTTTCTAACCTGATCTAGAATTCTTATGTATTTGCCAAATACTGTAGGAAAACGGTATAAATAAGCGTTCAAATTTATTTTGCTACTGCGTTTCCGGTCTCATTCACTTCCGTCACCGAGTGATGCGGTTCACAGCGAAAGAAGTCAAGTGGTACAAGTTTCCTCCCTTGTCCTTTTTTTTACTCGGCACTTCGTGCCTCGGTCGCCCTTCGGGTGACAGCCTTCGGTCACCCTTCGGGCGACGTTGCGTGCGCCAACGAGGATATGGCTTGTGGTCATTGATTTTCAAAATGGCGAACAACAAAGTCGATCTGGTCAGATAAGAAGCGAAGAAATCATTTACAGTAGATTCATTAAGATCCCATTGGGCTAATTAATCGTGCTAAGCGACAGGTATGGACATTTTTCAAGGTGAGACTTAAAACAAGTAATTCATTTATTCACACGAAACTCCTCTGGACCCTGTGCCACAAAGTGGAGAGGGGAACACCAGAATTTCTGCAGAAAACCCCTTGGTGTAAGGGCAACGACAAACTCATCCCATAATGGCAGCCTGAATTTCAGACAATTACTTCGAGTCATTTTCACTCCCTCATAACGTCATTGTTGAAGGAGTAAAAATGACTCAAAGTAATCGCCTGAAATTTAGGCTAATAATGGCCTTTTCCTTAAGGATTTGACCCTCTGGACCTAATCGGCAGCACCAACAAATAGTACAAAACTTCCCTATTGACTAAAACAAACACAAGCTGGACATACAAGTGGGTCAGCCATTTAGGAACGTTAATTTACCTAGTTCAAGTCCACTTTCTGGTGTGTATACTCGAGCTGTTTTCATCTGACTTGATTTTTGTTTAAATCTTGATACAAATACTACTATCAATACCAGCAGAATCACGATCACTCCCACAATAATTCCTATTTTAATGGCACCTAAACAGAACAAAAAAGTAGTGACAAGTCATTCTAAAATGCTGTTTAAATGATTTAACTTTTATTGTGTAATTTCCCGGGCAAAAACAGCTCTAATATGGTTGCAATCCTAAAGTGTGTAAGAGCAGGCTCAGTTATGATCATTAGTTTATCAATAATTCATGTACAAGTGTATCCTTGCACTCGAAAAAAAAAGTTTCACAAGAGAGAACAAGATTGACTAGTCCAGAATTTAGCGCTGCGGAGACCTCAAAGTCTTGACCCAACTCAGGCAGTGCCTCCTTCTCTCCTCTTCACACAAGAAGACAGATGGAGGCTCTGTTCACAGGGTGATCCATTTGCCCATGGGCCATGAGAAAACAAAGATTATCAGAGCCCAAGAACTGCATTAATATTTCAACATACTTGCTGGAATTCCCTGACAGGAATAACTACAAGTAGGTAAATTTTAGGGGAGATGGCACTCTGCAAGCCAGTTGCCTTACACTTTGATCCCATTCTATCATTAACTAACTACAGAAAAGAAGGTTGGGACATAGGGAATGTAGCTGCAAGGTGTTGGTAGAGATTCTGAATCTAGTACTACATTTTAAAAAGGACAAAAGGAATTGATGGAATTTTCATTCATTGATCAAGAAATACTTAAAAAATAAAATTGGTAAATAAATGGTAATGCATTGAATAATACCTTAATATATAGAAGAGCACTTATATTAACTGGAATAATAATTATTATTGAGCCCAGATGTGACGTGATCTTCCTTCTTATACCTGCTAAAATATAACCTTCACTTACTAAGTGTTCCTTGACTGAAATCTAGGGTATTGCTTGGAGGTTGAGTTGTATCGTCATCTTTTTTTGCTACAGCTAAAAAAGATAAAATAAAGTTATTAACCAAACTAGATGTTGTGTTGTCTTTCAAACAATGCATATTTACAGCAAAAAAATTGACTATGATAAGCATATACAGCTATCTACAATAAAAATATACCATACAAACATGTTCTCCTCCCCCCCTCCCCCCTCCTCATCACCATTAAGATGGTCGGTCCCGGTTTTCAGCATTGATAGAGTGATGGTTTTAACTTGAACAGAATGGAACCAAAAGGAGTATTTGGCTGTTTTTTTTTCCCAAGAATAACAGTGCATGTGTGACCAGTCAACACGACTGACAAGTGAATTTTTTGGCCAGTCACGTCCCCATTCTAGCTGGATGTTGTCCATTGATTGGCTGTTATTTTCAACCCTGAAACCTATGAATATTCATCAGGTACTGCTCTTCAATTACAATAATGAGAGGTACAGCTTATTATTATAAAACTTTGTTATTTACTCAAAATATTTCTTGTTTGAGTCTGATTGGCTCAAATCCATCACCTAATTCTTCATAACCAGCTAGCATTCAACATATTTGGAAGATGTTTGCAACAATTATTATCTGGTAAAATGATGTCAGTAGTACAGGATAACACCAGAAAAAGGAACGGCAGCCAACACAAAAAGCCCTGAGGATAAACTTGCTTTGGATTGGTTGTGTTGGTACAGCTGGAGAAAATGGCAGAAAATTTCACTTGTTTTAGCTGAACTACATTTTGTACGGCCTTAAAACAGCAAGAACAGGAAAAACAGGACTTGGTGGATGTCAACTGCTATTTGAAAAATATCTGCAAGACTAAACATCCCTTTAACTTCTGAAAAATTATTTGCCAAGGAACAAATAAAAAAGACAGGAACTATTTTTGAAATATTTTGAATGAATAGTAGAATTATAAGTTTTTGGATTTTGGCTTTCTTACGATCTGAAGAATTATGGAGATCTCGGAAGGTGTTATCAACTTTCTGCCTTAGCAGATAACACCTTCTTTCCAGGATTGATCTACATAATTCTTAATAATTCTTCAGATCATACTTCGCATACGCAGCTTATTCTTGTCTATTGTAATATCAATAGTATGTATTGCCGGTAAATACTTAAGTGATCAAATTGAATCAACACAAAAGAGGGCGCTGAAAATTATTTTTCCTTCTCTGTGCTATGAGGACGCGCTCAAGAAATCAGGCTTAATTTTGCTGCACCAGAGGAGGGAGGATGCGTGCATAACATTTCTCAAGCAAAGTTACTCTTCTTCTGACCTGCTACGAAACTTAGTGCCGCGAGTTGCACACACAAGACCGTATGCCCTTAGAACAGGAGAAACTGCTTCTGAACCTGTCTCCTCAAGAACTAACAGATTTGGAAATTTTTGCACCATCAAATACCAGAATCATGTTTAAAATAGCGAAATGTGATATCTCTTAACATTAACAGTTACATTTACGTGTCATAATTCCGAAGTATTTGTATGTAATTAATGACCCGCCTTGTAATTCAGTTTATGCTGCAAAAAGGTTGAATAAATGATCATTACTATTATTATTATACTCAGCCTCATACAATAATTCCTAATTAACTGAGGAAGTCCTCATAAAAAGTTCCAATAGACCGTATTCAGAAAACTACCGTCTTTGCACAGGCATTAGGATTAACGGGATAAAAGCAATATCACGTGGTTTCTAAGGGGACATACAAAAAAGTGAAAAAATTTGCCAATGCAAGAAAGCGTATTTGAGTTTGTTTATTCTCGACAAAAGAAAATGAAGAACTTTCCATCTTTAAGACGATAATGGCAAATTAAGGATAGAAGTGATCATTCTTAATTGCTTTGGATGCAGTAGTGACCATCCTCACAGAAGACAATGACATAAATCTTGTCTGAACTCGAACTGTACACTTTGCATGGTTATTAAATTGCCCTTTCGTTGTGACAAAAAAAACTGACTGCGATTACATGCAGTGGCAGATTTTATCGCTTGTTTGTTCCCTGAAATAACACGTGACATTGCCTTTATCCCATCAATCCTAAAGCACCTGCAAAGATGGCGGGTATCGTGAACAAGTTCTATTGATTAGAATGAAATAACTGAACCTCACCAGAATTACTCAACACTGTTATATTGAAGGAACAGTTGGCTATCTGTTCATTCTTTTCCCTCAAAACGTAAGTAATTACATAAACAGCATTTTCTGAACAGTTGACAAGCTCCACAGGTGGGACAGCCCATGGTGGAATTACTTGAATTCTATACTTTGTTCCATTCACTTCTGGAATATTCCAAGATACAACTTTTCTCTTACAAACCGAACGGTTGACATACACAGAAATGTCATCAGGGCACTCGATTTTCAAACCTAAGCAAAATAAAAGTAAAAATTACCATGTACCCCTCTACATGATATTTAACAAACAAAATCACACAGCATTTTTCCTCAATGGCTTAGACAATTCCAAGCGTGCCAATCCCCACGACATTTGCAGGGCATTTGTCATCTTGTCAGTACTGGTGGTGGGGAATTTGTCAAAAAACCTCTACCCAGGGGTGGGGCACTTGTCAGTTCTTCTAGACACAGTTATTATTGTGCCTTTTCAACATTAAGTTCAGTTTAATCATTTTGCCACACAAAATAAATTACAATAAGTATAGCTATAAAATCATGACAAATAGTGTTTGTTAAGATTAAATTCAAAGTAGTAAACAGTAGGGAAATCTCAGGGAAGCCAAGGAGCTTATAAGAAATATAGGGAATTCCCCCAACCGGCATATTAAATCATGAATGATAGATTTCATAATCTAGGCAGCATTTTAAAATAAAAGAGAAAATAATATGTACATGTATAAAGGATTTAAGCTATAGATATTTCTATGAAGAATATTTTTAATAACATATGCTCTAAAAAAGATATGTGTGGTGTTTGCTCCATCACCAACCAACCCCACAGTATTTTTTGCATCCTTCAGGAAATTTCTGATCTTTGTCTAAAGATGTCTCTTGCTTTAACAGTACTTTGGCTGGATCACCTACTCCAAGTTGCACACAAGAACATGAAGCAATTAATCGCAGAACACCAAAAGACGCATTATACTGATAAATTTAGTTTTGTAGGAAAGCCAAACCAAGAGTCGTATGTAAGAATTTATGGGAGATTGCAACGGCTATGTTAAAATTAGCAGAGAGGAAAGTTATGGTTTTAAGTCAAGGAGTTTACCATGGTCTCACAATTGATACAACTGATTAAAGAAGAGTCTGATTGTTGTCCAAAGACACACATAGCTAGTTTAATCTTTTTCAAGAGTTTCCAAATGTGGTATGAGTGTGTAATTGCAAAGTAAATAATATTAAAAGCACTTTTACTGTTATATAAATATTGGAAATATTCATGGTTAAGTCACTGGTGTATTGCATTTTCAGCTTACAATTATGGGAAAATGCAACACCGGTATTTTTTTTTTGGTATTGTCCCAGGGTGAGGCATATGCACACTTCTTTAAGCCTCACAGTTTTTTTTTTGTGAGAGCCAGCTGACCCACCACTGGGCAATTGCAGCTGTTCCAAAAAAAAAGAACAATGACAAAATACCTGGGGGAGGGGGAATGGGCAGCATGGATTGACTGAGCCATTATAACTACAGCAACTCTTTAATTTACATTGTCATTATAATTAAAATTATATTTATATATTTGTGACTGTCCACAGGAATTTGATGCTAAAGGTGAAAGCATGCTCACGACACGCTTAGCGTGTCGTAGATCACAGATATGCACATATTAAATTGAAAAAACAAAGACGGACACACTTGCCTTTGTTTTGGTAAATTTAACACGCTAGACCTTTTGTTTTTTTGTAGCGTGCCATATGTCACGGTAATTGTGCGAATTACAGCACTCTTAGCGTGCAATTTGGGTAAGACACGCTGAACACTCTTGATAACTAAAACTGCTAAGATGATAAAAATGGCTTGGGTTTTCAGCGGATTTAATCAGCATTGATAACTAGTGGAAGTGAATTAAATATACCAATTGAGACTGTTTTGGAATTTGATCGTAACCGTAGCCATTTGAAAATCGCCACTTAATGGTCGTCTAGCCTGGAATTTAAACGCAAGACCATTGTAAACCAATTCCTCCGGCTGTCGGCTGTTGACCGGAATCGCAAAGAGGCCTGCTATTGCATGTGAGGCACTGAAGTTACGTCGCCTGAAAATTATAGTTATGCCACCCGAATATTTATTAGCAGTAATGCACAGATAAATGAAGTTGAATAAATTAGTTTAATATATTTCTTTAAGCCATGCTGAGATGAACGAAGGTAAAATTGGAGAAACAAAAACTGCCTAGAATTTTCTATAGCTTGAGGAAGGCTAAACATTTCTAGATGACCGTTCCAAGCATGTACAATTTTCGAAGCTTATCTGATAAATTCCTTACGATTTTCTGAAGTTTAATTTTTTTCATTTCACTCCCCAGGTTAAGCTATTTTTCGTAGAGAAAGGAATCCTAAAATTTTCGGGGACCAAAAATACCAAAAAATTCTCACTTTCCTAAAACTTTCAATTGGAAGCTAAATTTTTTGGGAAAATAATGCTGAAGCCCTTGTAATTTCGAAAAGACTGAAGTTGTCCTAGGATGCTAGCCCCTGACGAACGAAGCGCTATCAATCATAATTTGTGTGAAGATATCTCGTTACGCTATGCTAAGATGAATCAAGCGCTGGAATTTTCGTACATCTAGACAAGCAGGCTGGTTTCATTTGATCACTACGATCCTTGCAATCGCTAAAAAATAAATACAATTTAGCGATCCTAGCACTTGCTGATTTCTATTAGATCGCTGTGATTGCTGCGATCGGCGAGAAAGTGACTTAAGTCCAAAAGATCAATGTTTCTGAGAAAATTGCAAATGTGATTTAAATTAAGGAAACTTAAGATAACCTTTGCACAGCTTCGTCAGTAAACATTGGTGGAAAGAACTTTGATTTTGCAATGCTAATAAAGTTCTACACATAAATCCAGTAGGTCCCACCGTTCACTGTTTATACTTTCCAAGTGTCAACGTTTTTTTCAATCAGATACTGTTACTGCGATTGCTGAAGTAGAACTTTTTCTTTCTCGATAGTTACCAAAAAAGGGTGCCGTCCATAATCATTTGCGGTTCCTTTTGTAGAGGAAATTTATTTAGCTTATAGATAACGAGCCTTGCATGCTTTTGCGCACACTGAAAGCGCGTTGTGCTTTTTCGCACGGGGCTTTTGTTTGAAAACTTTCACACGCTCTTTTGTTCGACTTGTTCACGCTTAATTGTCTCAAGCGTGTCCTCTGAAACAAAAGAAATTGCTAATGAGGCAAGATTGCAAGCGTGCTAAGGCCTGTTAACATAAATTCTTTTGTTTTAAGGTAAAAGCGTGTCATGCGCGTGCTTTCACTTTTAGCATTAAAATCCTGTGGAGGGTCACATTTTCGCTTCAAAGTCTAGCATACCAGGACAATGTCCCATACAAAACTCGTTCTTGAAGGGGAGTCCTTTACAAATTTTTCCACCATTTTCAGGTGATGGATTTGTACAGAAGCGTCTCATCATCCTGGTGCCATTTCCACAGTCCGATGCAGTACAAGGTGAAAACTCCTTCCATGCAGACCAGCCACCGTCAACTAAGAGCAAGTGAGAACACTACTCATGAGTTGAAAATATCTAAAACAACATGACATTTAAAATAACAGTGAGAGCTGTAATATCACTGAGACAGGGGTGAGTACAAGATCAACGGTTTCAAAAGAGTCAGTTACTGGTGGTCTGACATGGCCTTGACCATCAGTCACTTGAGGTCATTCCTCTATAACTGAACCTGCTGAGTGGTTTTTGTCAAACTTTAGCTATTGGTTGTCTATCTTGAAGAAAATTTAGTTATAAAAATGGAGGCCGGTCTCCATTCTATTTTCTCCATTTCTATGCGCATTTGATCATATTTACATGTATTTTGCGCAATATAAATATTAAATTATTATTAATTATTATTATATTCTTGTTTAAGAGCAGCCGTACCTTGTATTGCCCTTACAATACCAATAATTGTGATTATAAAAAAACAAGTACACATGTACACTTTGAACACAGTTCCAAGGATTGTTTCTTTTCCTGCACTGTAAATTGGTCCATATTTATTCAAGAACATTACTGCCTGGCTTAAACTAGAAAAATATATCTCGCATTAACCCTCACAATTTACAGTTGTACTGCCACTCAAGTTAAGTTGTGTCAGGCAGAGTTAGAAACAGGATGGGTGCCCAGATGCAAATATCCTGTTGTGAAGGTCCCACCAACCCTATCCTATATATAAAGGCAACTTGGGTTTCTGCGTTGCTGTACAATCCACATGCGATGCAAATTTCAACAAAATAATAAACCTTTGATAAGCGAGGAGGAGTTGACAGAAAAAATGGTAGGTCACCATGGTCATATTACTGCCAAGTTGCAGTAATAGGGCGAAAGCCACCATTTTTTAATGTGGCAAATTACACATCAAAATATGCATGGAAAGGCTGCAAGATGCAGGAGGTGAAAGGCCCCTTTTTTGGTCACAGCCACCTATTCCATGACCAGGGCCGCTTACTTTGGGATTTATAAAAAGCTTTTCTTTGCTTTGTTTTGACACCTCTGGCTTTGCTGAAGAGCCTCCTACTTTATCAGTGATCACCTCCTACTTAAAAATCTATTGAGAACCCTGGTTCTGTACAAGTTGAAAGAAAAAGGACCATTTTGATGAAGAGGACTGGTGGACTTAATTCTACTACTATTTGAAGGTGTTAAAAAGAGCCTACTGACCTTCATGTAGATGCAAAACAATGCAATGAACAATTACTACATGTAACTTGTAACCCACCAGAATACAGTGTACAGTGTACTTCTGCAGAACCAAATTTTTAATGAAAGAGTTTTTGACGCAGTGTAGAGATTTCTTCTACACATGTACATCTCTAAATGGTAATATATTTCTTATACTTACCATACACATTAAGTTTGACCTTATCACTTCGTTTTCCCACAGGGTTTGATACTTGACAAGAATAATAGCCTGAATCTGATGTCCATGCCTGCCTAATAACAACTTGAGAAAAGTTATCTTGGTTTATGACCTTGACTCTCCTATCATAGTGCACATCGAAAGGGACACCATCTTTTAGCCATGACACATTTGGGCTTGGGAGTGCATCGGGAAGATGGCACGTAAGGGTCACCGGAAAGTCTTTGGCTACCTTAGGGGCAGAAGGTGAAATAATGATGTTTTCACCAAGATCTGGAAAAGAGATGATATGAAGGCCATAAGTTGAATTAAAATACTTATGAGGATGTATATTATCAGTTAAACAAATAAATACATGTACAATGAAAGCTTGCAAATAAAATTAAATAGTTATTGTAAATTGTATTATTTCTTAGTGCATGAAGCACCTACATAGGAATTCTTAACATCTCGTATGAACTTGTTTCAACGTGTTTGTGAGTTCCAGATTGAGTAAAAGAGGGGAAAACCAGAGTACCTGCAGAAATACCTCTCAGAGCAAGGGACAGAACCAACAACAAACCCAGCCCACATATAGAGTTGACACTGGGATTTGAACCTGGACCACACTGGTCACTTTTAATTTCACTGCTAGAAAAAAAACTCTCCTAATTTCTTGAGTTTTGATTTTAAAAATAGCTTAATGTATATTTTGTTATAGTTATAACAGAACTTTGTGTCATCCAATTCGATCTGTAAGCATACTCATGGTTAAACAAATCGGACTCCTCCTATGTGGTCATCTGATTCAATCACTCATATGATCACAGACCGAATTGGACTCCACTCAGTCCTATTACCATTACTTATATCGGGGCTTAAGGGGTTAAAACTCCCTAAAATCACTGACATTCACAGCAATGTTTTCTGTCTTGGCCTCCACCTGGTAAATTGTTTGTAAACTCCAATTCTACCCTTCATGTTCATTTTATGTTCCAGTCAATTCCAAAACTGCCCATCCCTCCCCAGGCATATTGCGGGCATTTGACTGGAGTTTTGCTTGTTGTACAGTAGCAAATTTGACCCATAATGAGGCCAGCTGCCCACCCCTTTTGTATCAAAATGCTGGTCAGCATCAAAAGCAAAAGGATGTCGTAATCCCTTCATTAAGCATGTTCATGGGTCATTACTTCTATATTCACTGTGTTGTTAAGGCATTTCAAAGCCTTTGAAAGACCCTGTTAAATGTGGGATTTCTGGAATACACAATCACATTTGAATGTTTGTTATGGGAAAAGGCAGTTTCAAAGTCCCTGAAATACCAGATGGTGGGTAAAAGTGAAATTTTCACCTTGTGGGGATTTGGACCGTCATCCCATCTTAAGGTCCCTAATACCTGGTGGGTGAGGGATTTGACACTTTTTGAAGTGCTAGCCTGTGGGGCATTTGACCATCTAAACTGCCAACATACAGAGGCATTTAGACCGAAATATTTCAAAAAAGTCAAATGCCTAGGGTTTTACTCAGTTGGTGGGGGAGGCATGGGCAGTTTTGGAATTGACTGGTACATTAAAAAAGAAGAATTTATAATAAGCAAAGTACTTACAAGCTTTCTTTACTACTGCAGCTTTACTCCTTAATACTAAGCCATTATAACCAATAGCTTCACAAACACAGGAAACCTCAAGAAGATCATCAGGCTTGATCTTGGAGATGGCGACAATTAACTTGGTCTTGTTACGTTTATTTTCACCACGGTATATTTCTCTAGGAATGACACCTCCTGAACAGTTGAACTTAAGACTGGAAACAAATTTAGCTTCGCAGGACAAAGATGCTTGGGAACTAGGCAGGATTAAGCCGTCCTTTGGTTCAGTAAGAAATTTTGCTGTTGTTAGAGAAGAAGGGCATTGTTAGTGCATATCACCAAAGTCCACGAGTGATAAAATTGTCACTGTTATAGGTGTGAAATTGTCACCTCAGAAAACGTTTTTCATCTGGTGGGAGATTTATTCACTTCAACGAATGCAGCGGTTTTCACTGCACACGCTTTAGTGGATAACTTATTGGATTCGTTAACCCATGATTATCCACTACATAGAGATTTTTCTACGACCCAAAGTGATACGTTTTTCGATATAAGCTACAGCGTAGGGAGGTTCTTAACTTTACAAGAACTATAGTTTTAAAAATATAGTGGAAAATGCAGCTTTGTTAGCTTTTTCATTGTTGAAGTAATGAAAAAGAACTGCCAAAAGAAAACGTGCTTCCACAAATTGACCTTGACAATATTGTTAATGTCAACAACAATCACCACCTCGACAATAGCGAGAAAATTTTTCGCTTCGGTCAAAAACACAACCCCAGTTTCTTTCGTCTTCTTAGCACCGACTACAAACACAAACTACGTGTTGTGGTAAAGAAAACCTTAACGCGATTAAAAAGCATCATAGTCAGTGTACTGTCGAAACAATCGTATCGAATACAACGATCGATACGGGGTAACCTCGAGGTAATTGCACGAAATTGAAGTTATTTATTAGCTTTTTCCATTTCGCAGTTAAATGCTTTGCAAAGCTTTCTTTACGGAGGCAAGGGAGCAAAATAACACTTACTTGATTCTGTTGGTGGTATATCCGAGCTTGATCCAAATGCGATCAAAAAAAGAAATCCGATGACAACTGCTTGGACCAGCTGAAAAATGCGCATTTCCATGGCGTGGTTAGCTCACAGTGTTCGTTTCTTTCTTTTAGAACAGCCCATGAAAAAGTAGTAAACTAAGTAACATTTCCGTCAAACGGTTAAAGCCGGATGAAGTGCTTGTCGTGAAAAGATGAAATAAAGGTGTGAATTTTTAGAGTTTTTTCGTCTCAAAAACACAGAGCTTCTCCTATTCAAATCAAAAATAGCACTGGCGTCACGTACGAACAGAGAAAGACTTATAACAAATGACGTCACTTGCGTGATGGTCCGGATATTTTTTCGGAAAAATGTCCGGAAGATTCTTTCAAAACACATTTTCTACTTGACCTAACGACCTTGCTTTACTAATCTCCGACATTCCGGTGCTATTTTTGTCACCATTTTATTGCGATTAAATTTCTTACTCTCCAACCAAAAAATAAAAATAAAATATTCCAACAACATGTTTTCCCTTCACGGATCATCGAGTTTGTAAACAGCACGTGCAGTGAATTTTATATTATTTTCAACAGGTTTGAACACATCCAGGCTAAGAGTACTATATTCCTGGCCATGGAATATTGCATGTAAAGACTCGAAGTGGTTCTCATTCTCTCATTTCTTTGGCACACCGGCGACCGCGCTCGGGTTGCTCCCCCTGTAATGTCATCACGTGGACATCAATGAAAATTTAAAAAAAAAAACTTCTATCTTTTCTGAATCATTATCAGTTAACATAAAGTCTGAAAAACCTCCTCAAATTAATTCATGTTCCCTGTACCGAACTTTCATGGCCTTTTTAGGGTGTGCACACATTGCGTAACTGCGTAAGAGTTTATACAGGATAACCCACACAAAAAATAACTAGGCGGCGGGAAAAAAGGAAAATAAAGGCTACAGAGGAAAGACAAGCGTTCTTTATTCACGAAATGCATGCCATAGCCTGTTCGCTTCCTTCACAAAACTAGCCGGAGTTTTGTAGTTGCTTACTGGGGATTAAGCGACTGGACACTTTAAGTATTGTCTGAAATTCAGGGCTATCACGAAACAGCTAAAACAGGCCCTAAATTGTATTCAGTTGTAGTTGTATACTACTCATTTTCTTCGAAACCAGGTTTTAAAGTCTTTGTCCTTTCTTTGGCTTTTAAAAAAACCTTGTCAAAAATTTAAGACAACAGTAGTATCTTTAACTGAAAATCAAATGAACTAAGTGATCGATCACTGGCTTTGTCAGTTAGCACGCCTACTCGTCGATTAACAGCCGTATTTTCAGTTGAAACTTGCTGGCGTAAAAATCGTTGTTGTTGTTGTTGCTTGCAAACAAGTTTCTATAAGTTCTGAAGTTCAGTAAGAGCCTGCTTGAGATAATCACTGAGTCACCGCCTCTTTAAAATGAACAGTTTTAGCGGCTTCTCTTAAATTTAAAGAGAGAGATGAAAACTGATTTTTTTTTTCAAATTTCGTTCTTGCATGGTTAATTCATATCCCCACGTGAAAAGTGGCACAAATAACCTGACTGTAAATCACGAGATGATCTGGCCGGAAATCGCTGTGAGTGCATAATTTCCGGGTTGTCAGTTAGAGGCGTGAAGCCGGGACAATTAGTGGTTTGTTTGTGGCAAGAGACTCGCTCCACGGGAAAGCGTAAATAATAATTTATTAAAAATTTATGCGCGCTTTTCCATGTGATCCAAGTTAAATGTTACTGAAAAAGCTCAAATGTACATAATAAAAGCTAAAAATTTAAATAAACTCACCAACACATTACATGATAGACTCAAAATATATCAAGAGCAAGTCTAAAAAGATGCGTTTGGAAAAAAACATCGTTCAAAAACGTTCAAAATTGTCCTGACGGCTGTGAAGGGAAGATTGCTTCATATGTTAGGGGCCGCAGATGAAAAAGCGCGATCCCTAATTAGCCTTTTTGAGTTTTAGTGTAGGATGTTTTAAGAGAAAACCATTAGCTTAACGGAGACTATAGAAGAGCGGTTGTTAATAACGACCAAGTCACTCAAGTACCCAAGCGCATGTAGCCTGCGAAAACATCCGTTTCTCCTCGCTCTTCGCCGCTGGGGACGTTTCGCGCGAAATATAAATGTCCCCAGCGGCGAAGAGCGAGGAGAAACGGATGTTTTCGCAGGCTAAGGAGCATGACCATAGATATCTTTTAAAAGTGAAAGAAGTATTCAAATCCACGAGGTCCACGAGATTCAACAGGAAGCCAGTGTAACATCAGTACAGCAGTGTTACTGTAACGAGTACTACATCAGTTATAAGCCTCTGTATGCGATAAGTGCTAAATCGGAGAAAAGTATAATAGGACTTGTGAACCATATTTCAGTTGTTAACACTCATATCTATACTCCAAACTGCGCTTTTCCGCCTCCAAAGCACGAGAAAAGCGCCCTGGGGACGAGGTTGTATTTATGTGTCAACGTCATTATGGAGTTCTGAACTGAATTGGTTAATACTCATCTCCAATTCTACGATTATATCGATTCTCGGGTTTCGTTTTACGACTCCGACCCGGGCTCTGATCCTCCCGATTTTTGCCAGATTGTTTTGATTTTACAATTTTTTTCAGTTTCCTTTAATTCGTTTTGCGTTTACGAGTCTTAAAAAAGTGCCCTGCAAATGTAATATTTTATATGGCTTGCTTGTTAAACAAGTTCTACTTGTTCTTCTCTTTAAAAAGAAAAAGAGAAGAACAAGTATAATACAAACAAGGCGTTTAACTGTAATTCCCCCTTAATTAATGTAGTGTTGCTGCGTGCGGAACCAGAAGCGCCTTGGGGTGATGGCATTTCTTCGACAGCCAGGGGAACCCTTCTGCGCACCAATGAATGTTCCGGTCGCAGTCAGCGCTGTGGTAGTTGGGTGTTGCTTGTGCGCCTTAGCTGAGTTCTTCTAGAGGAGATTCTGTGGTATGGCTTTATATTGAAGAACGTATTTCGTCTATTTCTGATTGTAATAGGAACAAAGTTCCAGCAGTCTTTGTTCATTCTCATTCATTCCGCCGGAGTATGTCAAAGTACCCTACAGCTGACCCTAGGCAGTCGTTCTGACTCCACCCAAACTCCAAATGCTGTTATAGGCCGGTACTCGATAAGCTCCACGACTCCGAACGACTACACAGTTCCTAGACTCTTATACAAAGTTCAGTTCTCAGATCACGTGACGAGTTTTTCCCGCCACAATGACGCAATAATTTTCTAACAGTCTTGGGAAGCAGCTAAATCAACATTCAACATGTTCAATCTGGACAGTACAGCATCGATTACATCCACCAAGGTCGTATTCAAAAGTGATGTAATGATTGCTATGGACAAACACCTCCGGGAATTTTAAAAAAAGATCACAGATACTCATTGTCTAAACTATCATCGTCGATCATTTAGGCGCATTTATGATTTTTTCCCCAAAAAATTAATAGTGCACGCTTTAAAGGTATTAAATTAGATGTCTTTTGGATTTTATTCACCTTGGCTGATGTAAAATGCATTTCTACCTACTGTTTTTATCTTTTTTGAGCGACTGGACTGTAAACTGACACGTTTGTTTTTAAGTATTTACTTCATTATTCAATAAACTAGTTTCAAACTCTTACTAACGCTGGATTTGTGCTTATCGTCCTTCCTTATGGCCGTAATTCAGCCAGACATGTGGAACCCTAAACAAGACTGCCCAAGATTAAGTAGTTTCTTGAAATTTCAATTTTATATACAGTCATTGTAAGTGCTAATATATACTCATGTATGCGACTTGAGTCTTCTTAAGGAATTTTTTTGTCTATACAATTCTTTTTATCCATTGGCGATAATATGCTGTACCACATTTAATGCAAAAACCAATGTTTTGCCTCAAAAGTCTCGCGAAAGAGTGGAATTGTCCTATTGACCAGTAGATTGTTCGATCGATCTACCGGCCTGTATCCCATAAGATTCATAACTTTCGCACAGTAATGCTCTATTATATCAATTTCACGTGGATCTGCTCTCCATCTCCAGCGGTTTATCGCAGTCCAGTAATCATCTTTGGTGCAAGTAACATCTACTCCGTCCATGTGATTACAGGCTGCCCTACTTGAGTGCGTCGTTTGTTTCAACCAGGTCTTCACGCTTTCCAACACCGGCAGCCCAGCGAACTCGTAAAGACTTGATAGCTCTTTCAGAGGGTTCATAGCCAAGTCTTCGAATCGCTGAACTTTGATCCTTTCACGAAGTGAATCAGGTAGTCTTCTTACATACTCCAAGTTTTCTTCTGTCTGTTTACACCGCTTATAGCTGTAGATTCTCGTACCCTGAAAAGCTGTCCGTTCTCCAGTCTCTTTGAAAAACCCAATGATACGCGAAGAAGTAATTACCGCTCTGGGGTCTCTTATCAGAAAGACAACTTTGCAGTCGACGTCCTTTGAGTTGCATGAAGAAAAAATAGTTTTTATGCTGTTTTCAGGAATGCGAGCCATAAGAACCTTTATGACAGTTAAATCGTAGTGATCCCTACAAGCCGTGCCCAAAGCTTTACTTGTCATGGGGTGGCAGAGATTTGGATTCCATTTTGGATCTGTAAGTCGATAAGGACACAAGGGCGGAGATGCAATAGCCTGGCTTATGCGTGGATGGTCGGGTTTGCGATAATATCTTTGCATATCATACAAGATATCTGGATCGTCAAATGTGCAACGAAATAAACCACTTAGAAAATGATCGACCATTTGAGTATAATTGATATTTCCGCCTCTCAATTTTTTCATAACCCTTTCGGGGCTTTGTAACGGCTCGTACATATAAAAGACGGAGGGGTGGTGATTAAAAATATCACCCATTAGACTAGAACCAGAGCGGCCATGCGACACGATGATTAGATTCTTTCTAACTCGTTCTGAGCCACGTGTAAAGTTGCTTGCTGGGCCCTTGAAAAACACTTTTTCGAAGTTCAAATAGAGTTCTGTATTACGTTGCTGTTGCCCGCGTAGTATCAGAATATAGCTACCTACAATACAGAACGCAGCCACGCCGAATAATATCAAAGGAACATTCCGCCGCAGTCGACTTATAGCCATCTTGGGGAAGCGAGGTATTACTGAACTGAGAAGACTGAATATTATAAATTACACGACTCTAAATATAAAAGTCATCCACTAATAGAATATTCTAAAAATCCGACGACATTGTTGATACACCTGTGATATGGGATGATAAATAAAGTAAATTAAAGGTGATAGAGTAGTAATTAGAAATAATGATGTTTTTTTTTTTTTTTTTTGCTAAATTTTTTATTGAACTAAAGACGAGTTTTACAATGTTACTTAAGAATAAACATTAATTAAATGAATATACAATTCTACTTAAAAAAACAAGAAAAAGGATAACAATAACAACGAAATTATATGTATATATTACAACAACGACGATAACAATAAAGATGCCTACTAATTTTAACGAACCTACGTGTATCAACTACTACAAAGTACATAAGTTAGCTTCTCCCACTTTTGATAATGAAAAAGAAGTTTATTTTTCTCCCTGGCGATATGGAGCTCAATATTGAAGACACGTCTTGCCCTAGCAATAAAACCTCTGATTGAAGGTACGCTATTATGACATCTCCTACAGTAGATATAATATTTAGCTAATAACAAAATATGATTAATTAGAATATAGTCGTCTACAATATCAAATTTTCCAAGTATCACATCAGACTCATTAATTGTCTCAACATGAACATCATTATCTCTTAGCCAGGACAAGACATGCTTCCAAAACTCAGAAGATATCCTGCAGGAGAAGAGTAAATGCTCGACAGATTCCGCTGCTTCTTGACAGAAAGTGAAAGTGATGTTGATACAAATGTTACTTGCATAAACAACAGTAAAAAAACGTATTAAAGCTTTGAAACTGTTTCACGTCGAATTTTGGTGACTGTAAGGCTCATTTTGTCATTATACTCGAATTCTGGCTTTTATTAATGCCGTTATTATTCTCTTCCAGAGGGTTTGTTAATTGAATATATGCCCAAAACACGGACAGCAAATTCATTTTCAGCTTTTAACACATGAGAACATTTTAATCTTTTAAGTTCAAGTTTTGTACATTGAATACATGCTTTTTTCAGTGCTTAGCCTTAGCGATTCAATAGCTTGGCTTACGCGAGGACCGGATGTGTTGGTTTGCGGCAATATGCCTCAATATCAACTCAGTAAAATCAGTGGCTGGTCACATTTGCATTTAAATATACCCGTCAAAAACTGCTTGGCCATACTGTCATAACTCTTATTTAATTCGATCGGATTTTCCTTCGACACGTTGGTTGGTTTGTAGCGGTTCGGACATATAAAACACGGAAGAATGGTGGTTAAAGATATCACCCATTAGTAAAATCCAACTAGTGGTCTATTATCAATGCTGCGTTCTGATTTGTTGAGCTACTACTAGGCTATATGTTATAGCACACTAGTAGCGAAAAGCGCAGGCTTTTTGGTGGCAAAAAAGGATTAAAGTCTAGCTTTAAGCAGCTAAAAATTTTTTTCTCGATATTTTGGACCAACTTGCTGGATTTTACTAAAACAATTATTGCTCTCGCTCTCATGGCATCTGAGTCAATAGCCAATTCGGCCTTCGGCCTCAGGGCTATTGACATTCGGGGTCGAGGAATAATAATTGTTAATTAGCGTACAGGTGAGCGTAGAGCCAGAGCGGCCATGTGATACAGTAATAACATATCTTTTAGCTTGCTTAGAGTTTTGTTCTATTGAACCATCTATCTTGTACAGCTTGTAGTACTATCATGATTGAGTCCGGAAGTTGTTCACAGCAACACACGTGCACGTTTCAGGTTGTTCTCGTATGGCTAGATCGAGAGAAAAAAAGAAGATAAATCGCAATAAATCACTGCGACGAAGCCCAATCAAGTAAAATGACTGGTTTATTGCTTGCCTTGTTGCCATCTGCAGTAATTTTTTCATAATTTTCAGTTTCGGCTCGCGAAAGTGAAAATTTGACGAAACTAAGATGATTTTAATCATAGGAGGTGGTTAAAAACTTCCGTTACCACGGTAACGTCTTCAACTTGTGAAAAGAATTTTGAGCTCTCTTTATTCATTATCTCAAGCATAAGCGTAATCACGCTGGATTTTTTTCAACCTCGTCCCCAGGGCTTTTCCCTTAAAAAATGGGAAAAGCCCTGGGGACGAGGTTGGATTTTTTTCCAAATATGACTAAGATACTCTGTTGTCCTTGCTCCATAACTGTTAGTTTTAAATTAGCATTATACAGAAGCTTATAAGGTTTAAACCAACAGCTTGAAATCTCTCTCTCTAGTTCTTCAAAGTAAGAAAAAAAATAATGATTTATAAATATGATGCAAAATTTGAACACAAATTAAATTAAGAAATTTAAACTACTGGGATAAACGTTTTAAAGTAAGCCCTTGATATGAATAGCCCTGATAACCGCTCCAAATTTGACAATTTTTCAAGTTCGAAAGTACCAGTTCATTGACGCTCGTTCCTTTTCGTACTTTTACTGTAAAAACCAATGTCTTGCTTCATAGTCCTCGCTGAACAACGGAACATCCTTATTCATCAGTAATTCGTAAGATCCCTCTACAGGTAAATAACCCATCAATCGAAGAACACCTCGACAATAATGTTCAACAACATTAATTTCATGTGGATTTACTTTCCATCTCCAGCGGTTTGCCGCAGACCAAGCATCATCTTTTGTGCACGTGACTGGTACCCTATCCATCTCGTGATTACAAGCTTTCCTACTAAGCTGCGACGTTTCGTTCGACCATGTTCGCACGCCTTCCAGCGCAGTCAACCCAGCAAACTCATACAGACGTGAAAGCTCCTTCAAGGGGTTTATCGCCAAATCTTCATATCTCTGAAGTTTGATTCTCTTGCGTATTGATTTTGGCAGTTTTCTGACAAACTCTAAATTATCTTCTGTTTGCTTGCATTGCTGGTAACTGAACATTGTTGTGCCTAGCCGCGCCTTCTCGTCTCCCTTCTCCTTAAAGAAACCAATACTAAGCGAGGAAGGGATACAGGGGCAATCAACGTCAATTTTCGGACTACATCAGTTCGGAAGACGATTTGAGATCTAGAATTTTCGGAACATTTGTTGTAAAAGTTCTTGCTTGCCTGCCTCTCCTAGGATTTTCCAACATCTAAAAATGGTATAATTGCCCATTTTTAACGGATTTTTATCCAAAAAAAATCACCTAGAATTTTCGGGAGCCTTTTTTCTGGCTGAAATTTTCGAAAAGGTAAGTTCTGATCCCGATAATTTTCGGATCACTAGATTTTCAGCTAGGAAATCGGAACAGATGAAAAATTTTTAGGGGATAAAAATATGCCTATATCTACCGTTTAAATACTAAAATACGTTTAACAATGCTGTGTTTAAGTAGTTTTGAACTATATTCTCGTTGGGTGCCCCTGGGGATAACAGCTCCGGCTGTCCAGAGAGTTGCATGAAGCTAATATAGTTTCAACTCTATTTTCAGGAATGCGAGACATAGGAACTTTAATGACGGTAAAATCGTAATTAGTTCTATAACTCATATTCTGATCTGTTTTTGCTTTAGAACACGTTGGGTGGTTTGTAGCGGTTCGTACATATAAAACACAGAGGGATGGTGGTTAACGATATCACCCATGAGCGTAGATCTAGAGCCAGAGCGGCCATGGGAAACAATGATGATGTTTTTTCTACTCTTTTCGGAGCCATGTTCCATTGTAGCCACCGGGCTAGCGCGTAGGCTCATCTTGATGGATTCCATCTTCAAGCTCGAGCCGCTTATCTGGGTACATCCGGGTGAATAAACCCAGAAAATAAATCGCAATAACCGAAAAACCTATCAAAAAGGATAGTTTTATCCTAATATTTCAGTGATATTTCGGACTAAGGGGCTGGCAGCTTATACGAGATATCCCTTACTTCGGGGGAGGATTCAAGGAAACATGTAACTGCCATTGGCCGTTTTTCAGTATACTAAGGACGGATTATCCATCTGAACGAACTTGGGAAAACATTTGTAGTTCATCTGGTTATGCGTCTCAAGTTAGGGACTTTCGGGTCCAACGACGCGAACGGCAACGAGAATGTAAAAAAAAAAAAAAAAACGTTTTACAAGCAAAACAACAACTTTGCACTTGCATCAAGCTTTTTTGTACATTTCTTTGCCCGTTTTTGCACGACTACGACAGGGGCGGATCCAGGGGGAGGGTGCAGGGGGTGCGCACCCCCCCCCCCGGGATGACCTGCGGCCGCTTATTAATTAACACTGTGCAGTCGCTTGACAGACATACAAAATCTGCTCTATCGTTTGATATGTATTCTCAGCAGTTCACATTATGTTATTTCCCGCGTCAAAAGCCCTCTTCTTCCTATTCGCTTTTAAAATTTTTTACGTCATCAGTCAGTTAGTGGTGCACCCCCTCCTAACAAAAATCCTGGATCCGCCCCTGTACGACGTGAACCTGCCTAATTTGGCGTTTTATGGAGGACGTAAACAAGCAACGACGAAATTTAATTTCTCTTTCTGTGCATATGGTCCGTAGGAATTCAACTCCAGGAGGGTTCGCCTAAATTTGACAAAGTAAGTGGGTAGGAATAATTGCGATAAAGACTGAAAGATCGCAAATTCATTCTTAAGCGACGTTCTCATTGCCGTCGCGTCGTTGGATCTTAAAGTCCCTTTAAAGACGGGTACAAGACGCATTAACGCGTCCAGACGAACTACTTTTTGTATAATACGTCTTGAACGACGCACTACGAAAGGTAGTCCGTCTGGACGCATAATACTCTTGTGCTCGTCTTTATACGTGAGACGCATAACTAGCATCCTCAGAGACCCAAGGGTAGTTAGTCGGGTCGATAAAATGTTCGTGGTGAACGTTTACTGTACGATCTCGTAGAAAATACCTGATTTTAATTGTCCAGTTGCTATTGGTAATCAATACAAATAACAGTACTTGCCAGAACCCTAATCAAATACAAGATTAGCCTGTACTTGGCGTTCAGATACGTACAGCGAGCGGAGCGAAGGAAAAAAGGGTGTAGCCTGAGTGGCAGGCCGAAAGGGGAGGGGGAAGCGGGGAGTGAGAAAAGCTCCAATCCCCCTCCCTTTATCCCTTCCTCCCTACCCCTTTCGACACCTGCTATGCAGGCCAACGGGGCGCACAAACCTGAAAACATCCCCAGTCCCCCCTCCCCTATCTGTTTATTTGTGACGCCTCCTTAGTTCTATCTGAAAGCCTGGAACAAAATATGATCTCCATGGAAAAAAATTATTCCTATAGAAACGTCACTGCCTTTATGTCAAAGCTTGCTAACAGTTTCTAGTGCCAATTAATTTCCTTCACCAGAATATATACCTTTGAGTATCTGTAATCGTCCTTTTTTGTTAATTTTCAGGGTTTCTTTTTTCGACAACATCAGATACAACTAGCGAAAATAATGATGATGCCAAACGTCTCTTTCTTTCCTGGATTCACAGCCAATCAGAAAAGCTCATGATGAGTACAAAAGGAATCAAAAGTGTAACAAAGAGCCACTTGCAGATAGTTAGCAAGATGCTTTTTTATTATATAGACACGAGTGTTTTACTGGAAAATATACCACTCGTAAAATTCATAAAAACTACATCCGGGACCCAAGTGGTTTATTTTCCATAATCTCACACGTGAGTTTATCGATGACCTTATTTTGTTAATTTCCCTCAGCTCTATTATTTTATCGATGTTATTTGGTCTATATAATAAAAAGAACATTACACGGCGGCTTGAAGATATGAATTTTATTTGCCACTCGAAAATAAAATTCATATCTTCGCGCCTCCGTGTAATATCCTCTATATATAATTTCCTTCCATTGCAAAGAAGTTTGTTTTATATGTGGCTTGGCTTTGAAATGAACAAAGAGCTATTTCTCCAACAGTATATCGTATGCACACAATTTCCTAACAATAAGTTACAGTGTAGTTATATTTTGGGGCTAAAAAAATCAAAATTTCATACAACTTTCGCCTTGCTTAAAATAAATCTAAAAATAAGTTAATACAATATTATTTTATAACTATTAATAACAACCATTAAACTACTTATTTGTTGTAACTGTGTAATGGTTAAACTTAAGGAAACCATTACCAGTTCATACCCTGTGTCATCCCTATAGCTAACGTCAGACAATGGTTCCAGTGGCATTATTGGCCATTTCAGAGTTGCGTAGGGAACTGGGGTGAGTTTCAAATTTCAACTAATCGATAAACTGACACCACCACATAAAAGGTCATGTTGAGATGGGTCATTTAACCAAGTTTGGTGCTCTAAGGTTGAACAGGGATCAAGTTATGACTCTTGAAATATGGTTAAGAGCCATACAAACCTCTGTAGTTTTGTGACAGCATCCCCCAAAACCATATAAACTCTTAATTTTTTTCACGATTTCTGTGATATTCCTAAAAATGGGCAAACACAGTGATTTTCGAATCAGTTCCTTCCAAGTAGTAGAAGCATTACGAATTTCACAGTTTAAAAGAAAAACTGAAAAATTTTAAAGAGTTTATATACTTGGCCAAATGACCAATCTCAACATAACCTTTTCTATGATGGTGTCAGTTTATTGATTAGTTGAAATTTGAAACTCGCCCCAGTTCCGTACGCAACTCCGAAATGGCTATAAATTATTATACGTGAAATACATTTGTGTGGTTATTATTCATCTTTTCTTTAGATAAATATCAATCACAGTTTCGTGGCATTCTCGCAAGTTAAAGTCACAAAATCCAATGCAGAATTTCCCAGGAGGTGCTTTAAAGTAATCAAGGCCACGGCCGATTTTAATCACCCAACCATTGTTGAACCGGATTTCACGGTCATGAAGGGTTGATGAGTACCCAATCTCTAAATTTATGTTGTGTCTCTTTAAACTGTTTTTAAGTCCTTGCAGCCTCTTGGCTTGATTATTTTGACTCTCAGGATCTTCATCTTGAACTGTGAAAAAATAAATAAAAATTATTTTATTTTATTTTATTTATTTTATTTTATTAGCTTTGCCCTGAAGAATGCAAAAAAAAGACAACACTGTAGATATGCAAACAAAATATTAGGGCAGGGACACCGCAACAGCTAAAGCCAATTACTGCGGACCCACAAAATAAAAAGATATAGAAGTAGCAATTTAAATCACATGCAGCAGCTAATTTCCTGGTCTAAAAACCTGGCTGTGTTACATTTCAGGCAAATACTTTTGAAGCTCCTTGGAGAGTCCGGGTCATAGTTTATTGCTAGAGCCCGCGAGTAATAACCGTAAAGAACAGATTTAAAGTTCTCAAAAGTAACATTATCTAGGTCAAGTCTAGTAATAAGCAGGTTCCAGATTCTAGTGGTTCTAATGAAAAAAGATTTCTGAAAGGTAGAAGTCCTGCATTTTTTAGGCACAAAAGATTGAGAGCTCATCACAGATATACAGGTCCTTCGCGCGCATTCACGCACGAGGGGAACAAAAGACGGATCTAAGTGAATCATGTTATGCGTAGCCTTGTAAAAGTATACTAGATCTAGTAACTCGTGCCAGTAGCACACAGGAAGTAGGCTTACAGACATTAGTCTTTCTTTGTAAGAGATATTTGTTAAAAAAGGCAAGCAAAGAATGAATTTGGTGACACGTCTTTGGATACTTTCGAGTTTAGAAATTAGTTCAATGCCTTGGGGTGCCCAGACCTGGGTTGCATAGCCAAGATGACCACGAACTAGCCCGAGGTATAATGTGCGCCTTACGGAAGTACTGTGAACATAGGCGTACGGGCCGGGGGGCGAGGGGGGCTGCAGCCCCCCCAAAGTTTGGGCAACTCAGATTTTTTGGGCAGCGAGAGGAAATTTGGGCAAAGCCAGTTTTTAAAGGAAGTCTCCACGTTCATTTAATTATTTTAAAGAGCTGAATATTAACCTGAAGTAGGCGTAATAATCCAGTTACATTACAGTGGTTGCTTAGCATGTGATGAGTAATTTACATATTTGCAGTTTTTTTTTTTGATGGGCACTATACTGCACTGCACTAGCTGGAATGGGCTATTTCCAGTCGAGAATTGATTAAAATAAACTTTCGCATAACTTTCTAGAATCATCTCCACTCGAACAGTGTATGGCAGATAGCATTTAGCAATGGGTATTGCCTGCATAGCAAGCGTTTCCGCGCGATTTCGACTGAAAACTGTATGAACATGAAGAAGTGGCTGACTAATTCTCAGTTTGAATTACGAGAAGAATCTTAATTCTTTTAAAAAATCTATCGAGCGGTTTAAAATTATCCGCTGATTTGTTAAAGTAGACAAAAATGTTTACAAAACCGCTAACAAGAGTGTCTCGATACATACTAATCAAATCCTTCTTTCCATTCTAGCAGTCAAGCAGAGCTACCTCCACGATCTTTCACACAAGTTTTTAAAAAGATTAAAGCTACTATGAGGTGAAATTGCAGGACAAAGGCACTTCGTTTTCTACAGATAATGGCCAAAAATCAAGATTTTCTTTTTCCTACCGTATTTCTAATAATGAAAAATCATTGCAAAATATCTCGATAACGCTCTTAAGGTTTTGCTTAAACTTCACGAACATCGAGGCGACCATATTGGAGAAAAAAGCTCCTGTGAACGATTTTGTAAGGTTCCCGTACCGAGAAAAAATAGGTAATGGAGTCATTTCGTTGCTACGACAACTCCGATGTCACTGCAACCCTGATAATGCCAAATTTTCATCTTAATACCACTGTGATCGCAGTTTTTCCAAATGTTTGTTTATGGCGACGTAGTTTATGCTCAGACTTGGTATTGACCCTGAAAACCTGTATCGAGCCACCTTCATATGCCAGGACGGCCTATGTTGTTGCAATATGGCCCTCATTTCTTTTCGACTCTTTCGTAAAAATTTGGGCAACTTAGGAGATTTTTTTGGGCAAATGGTTTACCGCCCCCCCTGGCAAAAAATTTTCCGTACGCCTATGACTGTGAATAAACCTAGAGTTCCTCCTAACGAAACCTAACAACTTATTTGCATGTGCAGCTTGGTGAGAGACTTGGGCGTGCCAAGTCAAGTCACAGTCCAAGGAGATGCCAAGGTCACGCTCTACCTCACAGGACTTGATGGTACTGCCGTTAACCTCGTAGCTCATACAGATGGGCTTGCGCTTCCTCCTAATGGTCTGAAGCTTGCATTTCTTATCATTGAAGGCTAGGCCAGAGGCAGCGGACCATGAAGACAGATTATCCAGATCTTGTTGGAGAGCGGCGCCATCATCCTCAGAAATCACTACCTTGTATACTTTAGTGTCATCTGCAAACATTGCCACTTTGCTATTGAGGATAGAATCTGGAAGGTTGTTCACATATAACAAGAAGAGAGCAGATCCGGGTATTGATCCCTGTGGGACTCCAGAGGTGACGGGTAGGTCACGTGATGTCGCACCTAGTACCGTGACACGTTGGCGCCTACCACAGAGATACGCGTGAAACCATGTGAGCAGGTTCCCTCTGAAGCCAGCATCCCGCAGTTTTTCCATAAGGAGGTCATGTCTAACCTTATCAAAGGCTTTGGACATGTCTAAATACACACAATCTACTTGACCAGCTCTATCAAGAATAGCACCAATGTAATCTAGGATCTCTAGTAGATTTGTGACACATGAACGTCCACTCTGGAACCCGTGCTGACAGATCTTCTAATCGGTCATGGATGCGGTTCAAGACACAACGTTTGAGGACTTTAGAAATAATGCAAAGTAGGGAGATAGGCCTATAGTTTTCAACATGATCTGTTTCATCCTTCTTATAGACAGGCACTACATTGGCCAATTTCCACTCAGACAGTATGTATCCTTCCCCAGAGACCTGTTGAACAGCTTGCATAGTGATGGAGCAATAGTAGTGGCGGTTTCCTTTAGGATTCTAGCCGGGATCTCGTCTGGACCAGTGGCTTTGTTTGGGTCTAGTGATCTTAGGACAGCCTCAACTTCGCAGACTTGCAACACAATATCGCTAAAGGAGGGTTCTGCGGCAGGGAATTTCCCTGCGCCGTTATCTACTTGGTCCTCTTGAGGAACAGAGCGATTTCTTCTGGGGTGTCAGTGGTTGCACGTAGGTTACCAGTTGCCATGGAGACACTTTGTGGTATGTTTCACGACTTTGAGCGAGTTTTTAATACTGACCAGAGACGTTTGGGATTGATCTTGAACTCGATGTTAGCAGACTCAAAGAACTTGTCCCTGCTTTCTCTGATCGCGCGCTTTACTTGTGAACGCAGAGTTTGAAATTTGACTTTTAGTGATTCTGAAGGGTGCAATTTTAGTTTCATTTTACCGTAATGTTGCCTAAAACTAATGCCCCTACTTAGTCTGTATATTGGAAAGCTTCTACCATTTGAGAAAAAATGACAAAGAGCGCTGTGAAACACATTGCAGTGGCGTGAAAGTACATATGTTGTGGCTATACTTCTAAAGTAATGATGTCATAAAAGTTAAATTTTTGAAGCATTAAATGCGATTTGTCAGGCTTGCCAAGTCTCATAAGCTTAACTGTTGTGAGTCTTATAGCCTGCAAGGAAGCTCTCCTGGAGTGCAGGAGGGAAACAATTTCAAGAACTATCTCACATGAGATCATGCTATGTGACTTTGAAAACCCATAATTCCTGCTAGAAGTCCCAGGGGAGGGGCCTGGGCCTCGCGGTATGTTTAGACCAAACGGGGGCCCAAAGGGCCAAAAAACATTTTTCTGGAGACTGCCCCCCTCCCCTCCCCTTATCTAAGCATCTGGATGACCAGCCCCCGCCCACTTATATCGAGGTGTGGATCCGGCACTGAGTGCTTTCACTAGAAAATAGACCTCTTTAGCTTGCCTGCTTTGTTTCCCAATTCTTGAACGTCTCAGGGGAATTTGCCCCCTATGTCATTTCATGAATTATGCATACATATGCACAGAAATAAGACAACATTTGAATGAAACTACTCTCTAGAGTATTATTACATGACCTACATTGGGGGAACAAAACATACAAGGTGAAGAGACATCTCAAACCTTTCCCCACAACTCACTACTGTACTTGTCCCAGCTCTAGATCTTCCCCTCCCAAATTCGGTGAACGTTCCGACACTGGGTTGGTAATTCTGAAATTGTAATTTTTTGTATATCACTCACCAGTTACAAGTTTGATGTCTCGCACTGTGCCAACAGTAACAAGTAGCTCACAAAATCGAAGGAAGTTGTATATCTGATGCAAGTTTCGAATGTACGGATCTTCGACAACAACTTCCGTGACGTTTCCTTCCAAATATTTGTCAAACACTCGTCGGTAACTATATCCAACTGCTCCGTCCTTTATGTTGATTTTTTCGTGAAAAGTTCCTGCTTCCTTCTGCTCTTTTACTAACGTTTTCAGCTTTTCTGCGCGAGCAATGTAAGACTCCATTTTCTCACGGTAGAGCACCCTTGTAGAGTCATCTTTTGTGTCTTTCAGCACATTCATCAATAGTGCAAGGCCTTCTTGATAGCAAACTAAGGCTTCTGAATAGCTTTGGAATTGATCCAGCTCTACAGCCCGCGTTAAAACGCTCACTGCCGCGTCCAAACTCATTTTGCATCGACAGCACTTTCCTGGAAACGACGTTGTCTTCCTTCCCACTTCATGGAGTTCATTTACATGTCACGCAAAGCAGGGCTGTTTCTTTAGGGGCATTATGATAATTTCCATTTGAGCCCCGTCAGAGAACGCACCCTTACGGGCTTAGAGGTCTGGGCAGGTGCAGTTTGATGATGACAAGATGGCGGATTCAACCAGAGAGAGGAAGAAAACGAAAAAGCCATCAAGTGAGCCTTTCTGATTTCTTTAATGTGAATTTTTGGCGATCTTACTTACTATCATTTTCTAAAATTGTTTCTGCCTTAGATACGAACTTCAAACAACAAAGACTAAAAGCATGGCAACCGATTCTGACAGCCTCGACGGCACTGCCTTTGTTTTTCGTTATCGGCGTTGTGTTTATTCCAATCGGAGCAGTTCTCTTAGTCACTTCTGACAAAGTAAGTACGATCAGTCCAGTTGAAATTATTATTTGGAAATATACTGTACTTGCAGTTGGCAAAAACGCAAAATCAGTTGTCATTATTCTGAATTCGTAGCCAATATTTGGTAATTGATGCAGGAGGTTGTTAATGTGAGCTTAAGCTTTGTTTATGCGACAACATCAAAGTAAACTATTAAAACCTGTGATATTTCTTTCCCTGCATTTAGAAAGGTGTTACGCTAATCAAGCGTTTACACGTACGTTACATGTTTTAATTTGTCTACTTTAATACTAAAATTAACCTCGTTGCTCGTTAAAAAAGACCGCATATGACATTATTCCGGTTCGTAAGTTCCCTTTCTCTGTTTTTTCTTATTGCACCGTTTATGCATATCATCTACATTATTTGAAGCAAGAAATTTTAAGGGAACAAATTATTTTTAATTAAGAGCATGTATAAAATATAGAAAGAGTTGGTATTTATTCTTGTCTGAACAAATCATGTGCATTCCTAAAATGAAGATTTACTTAAATAACAAAGTTCTGTGTCCTGAAGTCCAAATCCTAACCCTTTTTTGATAAAAGATGTTAGCTTTGCAAGGCCTCCATCTACATGGTAAACAAGCGTTGTTAGCCAAATTGGACTTGCCTGTTAAAACATTGTATTTTTAAAAAAAACAAATGATTAAATAATTAAGTACTAAGAAAAAAATATGACACAGCCATCCCCCAAAGGGCAGGTGAATAGCGGTGGATATATAGACACGAAGTGTCGAGGTATAGATCTAGTGCTATGAACCGACCCTGAGGGGTATAGTTGTTTTAGTATGTACCAAATCAGTTGGATAAAAATTAAAATAGGATTTTTCTGTAAATAAAAGACGTCCCTTAGTTAGAGTTTGTTTATGTTTCAATTGACAGTGTTTCAGGGATTATTTTTTATGATTTTGTTGCAAATTCAGTTAGAAAATTTTTTCCTATCAACCTGTAAACACCAGCAAGCCAAATTTTGTCTCTTTCTTGGTATTTGTTGGTACAGCTGCCTCATTTACCGCTAAAATTGCATCTTTTGAAACTGTCGCAAAGCAAGACACCATTTTGAATCCCGTTCCAAAACAGTGAATATCCAAGGAAATCTCGAGTTACGGGAGCTAATCTGAACATGCAAAAATTCCTGTGCCCTGATTTGGTGAATACTAAAGATCGATAGATCAAGGTTGTGCTATACGATTTCGATACTAAAGCTGAGATTTCCTAGTTGCCTAATAGCAAAAGTAAGGTGCCAGGCTGGGGCCTCTGGGCAGTTCTAGAGCACAGCAACGCATATACAGTGTGCAAAACATGGTACCCCTTTCATATACTCACAGAAGCATTTTGTTTAATGGGTCAGCCTGGCATTAATGTGACTCTTCCAGATTCTTTGATAGGCCCCTTGAACTACCCTAACCCTTTCCTGCCATAAGCTTCTGGAATCATTACCATTTTAGATACCTCTAGCTTAAAAAACATTCTTCATTTGGGCACGGCATCTCCTTTTACTCCATTTTAGGAGATGCAAAAAAGCACAGCAAGATGACTGGTGTAAATATACCAAGAAAAAGAAAAGGCTCAATCATGAATTTGTTCTTCGAAGAAGAATATTGTACATGTAGTCTAATATTATTGTACATACACAGCTGCTGTGTCTGATAATTATTTAAATTTCACTGCTAGGTGCAAGAACATACTGTAGAATACACAGACTGTAAAGCTTCAGATGGACAAAGATGCGACCAATTCCTTGAAAATGTCACAAATACTGGCAAGACCTGTACCTGTACAGTCAAGTTTAATCTGACAGAAGAATTTAAAGGCTCTGTCTTTATATATTATGGCTTATCAAACTTCTATCAGGTGTGAAAAATAATGTTTAATAATAATTATTGATAGCTCACCAGTTTCTTTAAAGATCTCAGTGGGCCCAGTAGTTCAAAGGCGGATTAAAGGGAAAACTGAGGCTAAACTTTAATACTGGTTCTTGTTTCTTTTGTTAAAAAGTCATTTTCTCTGTTCATTTTAATTTGTCTTTTTTTTGAGTGTCCAAACATCAAATTGTGGGCAACAAGAGTGGATAGACATCTGCTTTGCAGGTGTTCAGATTTGAAGCAGGGTGCAAAGAAAGTCATTTTTACAGTTTGCCATTCTGGCAAGCTGAAGCTAACATTGACTAGCCCAAACATCATTTCAACCAGCCCCAAAAACATTTTGATGAGCAGATTGATCCCACAGTTCTTCTGTTATTTGAATTTTAACTTCACTTGCCCATCAAGCAAGTAAAGAACAGAATTCACTAGCCTGATAGCAAAATCCACTAGCCCTGGGCTATTGGACAATACTTTCTTTGCACGCTGTGAAGGCAATTTTTGCTATAACTCTGGGTTATCATAATCCTGCTTTGAACAACTTGGCCCTGAATTACATCTATAGAAAGAGAACTAAAGACATCTTTACCAGCCATTATGTATATGTTGTAGGAACCGCTGTTGTCCTCTCATTGGTGACATGACCACAATTAGCAAAATGTTTCAAGTCTCTTTGTTTCAGACTTATTATCATGCATTATCATACCCTAAAACAAGTGAAATTTAAACCAAGTCAGAATAAAACTGGATTGCAATGGGAACATTTTGGAATATTATTTTTGTGACATACTGTAAGAATAGGGTGTGTTAATATTACTGTCAAACTGACAAAACTTACAAAACCATTTATTGTGTTGCAAGAAATAAGCCAATCAGCTGTGACAAAACTAAACCGCAAGCAAGAATGTGAATTAGTTTGTGGTTTTGTGGTTTGCTCACGTGTCTTACTCTTTGCTGTGATTGGTCCCAACACAATAAAACCAACTGAAATATTTCAAGTGTTCCTGATTTTGTCGGTTTGACAGTAACATTCACTGAAAATTCTTCTGCAATAGCACCAGGTGAGAACTTAGCCTTAAACAAACTGAGCTTGTTAGAGGTCTTTGCAGTTAGTACAGAGCCATAAATATATATCATTAGCCCATAGAAGCGGAAATGACAGTGGACCACAGCAGGTTCATACTAGGATCTTTATTTGGGGTTGTGCTTAGACCGCAACGTGATTTTGTTTCTCTGCAGAACCACCGGCGTTATGTGAGGTCAAGAGATGATCTCCAGCTCCATGGTGAACTAAAGAGTACAGTGTCAAGTGACTGTGATCCATTTAGCAAAGTAAATGGCACTCCTATTGCTCCTTGTGGTGCTATTGCAAACAGTCTTTTTAACGGTAGGTTGTTTTATACATGTATTTCTCTTTTACATTACAATCATCAGTATAACAGGGCCGACAGTGCTCTACAGTGGATCCTCTATATAATGAAGGGCCAAGGGACTGGCAAAATTTGTGTGCTATAACAAGGTTTCACGATATCAAGATTCTTTTCTATTATTTTTCTATTAGTGGGGTGAAGAAAAATAATTGTTTGTTATACTGAAGGCTTCATCTGATCTTGGCTACATGCCCTTTCCCATCCCTGCAGCCAAAAAATACCTCCATAAGTCAGAAACACAACAATTTATTTCGTCAATCACTGGAAACTGTGATGGATACTAGACAAGTAGCAAGCCTTAGCAGCCATTATGCTGGCGTTATGCTCAATGCTCCTAATTCAATTATAAGGCGAATACGGAACATTCATAGTAATGTCTTGTTTCTTGTCGTTTTTAATACAGACAGTTTTACACTCTCCTGGAATAAGGATTCTAATACTCAAGTCCCTGTTGGCCTGACATACGAGAATATCGCTTGGAAATCTGACCGAGAAGTGAAGTTTAAGAATCCCCCAGGAAACCTGAAGGAGGCTTTCAAGGACTTTGCTAAACCTCCAAACTGGCCAAGACCTGTGTATGAGCTGGACGTTAACAACTCAGATGATAATGGATTTAAGAACCAAGACTTCATTGTTTGGATGAGGACTGCTGCATTTTCAACATTCCGCAAGCTTTACCGAAAGATTATCCTCACGGGCGAATTTAAGAATGGTCTGCCAAAGGGGGAATACATGCTTGATATCAAATACAGTATCCTCTTATCCACCGAATTGTTCTGTGGCAAATATTAAATAAGAAAAAAGTTTTTTAAGTGCTTGAATATTTGAGTATTTTTCTTTTTACATGACCAGAAAAAATTGAGTTTGGCTGGTAAAATTGGTCAGCCATGGCTAGTCACAGAACTGTTTGTTTAAAAAGGGATTGAACAAAGAAGTAAAAACATGTAAGCAGGCTGGAGCATCTGTAAAGAGAAAGGAAAAAAGGGAAAAATTACATTTTCTGGTGTAGGTTTTTTTTTTCTTTCATCTGGTTGTTTCTGATTGCCCCAGATTTTTTCAACTAATGAAGGAAGAATTGTCAAAGTAGACGTTTCCGATCATCTGAGATGAACAGGATCAGTCAGAGAAGCCAGGAGTTTTTCTGATGTCTTTTCTGTTCGGTTTGATCTGTCGCAGATTTCACCCATGGTGGGATCTCCAAAGTTATTGTCATCTTTAAACTCAACTTTTTACTATTCGTTATCTTGGCAATAAGTTAGCAATAACTTTTGTAAAAAGGGAAGGAAAAGGTGCACATGAGCCAAAGAAACAAACCACCGTCCAGAGCATATTCCAGTTTCCTTAGCATAAAGCATGTCTAGGAATATTAATTGATACTACCCCTTGGAAGGAATGCTAGTCCATTGCAAGGTTCCCCTCAGCAGTATGTCAGCGGTACCCATTTATTCACCTGGGTGAAGAGAGACAAAGTGGAGTAAAGTTCCTTTTCTCCAGATCTGCTCAGCCACACATGCCCCCCTTTTTGTACTAGAAAATAACCACAAGCACATCTGGAGACAATCCAGAGCTCGAAAAAAGTCCCATCCAGTAGCCCGGAATCATTAGATTTTCTTGCTGGGAAAGTACCTTTAAAAGCTCAAGGGTCCAGGCAAGCCATCCTTTAAGTAAATCATTAACTAAGATGAGTAAGAAGAGGTGTTGGGCAAGAAAGGTGTGAGAGCTGCTTGCCCAAAGAACAAGTTGGAGTTAATTTATTTTGAGCCTTGCAATTTCTCATGATCTCTGGGGTTTTCTAAGATTCAGCAGAAGATCTGTCGCAGTCACAAAACAGCAAAATCCTGAATATTACTGTACTTTAAGTTTTATAAATTATTAATTTTTGTTGCACCAAAAGTGAAGCAAACAGGTACACTGTCATCAGTTATGATACAGGTGTCTCATTCACGTTATTAAATGTCCTTTACTTGAGAACAATATGTGCAGACTTTCCTGTGACTTCATTCGATGGTAAGAAGCGAGTGATTTTGAGTACAACATCCTGGATTGGTGGCAAGAATCCTTTTCTTGGTATTGCTTATATCACTGTTGGTGTTCTCTGTCTTGTGCTGGGATTGGCTTTTCTGGTCATACTCAAGTTTGGAAAAAGGTAAGATCAGAAATAAGACTTAGATTGTCAAAATGTTGCATTATATACTTAAAGGGGGGAAATACAGTTTTATAATTATAGTTTTAATGCACATATGTCTTGTTAGGTTAAACATAAACTGCACTGCTTGTTGAAAAAAAAGAAGTCACTAACTGACCTAAACTCTTAATGTTAAAAAAATGCACATTATACATAAAATAAACCGTTTTAAGCGTCCTGTTTTATTGAACAGTTTGTCTGTAAACCTTACTTTGAAGTAAAGCTGTAATGACAAGTGCTTAGTGCAATTTGTTGTCATTATGTGATATTAAAGAACTGAACCACAGAACTCTCCCAAAATCTCCATTTTTGTAATTTAAACTATTGTTATCCATTTCTACTCTCTCTGTTGTTAGCCATCCTGCTTTCCTGTGTCCAAATCATGGATTAATTTTTCAGAAAATCAGCTCAAAATGAGTGCTTCTCTGAGACAAGAACCGTTTTGAAAACAGAGACAAAATTTTTAACTCCATCCAGAAAGAGCTTGCAAAAGCAACTACAGAATCTCTCCTCGCTTCTCGCCTCTAGGGATGTATTGCCAGGAGAGATATTTGTGCCTCAGTGACAGAAATTCCATATTGATGCCATAAAATTTGTCCAAAATCAGGTCAGGAGCTCTGATTGGTCAACGTAGTAGTTAATAATACATTATTTTAGCTATAGTTTGTGAATGACGTACAAAAGAAAAAGGGCCACAAAGGTCAAAGGTTAATGCAATGAATCTATTACAAAACAGGCAATATTCGTGGAATATATTGTGTTTTGCTGATGCTCATTCAAAAGTGACCAGGAGAAACTTAAAATTGAACAAATGTACAATGTGCATTTGGTACCCTGTAGCTACAGGATTAAGAAAATATTATGTAAACATTGATTTACGTCATCATTATGGAATTTCTGTCGTTGAGACACAGACATCTCTCCTGGTGAAACATCCCCAGTGGTGAGTAGCGAAGTCGGCTGTTTTTCCAGGCTAATCCAGAAATAGTGCTTCGTAATCATCCATTAAAACCAAATTTCTTTTTGTTCGCAGGACTCATACAAATACTGATCATGGACTGCAGATGAGAGAGATGGCAAATTAGTAATTTTTATTTGGAGCTTGGCTTACATTGCAACTTTCACTTAATATTAAATAAGTTATAGAATATTGGTCACTTTTGCATGTGCGAGCAAAGTTAAGTGTCATACATGAATATTTTTTTGAGTCCAAATACCATAATGTGAATTCTGCTCGGGCATGAACATCATTTTGTCAAATACGTTTCTTGCAGGAAGCACTATCATATGAGTATAAGTTTCTGAAACTCTGTCAATTTCAGTTGTGAATAATAATTTTTTTTGAAACATTTTATGGTTGCTGTAAGGTTACGATACAATATTCAAACATTTTTAAGGTAGCAGACATCATGCATGTGTTTCTGTAGTGCTCATGCTTTCAGTAAAACCCTCTAAACAATACACTCTATGAAAAAATTAATGGTTTATCAGAATGCATTTTTCTGAAAAGGGTAAAAGATTTTGATCAAGATATTACACTTTGAAGACATTTTTGTAGATTTAGTGTCTAAAAAATGACTGTTAATCACTTGCCATTATTACGCGTAATATTATTATTCTTTTGAATGATTTAAGTGGGCTTATAGTTTGATTTGTTAAGATGCACACTTTTACAGAGAGCAACCTTAAACCACTTTCTTGAAAATATCTCATTTTTTCGTTTTATAAGTGAAAGCAATCTTGAGCTTTTAGCGTTTTAGAAATAATTATTATATGGTTTGTGAGGGTCTTTTATGATAAAAGCATGATCGCTGTAAAATGATGTTTGTGAGATGGTCCCAAACCCAGGATGATGCTTTATTTAACCTGGAACCTGGATGGTTAGCAGCATGGAACATTAAAATGGATTACAATAACTTGAGCTGTAAGAACTAAACTTAAGATGTAAACTGGGTATAACAGTTTAGGTTATGCAAAATTAATGCGTTGTCGTAATCATGACTGCACTGAATTAACATAGCCATAATTCCTATCTCGAGTGTCAAGGTTTTCCATAAATCTGTTAGAGATTCAAATTATATGTGTTAAAGACATGCAATTACAGCCTAAAATTTATTGTTGCAGAAACTTTATTGTTTTTTTTTTTTTTTATGTAAAACCCCCAAAAAGAAGTTCATTTGTACATAATTATAAAACTTCTCGACATAGTCTAGCTCATTTGTACATTCATTTAAAATTTGTTTTTTCATATCATAGTACTGAGTTTTGATAGACTACAAGTAGTCCCCCATTTTTCCTCAGGGATAGTAGAGCGAGCGAAACGCGAGCGCGCGTGAAAATCGCCCCACGCGAGAAAAGGCTCCGCCGCGTGTCACCTTTTCTCGCGTGGGGTGATTTTCACGCGCGCTCGCGTTTCGCACGCTCTACTATCCCTGAGGAAAAATGGGGGACTACTCGTAGTCTAGAGTTTTGAGCGTGAACTGATGGAAGCTGTGGGTCATAAGATATGCATGACTGTATCGTTGCATTTCAAATTTTTATCAGTGATATTTGTGTACTATTTATTTACCTGTAACAATGCTGTAATTAAACTTACTGAAATTATTTAATTTTTTTTTCTTGGGGCTTAACGGTGACTGTTATGTTATAGTATAAGCTAGAATTATCTCAGAGAAAATGTACCTTTTTTACAATGATGTAATTTTGACTGTAACAACCAAAATTCATTGCATTCTTGCTTTCTTATTATTTTGAATTCTTTCCTTTAAAGCTTAAGTAGCAAATTAGTTGTAATTTGCACAAGAAATTGACTACAGATTGAACACGGTTTTGGTAGAACGTGACACCATCATGAGAATTTCTTGTTGCAGTTACAGCAGTTTGGTGCAGAGCATTAGGTCCATGTTAGCAACAAATTTTGAAATTTTCATTAAAATTTAATTTTAAATGACTGGGTCAGAGTTATTATTTTAGGTGTGACTAGTAAACTCTTATTTGGCTCTTAAATCGGTAACACTTAGTATTCTTTCGCATTCGACGGGTGATAGAAGTCATTTGAGGCGGGTTTTGAAGTATAAATTCCAGATGCCATAATATTTATGTCTATACCATACCGGATAACTTAGAATTTCCGATAGCTTAACACAATATGTCGACAAAAAATACTCCGGTTGGAGCCTGAATTTTTGCCTAGAAGAAGAACCCGCGCAGTCAAACAAAAGGTTTGGAGCGAGGATAAAAATGAAGGGTGATCAGAGTAAGAATGTAGAATCACCTGACGCCTCACGCCGATGCCTCGCATCTTCAAGAACCGATTTTGAGAAGAAAAACCGACTGCGACCATTTTTATTACTTGCAGCGTGTATTACAAGTAATCAGTGGTAATCACACTCTTTCTTTTCTTTTTGTGTGCGTTCCTCATTCACTGACAAGTTAAATCTCGATTTATCCAACCTGTTGAAATAACGCGAAAATCGGTTCCAAGTATCCTCTGTTCTAAAAATTAGCATGTGGCTTGTCTTGACATCCGTCCTTTGTCTGGTAAAATAGGGATCTCAGTTTAGATTGGACAACTAGAGCATAGATTGCGTAAGAGCGCGACTTTTTTAATCTTCAAGGAATCTCTTTTCTCAGTATTTTAATTTCGAGAGAAAGGGAAATCAAGCATCCGAAAGTTCAGGAAACACTCCGAGCTCCAGGTGATATTCGATCCCCCGAGTTCTGGATCGGATGCTCTTTCATTGAGCTATTAGACAATCTTTGATCAGCAGGGCCGAAATACGAAGAAATAGGGAGAAATACGAGCTCCCCTAAAAACGAAGAAATAGGGAAGAAATACGAGCTCCCCTAAAAACGCCTGCGTGGGAGGCTAAAGTTAAATTAACTTAAATTAATTATACGGCGGCTACAAGTACTCTGTTTATCCTAGTAAGGACAGCAAGTCGGTCTTGAGGAAATAAGCCAACTCAAATCTTATTTCCCTTGACCTTGAACGAAAACCTTAGAAAAATATTTTTGGGCGTGTCAAGGCAGTGATTGGTATGATACAATAACCTGGAAACACTGTTCTTTTTCAGACCAAGAGCAGCAGTTCACAGCTTTAGAAGATGAGGAGCAGCGTGATGACGTAGGGATCATTTCAGCAAGTGATACCTTTTAATAATTGACGGTTATGAGTCTTTATAGGCCTGACCATATGATCGTCGCCAGTATAGATATATAAAAGATAATAATTCCAAGAATATTTTATTCCCGTTAGATCGAGTTAGATTCATATTCACGGGGAACGTCAGATTCATGTTGAAAATTCAGCTCAAAATAGGAAGTGAGCAGATTTAGACTGACCATGCAAATTATTTCTTTTAAATGAAACTGGCATGAAGCTATTTGTTTCTTTTAGGTACTGGTGAAATGAACCGTAAACGACAAGTACGGAGAAAATTGTTCGCATGGAACAATTTGACGTTTGTGGTTTGCCGTGAACTTTATTTTCAACCATGATGATCCTAAACTTCCGCGGTTTAAAAAGAGCTTAAAGTATATTTCAATACCTGGTTTACACAGAAATTAAACCATTTAAAACTATAAGGATAAGGACGATTAAATTTTAATTTGTTAGTATTTTCTTAGATTACCAGCGTTTCTTTTTCTCAGTTAGATTTAGTGAGCAGAGTGCACGCGCGCGCCACGCGAGAAACGAGGGTTAAGAAACAAAGGAGATCGCTTGAAGGCTCTTCATTTATGGCGAGCGAAGCAAGTTGCGAGAGAACGCGCGAGGGAGTGGCGAAGCCGCGAGGGGCGGAGGGGCCTACGGCCTCGGCGGATAACACTCTCCTCGATCTCCGTAATTCTTCAAATGATACTCAGCCTCATTCAATAATTGTTAATTCGTGACCTTTGGATCATACCTTCAGTATTATAAAAGGTAGCCTGCGGACACAGACGTATTTTCGGTCGTCGCTTCTCTCCACCCGAAATTTAAACTTTTCGGGTGGAGACAAGCGACGACCAGAAATACGCCTGAGCCCGTACGCTATAATATAAAAGGCGGTTAACAAAAAAGTTGAATTAAGTTATCTTGTGTGATATTCTTTGTCACTGCTGTGATGAAAGATGTTTCGTTCTTCTGCCTATTTGTGTGTTCGTCAATCCTCTTGATTTTCTTATCTTCTTACTTTAGCCAGTTCTTTGCATAAAGAACAGTTTGTAGATTAAGGCCCCATCCACACTAGCCTGCGAACCGCAGACGTATTCGACGACCGGAAATACGTCTGCTGTTCGCAGGCTACATCTACACCGGGTATCCCGATATTTTTGAATCCGCATCTCTTTCTTTCCGGGTGCGGCCTCCGTCCACACGTATCCGGTGAATGCGGCATACGAATCTGCAAGTTTTTGAATCCGCTCTCCGCTCTAGAGTGGAAAGTTTTTGATACGCTATGAATGACGCTAAATCCGGATATTTTTTATCCGGTGACGTAATAAGATCGAGCCCATTCTTTACCGTGATTACTGTATTCAAGATGGCAACCTTGACGCATGCTCCGTTGCCAATATTCCCTGAGGAGTCCTGGGCGCTAGCGTGAATCTTGATACGTGTCGGCTTCGTGGGGACAGGCAAATTCGATTTGAATCCGGATACGTGTGGACGTGGAAATTTTTGAATCCGGAAAGAAAAAGTTGCGGATTCAAAAATATCTGGATACGCGTTGACGGGCCATAGGATATTGCGTGCACGTCCAGACTTGGGTAAAGGAAACGTGAATTGTTAATAAGCAGAATATTGTAGAAAAATATTTATATTTTGATAGACCAGTTACTTTAAAATTAAAATAAGTGTAAGTAAATAGCACATAATTAAATTTTACTTAGATTAAATGACAAGAAATTATTATATATGAATTCAATAAAGAACTCTTGTTCCGTTTATCCTGAAACTTTTTCTACGGTTGTACATTTGCTCTCATTTAGTTTATATTGTAACATGTTAAAAAATGTAGAACTAGATTGCGGAGAAAAACGTACTTTCAAACTTTCGTAAAAAATGTTTTCATAAGTGTTGCTAAATCCGCGAAGGAAACTGGGTTGAGTTAATTTCGCAAAGACTTCTGGGATTGTTACTATGGACAGGTAAAGAATGTAGAAAATGGACCATTTTCATTATATTAAAATAATTCATACTTGACTCCGAGGCTTGGGGAAATAAAACAAAAGAAATATATTATTCATTACTGAGCCTCAAGATGATTTCTTTTGAAGTATTCCCCCAATCCTTGCCAGTAAGTATGAATGTTAATATATCGGAATTGGTCCATCAGGGACCGCGGAGGGGGAGGGGCTGGTGGGGCCGCGGCCCCACCACTTTTTTGCGCCCCCGCCCCCACTTTTTGCGCTAAAAAGAAAAATAATTAAAATAAAAAAAGACTTGAAACAAGTTTTTTTCGTCTATATTCCGCTATATTCTCTGTATTTTCTTTAATTTCAAACGCCAGGCATTTTTTTGGGCTCCTGTGCTTTTCGCGGTAATTGTGCCCTCCTTCCAGCTCCGGCAGAGTTTTTTTATTTATCAGACGAAATGAAGAAAATTACTAGCTTTTTCAAGCCAAACGAAGGTGAGTAGTTGTTTTGAGTTGATAAAAGTTTTATATTTTGTCTTTCTCCTTTTGAATCAATGAAATATTCGATTGCAAGAAGAATTACATTACTTGAACAGTGAACGGCCATAGTTAGAAATTTTTCAGATCACTTCAGTGTAGTATTTTGTATACTAAAATTGTAATCGCGTCTTTTCTTGCATTGAATCTGAACTGACCGTGTATGTTGGTCGTTTATTACAGTTATCTGGGACTTCGTCAAAGTCTGTAAGCTCTGCAGAAAAGACGACAACTACTAGCAGTGAAAATGGTGAGTTTGAGTTTGACAAGTAAACATTTCAATATATTCTTAAAAGTTTCATTTTTTGGAAGTGCGAGTTGTTTCTGACTAATATTCGTTAAGTATAAAGAGCAACAAATACTGGATAAAATATGCAAAGTCACGCGACAGAAACAAATCAGCTACTTTGATTTTGTTCCTTTTTTCGATTTTCAATATGAAAAAATTATTTTCAATTGTCAGCCCTCCCACTTTTCACCTTGCTCCGCGGTCCCTGTCCATTGGACAATAGTCAACTTGCCATCCCACATAATGCACCTTATTTCCCTACTATCTGAGAGTCTGGAACAGGCTAATCCAAAGTCGAAATTCCCGGCCGGCGCTGGCTAGGCGGAAAGAACGGCTGAGTTGTTCCAAAGTGAAATAGGAAAGTTCCTCCGCAGAACCGTTCACGAACTAAATTCACTGTACTGGGTTCGGCTAATGAATAGTGCGATATCTGAGCCAGGCCTTGACAGACAGCTTTTTCATCGCAGCCAGGACTGTTCTAAATTAAAGATGATCGTCACTAAGTCCTCCTTTCCTCTCCCCTCACATCTTTGCAGCTGGATTTTTCATAAAGTTTTTACTCTCTGCTCAAATAAACGCTTTTTTAGCGTCTTGTGTTTTTCTGCTCGGTTGTCTTTTGAAAATTTTTCGCGCCTTGTCAGATGCTCTGTTATTGACCAATCATATGCCAGCACGTACAGTAAGGGACAGGATATGCATTGGAAAGCAAAAACAAATATGGCGGACGGAATGACACAACATTGTGATCTGTGTAAAAGGTTGCGATTGTCGTTACATTGGCATATAAAGTCGAAAAATATGACTGCTGTCGTTCAATTAATCCTTGCAAGTCTTACTGGTGTCGCAGTAGCGTTAATCGCAACCTACCTTCCTTCGATATGGCGACCATGGTTTGGACGACCTTCCCTGGAATCATACGCACCCGGCTTCAATCTTGTTTTAGCACCGCAGAAAGCTTTGGAAGAGAAACGTATGTTTTGTTCCTTTCTTTTGCTGCCATATATTTGGGTCGATTTTGTAGGCGAGAGGTCAGCTACACTTAATTTAAAAGCAGTCGGCTTCTTTTTGTAAAGTTAGAATCTTACTCCTTCGTCCCCCGATCGCCATAAGCTTAAGCTCTTACGTAAGCTTAGAGCAATCCTGTCTAAGCCTTAACAGGCGTCATTTGCGTTATCCTACTTTTTGTATTATTAAGACGGTATCGTGAAATTGCAATGTTTTGCTGAATACGTTGATTGATCCTACTCTGTTATACAATACATTTTTTTTTTAATTTTGTGACTCTGATCACTGTGAACCGTTGATGTTCTCATAGTTTGATACAAGCTTAAATGAATGTAGTTTTTCTAGCAGTCTACAAGATAGACTGAATAAAGTAACAAGTTTTTTTGTTGCTTGCTGAATATGGTATACTAATGCTAAAAATATTTAAAAAAGACCAAAAGATTACAGTCAGGTATGAGGACCTCTTAATGGGGGGAGGGGAGGTACGTATGTCCCCAGTCTGAATTTCAAAACCTGCTTTTTTGCGTATTAAAGAGGAGGCTATATCCCTGGTGGCATTTCACTATACTTGTATTTATGATCGTCCTGGTAACTGATGCAGTTTCAACCTATCTTTGTGTCATTTGTCATCATTTTATGTGTCTTGTGTCACTGCCACGTTGCTTGACAGAAATTTACCCCAACAGGGCCTCAGGTATGTCATTAGGGGAAACGTTTGGTTAGTGACTAACACTGCCAAGCTGCCAATCATATTTTACATAGGACCATGAAAGAGTTCGTATCTGTTCAGAGCGGAAAATTATGGTGAAGATTCATCATCATCATCATCATCAGGTCGAGCTAGCTCGGGCATTCATGAGCCTATCACACCATCCATCGCGATCCTGCAACAAAGCAGGGAGGTCGTTTGGAAGGCATCCTGTGTCTCAGCAGAGTTGGCTTTTACCATGGTTAGGTGACTAGAGCAGTAGATTGCTAGCGTGTTCTTGTTTTACTCGCCAGCAGTCACCTGCAAAGTGCATTCTTTGTTCACATAACATTGTAGAAATGTCAGGGATGGTGAAGATTACCATGTAGAAATGGTGGTTCTGTCCACTGCAGGTGGTGTTAAAAAAGTGTTCTCAACAAATAGTATTAAATTTATTAAGTTGAGTATTTTTTTTCCAGCTCCATTACATGGAGAAGCCCTTCAGGCACTTAAAGTTGCTTTGGAAATGTTAAATGATGGAAAAAGAGACAAAGCTTTGAGACTGTTTAAACAAGCTGAAGCTTTATCTCCTCATCATCCAGACATTTTACTACACTACGGGGAATTTATTGAGGAAGAAGACATTATCCATGCTGAGCATCTTTATGTCAGAGCTCTAGCAGTGAGTCCTGGCAACTCCAGAGCATTAGCTAACAGAGGAAGAACATTACCTAAAGTGCGGCAACTTGATCAAGAAATGCTTGATAAGATTGATGGCAAAAGGGATGAATTATTTCGCATCCCAAAAGGAAGCCTGGCTATGAAAAGAGCTGTTACTGAGGCCTATTATCAACACATTTACCACACAAATGCCATTGAAGGTAACACTATGACTTTATCAATGACCAGAGCAGTTGTTGAAACAAGAATGGCGATATCTGGGAAAAGCATTTTAGAACACAATGAAGTGTTGGGACTTGATGAGGCCATGAAATTTATCAATGGATCTTTATTGCAAAAACAAGAGAAAATTACAGTAGATGATATTCGTGAAATTCATAGACGGGTTCTAGGACATGCACATCCCTTGGAAGCTGGGAGATACAGAACGACGCAGGTTTACGTCTCGGACCATGTTCCTCCAAGTCCAGCAGACGTTGAACATCACATGAATGAGTTTAATGATTGGCTGTTATCCAGAGAACCAGAAATGCTGCATCCGATTGAATTTGCAGCACTGGCTCATTATAAACTTGTTTACATTCATCCCTTCACTGATGGCAATGGAAGAACTGGAAGGCTTGTCATGAATTCTATTTTAATGCGAGCAGGATTTCCTCCTGTTATAATACGCTATCAAGATCGGCATGACTATTACGAGTTCTTGAACATAGCCAATCATGGAGATGTAAGGCCTTTCATAAGATTTGTTGCCCGGTGCACTGAAAGAACCATAGATGAGTATTTGTCTGTGACAACTATCTATCCAGTTGGGCACAGTAAACACCCAGAGCTTACAGATGCTCATGACCTAAATCATGAAGGTGATGACAAGTGGCCAAGATTAAAGCCATATATATAGAGGATATTACACGCTGGCGCGAAGATATGAATTTTATTTTCGAGTGGCAAAACAATATTTTACGAATGAGCGCAGCGAGTGAGTAAAATATTGTTTTTGCCACGAGAAAATAAAATTCATATCTTCAAGCCGCTGTGTAATGTTCTTTTTATTATATAGACAAAATGACATCGATAAAATAATAGAGGGAAATTACCAAAATTATGTCATCGATAAACTCACGTGTGAGATTATGGAAAATAAACCACTTGGGTCCCGGATGTAGTTTTTATGAATTTTTTACAAGTGGCATATTTTGCAGTAAAACACTCATGTCTATATAATAAATGACATTATAGTGTTGATATTTATTACCTGATAGCATAGCAATCCAGTCACAGATATATGGTGTTTTAAAATTCAAACCTCTCGCTCTTGTTTTGTTGCAAATAATTCTTTTGCTAAAAGCTATGTTTTCTTAAATTCATGTCAAAATCAGTGAATCAGTGGTACGATATAGGAAAATAGAAATAGATGGCAGTTTAGTTCTCTTATTTTACCAAAGTTGAAATACATAAATACTTCAATAAATACAAGAATGGTAAACTCCCAAGGAGCCCCAGAAGAAACTAAGAGGCTTATATGCATGAAGATGTAGTTGGCTTGTCCCATTACTGTGAGGTATTGCTGATAATAAATTTTATTATTCTTAACAATTTTTTTCTATTACATCCCAAGGTCATTGTTTCGGAGACTTGAATTATTGGTGAACTACAGTCTAGCTTGATCTTTTTTCCAGCAATAACCTGGCTTCTTTTTTTGATATGAGTAAATCAAATGCAACAAATGAAATTAGTACTTTTGTCTGCTCCAAGTCTACAATGGTTTCCCTGTTTTCCTCCTCCCCCTCCCCTCCCCCCCCAAAAAAACAACATGCTAAATTCCAACGCTATCTGCCACTGATGAGGGGAGAGGAAAGGGCAGTTAAATTTCTTTTCTCCCTATTTTTTTCCCTATTTTTCTCCCTCCTCCCTAATTTTTTCGGCCGTTTCTCCCTCCTCCCTGATTTTTCACCTTTCTCCCTGATAAGTCTTTTAAGAGGCTTATTTTATTTGCTACTTCACCGCAGTGCCTCGTTTCCACGTGTCTTGAAAGAAGGTAAACATACGAAACACGTTTGTCATGTCATTATATCTCGTTCTTCCCATACTACCTTTCGGTTTTGTCACTTAAGCTTGAAGCTTTGATGTTTACAACATTTTATTTTAACTACCGTATAAAGGTCAGAATGGTTACTCACAACTACTTGCTACTTCTTACTACTACTAAATCAATCTATGCATCGGGTGTAATTCACTGAACTTGAATAGTTTATTTCACATTGTAGGGTGTTAATTCTTCCGGTGTTTCAGCGTTAGGTCATAAACCATGCAGTGTTAATTTAGCCTTATACTACTACTACTACTACTACTACTACTACTACTACTACTGCATTATCACAAGGAAAAAGTCTACGCTTGTTTCGTAGATTTCCGCAAAGCGTTTGACTCTGTTTGGCACGAAGGATTGTTTTATAAGCTGCTAAAAACGAATATAGGAGGAAACTTGTACAACCCCATGAAAAGTCTTTATTGCAACTCGACATGTTCCATCAAAATCGGTGAAAACAAAACACAGCCTTTTTCATATTCCAGAGGTGTACGTCAAGGCTGTGTTTTAAGCCCTCTTTTATTTAACCTCTATTTAAACAATCTACCACTTTTATTCGAAAACACCTTATCTGACCCATTTGTTCTCCCAAATAGGAAAAAAAAATAAATTCACTTTTCTACGCAGATGATTTAGTTATTCTATCAAGATCGAAAACTGGATTACAGAACTGTTTAAATGCGCTTTCTTTGTATTGTGACAAATGGAAGCTAAAAATTAATCCGAAGAAAACAAAAATTATGATATTCCAGAAACGCCCCAAAAAATCTATTGACATCAAATTCAACATAGGCAGTGAGTCAATTGAAATTGTCCAAGAATACACTTATTTAGGTACACGTTTAACTCCAACGGGAAACTTTACACTTGCACTCGAACACTTAAAAGAAAAGGCCCTTCACGCGTTTTCTAGTATTCGGAAGCGGACAATTCTTAACAAACTTAATCCTAATACTGCATCCCAAATTTTTGACACCATGGTATTCCCAATCTTGAGTTACAACAGCGAGGTATGGGGAATGTACACCAAGCAAGATTTTAAAAAATGGGATAGCTCCCCAATAGAAAAAATCCACCTCAAATTCTGTAAACGTTACTTAGAGGTTAACAATAAGGCCTCTAACATAGCCTGCAGAGCTGAACTTGATAGACTGCCGCTACTTATCCCGATAAATCAGAAAATTATGAAATATTTTGTTTACCTCAACAACAAAGATAATGACTCTATAGTCAAACAGTCTTTCCTTATGTCAAAGAATCTACATTCTATGAATAATTCCGGATATTTTTCCAATTTCATAAACATGCTTGAACAATACAATCTAACCAGTTTAGATGCTGAATCTCTAGATAATGATAAAATTAGACGATATACCACAGAAATGAGAGAGAAATATCTATCTTTTTGGCGGAACAGCCTCGAAAATTCAAAAAAACTAGAATTTTTATAAAACTTTTAAAGATGAATATTCTACATCTGATTATCTCTACCAGCTAAGACATTATGACGAACGACAGAATTTTGTTAAATTTAAAATAAGTAATCACAAACTTATGATTGAACATGGTCGATACCAAATCGATCATTTGCCAAGAGAAAATAGATTATGTCCTTTGTGTAACTCAAATCAGGTAGAAGATGAGATTCATTTCATCTTTCAATGTAACAAATACTCAGTACAGAGACAGGCATTTATTAATCAAATCAATCGAATAATACCTGACTTTGACAAGAAATCATCTCCGGAAAGCATAAAACTGATAATGAATTCGAAGGAACATCATGTAAATAAGTTAGTTATGAAGTTTGTCTCCTCCTGCATGAAAATACGTGATTCATTGTTAGTAATGTAACCGAATTTTTCTAGATTGTTATTAGTGCTGTTTTGTTTTTATTTTGATTGTCATATACATGCTTTTGCAATACTGTAAAGTGATGCGGTCATGCAAATAAAGCAATTTATTACTATTACTTACTACTACCACTACCACTACCACTACCACTACCACTACCACTACCACTACCACTACCACTACCACTACCACTACCACTACCACTACCACTACCACTACCACTACCACTACCACTACCACCACCACCACCACCACTACTACTACTACTACTACTACTACTACTACTACTACTACTACTACTACTACTACTACTACTACTACTACTACCACCACCACCACCACCACCACCACCACCACCACCACCACCACCACCACCACCACCACCACCACCACCACCACCACCACCACCACTACTATTACCACCACCACCACCACCACCACCACCACCACCACCACCACCACCACCACCACCACCACCACCACCACCACCACCACCACCACCACTACTACTACTACTACTACTACTACTTATCACTACTACTACCACTACTACTACTACTACTACTACTTACCACTACTACTACCACCACCACCACCACCACCACCACCACCACCACCACCACCACCACCACCACCACCACCACCACCACCACCACCACCACCACCACCACCACCACCACCACCACCACCACCACCACCACCACCACCACTACCACCACTACTACCACTACCACTACTACCACCACTACCACCACCACCACCACCACCACCACCACCACCACCACCACCACCACCACCACCACCACCACCACCACCACCACCACCACCACCATTACCACCACCACCACCACCACCACTACCACTACCACTACCACTACCACTACCACTACCACTACCACTACCACTACCACTACCACCACCACCACCACCACTACTACTACTACTACTACTACTACTACTACTACTACTACTACTACTACTACTACTAGTACTACTACTACTACTACTACTACTAATAATAATAACAATAATAAACAAGGAAGGGGACTTACGAGATTCAATTTCAAAACAATCTTCAGTAACACCGTAAACGACTTTCACATCAAAATAACATTCACGCACCTTAATAGAGACCTTTAGATTCCACGACGAGTACGACTACGAGTACGAGATTTTCTCAATACTAAGTAGTGTACGCGCGTGAACCAGCGTCATTTTGGCAGGAAAACCTGGTAGCCGTCGTGATTCTACTACGAGTTTTCGCGCGAATGTCGTGGTGGCGAAAACAAGATATAAAATGTTAGAAGTTTTATTATTTTGCGATCGGGAGAGCGCGTAACCTCCTTAACTAAAGATAACAATGCTAACTTTTCTAGTGAAAAATGGTAAAATAAAGCTTTCCGGGGAGTCTATATTTTGAGAATACGCGAAAAAACTTTAAGTCAAATCTCGTACTCGTTGTCGTCCTCGTCCTCGAATCTAAAGGTCTCCAATACTCAAAAAACTCCGAAAACTTCAGATTCGCTTATTAAACCGACGCTAAACAGAAGAAGTAACAAAAGCTCGGAATTCAGACAGATCAGTGCTGTCATCACCGCTCGGCCAAGACTGGGTACGGTGTACAAATGATGACCTCACAAGGGGAGGGCAAGAAATTGTTGAGCCTACATGCGAGAACTCTTACATAGACTTTAAGGTGGCTCCGTAATTAATACATGAGCATTTAGCTGTGACAAATTTTCCGTCATAACTTTTTCGATTTTAACGCGATGCCTGCGAAACTTTGCAAAGAACAACATATATCATTCGGCAATAATACGAAATATTCCGATTTCATTGATGGTAAATATTTCTTGAGAAATTAGCGCTTAAAAGGACCCTAATGTTCAAAGAAAATCGCGTCTAGTGAAAAATTTTGCTGATATTTTTTACTGAAATTTCTGGTATCGGCTTTAATTGATATAATAAATATGCCAGAGGAATTTCAGAAAAATCGTTGGAGCAGAAGTAAAGTACCTTTTAAAGAATAGCGCGATAGGCAGTCGGCTTTTGTTTTCAGAATTAGCAAACATTGAACTTACTTGTCCCGAAAATTCAAACTGGTGGCTCCTTCTACCTCATAGTAATTTATTTTTGAAATTCCAAAACAATTTCACAGCTGAATTTTGAGCGACTTTTAGTTACGGACTTCTGCTCCAACGAAGTTCTGAAATTCCTCTGGCATATTTATTATATCAATTAAAGCCGATACCAGAAATTTCAGTAAAAAATATCAGCAAAATTTTTCACTAGACGCGATTTTCTTTGAACATTAGGGTCCTTTTAAGCGCTAATTTCTCAAGAAATATTTACCATCAATGAAATCGGAATATTTCGTATTATTGCCGAATGACATATGTTGTTCTTTGCAAAGTTTCGCAGCCATAGCGTTAAAATCGAAAAAGTTATGACGGAAAATTTGTCACAGCTAAATGCTCATGTATTAATTACGGAGCCACCTTAACTTCCAGTTGGTGGCCAAAGCTGCCCTCATCTGTGAGTCAGTAAGGTCCTTGAATTAAGGGCTACTAAGACCTTCAAGTATCGACCAATATCTATATTGTCAAACTTTAATACAATATCATTGACGCGCAGTGTGTTATTTCTTAAAACGTATCTCGACGAAACTGATACTTATCCTTGAGAAACGTGCACTACACAGTTAATATATTCTGCAAACAGACAAGATCATGTTCCTTTATTCGTAAAAGCTAAAGTACTACCATTAAATATCTTGTATTGTGAATCCGTCTCAGACATTATGCACCACATAGACGAAAGAAATGCATCTATAATTATTTTGAACTTGTTTTCTAGGACATCAAATTCATATCACTAGTTTACACGCTCACCAAGTTCACAAGACTTCCACGTTAAAAAAATCTAGACTTAATACACAAAAGAATGCGTTCTCTCGTGTTGGCGCAAAGATATGGAACGAGATGCCAAATATATAGCTTAAAAACATAGCAAAGAAGACCTTCAGCAAAAACCTTAAAGGGTCATCATTAAATATTTGAAAACCAAAGACAACTATATCGGTAATGGCAAAATCGTGGCCAATCTTGAAAAATATGAACTTATATCTCTTCTCTCTATGTTGACCTAGGTACTTAACATATCATAATTTTTTCTTTTTTTTTGTCCTTTTATTAGTTTGAAACGTTTTTTCATTTAATGTGGAACCATATTACTTATAAGTTTCTCTCTGTTTTGCAAAACTGTTCGACTTTGTTAATCTCTTTTTTTTTCCAAACCCTTATATTCGGAAATCTGTAACTTCTTAGAACTTGTGAAACTGACCTGCCTCGACTAGTTTTGCTACCTGCTGGTCAGTCGGATTATTTTTAAGAAGTTGTTATATGTAATAAATAAACTTGAAACTTGGACAGTCCAATGAAGTTAATTCTGAAGAAGGCATGGGGCCACAGTATTAGCCTTGGGCTATTTAGTGTTACCCTCGTTAAATAAAGGTATTATTTATTATTATTTATTTACGTATGGCGCGCGCGAAGATAATTTCTCCGTTTTATTTTCTTATACCGCTCTTTTATACATTCCACGATATTCAATTACGCCCGAGAAAACCCATCATTTGTCCGTACCTAGTCTACAACTAAAACAAGGTGGTACCTTCTAAAATATTGGAAGTTCCTTCAGTATCAAGAGAGAATCTCTTCTTTATCAATTCTACTGCACACTCTGTTTAATTGATGGTTCGCAAATATGCTACATCTACATCCCCATCTACGACCATACTTGACACGTGTTGTCAAGCCAGGGTTATCTCTTCAGCATAAAATGCTGCTATCAATGAGGGCCCTGAAAAAAAAAATAATGACAAAAAAAATAAAATATGTATATATAAAAATAGCCTAAATTACAGTAACTAAAATACACTAAAAGTTAAAAATACAACAAGATTAAAAAAATTGTTTAAAAAAGCTGAAATACAGCAATTAAAATGCATTTAAAAGCTAAACTAATACAAAAAGTTAACAAGTACCTAAAAAACGTTTGATCTATATAATTCCAAAGTACGAGTTTTAAAAATCACAACTGACCGTTCCTCGGTCTTTCTTTGCTCGGAACCCAAACGAAAACGCTTGCTACGCAGGCTAGTACTAATGTGCTGTAAGCTACAGCACATTTGTCAAGCTTTCATTTACACTAGATCGTAATCGTGTAGACTGGAATATAAGGGAGAATGTATTCTTTGAGCATAAATGGAAAGATCAAAGTATGGGCAGGCTGAGTTTTTAACACGTATCGGCTCTCAAAATCAGATAGATTTGGAGTCACGTTTAAAACTGACGGCAAACGTCAGATTCACCTAACGTCTGTCTTGACCCACTGATGACCTACTTGTGACATAGCCACTGGTAGTGCCTGGGATACTGTGCTTTTATTAGAACAGAAGTTGTGCGCAACAGGAACGTTCGCAGTCTTCACTGCTTGGCGAGAGCCAGCAAAATTGACTCGAGTTCAACTGTGCAAGCTTGTCAGTGGCCAAAACGTCTGCAATTTTTCTTGTCACCAGCAGCTCACGTTCTCATAGAGAAAACGGTATCCGAGGCATTACTGGTGATTATGTTGCAGGTAGGTCAGCAGCATATGAGAATAATCCTTAATACTGTACACCAATGTAATATGATTGGACCGGGATAGCCAATCTTACTAGCAGTTTCTGCCCTAAGATCAGAACGATACCAAGCTCTACACAACATGACTCACAAATTACGATTGTTTTCAGGTTTAGCTTAGTCTCCTACGCAGCCGGTCGTTATTAGGGTGCGAAGGAGACTAGGTTTAGCTTGGCTTGCACATTGAATGAACAGTAACCTGTTCCAGGCATTTAGATAGTTGGGAGCAGCGCGAAGTATAAAAAGGGCAAAAAAAAGAAATGAAAATGAAGAAGTGGGAGAGAGGAGAGAGCTTCCATTTTCTCTTCATTGTGTAGTTCCAGAAAATATCCATACCCCCACCACGGAGGGCAATAAAACGAGAAAAAATCTCTTCATTCATGCTAATATGGGGTCTAATAATGTCAAGGACGTTTTTACCTAATAATTAACCATAGAGGCGATACCTTACACCACTGACTACACGAATAATTTTCTTCTGTAAACGAACCAGTTACATCAATTTAAACTAAACACCACGTGAACTTACATTACTTCAGTTCAGATAGAACATGTTGCAAGAAGGCTTAGAACAACCCAACACGACCAGATTACGGTGAATCAAATGTGTAATAACGCAACAGCTACATAACTGAAAGTTTATTCACGAGCCGATGACAATTTATTGTATTAAAGGAAACTATCGCATATAATCTGTGAAAAAAGTATTTAGCCGACCGTATATAAAAGATGATCAACGCGAACAATAATACTTGATTTGAAACACCGGTAACAGTAAAATAACTGATAGCTTGCGCAACAGAAAGCTGTTATTTATTAATAACTCACCAATCTTACTCAGACAATTGGAAAAAAACCTCTGTAATCAACCCCCCACCCCCTCGGAAATTGCCTTATTCTGGACCCTCCCTCCCCTCGGAATTTCCGTTGCCCTCCGACGGAAGGCGGTGGGGGGTGGGGTGGTGGTGGGGGGTATGGATATTTTCTGGAACTACACATTTTGTAATCCTTTACAGCTCTGATAGCCTTGCAGCTATACTCATTTCTACTAACAGCGATGGTGATCTTGACGCCGAAAACGTCTCTTCACTTCTGACCACCACGGTTGTTCAAGCGTTGGATGGCGCTGTTCACCAGATAAATCACTAACCCGCGGATAAGTACCATAGGAAACCAAGAGAGAATTAGTTTTCCACTCTTTGAGTCAAATCCCTCTATTCAGCAAGGATATAGCCTGCGTAGCGGGCGTCAAAAGGCGTAGGGGTGGGGAGGAAGGGAAAAAGGGAGAGGGTTGGGGAGAGAGGGCAAGGGACGCTCCTTTCCCTTTTCCCCGCTTTTCTCCCTACCCCTCCCCTTTTTGCGCCTGCCACGCAGGCTACATGGATAAGGAATCACGAAAACCAGCTCCCAGTTAGCTTGCTAGCTCATTGGTTAGAGCCCTGCACCTGTATCACGTACAGAGGTCGGAGTTCGCACCCCAGCATAAGTTGCGTCTTTAACTGCCATGATCTTTGCTGTGCATTTATTTGTTCATCATCAGTTTAAATATTATATATTCATCATTTCATCGTACCAGTTTAATGACCTGCTCCCAGCAGCTTGCTAGTTCGATTGGTAAAAGCGCTGCACCGTAAGTCACTCTTCCAAGGTGGTGTGCAAAATCGTTGTGAGAACTCGATTTAAAAACGACACAAGAAACCTATTCTTTCATTGTATGCCCTTACTTTTTATTGCCAGTTCTAGTGACGTTTGTGAACATTTGACGAACCTGTAAAGACCATAACTATATAACTGGAAAATTAAAACCCCATACATCGCAATTCTTTAATGCCGAAAAGCCTTTCGAGCAATGTTATCGCTGTTTCCATTGACCTAGCAATGTCTGATGTTATAACTAAAGCATACCCTTAATTATAGTCATTAAAATATATCTAACTTAACTAAATGGTGTAGTATTTACATTCAAGTCATGAAAGGAACTAAGAATGAACGTTTAAGCTGCGTTCGAGTGATCGTATTGTGAAAAAAATCAACAGGCACTCATTCCACTGCACCACCAGAGTGATAGAATATCTACCTAGCTGATATGATATATGTAGTATTTCTGTTTTCCAAATCCCGATTAAAGTGTTAATATTCTCTGAACTATTAAGGGATACGATTCATCGCACTCGCTCTCCTTCCATGTCCTACTATATTGCATGCTTGCAAGCTGCAATAGCAAACATCCAGGACCATCTCTTGCATTGTCCAGCAGTAAATCTGCGCCCGCGCCGCCGTTTTGCACGAGAAGGTCCTGGGGACCAGGTTAGCTGATTGACAATTCATTTCAATCCTGCATAGCCCTGTCGCTCAGCAACCAGCATGACAGGAAAGAAAAAGTACAAGCGAACTGTTTGGTAGAGAAAGTAAATTATGACTATTTCTTCTGTTGTTAATTGATCTTTGCAAATATAAAGTATCATCTTCGTTTGTCACGACTTCACCAATTCCTAACATTACGTAAGAGATTACATTCGTATTCTCGGCCGTAAACTGGGACTGCACTGCAGAGAAATTGGTCGAGTAGCTCTAGATTCATGAAGTAAACACGTACATTTAATATGTTACATTAATCAGATGACCTCACGCTTATGTGTGATAAGAAATTACACGTAGTAGCAGCTCAATTTGTCTTATTTAAGTCACTTAGAATCTCAGACTTTAAGTGTCCCAGAACATTGATCAAAAAGAGAAAACTTACTACCTCAGAACAATCTTTTTCGCAAAATCGTCTACCTCAAAGTTTCTCATTGGTAAATTTCGTTAAATTTTATCATTTACAAAATAGAGTTACTACAATTTCCTTGTTCGAGAAAACTATATGGCATTTCAAAGGGTTCTGTAGTTGTCGGATTTGTCATTAATGGAGAAATTAACCATCGCGTTAACGGCACATGGCAAACGTGAATTTGTACCACTTGACCAAGTTTACTTTTACTTGTCGTTTGCTGTTCATTATAACTACTCGAAAATCAGTAGATTCACACCAATTCTATCCGTAAGAATTGCTTTAAGCTGTTTTTATCTGCTCATTTCTCATTTTGAAAATGTCTCAACTTGAATCTCACGTTTGCCGTGAACGCGATGCTTAATCTCTCTATTGTTTGCTTTCTTTTTCACAAAATTAGATCTCCCTGATGCCTTCTGCAAACTAGATGAATTTTTTTTCTTTTCTACCTAAAACTCTTCTGAACTTAGTCAACTTACAACGGGAAACGTCCCAGGTCAAGTCCACTAAAGTAAGTTATTTTGAGACAAACAAGTTGCTCAGCGCAATTCTCTGTTTAAAACTTGGGGAGATAATTTTTAGGTATTTGTTCGCATTGAGATTTGTGGAAAATGCAGCTTATGACAAAGCGTATTTACTGGATATTATCATACATCCTCAATGAATCTTCTAACTTTTGTATAACCTGAGGAAAGGAGAAACAGAGACAAAGGGGTAAGAAAGTGACAGGAACATTGATAAAACCAAAGGGCACAATCCTGGTAAGGCTTATCACTTTGTGAAAGGTTTGAACCCAGGAGTCGTTTCAAAAGTAGGTTGAGTTTGATCGTCCAGGTGAACGTAGTCCTGAATAGGACTGTTGTTGTTGACAGTAACTGACGTTTCGACAACCTGTGCGGTAGTCATCTTCAGAGTCAAAGTGAGTTGTATCACGTCAGTTGATGGTATTATACTCTGGTTATTGATCTGATTGGTCAATTACGTCGCAATGTTATTGGTCGTCTGTCAGTTAAGCCGTGATGTTATTGGCTATGAAGACGCGTAATCAGTAATTGGTGCGTTTCGATCCGTCTATTGTCACAGTTCAACAGTCGTCTATTGTTAGTCAAATTGTCATTCTCTCGTAGTTACTTTTGCTTGATCTCGTCAATAAGTCGTTAGTACGGCGCTGGTAACTTTTGGCTAGGATTCAGTGGCGTTTGTTCTAAGTTAGTAAACCAGCTTTCTAAAGTAAGACGTTGATAGTAGTCTGTAGAATACGTTATACATGTCGCAGAGTCCCAGTCACTTTGTTAGCTACTGGCTAATAATGATATATATGCTTTTGACGGAGTTGATCGTCGAGTAAGAGCCTAAGTTTGCACAACCCTGACAGACGGTTGCTATATTGCTTTAATACATTTTTAAAAAAAAATGTTAAGGCACGCCACATTGCGAGATTATTGAGACCAACTTTTGGAAGCAATTCCATGCGCGTTTGACCATTGTTGGGAATATCAAACGGCCTAACCATCCACCCGTGTAACCCGGGTTTACGATATACGTCTCTAAATTGCCTGAAAGTGCTGGCACATGTCTACTAGTAAAAATGCGATACTACGCAAAATTTTGTCAAACTTACCCTTTGATGATAATCTATTTGCTCTTGAATAAAATGCTGCATCATGCTTTTGAAGTCTGCAACTTTTTGATCGTGAAAATGACTCATTTCCGCTGTCAAAATAGGATTGTAATAAGAAAAATCACAAATAAGACACAGGCAGAAAAAATTTACATTACACCGTATATAGCGCCTTTCTCTTTGTGATCCAAAGCGCTTTATAATTAGTACTAATAGTAATAAACCTAATAAAATATCACAATGACTTATTTGTTTAAAATAAAAAGCAAAAATATAAACATAAATATAAATAATAATGAATAAATAAATAACAAATAATAAAAAATAAACTAAAATTACAGCTGAAAAGCACGCTTAAAAATTTTTGATTTGAAAGCGCCCAGCTCACAACATGCGCGTATACTGACTGGCAGGGAATTCCACATCTTAGGAGCTGCGTGTGAAAAATCTCTGTAACCATAGGTTTTAAGGTTGTATTTAGTTTGTACTAGGAGTCCTCTATCTGCAGAACGCAGCTAGAGTTCTTGGTGGTCTATAACGAACTAACAGTTCTTCCATATAAGGTGGTGCTACATCATTAAGTGATTTAAATGTAAAATGTCTATATAACCTCTAAAAAACGAAGTCCTCGGTACAGTCGGTATAACAAACGATTTTCTTTACCCCAGACATATTAAGATAATGAAAGAGAACCTCGATATAGCGAACACATTTTGCCAGTCCCTTGGCCGTGCCATTTCCTTTAGGCTAGACTGTCAAAGGGTTCACGTAGCATTTTCTCGCTCCCGCACGGTCTGACCAACGCTTAAGGTGAATTTCCGCACTGTCGCGTAATTTTTACGAGCGTGCGCACGTAAATTGTACGCACATAAATTAAATACAGCCGGCAATGTATGGGAAGTCATGCGCAAACGTTAAAGTAAAACCTCGCTCAGCTCTTACGTTTATACGCGGAGCTTCTTTCATTTACGGACGTAAATTTTACGCGCATACACAACCAAAAGTTATGCGTCAGTGGAAATCCACCTTTAGCTGCTTATTTTGAAACGCTCACGTAAACTTACCAAATGAAACGTTTGTTATTGTGTCTGCACGAGCACTTATTTCTTCAAATGTTGCGTACTGTAAAACAATTAAATCAATTTAAAATGAGTAACATTTCATTAAAAAAAACAATCACACAAATCCAGGCGCCCAGTACCCTTAAAGTTCAATCTAAGTGTTAACCATTGTTAAAAACTGAAAACTCTGTCGTATTGCTCTTTCTTCGTCTCAACAGAAGTGACCGGGATTCCCGTTAAAACTGACTGCCAAACCCCGCTTACCCGACCTCTCCCGCACTCCGCCCATTTTGCCAAGACTCTCGATTTTCGGTTGGAAAATCACAAGCAAAAGATCACTCCGCCTAGAGTGGAATTAAGTAGTTTAATGAAACTGTTTCATTTTGATTTTTTCCTTACAAATGGTGAACGCAAGCCATTGTGAAATATTACAATTACTTCTTACTTCCACGGTTTTTAAGTGACTACAAAAGTACACAAGTGAAATTAAGCGCGCAAGCTCTAAAACAGGCCAATTGATTGAAGTCAAGAGTGTGTGCACTAATGCAAGTAAACACTCCATTATACTGAAGAAAACAACCCAACGACGTGACTGCTAAATGTAATTTGAGTGATGCGAAAAAAAAAAGAAGGACAGGGAAAAATTTCCCGTCAGCTACATGTCACTCATCAAATACCTCCATTTTTTCCTCGTCTTTAAGTCTCTGACATTCTTTAACTTTACTTATCGTGCCCTATTAGACGAAAGAAAGACACACAAGTGCAATGAAGGACAACAACGGTATTCCCATTAGTGTCAGCTTAATAGAGGTGTACGGGTCCGCTCAATAGGCTGATTTAGCGACAGAACGGGAACGTCAGTTGACGACGGCTCGCGCAAATCAAATAATTAGCTTGACCAATCGCTGAGCGACAAATTGGGCACCGGAAGTCGTGTTTAGTACTTTCCGCGCGCTTCCCGTCGTCAAATGACGAGGGGGAATGGAACTTACTGACGCTCGTGTCCGCTAAATGGGGAGAGTCCGCTTAATAAAGGTTTCCACTATATACCGTTTCATTCTTAGAAAACAAAATGATTTTCGTAATCCATTCCCAGTGGGCGCTCGCCTAAAAAAGGCCTGGAGAGTCGACAGATGAGTTACGGGACATGCGAGTCCGCAGGCGAGAAAGCGATAGGACTAGACCAAGATAAGAGAGAAAATTGGGGGAAGGGAGGTGTAAAAAAACGAACCACAAAGCAAAACGGGTGTAGACCAACCCCCCACCTCCTTAAGGGGCTTCGACGGTGCATGAATCCAATCCTCCCGCCCTTGCAGCCAAACCATACAAATTTGCTTGCACACGTGTTTATTTATACACAGAAAGCCGCTCCCGAGGGAGAAACGAACACAGGCCTGGAATAGAGCTCTCGATAGTAATTGGTCAGAATTAAGGCCAGTGTTAAGCGAGCGAACACTGTGAACAGGCGTCCTCTACTACCCTTTAAGGCCCCGTTACTCTGCGCAATTGCCCATTCTACGGTTATGCGCTTGGTGACCTCGCCTTTGGGCGGAAGAGAAGGCAGAGTCGACTTGTTTTGATACAGAAACAGATCTTTCTTTTTTTACATGTGCTTTTTTTGTGATGCAAAGTTGATAAATGAAAAGGACTAAGGTTTGTGTAACAACAAAGTCAACACCAACCTCGCTTCCTCTTAAAATCTATGTAAAACAGTATAAAGTTGTAAAATGCACCATTTTTCTTGTAACTTGTCCCTCCATTTTGTTGATATACACAAGTTCCACAATATACCTTTCATGGCGCTGGTTTAAGAAAAGTTCATTATACGTTGCCCCTTTTTCTTTTCGGAGGCAAAACAACTCTTACCTTATGAACTTGTAAAACATCCGGGTATGTACTAAGCATTCCTGAATATTCTTTGAGTCCTTCTATCAACGGTACATAATCATTTTTGGGCTATAAAAGAAAACAAATTGTTAGAAAACACATTCCTCAGAATACTTATTGGGTATAACAGCGAAAAGTTCCTTTAAGTTTTAAAAACTCGTGAAGACTCGACGTGAAGAGGCATTTGTTACAGGTTTAGCCTCCGTCTGAAGTAAATATATTCACAAATTCCAACGAGAAGACCTGTTAATTACTCTGACTGACTTGCTGGAATTTCTGAATATTTTACTTTATGTCGAGGCTAACCCTGTATGAATGTGTCGTTAATGTTTGTATTCAGTGGTAATTTTCTAAATTGAAACTGGACTATACGCGAACCTTTGCTGACGTCATTGTTTACATTATTCCCCATTAGCAAACGACTTAACTCGTAGAAGCCGTTGCCGTATAAATGAACTAAATTCAAAACTGAAAAGAACTGATTAACTTTAGAAATTTGTGCAATTTTCAGCTCTTTGCAATTATTATTGAACGAAATATCAGCCATCGAAAACTGCGAAATTGCTGAGTTGCAAGAAAGTTAATGAACCATACATTCTTTGTAAAATTTCGAGTTTTTAAAAGAGAATTTCTCTGAAACCATTCGGTATATCGGGTTCAAATTTTCAGAGATAACTGAAATTTTTATTATCTTTCAATATTCAGAGATTTTATTTTATTAGCTTCATCAAATAATGATGAGCATATGTTAATGAGAGAAAAAATGTAAACGCCTATTTCATACAGTGCTCTTAAAGCGCATTTATCATCGACAACCAGAACAGCAAATAAATGTAACAAAATTGTGAACATGTCCAACGAGACCCTAACTATGGTCGGACATGACGAATGGACAGACAAAATTTGTGGCTGAAGATTTCAATGGTAATTGAAGAAATTAAAAGCCAACATAATGTGCGACTGTACGTCCAGCAATTTTTCTTGTTTGTCCGACTAAACGTAGACCTAATTGCACATATGCCCTTTCTAAAAAGAGAAAAATATTAATTGAAAGCCTGCTGCACTAAGGTTCTTTCAACTTGGAAAGCATTTCAAAAATTCGTCTATACCAACCTGTTCAGCTATCATCTCTCCTATCTCATCATACGTTCTTCCTGTGTGTTCTACAGCTTCTGTTAATCGCTTTGAGCCTGCGGAGAAAATACACCTCACTGAACACTCCTCACTGTAAAACATAATCACGACTTGTACTTCAAATGAATTATTACACTCTACAAAAAGCCCAAACTACTGTAGAAAGAGCCTGAGACCAGTTCAGACATATTTCAGCGCTTCTACACAGTGAATCAACATTTGATTTACTTGCAAACCGGCTAAATAAACTTTACAACATCTAAAAAATGATATACATTATACGGCGACGTCTTCTAGCGTCTTCTATGGATCATCGCGTATGCTAATGGACAAAACTGTAAACAATGACGTCCGCCTATAAAGTTCTCGTTTATGGACGTCCTAACCTTTAATCCTACACAAGGCTGTGCTCTAAGGAAAATTGTAGGGAGCCCAGTGCTCTGATCCTATAAAATCTAGGGTACCCAGCATATGATTTGTATGAAAAAGCTATCCTAGTCGCCCGAGAGCAAAAGTTAGGCGCCAGGGGCCACTGGGCTCTGCTAAAGCACAGCCCTGCTACATCACCATAAATGAAACGTCCACGACATTATTTACATTTTAAAAGGCTTTTGATTGGAAAGGACAAAACGCCTCAATAAAATCCCGTCAACACGTTAATAAAGCTGAATTCATGTGTAGATATATATGAGAAGTAAATTCCTTACTTTCTGAATCTTCGTCAATAGCGAAGGCCGCGCTTAGCGATGCAAAAGTACTACCAACTTTCTTGTACTCCGCCCGGTAAGCTGTCAAGAAAAAGAAGCCTTGAGATCAACCCAGCAAAACACAAAACAAGCATATACACATATATAACTATTCCCCACGGCCTGATATACTAAGTTAATTCATTAATAATAATAATAATAATAATAATAATAATAATAATAATAATAATAATAATAATAATAATAGTAATAATTGCGGGCGACAAAAGGAGCCCGCAATCCTAAACTCCAGGTTTTTATTGCGCATGCGTCGCATGTATGTAGCCGGCTTTCGTTTGGACTTCCACTAAGAATGAATGAAATACACAAAACGCAATTTGATCACGCGCGTTTCGACATTCTACCCCTCGTACTCTGACCACGTGTGTTTTGACCATCTGTCACATGAAACTTACGCAAAGCACAGCGTTGAAGCGAAAGCCTTTTGACCTTCCATGTTGTCGCCCGCACTCCGTAACCTTTGGTTATTACTACTACTAATAATAAGTAATGGTAACAGGACTGAGTGGAGTCCAATTCGGCCTGTAACCATACGAGTGATTAATAATATCTGACGACCATGTAGCTCGCTTCGCTCGCTCAAATAGGACAGCTTGCTCGCAGCTTGGTAAAAAACTCAAGACGCTTTACCATTTTGACTTGACCTCTATTTTCCAGACTTTTTCCAGGTCTGGAAAAATGCTGGGCAAATTTCAACACTTTTTCAAGAATTCAATACTCTGTACGAACCCCAGTTGTAACTTTTACAAAATGAATCATTTTGCGATTGGGAGATCAGGGCTTAACCTCCTCCAGTAAAGATAACAGTGCGAACGTTTCTGGTGAAGAAAACCATAATGAAGCAATTCGGGGTGACTATTTTTTGACAACACGCGAAAAAACTTTAAATCAAATCTCGTCTCTATGAACCCTCATTTGGCGGTATCTTAAATAAAGTTTTTCAGACTTACATCCCTGACACTTTTCACTGTGAATTTGACCTCGATCTTGAATGGCTTTGACACTCTCATCCATAGTCTTTATAAAACGACCAAACTGTTCTATTCTATTTTCACTGCAAGGGAAAAGATCTCAACATTAAATACATGAAACACTGTCATAGAACCAAACAAGAATAGATACCGCTTTTACTTCAGAGCCAGTTAGTCGTTCAATTGTCCCTTCATAAAACACGTCTTAACAGATGAAATCATACAAACGCTTATTACTTAGTCATAGTATTGCACATTATTTTAAGGAAACAAGCAGTAGTTTGTGGCGGATCTGGTGGGGGGGCATCTTATTTTTAGGCTGTGTTCACACTATGCAGGATAGCTTTTCGTGTCTCTGTCCGGTATAGTATGAACAGCAACGGTCCGGGGCGGAACAAGTCGTTCACACACATCGAACGTTGTGCGGGCGCAGTTGGCTGAGAGGGTTTGGTGCACTTAATTCCAGTCCTCACTCCTGAATATTTCCTTTCGTCTCGGTGGGTTCCAGTCCTTGCTCCTACTTGTTAAGGAGCTTTAGCAACGACGACGGCGACGGCAAAGAGGACGTTAAAAAAGCAATAGGTTTATTACGCAAAACAACAACTTTGCACGTGCACCACGCTTTTTTGTACATTTCTTGACCGTCCTTGCACGACTACGACGTGAAAATGCCTAATTGCAAGTTTTATGGAGGAAGTAAACAAGCGACGACGAATCTCTTTTCCTCTCTCTAAACTTGAGAGCGGTCCTCAAGAAATCAATTCCAGGGAAATTCGTATACACTTGCCATTTTCAGCAAACTGGAATAAACGCGACAAAGATTGAAAAAACGGGAATTCATTTTAAACTGAAGTTTTCGCTGCAGTTGCCGTCGTCGATGCTAAAGCTCCCTATTTACTTCGGCGACGGTCCGAATAGAAGTTTACACTCACTGCACCGAAGTATGGCACAAAAACTATCCGATATGTAACTTTCGAGATCGGCGAGGTGCAGCGTTGCTCCCTCACAGAAATCTCGCCGAAATCACCGTTCTTGTGTGTGAACAGAAACCCTATCCGGTATGATTTTCGCGGCCGTGAAGTATAGCTTGAACATACCCTTATGCTAAACATAAGCCCACGGGGCTGAAAAAAATTATTTACCCCTTCCTATGTTAGGGGCTACGGTTCGCAGAGGAAACAAAACTGCTTGATCATTTTTTAACTTTCGAAAGGACATATGTCCGGCAAAGTCACTCTTTGAGAGGAGAAGTGTGACGTCACGTTACAATGCGGCAAAATTTCTGGATGACAACAACAGGGAGCTTCAGCAACAACGACGGCAACGAGAACGGCAAAAAACAAAAGGTTTAGAGACTCTTCGCGTTTACATTTGACCTTTGTGGGACAGGGCTGAATAACGTACTACGCATGTCCGTGACATCACTTGTTTACTTGTCTAACTCGTGCGCGAAGCACTCGGGCAAAGTGAAATTCTTGCATCTGAGACCATTTTATCTTCGACCATCTAAACTCATATTTGTGAATGCCAACGAAGGAGAAATTCTACGAATACGTTAGAAATGCAACTCATGGAAAGAAATGTTACGTAATCCAGGGATCAAGGAAAATGTTTTTGACCGTCCCGGCGAAGGTTTTTCATTGTTTTGATGCAGATCGTCAGTAAGTTTGCAGAAAGATGACTGAGAAATTAAAAAAGAGCAATGTGCTGGAGTTTGGGCGACTTTTCTTCGATGGTACGTAAACGATTTACTTAAACATTACTTTATTCTAGTTAAGGAGGAGCAAATCTTTGAAATGTAGGCCGAGCGATAGCAGTTGTTGATCGTTTCTTGGTGGCAAGAAAGCCGGCTTTGAGCGCGATGATACCATCAGACACAAGAAGTCATGAAAGTCATAAACTTAGTTACAAATCTTAGTGCGATGAAAGAAGCTTTTTCGTACCTCTAGCCGGCTTAGAGGCGCTGGTCGAGCTGTAGAATCAGTATTTATTCAGTTAAGTTTGTTTAAAATTTAATTTGCACCTTAAGCTTATTAATGATTAAACTTTTAAAGTTTAAAGCTGTTGAAGTTTAGAGAAACAATCACAAGTTGGCTCAGCTGTATGTGAGTTTTCGTATTAACTATAGGTTTTCCATTTATGGCAGGATTGAATGAAGCAGAAGAATCAAGGAATGAAGATCTAGACTTCGAAGAGAAAAATAAATGAAAGTTCTTCCCCCTGTACTGAAGCTTTTGAGAGAACTTCAAGTCGTTGATATTATTGATACTTTTACCAGCAAACATCGACTGTATTACTTACCCATTTACTCTTTTCAACATTAATTTTGCCTGTTGTCATATACAAAAATTTATAATAGCTCTTTTGAGCTGAACTAAGAATGAGTCATAAAGGGAAACAAGTTTGGAAGAAAGAACTTTTGAATTCGAAACCTCAGTGATTGTTTTGTGTTCTTACAGTTCTTATTGTAAAACCAAGCGAGATATGACAAGAGAAATAACTAAAAGACCATCATTCAAGGAAAAACAAAGATAAATAAAATGTACTTTTAATGCTGACACTGATATGATGTCCGGACGATTTATTAGAACTGATAACATATTGATAGTCTGTACTTTTATGTGTTTACGCTTGAAAATGTACACATTCGAATGAAAGAACTGTTTTCGGCTTCGTCCGTGCACCTTCTTTTGTTCATAGCAAAAAACGGAAGAAAAATTGCGAAGGTGGAAACGAGAATTCAATAAAGTATGAAATAATCTACTATTAGTTTAAATGGGAGCCTTGAATATTCGGAAACCACCTTAAAAATCAGGAAAATGTGAGGATGTTTTGAAAATCCTTTTGCAAACGATACTATTTATAGCGGGGACGCTTCTTTCGTGCGTCTTCTTTTGTTCATAGAAAAAAGTAGAAGAAAAATTACAAAGGTAGAAACGAGAATTAAATAAAGTATGAAATAATCTACCTTTAGTTTAAATGGGAGCCTTGAATATTCAGAATCCACCTTAATAATCGCCAAAATGTGAGGATGTTTTGAAAATCCCTTTGAAAACGATACTAGGTTAGATCCCAGACCTCTCCCCTCTCTGCACATGCGCAGACGTTGTTCAGCTCTGTCCCTTTGTGGCCTTTTGTCTTTTGTCTTAGTCTGTCATTCGTAAACAATAGCTAAAACAATGTAACTACTCGGTCGACCAATCAGCGCTTCTGACCGGATTCCGGACAGATTTTACGTCATCAGTATGGAATTTCTGTCGCTGAGTCACAGACGTTCCTCTGCGCGAAACGTCCCCATCAGCGAAGAGCGAGGAGAAACGGATGTTTTCGCAGGCTATAGCCGCCGTTGCACGACTGCGACATGAAACTTCCTAATTTCACGTGCCCGCTTTATGGAGTAGGTAAACACAGCACAAGAATTTTCTTTTTCTTTTTCTAAACTTAGATACGGTCCTTTCGGATTCAACCCAGAAAAGTTTGCCAACATTTGACAAATTAAATCAAATTGAATACGATCGATGAAGTTTGAAACTTTGCGAATTCACTTTTCAATGACGTTTTCGGCCCGGGGGGGGGGAACTCTCATATGAAAGGGGCGGAGATGCTTGTCGTCTCGCTCAGGGGTGCAAATTTCAGATTTTGGTCTCGCTTAGGGAATTCTGGCCAAAACACCATTATATTTAGCCGTAAAAGGTCTCTTTTAGGGTTGCACTCGAGGAAATATTAAAAAATTATATATTTCCAATTCGTTTTATTTACTCGATTCATGTAATTAAAGTTTAAAATGATCGCCTTTAGGGGTCAAAAAAAGGTTGGGCCACGCCCACATTGGTCTCCTTTAAGGGTTTCATTCAAAATTTCCGACGAGCATCCCAGGGTTTTCGGTTTGTTGTCATCCAGAAATTTTGCCTCCATTGGTGCCCTCATTACCCTGGGTACCAGAGGTTTTTCACGCGTGCGGCGAGAATTTTCGGTGTTGACCGAAGGCCGACATATCTTCGGCCGTAGGCCGAAGCCACAAGCGGCGATAAAGACTTGACAGAAACCGGAAACCGTGCTAGAAAAGTCTCTAGCACCCAGGGTATGCCCTCATTTACTTGCAAAATTTGAGTCTGGTAATAAAGAAGATATGTCACGAGGAAATTGCTGTTTTACATCAATGCTGTGCTTAAGTCACAAAAATATTGACAAAAAGGTGGGTCGGTCGGTTGGGTGATGAAAATTAATTTTACCGGCATGGTCTATGCTATACGACACGAGTACTGACATTACGAACGAGTACAGAGCTACTCACACTACTGTAAGCTGTAACGATTGTGGTGGACAGTCCACTGTCATGAAGAAAGATGCTCCAACTAGCTTATCACACTCTGCTTTTCTTTTTCCCTGCTTCCATTCCTAGTTAGACATAATAATTTGACAATATCAATACTAAGAATACTGGTTTTATAATTTTATTTGTTTACTCTGCTTCACATACCCTGGGTACCAGAGGTTTTTCTCGCGTGCGGCGGAAATTTTCAGTGTTGGCCGAAGGCCGAAGCCACGAGCGGCGCGGGTCGCTATAAAGACTTGACAGAACCCGGGAACCGCGCTAGAAAAGTCTCTGGCACCCAGAGTATGCTTCACGTGATTTGGTATATATTTTCACTTTCTCGTGATTAGTTGAGCCGCTTTGGGTTTTATTCAACCCGTAGAACTTACCTCAGGAACTGTCATGGGTAATTCTTTTGTTCTTTTTGACATATCCACGGAAATTTCCCATTGCAAGTTCCCCTTGGGAAATTCGGTCACACACAAAACGTTGCTTTCCCATGGGTAAGGGGAAAATGGCTAGTTTAGCTTCACCCATTGTACCTCTTCTTGCACTCTCAAAAACTACTCATCTAGAGTAAAAAGAGTTTTACGTTCTACAAACCTTTTCATTATCCCCACACGTGATAAAATGATGAAACACCATACTTCGAGATAGAACAGGATGAATAGAAATTCTGCTAATCCACATTTGCAATTTTTCTCTTCTTTTCTCAACAAATTCTTCACCAAATCTTCCTACAAACAGAAAAGTGTGTTTCAGATACATGTACGTTATGATTCGAGTTGCACAGTAACATTTTTAGGTGAGAAACATGGCTTTATGTGCAGTACACATAATAAGCCGGGACGCATGGTTTTAAAGTTAATAGTTAATATTACTGACTGAGCTTTGATTGTTGAATTCATTATTATGAGTCGGTGAGTGGATGTTAATTGTTACCAGAATGGATGTAACCTTAACAAAGCCTCAAATACAATAATAAAACACTTACAGGCCAGCTTTGTTTACAGTGTAAAAAGTGCTCTGCATTCCCTCTTGTCCCTATGTCCCTATTGTACCCACCATTTATTAGAGTAAGTTCTCTACTAAGACCATGCTTGCAAACTACACGTATGAGGTACCCAAGTTAACTAAAGTGTGCAATATACAGTGACCTGTAAGAAATGCTATCTAATGCGCATATGCCTCAGCTGACTGTGTCCCTGATGAAATGTTTATCGTTTGTGTGGAAGGTGTTACACTGAGATTCAGAGATCTATAGGATTTATTACCTGTTATTTGTTTGTCTGGCAGTGGTGGAACTGAAATGGATGTAAACTTTTCAACAAAGCGTTCATGTAACCAGTCAAAATGTTTATAACGTCTGCTGACAACAATTCCAGTACTCTGGATCAAAAAGAAACAAAAATATATTTACAAACAAAGTAGATAATGTTAAGTTCTCTATGTGCAAGCTGTTGGGTTGAATCAAAAGTCTGCTAAAGAACTGTGGAGGTACTTTGGCAGGGAATGAAACACAAAACTTTGGTTTTGCAGTTACAATGGATGAGTTGGTAAGTTTTGTGGCAGGTACAAAACACAGATCACAGGTCACAAGTGCAAGGCTGGTCACTGCATGCTGTTCTGTTAACAAATACGGGTAACTCAGATAAACAGTGTCCCGTCAAGCTTAAATGCTATTTCAGATTCTGATTAGGGCTAGGAAACACTGTTTAAGTTTTATTTTTTTTCACCTAAGCATGGTGACTTTCACTCTAACCTGCACTTGTGACCTGTGATCTGTGACCTGCATTCTGTACCTGTCATAAGTTTGGCAACTGTTAAGGTAATTCACCACTGCATTTGGAGTGTCATATAATCACAGCAAATTATCCATCAGGGAGGCCACACTGGTGAGTGTTTAGGTACTGGTATCTGTGCTTACCAGAATATAATACCCATTGTTTTCCCGATGTGTAGTAAATGAGTTGATACGCTCTGAGTTTTGTACCTGCCCCATGTAAATGGTGAGAAATAATGGATGTATTGATGATATAAAACTTCACAAAAATACTTACACTTGGAGTTATGTTGTAGGCTATAAAACTTTTCATTCCTTTGAATTTACTTTTCTTCTCAGGTGCATTTACTACACAAGTAAATGGCTCTGGGTCTCTGCTCCACACAATTCTATTGCCTTCCTCCTGCAAAAATTAAAACTGTCTGTTCAGTTTATTTGGATAAACTTTGTACAATTTTTAAAATTAAATCGTGGTTCTCAGAACCTCCCCTTTGGGGGGTGGTAAAATTTTAAGGTTTGATGGGTGAAGGAAGGTCAGTGATGACTCAAATCATTGAGAGGTCGACAAACAAAGGGTGTTAAAAAAATAAGGATTATGTCCTAGTTTGATAGATCAATATTAAACAAACTTCATGTTTTTCTTTTTAGGTTATTACAGGGTAAACAAGACAACTGACATTAAAAGTATCTTAACAATAAACACAGGCACACCTGAATAGCAACTCTTTCCTCACGAGGAATTTTCACATCTGTGTTTGACGAGCCGATTATGTATGCCTCTCCACCAGACTTGACAAAATTTGAAAACCTAGAGAAGTGATATCAATTCTTAAACACTAGTGAGAAACTCTATGACCTCAAGCAATGTCTGATCTATGATTTTAATCCAAGGGGAGGGGGCAGTGTGTCCTTGTCAACAATTTTCAAGGGGACTCTATATTACTTTATACTCTATTGCATATGATTAAATGACAACCAACTTAGTTCCGGAGATTCTTATGTACCAGGCATTACATGTACATGTAAATATCAACAAACTACGTGTTCAAGAGTAAACTGGACCACAGTCTTAATCAAGAGGATAAGAAAAACAACATGTTTATTCTTGTGAGAGTAACAAATTAATCTCAACCATATTCCACATGCTTCAACAGAGTTTTTCTATTTTCTAATGAGATGAAACCGCATTCATTGCAGAGTTAACCATCTCAACCTCCACATATTTCATCACTGACAAAAATTATTAGGTCATTATTAATAATGTTGAAGCAAATGTTGATGTTATTTTACTCAGTACATGTAAGTCTTCATGTGAAGTCCTAAGCCACTTCCATGTTATAATTTGGGAACTGGGTTGATTTTTCTTATTGGCAGGGGGGGGGAGTTGGGTGTTGAGTCATTGATTTTTGGGGGGGGGGACACAAAAGAAAGAGTGTCCCAGACGTTTAGCATCTGTGAAACAGTCCACTCCATGCAATGCAATCTTAAGGAAGCATCAAAATCCCTAGACTGTGAATGAAACCTAACTCTTTCTTTCTTTAAGGAGAGAGTTAAGTCATCATCTATATTCAAAACTCAAATGCCACCTGTTCATGCTCTTGCGAACAGTCCCTGATCTGCTGATCCCAGAGTTGGTGTTTCTTCTGGGTAAGGACGACAATGTGTTCTCTGACTCCTGCTCACCATTGTAACTGCTGACGGTTTCATCATCATCCCAGTCATCATCCCAGCCATCAGCTGTATCAATGGAGCCTTGATTATTTAGAGGTGCAGATGGCAGGGGATGAAAATTGTTTGATTGAGGCGGAGGTTGGTATGAATTATCAGCAATCTGATAAAGAATGACAGCATTTTACTTAACAATTGTTTAATGAGAACACAACAAAATTAAGTGAGTGTGTAGATAGTCAGCTGATGATAGAGGCCACTTTGAAAAACTCCGTTATAATCTTTCATTATTATAAGTACAGAAACCCAAACTGCTTCTATACGGAAATGCCCTGTGATGTGCAAAAACTAAAACCAGCATTGCACATGTAGATATGCAGGTACAGACAAGGCAAGATCTGCTACCACTGATTTAAGGTGCAAGCTGCTAGAGGGGTCTGTTGGTCCAGCATATGTCATAAGGAAGTTCTTCAGATACAATAACCTTTTCAACAGGGAATTATTTTCCAAATTTATTTTTTCAAAATTTTGGGTTAAAATCTATGTAACTGTAGAGGAGGCAAGTGCCTCTTCTTGCCTTTTGGAAGCTAGAACTCTTGAAACCAGGAAGTTCTTGTTAACATCTTCTCAAGTTAAAGACAAATAATGCACGACTCAAAAGCTAATTAGGCACACAATTCATTAATTACAGTAGGTACAGAGGTTAAATAAAAGCAAGTTTTCTTTTCAGTTTCTTAACAATTAATTGAATTTGTCATGTTGAATTTATTTTGGTTTGCCTCATCTAATCGCAAAATTGTTGAGACAGTGAGAAAAACTGGCCTTTCCTGCATAAAATCACGGCTGGTAATACATCTATGAGATACAAAATTCACTCTTCTCTCTTCCCTATTGAACGTTGCCCGTCTAGGTTTTGAGCATGGTCTTGTGTGGCTAGAAACTGAAGTGGAAGGGGAAATGGAAAGCACAAGACCATGCCCAAATAAGATAATGTGTCTTAAGCACTTTAATTTGCAAATGGTGGTGGTTTTTCAAAATAAAACAGGCCCCCTGATATAAAGTTTCTTTTCCTACTGAGGACCTCTTATAGTGTTCGTTGTTGAACATCTAATATGCCACATTGTGAGGTTCAATTCCTTAAAGAAAAATAGAAATTGAGATTTTTTATTTCCAGGTATACTGCATCTAATATTATTTTCAAAACTGAATTCAGCCGTATCCTTGACCTGTTTATAGTTAATTTAGCAAAATGCAAATAAACCAATATTAGTTGGCTATAATCAATACTACACAAATAAGTAAGGGAAAATTCAGCGACGGATAATTTAATTTCGTTGGTTGTCAAACCGTTTACAAGCACATCACTGCACGGCACGCAGTTTTTTACTTCACTATACTGTAATACATTTCCAGATGTGAAGGACTTTTTTAGTCTATAGTTGAATTTTTTGAAACTAACCATACAGCTCTGCCTTGTTTGCTTAGAGCAATGAGTGCCAATTAGACAACCATTCACACCATTGTTCAAATCGCAGTTAGGCCACGCATGCAGACTGCTGGCTGGAAGAAACCTGAACACGTTTGCAATACAAATGCCCATTAATTTCGAAACAGTGTGAGATTTCGTGTCAAAATCTTAAAATAATGTGGTCTCCATGAATTGCAATGATATTTTTCACAGATTAAGACTCGAGTTCTTACGTAAAAGTATTGTTATTGTATTCACCGAGGTGCAATTATGTCAGCATTAAGGTCAGTCACTTGTTACAGTCAGCTAATAATTAAAATTACGAAAGAGCAATTATTAAAAAGGAGTTCGTATGCGAGGAAGTTAACAAATCATTTAACTAATTGCCGATCGTGTCGTTATGAAAACTATAACGGAATACTAACTGCAAGCTCACCTCAACATAGGCTTCAGGGAACAATCCCCGTGTTCCATCAGGGCTGATACCTTCCCACCAACCTTCTCCAACATCCTGCAACGAAATGAACGCGAAATAATTTTAAGGAAAGGAAAAGGAAAAAGAAAGAGGTAAAAATAAAACTACAAGAAACTAAAGAACTACAAAACTATAAGACACACGTACCGTCCGCGTCAGGATCAGGATTTCGTCAGTGTAGACAACAAGTTCTCCAGAGGGTGCATCACCTTCAAAATCATACAACACCCGAACCTAAACAAAAAAGAAAACAAAGTGAAACTTCAAAAGTACAAGTAAATCTTAGCTTGTAAGAATCGACTAACCTTTGTGCCAGGGGCTACGGACATTTCTTCGCTAAACCTTTAAAATGAATCTAGTCCATTTCCACATCGATGCTATTTTCGGTTGTGATGTCACGTGAACAACCTACGGTTCACCACGGACGACCAGTGCCGAGTGGGATTTGTCAACTTTTGAACGTTTGTACACTTTAAAGTAATCTGTGTCTTTAGCGATTACATGTATTTACGACGGATATACATTTGTTGTTGACTTTCCTTCTACTTTTTCCGGTTACGTTAGCTTCGAAAAAAGACTATATGAGGTACATCGGGTGTTCTTATAAGACCGCGAAACCAACAACTTTGTTTACCGCTGTCCATAAAAGTTGTGTATACACATTGATTTCTAAAATGGCGGACGAAAGCAAAAGGAATGGTCCGAAACTAAAACGAAGGCGCAGCGAAGAAAGAGACAAGAAGAAAGACCACAAAAGAATCCATCCGAATAAAAGAAAAAAGGAAGAGAAAAATAAAAAAATTATTCAGCCGCGAATACCGAAAACTGCTACCGACATTTCATCTAACTGGAAACTTCTACAAGTGGTAAGAAATCACTAAGCATCAGGTTATTTCGGCTCCATAAGGGCCAAGCCTTAGAATACCCGCTCACTTTATATGCATCTTTGAAAGTTGTTCCTGCATTCCTGAAGTCGTAAAAATTTATATTTATTGACTAAAGGACCGTAAAGGACAGCGGAACTAAATTTTAACAGAATAACACTGCATGCGGGACCACGGGAGCAGTTAGCAGTTGACAAAATATCGCTTCAAGTTGGCCGGGTATTCTGATGTTTTTCTTCCTATCATTTGAAACTCAAATTAATTTAGAAACACTTTTCGATCGGACCCCATACACTTATTATGCATGCAGCAATTTCGTACTTTTTATCACAAATCAGTTTAATATGAATAGAGTCGAAACGTGTATGCATAATAAATGTATAGGGTTATACGGAAATCTTACAAACAAAAAGCCAAAAAAGAGAAAAAAATTCCTCAGCTGGGAGTCGCACCTCAGACAACACACTTGCAAAATCATCTTTTTTCTTCTTTGCCATGCAGGGCTGTGCTCTAGCAGAGCCCGGTGGCCCTTGGCGCCTACCTTTTGCCCTGTGGTGACTAGAAAATCTCAGATTTTCCATACAATTCATATGCTGGGCACCCTAGATTTTACAGTTTCATAGCACTGGGCTTCCTTCAATTTTCCTTAGAGCACAGCCTTACCATGTCACCAAATGTTAAATGGACAAAACTAACCAGTTCATAACCATTTTTTAGTATACGTGTCTGTTAAAATTTCAGTTTTAGAGCAGAGAATTTTTAAATTTAAAAATTGTATGGTTGGAATCCCTTACCTATCAAAGTTCCACCCCTGACATGCTTCTTGTTGGAGTGGTGTTCATCTACACAAAGACTACAAGCCCAATATTATTACTGGCTTGTACCCTTTTGCTTACAAAATGCATTTGTCCTTTGTAGGAGGCTACAAACATAGCATATGCATCATAGGGAAGGCATGTTAATTTTGCACAGTATTTTGTTGATGTCGGAGAAGATGGAGTTAAGATGTACCTTTATTTAGATGACTGGGGTGAAATCTTTTTTCAGATGCTTAAAGAAGAAAGAAACGTTAAAAAAGAGAAGAGTGATGGAAAAAGCAGAAGCAGAGCAAAACAGACTTTCAAGAAAAAGATAAAATTAAATCATCCAGAGGCTTCAGAGAAAACAAGGTTAATAAAAACTGTGTTGACCAAAGCCTGGAATTCTTGTTCGCTCAACTTTTCTTAAGTTCGCATCCCTGCAAAGTGAAAACAACTACTCACTGCACTTTCCAAAACAAACGTGAATTCTGAAGTTTAAAAGCCAGCTGCCTGCATTTTTCTTTGCCATCAATCATCTTATCGGAGCTCTGGGGGCACACTAATTTACTTCAATGGGTTTAAAAGGTCATGGTTTGTGATTGGTGATTGGTGGATTCCGATCCGTTTTTTGTGTTTCAAGGTTCGTGGCTTGTGATAGTAGTAGTATGATTGATGGCATTTAAAATGCAATTGTGAAGGTGGCTTTTGAACCTCAGAGTTTGCATGTATTTGAAAAGTACAGTAAAAGTGTATTATTTTTTATTACCTAGTCATATATGTGAATGTAGGTAAAGCTAGAGTGTTAGATTTTTTTTTACATTTAGGTATTGGTTGTTTACAGTCTCTGAGACATCCAAAATGAGGTGTTTATTAAGTCTGGGTTGAAAAAAATGAGAACTTGTTCTGTCACACAAGTTGTTGGGAATTTATTACTGATAACAAAAGCTATTCCTTTCTGTTCTAATGCCAAAATGATAACGCATTAAATAAAATAATGTAGATTCACAAGTAGGTAATCCCTTAGTACAAAAATGGGAGTTCTCCCGAGAAAGTTTCAAAAATACCTGTGAAAGGTACAGGAATCTTGCATTGCACAAATGGCTACACTATTAGAAATAACAAATAAAAAGTGGTGGGAAGAATTATTCTTCCCACCACTTTTTAGTGTGATGCCTAAGAGGTCCTTAAAAGGTACCTGCTCCAGCTCTGATGGGGATTATTTTAAATTTTAGCCCCCTTGTTGATACAAGTACATGTACTTAATTTTTACCAACAGAAATAAGGTATGACAAACACTCCTGTTGTTTTTATTGGGGTTACCCGCTAGTGGGACAATAGGGAGCTTTAGCAATGACAACAGTGATGGCAGCAAAAGCATCACTATTTAAATGAAATTTCACATTTTTTTTTCAAGCTTTGTTGCATTTATTCCAGCTCACCTAAAATGCCAAAATTAAATTAATTTCCCTGGAGTTGAATTTGTGGGGAGCACACCAAAGTTTAGAAAGAGAAACTCTCAAATGTCTATAACCTGTATGTGGAATGATTTTCAATGAAAAAAAAAAGCACACACACACACACACAACAAAATGTAGGTTATGATTTCCCAGTTAATGAAATCTTTATGCATTTTTTGAACTGATGAGTGCTGTTATGTGTAAAATGTTTTATCATTTTCAGATCTAGTGAAGTTTGGTTTGATGATGTGGATCCAGAGGATCTTGAACAAGTGACAGGGAAAAGAATGCGACTGACCAGCGAAGATGTAGATTCCACTTGTAATGAAACACTTGTTACTGGTAATTTTGAAGGGTTGGTATTTTGATACTTATCCTCACTACTGTTTACTTGACCCAGAAGTCGTAAAGAGTGGTCTTTTTTCCTAAGACAACACACATTTACACATCAGCTGCCTTTAATCACCTGTGTCAGACCCATATCCCTTGTACCAACCTAAGTATGTGATGCCATCAGTTTCAATCCCGAAGAGGGAGCGGGTGGGGGGGTACTCTAGATTTCAAGTGACAGGGATGATTTAAAGATTTTTGGGGGGCTGAAATTTTCGATTTCGAGATTATTTTGGGTAGGAAAATTTTGGCAAGTATTTTTTTTTGGGTAGCTTGATTTAAGTACGGATTTTTGGGGGTATTCAAACCTAATGTTTATATTTTTCATGTTATATCAGTGAATGCTTTCTGGAAATTTTTATTGCTCAGTAATTCAGCATGGGATTTCGTGGGTTAAATTTTGTTCTAGGGACTTTTTAGGGTTTGTGCCCCCATTCAACCATCCCTGTCACTTGAAATCTGAAGTAACCCCCCCCCCCACCCACCCAGGTTTCAGGTTTCAATAGCCATTGTAGGTCACAATGAAAAGTACTGATTTACCACTTATTGTGTTACCCCTAAAAAGTTCTTTTTTTATACCTCATTGAGTTGTCAAATTTACAATCAAATATTTCTTTGCTTGTGTTAGGATAACAAAAAAGATTGCCTTGGATTGTGAGATGGTAGGAGTTGGGTTTGATGGAAAGCAGCACATGCTGGCAAGAGTATCTATTGTCAACTCACATGGTCATGTTGTTTATGACTCATTTGTGGCACCACAGGAAAAAGTCATGGATTACAGAACTCCCATTAGTGGTGTAAAACCATCAGATTTAAAAACTGGCAAGTTGCAGGACTTCATTGCTTTTTAATTTCCTTAGCCAGATGCTATTAAAAAAGAGTAATTCTGTTATTATCAACAATGTTATCAGTTGATCAGTCATGTGCCAGACAGTAAGTTGTCAGTCCATCTGTCAGTTAACCAGTCAGTTTGCATGTAGTTAATCAGTCAACAGCATTAGTCTGTTAGTCAGTCAGTAATTCTTTCAGTTATTTCTGAATTGTCATTTAGTCAGCCAGTTAAGAATCCATCAATATTGTGATCAGTGATTGTTGTGAGTCCCTCATTCAATAAGTTGCCTTTTATTTCCTCTCCAGTCTGTCAGGTACAAGAGTGACTTGTTTTAACTTTCCCAAAAAGTAAATCGCATAGTCAGACTTGATTTAATAATGATAGTTGAGCCTCCCTTAAGCAACCATCCAAAATGTTCATGATTCGGTGGTCGCATACAAGAATCAAACTTCAGAGTGTTTTTTCCAGAGCAGGTCCAGATTTATTGACTATTGTAGAGACTTCATTGCACTTTCTAAGTTAAGTATACATGTAGTTCCATGTTGTTATGGAAAGTTTATTTGTATACTGCGAGTGGCGTAGTACATACAGCTGAACTAAGACACCACATCACACCTGAATCTTTGAATTTAGAAGGCCTAAACACTCTGTCGATTCACCTCATGTGAAGTACAACATCTGAGCCTTATTCATTCATTATTATTAAATCTAAATTCTGTCACCGTTTAGTCGGTGAGTTACCAGTCATTCAAACATTCACCTGTGAGTTTAGATACCTTTTTCGGCTTTTTTGTTTTGTGTGTCAAGTAAAGTGCTCAAGGGGCTCAAAGGCGTGTGCTCTAGTAGCTTATCTGGACATGGTTTTCTCAAAAATACTTCTTCATAATTTTCTTTCCAGCCCCAGATTTCAAGACAGTTCAACTAGAAGTTTCAAAACTTCTCAGGGGAAGAATCCTTGTTGGACACGCTCTGAAAAATGATTTAGCGGTGTGTTTATATGATTCCATTGTGTTGTAAAGACTCTGTAGATTTGTAACATAGCTTCCCCCAATGTATTTTAGTTATTATGTTTTTTTTGCTGTTTTACGTCAATTCTGTGCTGAAGTCATTACTTTTCGTGCCTTTGACCAAACACAAAATGCTCCTGTAGATTTATGAAGAAGAGATTGAACAAATTTTATCAGGAAGCATCAACCATCATAATTTTTGATGATTTTTGCAGGCACAGCGATTTATATTTAAAAAATAAGGCCTAATTTTGTCAAGTTTCAATCCTTTTCCATCCTTGCCATCCACTGTAACAAACAACAGGAAACAGTTTCATGCCTAAATACAGTCTTCAGTAAATAACAAATGCGAAGATACGTCATTTTAGCTTTTTAAAGGGTATCAAAGAGCGTGATGCAGCTCTTTTTTAAAAGGCAAAGGTTTAGTGGAATAATGATAATATTTTATTCTGCAGGTATTGTTCCTTGATCATCCACGAAAAAATATCCGAGATACTGCTAAGTACAAGCCTTTTCAAGAAAGAGTCAAGGTGGGTATTAATTCAGTTTGTTTGTAAAGGTGAAGTTGTACATGTGAGTCCTTGATTTCATGGTAGTCGGCCGGTATTAGGACCATAAGTAACACGTGAGAGCAGTAGCCGGAGATGGGAGTGGATAGGGCTTGTCTTATCTAGAGATCACAACCTTTGCGTGACAAGAAAATCGAGCTAAGTTGGTAGACTACGAGTAGTCCCCATTTTTTTTCCTCCACGTGCGAGACGCGAGAAGGAAAATCACCCCACGCGAGAAAAGGCGACACGCGGTGGGGAAGGGTATGTATCGTAGGATTCCCTGAGAAAAAAATGGGGGATGAAATCCACCAGGGAGAAGGAGCTGAGAGAGACCGAAGGGTATGTATTGGGATTGCAGAAAAAAAGGGGATGAAATTTGGGTAGAGGAGTTGGGCTGATTTTCAGTGAGCCATGCAAGAGAAGGCATGAATGGAGAGCTCTTCTTCGTGCCCTGTGCACCGCTAGGTGCGGAGAGACGAAGGATTGCCAACACCAGTCACTCAACGAAGCTGTGTTGGTTAGCCAAGCAAATGGTCCAAAAGTCTTTTATTGACTAAATCACGGCTATAATTCATGAGCTTTGTAAATCATACAGTCAAACAAAACTGAGATGCCAAAGTTTTTGAAATTTATGGGAATGAAATCCGGTGTAATCTCATTCAATTCTGCCCGCAATGCATTTCCCCTTTGGTTTTCCTCTCCCCTACCCCCACTGGCTACCACGTGTAAAGAGTAACCCGACTGAGCGAATTCTAGATGCTCCCGTCCACCACACTGCAATCTAGAGTTAAATCTTTACATAAAAATGTCAGAAGTGAGGTAACCTCCAATTACACTGTAAAATCAAGAGAGAATTATCTCCCTGTACTTTCGCCTGGTCGGTGATCGCCAGCGAACGGGACAGGCCGCCTGTTCAAACCACGGCCGGACAATCAACTAGGAATTACTGAGGAAATAGTGCTACCACCTTTGTAATAACATCTGCAAAACGGTTAGACTTTCTTGTCTTCTTGGACAAGGACCCAAAAAAACTGTAGGCCCCGCCTCACAACCCTTGCCTATCTAAAAAGTATATGGGGCGTTAAAGAACCCAAACACTGTTTGTAGATTAGGCTCTATTACTGATTTCCGGCCGCTTTTCGGGAAATGAGCTTGCGTTCCTGTTGCCAAAAAGACGGCTGGACGCGTGGGTTTACTGTTATCGATTTCCACCAATCAGATTGTTGCATGCCCAAATCGAACAGGGGAGGAAGCAGACCGGACACGAGAAAGCGGAGGAAAATCGAGCCTCTTCGTAGAGAGAAGTGGGATCTATTCCATTGTGTGGTGGGGGACATTTATAACTCAATACTTCATAGCGGCAATATTACCCAAACCATTGTTGTAAATCATGTTACTCCTGAAAGCCCTGAGGGTAGTGAATAAAAACTAAAGATTTTTAAATTTTACAATTGTAAGTCACCGATTGGTTATTATTTGTGTTCACGGTGATGTCGGGCGCATCAGATTAGCCTGTCAGCAGGCTCTCTATTGGGGATGAGGGCTACAGGAAGGTGCGTAAGCGGTGCAGACGTTCCCTTCTTTCCGCACCTCGCTCCCTGGGTAGCCTGTTCACAAGCTGGCATCAGACACATACAGATAAATCACTCATTCATTCCTTATGAACTTACAGAGTAAGAAGCCCGCGTTACGAACTTTGTCAAAGCAGCTACTGAACATAACCATTCAAGAGGGAGAGCATTCTTCAGTAAGTGCGCCTCTTAGCGTAAATCAACAATGGAAGTCAGAAGTATTGGGACGGTAGCCTTCATAGCAAATCGAGTTAGTACGCGAAAGTTAGAGCGGGAGCAAAAAAAAAAAGGTAGGAGGGGGAGGGGGAGGAGTTTTTTGCTCTTGTCCCAACTTTCTCGACGAACTCGCGCGGAAACCCTTGCTACGCAGGCTATTGGGACGGCTGAACTTGATATTAGTAAAACCGGCTACTTCCCCCACCCTCTTCCCCTCCCCCTCCGCAAAAAACAAACAAAAGCAATGTTACATTGCGTGCAACCCGGATACAGAGACAGATAAGTTATTCTGGGGGGCATTGCCGTGGGAGGTGGGCAGATCAAAAAGTATTTATTAGGAGTAGAGTCGTGGATAGTAAGAACTTTGGAGGGTTTTCTTAACTGTTCCATGTTGTTTTGCCCTCCATTGACGGGTTATTCCTTGAAGGCGATTCTTATAATCAGACAGAGCACATATTCATCTATTCATCATATATAACCTGTCCGAGACAAAAAATCCTTCGTTCAGCTAGACTGCGAGGCAGTCTCTTATTTTTCTTTGCGAAATCCTCCACTAGTAACCCATTCACGCGAGCCTCAATAAACTAGGACGTAAGTCCTAATCCCTTATTGTGACGTCGTTATTTGCAGTCGCGCTGCTGGCCGCTGGCTGTGATAAGAAATGGACGGATTGTAAGAGAAAAGACGGACTTCAAGCAGTCTATCGTTCATCACGTCTTCAGTGAAGACTTCTTCTGACAGCAACTCAAATATGAATAATTTAACTTAACCTGTAATTTATCTAAAAACCTATTCATCTATATATCTAGACTGAGGATGAATAAAATCTTCATAACCTAATAATCTGTTCGCAGTAGTAATTTGTTAAATAGGAAGCCTAAACAACCACGTTTTTGATCAACGAACGTCAACCGGAAGTGGACATTTCGCGTTCTTGGGCAGTAGTTTTGTCCAAATTTTCAAGCAAATCGTTTCTATAAGAGTAAAGACACATAGCATTACAATTTGGTAGCGTTAAGGCATATTAAAATGATAGAGGCCTTACTTCTAGCCAGTAATGTTTGTCGCTCAAAACGCCCTTCACTATTGTGCTAGTGTCTGCACAGGCGGCCCAAATGTTCTGTCTGGCGTTCCCATCCGCAACACTAAGAAAAGTGTTTTTATTGACAGGTACAAGACGCACAAGTGGCAATGAAGCTTTACACGCTGCACAGAAATCAGTGGGAAAGGCAGCTAAAAGAACTTAAATTCAAACACTTAAAGAACGACAAATCACAGAAAAAACTGGCTTCAAGGCAGATTAGATAGCAGTGTCTACGAAAAAATGTTAACCTGGACTATAACAGATGACCTTGCATGGGTTATTATCGAAAGATATTGGTGGTTCACAAGTATTAGAATAACTATATTTATGAATTAGACCTCTGTCCTAGGTTTATCGATTAAGTACACTGTAAAAATAAGTTTGTTTTTCCTCCAAGTTATCATTGCGTGCTATGGAGATACTCTCGCTCATATTGGTTTTTGATAAAAAAGATTCTTTTGTTTCACTCGTTACAAGTTTGAATTAAAAACATTGTGTATAAACAGTGAGTGTCGCTATATGAAACTAAATAGTGCTCACTGTGAACCTCTACTTGGTTTGACACATGCGTCAGTGGTGCCGAGTTGGAATTGGCTCAGTGAGCGAAGACTGGGGAAAATGCAATTTGCCCAAAAGCGGGGGTTTGAGAGGGGTAAGGCGTCCCTACTCTTGTCCCCTTGGGGTCCCCGTGGGACATAGAGATTAGACCATGCGTCAAGTGGTCGCTTACAAGAGGTTAAAAACAATGGAAAATTATTAAAGCGTCAGCCCAGAAACGTGGTCGAGGTGGCTTACAGGAGATGGTCGTTTACCAGAGGCTCCTATTGTAAGGCTTTCACTGGGAAAATGTTGGTGTTTTGGATAGTTTGTCGCTTGTGGGAGGTGGTCGTACATGGAGGTTCAACTTTGCTCTATTTTCCCTCAGGTTGAATAGTGTACTAGCCAACTGAAACTGAATTGTAGAAAATTTGGAAACCAACCGTCTTTCGTTTATTTCGAGTAACTTAACAATTAAAACGCAGTTGAGATAAGATGAAGAAGCGCGTCAGATACTAAAGGCGTACCCAGCTTTCATGAGCTCCATAGGTCGTTTTCAAGAAGATTTTTCTATCGTCCAGGTGGGAGGTGGGGAGGTGTTACAACACTGGATATGGAGGGACATGAAAGCCGGTAGCGGTTTATTGGCTCGTGGATTTTCGTTCTCAGGATATGGCCCTGACTGGTTCTAGTGACATCATTGGGTCAAAGTCTGACATAAGTGAAAAAGCCATTGATTTTGTGGTGTCTTTCTTCAGTGATTATATAAGTGTCGCATGTCCATACTGAGCAAGATAGAAATCCACGTCGTCTTGGAAATATTCTGCTTCAGTCTGAATGCTATTGACTTGGATAAGATTTGTCATAATCATTAAAAAGGTAATAGGTACAATCCTTTGTGCTCGACTTGGGTCATTGCACGAACTCTTTACCCACCTCTCCGCTTCCCGGTCCTTCCACAATTGCATAATTTCCCTCCTCGAGTTTCATTGTCTTCCTGCCAACACTACCAGGCCAAATAAAAATGTCTATTGTTTTTCCTCCACCTCCACCACATTTCTATTGTTACCTTCCTCCGCCATCATCACATTTCTACTTTTTTCCTCCGCCGCCACCAGATTTCTACTGTTTTCCTTCTACCACCGCAACAGTTCTATTGTTTTTTTCCACCACCGCAACAGTTCTATTGTTTTTTTCCACCACCACTACCACCACAATTCTACTGTTTTCCCGCCTCCACCACCACAATTCTGTTTCCCCCGCCTACACCACCTCCACATCTATTGTTTCCCTGGTCCTTCCACCACAATTCTATTATTTTTCCTCCTCCACCACCATCACCACCACATTTCCATTTCTTTCCTCCTTTTTTGCCACCGCCATCATATGAGTAGAATCATTTTTTTGAAAGACCTAGCGACTGAGCAATTTTCCCCCAGAAAATCGCAGCGCTCTGCTTTCAAACTTCACAGCAGGAAGGCTGAAATATTCGCGCTTCTTTTCGTAACTCTCGATCGAAAATCCATCAGGGCTAGCCCTCGAATAAAATTGAAATCCCACAGTTTTCGAGCGTTTAAAATGCGTAGCCAGCTTCACAAAGTGCCAGTCAGAAACCGTCCTGCTGATTGCCTAGCTGCTTTTGATTGGATGACGTTAAATAAACAAATGGTTACACAATGAAAAGAATTGACCAACAGGAAATAGAAAACGAAAACAAAAACGAGACAGGAGCCGTACTCCCCCAAGGTCCTCCACAAGAGAACCCTTCCTGGGAAAACGACCCCAACACAAAACTTACTTACAAGACCTCTTACAACCTCATCAGAGGCGTTGCCGAGCCGATCCTCCGGCATCTCATCCTCGGATTTCTCTTGCTGCGGGCGCAAGTGGCTCGAAGGAAATCAAGCGGCAGCCACACTCGCCAGCGGAGCGGAGACCGCCGACTGGGAGGGGGTGGAATCGTCAAAGAAAGTATGGTTCATAACAGGGGCCGCACTCTGGGGCAAGGTGGCAGACGGTTCATGGGAGGGTGCTCCACCCTGACTGATACGTTTCATGGAACGCATATCCTCCCATGAAAGCTTGTAACACGACTCCTCTGCTCTTTAGAGGAGAGAGCCATGGGGACAGGCTTATCCCCAACAGATGGGCGGGACTTAGACGGCGGCCCAGAAGAAGCACTTTTCTTTCCTTTTGCTCTCTTTCTGGATCTTGTCTCACGCGGGGCGATCGGAGATCCAATAGCCGTAGCAGCTGCTTCAGCAAGGACCTCCTCATCCCCGGTTAACCACGTCTCGCCATCGGAACTGAGATCCTCGGGAGACGGCTTTATCCCAGATGTGTTGCCCGGGGGAGCCAGCACTGGTAACCTATTAGCATTTCTTTTATAACGACCCTGCATGAATAAAGTGCCTGAATAAAGGTCAAACCCTCAGTACCAGCTTGAAGAAGACCCTTCGCTGGCACCTAAACTTATCCGCAGCTCCAGGCTTGGCGACAGTCATGGCCAGCATAGCGATATCTCCTGCACACGCGTCAAGTAAGTGGGCATTGCCGACGGCGTTGACCAGGGCCGTTGCAGATCGGGCAAACAGGCGCTGGCGACGGTACCACATACGGACCTCGAACCCGGTGATGCGACCAGATGAAGGGATGTCTCTCTCTTGTTTCGCCAGAGACATCTTGACGACGCGAGACCCTGTAACAGAACTCTGTGAAACCACCAGAAGGAGTCTTCAAAAGGACTCAGGAGGAACGTACGTTTGGTGGCGTCACGGAACCTCCCCTGGTAGGTTACCCACGTACACCAGGCGGGATTGCTGCTCCACGGCGGTCTGTTCACCAAAACGGTAGCCACCCTCCAACACACGGTCGGTCAGCGTAGGACGGCTGGTCGACGAAAGTCACACGGATGGTGTACAGGAACTGCACCGAGCGAAGCTTACTGTGGTCGACAGACTCCATCAGACGAGGGAGGACATCGGCAGCACTAACGCCCGGACTGGCACCAACGATACGGTACACCGTGTTCCAACAAACTATTCGCTCGGGCCATATCAAGTTTAAGGCCTGCTGGAAGGGAAACAAAATTGGATGGGTACGGTGACCGAACAAGAAGATTCGGAGGAAATATGGCGGAACAAAAAGGCTAGCCACAAACCTGACATACTGAGCCAAACCAAACTTGCAAGGCGATCCTACCAATGCCAATGTTGACCACGAACGGTCCCTACCACGTGTGGTAGAATATCCTCGTCGCGAACAGACGTTTGTGTGGTGGAGGGCAAGTTCCTGCCCACCACCACACAAAATTTCACGACTTTGTGGAACAATATCTTCGCCCGCTTTTTAACGTATCACCTTCAAACTTGGTGAGTTTTCTTTTTTAATTTTAAGGCGCTCTTTCCAGCAATGTCAACGGATATTCGAACGAACACACACCCGCTATGACCGCCCCAACTCCAACCCTACCCCCTAACTTCATTTTATCAAATTCTACATTTTCTTTTAAAATGAGAAAAAAATACATTGTTAACTACGACTATCCAACTGGAGCCAACCCCGTTGCAATCAATCATCAGGAATCATGCTTTTTACGATTGATTGCATTTTGCATTTTGTGTCCCCAGGGAAGAGGGGGACTCCAGGGGACTCCCAGGTTCTTGCTGTTTAGGACCGGTGAACCTGGGTTCTAATTAATGTCAGCAGTGAAACAAACAGAGCAGGCTCAGAGTGACCTTACGATGTTTTTATGATCGAGAATGGCAGTGAATATTTTGATTTCCTTCGTATTATTTCCTTGTTAATCATCATCTTAACTCGTGATAAAGATGTGGATCAAGCCAGAAGAAGTTCTTCTCGCCAATGCTCTTTGGTAAATACGATTCGATACCAAATCAAAATTTCAACCATTTACGAATAGGCGCCACAAAGAAGACGACCACAGAGACCTTTCGATAATTTTAGTATTTTTGTCCATTTTCAGGGTGACTGAAAGAGCGAATCCCTACTTTGTTCTCCAACGAAGAAAGGGTCATGGTGGCGGCGGATTGACTTCGCTTTTGATCGGAACATTAGATAATGTTTTAGACACGAAGGTATTTTTGTGTAGTAAAAAATTAAGTTTTCCGCTAGTGATTCATTTGAATTTGGCCATTCACGCATTTTACGAGCTTTGGACAGCGACATGTTTGTTTTAAAGTTTTTTCTTTTGTTGTTGTTGTGTTTTCAACTTTCTGCTGTATTTGTTTCATGTTTTACAGCCTGCTCCGTTTCGAATTCTTCTGCAACTACCCAGCTCTGACATAAGCTATGGTAAGAATTTGGTTATTTTATAAGCTGAGTTATGAAAAATTATTCATAGTATGCACCAGTATGCCAGTTAATTCAGTTATTAAAATAGAAAGGCTGACTTTATGTGGTCCTCTTTCCAGGCCTGTCAACCCCCCACCTCATCAAATATTGAAACATGAGGTCATTTGTGCACAAAAACACGCGAAAAAGATGTTGTTGGAATTGTAACATAATTTCACCTGATTGGTTTACTTCCCACCAATCACATAATTTATTGCTTATATTACAATTCAAAGTAGACAGACTGCAAATTATAGTGGTTGCTAAAAAATATATCTACGTGTCCCAACTGTTCATCAGTAGGATGCCAAAAATGTGTACAATTCCACAATAGGTTTCAGCTCCATTTAATCCACATACCACAATTTCTGAGGAAATGTTCAGTGTTAAAAGTTTATAAAATTAATGGCTCAAACAACGAAAAATATTTGACATTTCATTGCCATAAAGTCGAATCTACAAGAAATTGCAAACTTTGCCAATTTTATCCAGGAGATTTCAGACTCTAATCTGGAGACCGGGAGAATTGATGATTTTGATCCACTGACCATAGACTTTAGGTCAGAGTTCCTCCAAGTCTTGGGAATACGGCAATTCTGTATATTTAGCCTCTCTCCTTGAAGGCTATACACAAGAAACCTACAGTGTATCTGTAAAACTGGTCCTCACTAGCAACACAAACCTTTTCATTTCTTTTCTTACTTACCAGTAATTGCAAGTGGAGCATCATTCAGTGAAATAGAGGCTGACTGGAACTGGCTGGCAAAATATTTGTTGGAAACTTTAGGTACTGTAATTAACAGTCGATAAATAATTGCCGCAGGATCAATATTATTAGGCTTCATAGCAGGCAGACTCAAATTTGGTAGGATTAATGTATAATAGTTGATGGGAAACTGATTTGCAAAGTGGGCTGCCTGGGGCTCTTATTCTTACAAGACTAGACCATTGTTTAGGGTCTAAACCCTTTAAACCCTAAGATCAAAATTTGAATTCTCATTTGTTGTCCCTATTCATTTCCTACCTTTGTTTGGGGGGTCTAAAAAATGATGATCATGTATGAAACAAAGCATTGATATTACAAGGAGAAATTTTGCTGATAATGTCCTTAAAGGGTTAAAAAATGGTTAGACCTTCCTGTGGCTGTGACAACCTGATAGAAAAGGTCCAGTCCAAAAACTGTTTCTACAATTTGTGCTTGCTATATTTGCAACATAGATAAGGTTGGTTTTTTCACTAGTGGATTATTTACATGTCCAAATACCGGTAATGTCGAGCCTCTCTCTCGGTATCTGCAGATGTAATTTTTGTCACTTATTTTACATCAAATCATTGTGTTTTAAATAATCATTACATGTCAAGAATATTGTTTTGCGTGATAATCAGGGCTGTTATTTAGAGCATAGTTGCATAGGAAAATAGAAGAAAAATAGAACCAAAAGAAATCCCTAGCTGTTTGATTCCCCGCCTACTTGTTAAAATGCTTCTTGCGAGCTTGAGCAACCATGACAATGCTGACGGAAACTAAGAGGCAACAAGTTTAATAAGTGAAACAAAATCTCTGAAAATGCAGCACACTTTCTGGCAGATTTCTTTGTGGTATCTTATAGAAAGTGCAATCATGGCTTTAATCTCTAAGATTGTTGTTTCATCAACAGTGTTTCTTGCAAATTTGATTTCATTGGAAATACCCGTGGAGAGGCTCAATGTTTAATTGAAGTTTCTTCAACAGGGGGGATGTATGTTGTTGTAAATTACTTTCCTTAGTCAACTAACTTTTTGAAAATGGAACAAAGGTGTATATGGGAAAGAACTTTAATGATACTCTCAGGTTTGGCACTTCTCTCAAGCAGAAACTACCAAGGGCCCCACTGGTGCCTGCTCAATACAGGTTTATGTTTTAATGTTTCCAGTCACGTTCTTGTATCAAACAAAATTATTATTTGTGATCTAGAGGCAATTGAAAGTGACGAGGATGTCAGAGAGTTTGTGAAAGCCAAGATTGAGAGTCTGGTGGCAAATGTCACAACTGACCAAGATGTTGTGACAGAAACAGAAACCAGCAGATTTAAATCAGCAGCAATAAGATTTCATAGGATCTTTAACATTCCAGCAGATGAAAAACTTGTGAACTGTATGTTCTTTAACTTGTGTTTTGATTTAACTGTACTTAAATGGCATGCCTTAAGCTACCAAGAGACTGAACCAATTTTCTTGTGGTTTTTGAGCTTGATAATCCATGTGGGATGTTCAGAGAATACAAGAGATTCTTGCAAATTCGGTGAATAACCAGTTTTCTTACTGTCCTCCCAACAATCCTAGTAAATTTATAACTCGCTTTTTCGTTTCTAAAAGAAATCGTGAAAGAAAGTCAAGCCATAATAACAAAAACAAAGCTAAAAGGGACAAAAATAGCCAATAAAAAGTCGTAGAAAATCAAAGTGGTAATTTGAAACCTTCATGCAAACGTGTGTGTTGTTTTAAATACAAAAATGCGGCTGCTTTTTTAAAAATATTTCTTAACTAAAAATCATGTTTTCTGGCTCTGTTAGCAAAGCGAAGCCATTTATCTCAAAACTCAGTCTATTGCTTTTATTCTTTTTTGAGTTGCTTTTTAGAAAGTGACATGGATGAAATAGTTTTTGAGAAACAATGATTTCTAAAAAGGTCGTCAGACGTGGAGTAGGCTGGACAGACTCAATATTTTTTTTGCACAGTTTAATGATCAGGTCGATTTGAATGAGAACAAGGTTTGGACTACTTGTATTGCAGTGTAGTGTTTCATAAGCTACAAATTAAGTAATCAATTTAATAATTAATGAAATAGGTGTTACTTTTTGTAAAATGTCACAAGCTTGTGTCAAAGCAAAGAAAAAATGTTTTTAGTCTTCGATATTGTCAGTTGGGCACTCAGCCTGTGCACTGTACAGGAACTCAGTGTTGAACTACATTGTAGGGCATTTACTAGGTTAATAAAGGTGCCGCAAGATTAATTTTGGAAATTAAATGTAACATTTTTATGTTAACGTTCCTTTACTAGATTACTCCTGTAGCTACTGGAAGGGAAGAGTTCCTCGTCAAGGCTGGCTGTACTTGTCAGTCAACTACATGTGTTTCTATTCATTCTTAATGGGGAAAGAGGCAAGGCTTGTCATCAGATGGCTGGATGTGGTGGTATGTCAAATAATTGACCTTTGTGATCAACAATTTATTATCATAGTTAAAGAGATTGGCACCTTTATTCAACCCTTTAAGTCCCAATTTCAGAAACAAATTCCCCAGACTGATCTGCACACTTTTCTTTACAAGAAAAACAATAACGACAACAGCTTTTTACAAAAAGTGTTGAACAAAGAGAAAAAGTCATTAATATATAGTAGAAAAGAATTGGACCTAGGACTGATCCCTGAGGTATACCACAAGATATACCGGTAAGATTAGACTTTACACCATTAACTGCGACAAATTGTTGGTGATTACTAAGATATGAAGTAAACTGGTCTTAAGCTATGCCCTTTATCCCATAAAAGTCAAGGCTTTCAATAAGAATAGCATGATTAATTTTACAGTGTCAAATCTCTTTCTAAAGTCTCAAAAAATTCTACATGATCAATCACATGATCATTTACAGTATATTGATCAATTTGCTGTTGAATTATATCAATATACTGTAAATGGCAAAGTCAATTGAATGCTTGTAGCTCAGAAACCAAACTGACCTTGAAAAAGTTTCTTCTTTTTTTAAAAAATTATTTTAAAATTTTTGAGAATTAGTTAAGAGAATAATT